TCGCGATGCCCCTTGAGCGTCTGGAGGCAGTCGCCGCTGCTCGCATCCCAGATCTTGACCGTCTTGTCGCCCGACGCCGATGCCAGCCGGGCCGAGTCGGGCGAGAAGGCTACCGAGGTGACGACGTCGCGATGTCCCTCGAGCGTCTGAAGGCAGGGGCTCCATTTATCTTGCATAGGCTGCTTTATTGCAATCCATCCCGGCTCTTCTCTCTTAAATAGTCCTCTTATTAGGCTGCGGGTTGGGCTGAATAGGAGTGCGGAAGTATAAGCCTGAAGGGGGCTGTTCTCTATTGCCCACTTGTGAGACATGATAAATCGACGCGCATCCCGCACCAGCTCGAGCAGTGCGTGTGTATCTATTCTTCCCTAGCTTGTATTAGCATGTAACATACATAGCTATAATCGCTAACCCCAGTTTACCTCTACTACAGTCTCAAGTCTAGTTATTGCAACTACCCCATGTGGTATACTCTTGCAGAGGCTAAGCGCTTCCAGCCAGTAGAGGAATTTCTTTGTTATGAAGCTGTTGATAGCGCCTTCATCTTTTAGGTCGCTTGTACGATTTGCGGAGCGGCTGAGATGATAGTTACAGAGGTGGTCGACCCAGTAGACACAGGAGTAGCGTGATGCTGCTAGTGGGTCTGGGTCTGGTTGCTTAACATACTCGGCAGGATACCCTAACTGACGCAAGCTGTACATGTCTCGTCGGAGCGTCTTAGACATGGCTTGGAGAGATTTCGAGAAGATGGAATGGTGAACATCCCCAATCCCGCACGGGAAGATGTTATGGCGTGCTTCATCAGATAGAAAGTCTCGAGCTGACTGGTGGATGATGTAGACACTGCCTTCTTGTATTGTGAGGAATGAGCCACACATCTTTACAATTGCCGTAGTGGCTTGATTTACGTCCTGGACCTGGGTGGGCAAACCGGATAAAAGATGCAACTCTTGCAGGCGTAGCGGACGGTAAGCAGCGATAACGGTGGAAAGAACCTGTCGGCAAAGTTCTGGATATTGACGCCGCAACCGTTCGATTTGTTTCATCATCCGACGATATACGTCTTTCAACTCCGTAGGCACTTCTTCGAGGACCTGGAGCACCTCCCAGGTCATCACCTCCTTCAGCTCTTTAACAACAAGAGATACCCAGAGAAAAGTGCCATTAGCCTTTTGTTGCATTTTTTCCAGGACTGACTCTCGGAGGGGGTTGTTGTGTTGAATTTCTGGTAATTCCGAAAGGCAATGGTTGATGTACACATCGACGGCCCAGGACACTTGCGCGGCGTTTTCTTTGAGCTCAAGACTCAGCCTAGTTCCAGAATCGTCAAGCTGCAGCCTCTGCTCAATAAAGGCCTCGTTGCGGCTAGTAACCATCCACTTGATACGAGAAGATACAGACAAGTTTTGCGCGATGAAGTCCAACAGTTTTGGCAAGTCCGTTACGCATTCGTCAAGCGCATCAACGATCAAGTACGTGCTGTTTAAGCTCGGGTCCTGCAGGATGTTTGTAAAGATCTCAGATAACGCAACCCAGGCATTCGCGTCCTTGAAGAGTGCTTTGCCTGCATGGTCGTGCTTCTTCCGTATATGCGAAACGAGCGATGGCTGCTGATCGACAAGCAAGTACAGTAGACCTCGCAGCACAGCCGTGGCATTGTTAATTCGCGAGTCCGTGGCCTGGCAGAAGAAGTAGGACAGAAGAGCCGTCTTGGCCATCGACTTCTTTAGATAGTTGACAACACCGCAGAGGAGCATCGTCTTACCCTTTCCAGGGTCACCTTTAATCCATAGCAGTCGGCTCTGCGGGTCGTCACGCCATCGTTGGAAGTCGGAGTTTTCAAGGATCCAGCGGTAAGAACCCTCCAGAAGACCACCCTTGGTTTCCTCAATGCGCTTCTTGTCATCACGGGGATCGGTGAGGCGTAAGTCTTGCATACATTTCTCCAGCTTGTCAATCTCGTCCATGAGCCGCGTAAACGCCCTTGCCATCCCTTCGCCGTAGATAGGCGGTATGGAGACGCCGAAAATGCCTAGTAATGAGTACGCCCTGTCTTCTTCGAGCTTAGTGTGCCGACTTTCTTTCCACGACAATCGCTCGTTAACGCTGAACTGAGATAGAGGGGCTCCTTGAAGCGCTGACTCAGGAATTCCTGTTATTTTGTGGATTTCTTGCCTCAGTGATTGTTTGTCACCAAGTCTTTTCCATTTTTGGGAGAAGAATTCGACTGAATTTGGGGCAAGAAGCTCTTGGAGTGTCCACCCCCGAGTGAACCATTTGCTGACTCGAAAAGCGGGCTCCCAAGGAAATTCGGAGAGTTCATTGCTTGCTTTTCGCTTAACTGTCGAAACATCTGATAGATAGACATAGCATTTTACAGCATTCTGGTACCAACGAAACATAGATTTGATAGCCTGGTAAAGTTCGGCCTTGTTTGTCTTGTCGATGCAAACTCATACAACACTTGCGATAACATGGACTTTGTGCAAGACTTCAAGAAGTCTGTAACTTACAATGTTAATTTAAATTTCATTTTTGTATGATCCAGCCTCCAGTAATTTCAAACCACTTATTTCTGCAACCGCTGTCAGATTCACTTGATCACTGTGAAGCGTCTGCTCACGCTAAAGGGCCTGAAAATGGACCCCCCTTAGCCCTCTCTGCCAGAGGACCCCGGCCGGCGGCCACTGCTCACGCTGTGCTCAGTCCAGGTCAACTTCTGATCCGACTTGCCCCATGCTGCTTGTGATTTTCTCAGTCATACTCGCGATCCCATTTCTAGAAACCTTAAAGCGGGTGATCAAACTAATGGATTAGACAACTTAATAGGCCATTCAAATAATCTGGCTGTCTGATAACAAGCATTATCTAATTCAACACGATGTCCAACTCAACAGGCTATCCGATCCAACAGGTTACCCGGTCTGCTTTACAGCCATCTGGGGTCTAACTGTATACTTTTATCACTTCATATTGACTTTAATGCTCAATGAAGTCGGAATTCGTTCCCAAGAGTCTCTAGTTCGGACAATACTTCGCCATTCATGATACCATGGATATAACATTGTCCAACTAGGCGATAAGCTTGGGGTCGTTCCATGCTCTTTCGCACTAGGAAAGGGACCCGACCTCCCTTGAAAATTAAAACAGTGTCGCCAACTTCAGTAAGTCCCGGTACGATGCCAACGTAGCCCCGTTGGGTAATCACATACCTCCACCCCACAATGGCACCCTGAAGTGCGTTCATGTAATTCATGCTTTCCGTTCGTAGTGGATCTAAACCGTTGTGGTAGTTGTCCTCCACGGCCCATGACTGTCTGCTAAAATACTGTCTGAAAGCTTTGTATGACGAGCGCAGATCGAGACCTCCAGATACGACTACTTTGGCATGTAATACTCCAGCAATTGGTACCTTCCACTTCAGGTTGTCTTGCAAATCTCCGGTTGGGCTCAATGCCAAAGAGTCTACCATTGTGTCAACCTCATTGAAATAAGTCTTCCATTCTTGTTCTAGGTTCGACGATTTGCTTATTGATTGGATGGAATCCACAGCAAATCCTTCTAACGTCAGCTCATCGGTATGAGGATACCATTTGACTTTGACGTCATACGATCCGCCAGCTGAAAATGACCTGCCACCGTCACTTAGTTCATGAAGACCAGTTGGTATGTTGACAGTCCAGTCGGGAATCCAGCTTGGAAAACGCGAGCACTGCCCGTTGAGGCCAGCACTGTAGAGTAGTTGCATGGCTCTGCCCTGAAGAATGAAGCCGTGAGCATAGCTCAAAACGATAGTCTCTAATGGACAATCATAGTTTGGCTTAAATGAATCCTCGTTGCCATCAGATGCTAATCCTATTAATGCGAATAGACGATCCCGTTTGTAAGTTGACTCTGCATTTCGAAACTTCTCGAGAAGCATAAGAAGTGTCCAGCGATACCGTCTTGTTTCCCACTCCCTCAGTGCCGCTATGGACTGGAAGGGTTCCCAGCTCTTCCGTAGCAGATTCAAGCAGGGGCTGTGGGAAGTTTGCAGTTTGCGATCAATGATATCCGTAGCATGATATAAATCTTCCCAGTCAATCGTCCACTTACCACATACGATCTTCACAGCGCGCGACACGGCAATCTCTTGAATAACCCAAACCCTGCGAAACCACGGAAGCTCAAAGAAGCCCTGAATGGAGGTCCAAATGGGATATTCCAGAAGAGATGCGGATCTTTTGTCCCAAGTCGCTACAACAGAAGGCAAATTCTCAGGCGATTGATGTGAGGGAGTCGTGCTTGTCGTACCATCGCTATCTTTCTCTTCAGCGTCCCACATCTCAACTGAGGTCCCGTCAGATCCGCTTTCACGGTCTGGCTCTCTCGATTCCGGTTCATGTGTTGCCTGCAAACATCTAGTACCATAGTTGTCTTCGTTCAGAATCTGCATCAACATGTCTATGGCAGCATTGGCGTCTCTGCTATCTTCCAGAAATACATACGTACATAATGCCATCTGGAAGATCTTTGGCAATAACCGGATTTGTTGTGCTTTTTCGGTGTTGTCGTCTTGGTTGATGCATATTGCATCCACCCAGAGAATGACAGCGTCAGTCTGGTGCCTCAAACGTTGTAAAGCTGTGTGCAAGGATTTTGTAATAGGAAGAACTCCCTCCGGCGTGGTCAGCAACTCAGTACGCTCTGTCGATCCCCATGCATATGACAGCGCTTGGTAAGCCTGATCATATTGACAGGGGTTGTGAAATATCGCGCCTCGTAGGTCATCATGATCACAACCTGGGACAAGATACAGTAGACGAATTTGTCCGGGGTATAAGGATCGGTAAATGAAAGCCTCTTTGTGCCGAGTCTCTGAAGGTGTAGAAATTATAGATGAATTTTGCAGGGAAGGGATTGATTCGGCCCAAGTAATAGGTGTAGAGACCTTACGTCTCTTTCCGGTTCTGTTTTCTTGTATTGAAGCCTTTAAGAGCCAACCTCCTTGTAGCACGATTCTCCCGGACTCAAGGAACCGCCATGGATCGACGATAAAGCGGATCGAAGACAGGTCATCAGAGTGAACGTCACTTATCCTGACTAGAACGGCGACGTGCTTGTTGTTTTGACCACCGACAGTCTGCATCTTGAACTGGCGTATCTAAACGCCAATATTAGTAGATAGTTAGAGGATCAGGAAGGTCTATTTACTCTTTCGACTTGCGACGCATCGGCGATATACAATGCCGCTTGACCCCCCGTACTTACCGCCACTTCAAAATGATATACCGGCGAGTTCACTTGAAGCAAGTTTGCCCAGTTTGATGTCTCAGATTGCCCGTGCTTCATGAGGAATGCTGTCATCAGATCTCGGGCCTTTGACTCTTCTATTTTAAATGGGGCACATGTTCCCACTCCTTCGAATGGCTTGTGACCAGAGTTATGCCGAAAACAGCTTGTCCAATCTCTTTCAGGCCAATAGCTGGACCCGAGAAGTTTCTGAAGTAGTTTTGACACCTAGTCATCATTAGCTCAACACATATCACAGCAAAGATTTCTACTTACTAGAAGTTCTCCAAGATACTGAACGAGGTCCCATCCCGCGAGTGTATCAAAATGGCCTGCAACTGCGTTCTCCGCATAGCCTTGGCCTTTGTCTTCTGCAAAATTTCTCAACGGAGCACGTCTATCATTATCTTTATGCTCAACGCCAACTCTGTGGCCAAAACCATCATACTTCGTCGCTTCGACTATCCCTTGACCTTCTCCAGGGTCACGTGCCACCTCCTTGGAAAATGGGGATGGCATGGCGAATAAATCTTTCCGTTGTTTACGAGATTTCTTTGGGTTAGCTGCGATCAAATAAGTAATTGAGGAGTCTCGAGCGTTTCATATCATACCAACGATGATTCCCTCAACCTGCAACCCCTGTTGGGCAAAAGCTTCCGCTATGCCCTCCATACTATAATTGCTTAGAACGGCAAACAGTAGTGAATAATGACTTAGATCTTTGAAAGCACAGATATCAGCAATGGCTCGTACCAAGTCAAAGGGCGGATATTCCGCATTTATAGATTCCTCTGTTAGAAAGAAATCAATATGATTGTCGTTGCGCAACATGGCTACTTGACCCCGAACAGGGTTGCCATAAATTTCAGTGTCTTCCTGTTCCAACACAAAGACTTGTGATACTTGTGTGGCAACATGGACTCGCAGATCATTGAGCTGGCGGTTTATGGCAGCTCTGTCAGAGTGTAGCTGCGGAACCAAACTGATACATTGAGCGTTAGTCAATACGTGAACAAACGGAATGATAATTCTCCACTTGTTGCAACGAGCACCACCGAAGATAGTGACGAACTCCTGTGGATAACAGAGACAATTGATGGAAAGTGACACTCACGCTTTGAGAAAACGAGTTTTTGCCTGAAGAGAAGCTGTATACACCAGGTGCATTTCGATTCGTCCTGATGGGTTGGTTTCACTTGTAGCACATTTCGACAATATACGGCCATCCAGCCGTAATACGTGGAAGAAGTCCTCTAGTGCAACAAGTTCTTCGACGGGCACAGCTAGTAGAGGCAACTTCCCTATAAAGCTTTCTCTAATTAAATGCTGATCAGCGATGTACCAAGATACATCTTGCACACCGAGGAGGTTGCCGTAGCCCTGCATTTGGCCACTCGTCGTAATTGGAAAGATGGAATGATCTCGGAGAGAGCGAAGTAATTGTGCAGACTTGGTGGTACTGATGTCTTTCAGTGCAATACTGATGTCGCGGAAGAGACGGGTAATGTCTTCCAATCTAGTTGCAGTTGTAATGGATGTTGCTGCTGCAAGCAATGGTGCGATGGGATCCCCCCAAGGGCACATGAGGCACCGAAAAAGGTATGAACTGCTCTGATAACAATTCTCAACAGGAATTCCACGCAAGACACAGTCTCTCATAGACATCCACTGAGAACGCTTATTAGCACTCCGTGCTGTGGGAATTGCGTAGACAATCGCTTTCTCGCTAAATGCTGCACTAGAAATTCAATCAGTTTCTAAACCATGAAACACGAGTAGGCATAATTACTTAATGATGTCTTCATTCCCTTTGTAGTTGGCTTGAATCTGCTCATAGATATAGGCTACTTTGTCAACTTCCGGTGTGTGACCCTCTGATAAGGCAATTAGACATCGCAAATAGTAATGGATGTCAGCTTTGACTAGAACACCGAAATAGCTCAAGAATACCCATTCGGCATCCTGAGGTTTTTCGATAGCCAGAGCTGGAATGTTGCATTCTTCATCAAGTTCGGGGTCGATCATAGGAAGGACAGTATCTTTTAGCGGCAAGAGACCTTTAGCAGTGTGCACCCGACGTACACTCAGTGTGTACTTCAGTTCAGCGCTTAATGCACGGAAATCGTTATTTTGCCAGTCTTTGTGCAAACCAACGATCCACTTGGAATAGTGCTGCCAGTTGTCTTTCAGAAGTTGAAGGACATCAGAGCTATGGCATTCCCGAAACATGAAGGCGAATTCGTCCGATAGCACAGATGCCTCGTGCTTCTGTTTTGATGATTTATTGTGTGCTTCCTCCCAATTTACATCCCTCGAATGGATTAGCGAGATAGTGGATTCGCTCCATTCAATATCCGGGGCACGCAGTAATGGATTTACACCACTTCCTGTACACTCGCTGGTTCCCTGTTCGGCGAACAGACTCTCAATACGGGGGTCGATCAAGCGGGGAACCGTAGACAACCCAAAGTTACGAACCAACCAAGGCTCCCAGTCTGAATCAGAGGGAGATGAAATTTCGAGATAAGCAGCGTGTATGACAGCAAATTTCCTCTGAAGTTGGTCAAATAATCTCCCCGCGGCTGAGTTGGCTGCATGAGCAGCGGGTATGTACAGTTTTCTTCCAAGAGAGCGATCGTCGTGCTTGGTGGCAAACCAGAGATCTGCCTTTTTCGGTGGCTGCCACGACGCTTTATAGAGGAACATGGTATGGGAGATAAGCTGACTTGGCGTGAAGGCCTTAGGGTCGAAGTCCAATGCCGCGTGTGTTCTCAGAATGAAGCGGCAGATTTCCGGTGTCTCCCAGGCTCGGACGCCGAGACTCATGAAGAGTTTTCGTCGATTTGGATCAGATTCGACGCTCGAGTCCACAGTTGACACTTTAATGCCGCTGGGTATCTCCAAAAGTGTTTCATTTTTTGAAAAGAAAATATCACGTCCCTGATTGGAAGTCCAGGAACCATCATGTAATGGAATAAGATATAAATCCTGTATTTTGTGCAGCAGTTCTGCATTTGTTCCAAGTTCGAGAAGAGTTTTTGCAAGTTGTGAGTGCCACCTCGCCGGTCTCTTGTGAAAGTTTTCCGGACTATCATCGATTATCAATTTGAGATCTTGCAAGAACTCCTGGAAATTTAGCTGAGAGACGCCAATATCGGCCATGGCTTCGAAGGCCCATTTCGGGTATTTTGACGACAAGTACCTTGGTGCGGTTCGTGGGCTTAGGGTGAATGGTATACCTTCATCATCAGTGAATGCATCCGACGATACGTACTTCACTGATGAAGGCTCAACTAAAATTCCTGCACATGACTCTACGACACAGCTCTCTTGAAGCTTTGTCAAGATGGATGCGACTGCTGGCGTAAAGAAATTGGAAGCAGCTTTTGAAAGTGATGGGAGATAACCAGGCCAGACGTACTTCAACTCCCCTTGGTTGAAGTGGTTAATGGAACACAGAAACGCCTCGGCCACAGCATCACGAAGTGTATGATTCCATGGAGTATTCTCAATATCCTCGCGGCTGGCCGTGAGAATAAAATCGCCTTGTAAGAGAAACTATTTGATCGTTAGTAGAGCGAGCAATATTCTAACAAGCGATGAGATTACCTTTAGACCGTAATTCCTGATTGGTAAGAAAGCATACACACTCTGATAAAGAATATTGGGTTGCTGTAAGAAGTTTACGATTGGAAAAGCAAGCGAAATTTTGGATTGTGGCCGATTTGGACGCCTGTGCTCTCTAGGAAGGTCTTTGACGATATAAGTTTGTATCTGGTATTTGAAGTTACAATTATCCACAGCCAAACTAATTACCCGGTCGCCGTATTGCCAGCGTTCGGTCTTTTGAACCGATTTCTTCCATATCTGCCCATCTCGGCAGGTAATCTGGATATTGATGATCTCAATTCGTCTGAGGAATATGATAGATTTGTTGTCGAATGTTAGTAATTCATTGATGAGATCCTTCTCCTCGTAGTCTTTGGAGAACTGGAGATAGAAAGACGTCTGCCCTGTTTGAGCCGGCTCCGGAAATTCCGCCCACACTGGCGTAATCATGCCTAGTGGTTGGTTCTTGTCGAACTTAAACGTATAGGGGCCCGATGCAATCCATACGATGTCCGCAGCCTTAAAGACAGATTTAAAGCCAATGCCTTTCTCACCAATGTATTCGTCATAGCTCGTCTGCTCAATTTTGGTGCTTTGGCTGATCGCACAGATAGCTTTAACATTGTCTGAAGTAAATCCTACTTCGTTACAGTCGATGCGGAGAATCCCTGGACGGTATGTAAAGCTCAAGGTGGGATGTTCACAGGTGTAGGTGTTGTCATCGGCATTTTGAATAAGCTCTAGGAGAAAGTGGGTCGATCTTTCGTAAAGCTGGTCCGAGAGGCTGCGGTTTCCCCTAGATTAGCCCGAATTCATGATATGATAATTAACGGATTGACTGGAGCAAAAAACTGAGAACCTGCTCTCACATTTTCAAGTTGTTGCTGAAGAGCAACTCGAGTCTTGTTCCGAATAGGCTCCCGCCTAATGTATGCTCTCTACTTATCGTGTCTATGAGGTTCTTTGCAGCACTCTGCCGGGAGGCATCCATTTCTGATGGTCAACGAAACTATGGCCGACGTGACGCCGATGCACAAAGCTGAATATTCAGAAGAAATTAGGAAATTATGAGACAACTTTCATGATACTGCTCATTATTTTGCTCGTCATAACAAATACTATCGTCGCATTGCTGGGAGTTGGAAGTTGTCCAGTTGAAAAGTCTGAGAAATAAATGGAAAGAGTGCCCACCCGAGGCTTCCAAAGCTGCGCCCCCAAAGCTGCGCCCCCAAAGCTGCGCCCACAAAGCTGCGCCTTGTTGCATGATCGGGTTCTGGGATTAGAGCTGAACAAGGATTGTCAGATGAAAAAGGTGACTGAGTAAGGTTTGTATTTAAAAGCTACATACATTCTGCCGCTGTTTTCGGCGGCATATGCCACCCGTTTCGTAGGGCGTTGTCGTCGGTGGTAAGTCTGTATAGTGCAACAGGTGTCAATCCAAAAGTATTGCAAGTCGTCTTGTGCAGCCTGTTCTCCACAGAACCAGATCTTCTCGTAGCCAGGCTTATCTCTGCCAGTGCCATTTGTCAGGTCTTCAAAAGTGACCTCCTCAGCATCGGCTCCCCATGTGTGCGAAAGTATCGCGTAGCGAGGAATCGCCTCGTCGCCAACAAAATCTTCGGTAAGAGTGAATTCGCCGGTATCGCTGCGTCGCAATAGACGCATTGTTTCGCATGTGGCTGGACGGAGGCAAGCGGCAGGTAGGAATGGGTTTTGGCTGGGTTCGAATGCGGCAGCCTAGCTGAAAGACGGGCACGACGACTCGCTCGTCCGTCGAGAATATCTGTCCTAGCTATCAAGATTAGTGCGCATACAGGAAAATAGGGACACTGAAATTTACCGAAGAACTGCATCTGAAGGCGAGACACTGCAAGAGTGTTGTGCGCTGATTCTGCTCTGCCTTATGAATAGGTTAGCTTGGGGAGGGGGGGCGCGGCTGACTGTCCAGCCTACAGTGGTGTGGCGCGGGAAGGCTGACGTGCCGCGGTCATGCTGCGGCAGGAGGCGAATTCGCAGGCGACTAGACTAAATATTCTTATATCTTGAGAAGTGGATGAACACCTTGGTGACGCTAGCAGGGAGGACGGCCGACCCGCTCCTGCCATGACCTTGTGAAGTGGCGATTTCTGTAGGCAGTTCTAGAGAGTTGAGTTGGTGACTGGAAGCACGGCCAAAGTTGGGGGCCCGTGTGCATGGCTCCGCACAGCCACAGGCTGAGCTCTTGACCGAGTAAATTACACAGTGCTAGTTACGGAGGATTAGATGTGCGAGATCGTATCGCACTAGCCTATATTGATGATTACTTTCATTGAAGGTACCGACACACGTAGCGACCTTGCGTGAATCTCCATGCGATAGCAGCCACAATACAGATAGTGGCTTTTAAACACTGTAGTGATGTTCGCAGGCTTAGATAGAGCTATTCTATCAGTTTTAGTAGCGACAAGAGTATGATGATAGTGCTGTAGCGGGAGAAGCCTGTTTCGCGACAAAAGGAGAACTCTTACAAATCAGGCGCGACGACGACGACGCGATGGTAATTTTTGAGTGTGAAGGTGCCTGCATGTGTAGGATCACCTATAGTACATGCGTAATGCGAAAATATAATAGGCATTCAAGTGTGTGCAGAGTTTAAGTAGTGTGAAGTCAAAGTACTCCTTACATTTTGCAGCACGGTGGGTTTTGCGCGACCCATGGATGGATGTTACTCAACTAAGTGAATCTAGACGATGAGGACTAGGGCCCATAATCCTACTCAGGAGAGGCGAAATATTTAAGTCGAATTTCAATGGCTCATAATTAAGCAAGCTCGTAAAATCCTTCACTTAAATTAAGCCAGCTGAACGCATCATTAACACTTGTGATCAGTCACGCCTCTTTCAGACCTAATGCATCACGCCGAGAGGTGCTACTTGGATCCAAATATGGCCTCTCTCCAAGACTCACTGCCCTCTGTCCTGTCCTCTCTCCTAGCCCAAAGTAGTCGAAGGTTGCGGTGTGATAGACACTGCGGTTATCCCAGATCGCTAGGCTGCTATCAGCACAGTGTCCACTTGCGTAATGACAATCTCGTTATATCACTCACCAAGATCATTAGGATTCTGCCATCTGTGGCGCACTTGCAGATCATGGTTCTCCACAATCAGTTGCACGAACCAGTCCAGCGCACGTCTGCTCTCCTGTTCAGTGAGCCCATTGATCTGCTGCACATGGTGTCCAACTGCGAAAATTGACTTCCAACCTGTTACAGGGTTCGTACGGATGACGGGATGGGTGGCAATCAGCTCTGAACCAACATTCTCTGGTGCACCACGTGGCTTGCTGTAGAGTTCGAAACCATTCTCCTTTGCAGCAAGTCCGAAGCCTGGTTGAGCGTATGTCGCGGTCAGGGATTCGAAAAACTTCTGGTAGGGCTTGGAAAGGCGGTCGTAGAGCTCATATCCTGATGCCCATAAAGTATCTAGGTTCACTAATGAGTGCTATTCCAGACCTCAGTCCGAATAGTGTATATTACTAACCACCTCCTGTCTTCGGTAACTGAGTCAATCTCAAAATTGCATAATCGGACGGGACTGGCTCGAAAGTAATATCGCTGTGCCAGCCTTCCTTTGCGCTCTGCTTTTTCTGGGAGAAGTTCAAGAAACGATTCTTGTAAATTTCTTTTGCTTGCTCCGAGCTAATGACACTGATCTCATCGTCCTTGCCACCAAGTCGGCGACCGGAGTTACTAACGGGATGTATGTGGAGTTTCGAGGTCGCAGGCTTTCCCGAGAGTTCGCCAAGACGCTGAGCCAACTCCTTCTGCAGGTCGTTGTCAAGATCGTCCTGCTTACGGAAGAAGACCACACCACGTTGAGAGACTATCCGAGAAGTTAGTAAAGGATCAAACGAAAGGCAGCAGCATTTATATGCCTACTGGTGATGGCAAGGTCACGGATTAAATCATCCGAGTTGGGTGCTCGAAGCCAGTCCTTCAGGTTTACATCCACAAACTCGCGACCGATGATCGGCGTAACGTCAAAGGATTGATACCCATCAAGAGCGCCCCTCAGTCGAAGAGGATCTTTATGGAAAGTGTTCTGCGTTTTGGACTCCTGCCCGACGTCTGTAATAGTCTGGGTGGCCATTTGAGTGATGAATTTGGGGTTCGGCGTAAATATTCGAAGGTAACTACGAACAAAGACCCCAGGTCGTTGGTGCGGTCTCTCAACCTCTCTTACTTATATATCCTGTATATCCCAAAGCTACTGCATCATAACGGATTCTAGGGAACCGCATGATCTCGCCTAGTCCCATTGAAAGATTGCATCATTGCAAGTTATCCTTGCGAGCTCGGGATGTAAAAGAGAAGGCGAGGACAGCGATGTCCCAAACGCTCTCGTTGGTCCTATCGGCAGTGTTATCCGTGATACGCTTGAAGTTGTTCGAAGTTTTGAAGCTAGATGAAGGGTGCTGTGTTCGAAATGTGGGGGAGAGATTGCGTGCTCCTTCGGCAGCACGTTTCCCCGAAACAGTGAAGGTAGAGACATCCAAGACATCGCGCTACAGTCCCCTGCTTCAGCGACTAGTCTTTCGCTTGCACTTTAAGGCTAGCTAGGAACACATTTCATCAGCAGTGACATTTCACTTTCCGGGATTCCTTTGTCCATGCCTACGCCGACCCCTTGGTACCGGGCTCTTTTGCAAATAACAGCCCAGGTTGCATATCCCACACCAAACAGCGGAGATAGTATTCTAACCCCGCAAGCTCGGGGTATAGACGTCGAAATTATATTTGGCCTATTCGCTAGATTGGAGGTTCGCCTCCCTTATCGCAATTGTATCATTCTCGCGCAATATTGCTTCACCCTTCAACCTTCTCAACCTAACCTTACGAGGGTCATTTCTCCTGCGGAATACCAAGGGAGAACGGCACGAGGTAATCAGTTCATCTGCAGGAAATCATATCATGCTGAAGAAGCTTCGTAAACTGAGCTCGTCCCCTCTCAAAACAAGTTAATGGGTGGCACAGTACCCTATTCGGCTGGGGACATCGGGAATCTTCAGATAGGTTTGCTTTTGAGGTCTGAAGTCCCGGTGGTTAGGTTCTCAAACCGAGACGGCACGAGTAAGTGAAGAATGAGATTGCCTCCATAGCTCGAATCCGCGGGAGTGACAGAATATTCGACCCACCCCCAGTCAAGCTTTCTTTCAATTGGGTTAAACTATGCCATGATCTTGATTTTTATGGAATGCATTCGCTACACAGTCACTAGGGATAGCGACGCCCTATCCGAACGACCTCGAGCAATTCTTGCTAATATTAGTTTGGGCTTCATCGAACTATCAGCGACTTATGTCTTATCAAGCTTAACGACTTGGCGATTCGAATGGTGGAGTATTTACCATTCACTCGTAGAATTGCGTTTTCGGTCTGTCCGGTCTTGTTCCCATCGCTTGGGTCTGCGAGAACAGTGTCCCGGGAACTATAAATGTGATCTTCTTGCCTTAGGAATGCAGTACCAGGGCACTCCAACCTGCGCTTTGAGGTACTCGCGAACTGAATCTCTTTTTCCGCCATGACCACTGTTCTCTCGGGTTTCAGTCGCACCCCTGACGGGGCCTCCTCATCATCATCCGAAGACATCGCCAAGGGTTCTAGTATCGGATTCGAGAAAGACAAAGCAAATGTGGCTGTAACTGAAGCATCTGTGCCACCCCTTGGTGTCCCGCACGAAGAAAAAAGATTCTGGTTCCAAAGAGCTAGATCATATGACCCAGATGCCATCGCAACTTTAGTGAGTCCAACCAGTGTTCGTTTCAGATAATGACTGATTTCGACTAGCCCAGCGTATATGATGACACGGAAACAGCCAAACAGTATCAACCTCGTGCTGATTGGTACACCCTTGATCTCTCTTCATGTATGGACTCAGGATGAACTAACAGTTGTAGGGAAAATCTGCATCGATTCAATCCGCTGGCAAGATGGACATGGGGTGAGGAACACAGACTCATCAGGAAAATTGATTTCCGTATCATGGTCTTTGCGTGTGTTATGTTCATGGCGCTTGAGCTTGATCGCGCCAATCTCCAGCAAGCGAACACCGATAACTTTCTTAAAGATCTACATCTTACTACTAATGGTATATTCTCCACCACTTAGTATCCTAGTGGCGCTAATACCTTTTAGATTACAATCTCGGAAATACCGTTTTCAAACTGAGCTTCTTGTGTGCAGAGCTTCCCTCTCAACTTGTGAGCAAATGGATGGGTCCAGACCGATGGATCCCCATGCAACTGATACTCTGGTCTATCGTCGCGTCATCTCAATTTTGGTTGTCTAGCCGTGCAAGTTTCCTAGCGTTTAGATCATTGCTCGGTATCCTGCAGGGAGGGTTTATTCCGGATGTATGTGAAGCGTCATCGCAACCATGATTTCCAAGCTCACATTCTTAGATTATCCTTTATCTATCATATTTCTACAAGCACCATGAACTATCTCTCCGGCTGGGATTCTTCTGGACCGCTATGAGTATCGCGGATATCCTTGCCGGTTTCCTTGCCTATGGATTGCTTCACATGCGAGGCTTGCACGGGTATGCTGGATGGAGATGGCTGTTTCTCATCGAGGTATCTTACAACATTCCCCAAGGTTCTAGAAATTCATGTTAACCAACGGCAGGGTCTTCTCACACTCGTAGTTGGCGTGGCTGCAATCTTCCTTATGCCTCCAGGGCCTTGCCAAACAGCTAGCTGGGCACGTGGAAAGAAGGGGTGGTTCACCCCACGAGAGGAGGAGATCATTGTGAACCGAGTGATTCGAGACGATCCTTCCAAGGGCGGTATGCATAACCGACAACCCGTTACACCGAAATTGTTGTGGAAGAGCTTGAGGGATTATGATCTCTGGTAAGAGTTTCTACTAAGTAGTCCTGGCCACCATTTGCTGACGAGTCAGGCCACTCTACATCATTGGACTTCTTTTCCAGATCCCTATGACCCCACCGCAGCAGTACCTCACTCTGTCTTTGCGCAGTCTTGGTTTTGATATATTCCAGTCAAACTTATTAGCTATCCCTTGGACCGCCATTCACAGTACGTATATATCTTCACCCCTTAAGGCTTTTAGATTGACATTAGCAGTCTTTCTGATGTTAGGAGTCACGTACTCTGCTGAGATTCATAAGGAACTTACGTTCCACTCCATGCTTGGCCAAATTTGGGCTATTCCATTCCTGGTCTGGCTTGTTGTAGCCGATGTTGCCAAGGCCAATAAGTGGATAGTATGGGCTGTCATAACTCTGTTGCTAGGCTACCCCAGTGGTAAGGACTTTTCAGTCTTCTTCGATGCCGTTTCGTAACTGATATCTGAATGCAGCGCATCCAATACAAGTAGGGTGGAACTCCAGGAACTCGAATACCGTTCGATCCAGAACAGTTTCTGCGGCTTCCTATAACATGTTCGTCCAAGCGAGCGGGATCATTTCTTCGAACATCTACCGCAAGGGTAAGTTGGCTGCGTCTATATCCTCACCGTTTCATGAATATTGTGTGTTCTAACCTAGAATATAGATGACGCTCCAAACTACCCTCGTGGCAACAAACAATTACTTGCAATTGCAGTTGGAAACGTCGCTATCTATCTCCTCACTAAGGGGTTTTATGTCTGGCGTAATAAGCAACGCGAGAAGAGGTGGAACGCAAAGACCGAACTAGAACAGCTGGAGTACCTCGAGACTACAACTGACGAGGGAAATAAAAGGCTTGATTTCAGGTTCGCACATTGAACCGTAGCATAGTGGGGATGTGGGGGAATCAACAAGAAGTGGGGCGTGATAGGGGCACTGATCACTCGCACCCAGTTTGCGTCTGTCACAAGTCGTTATTTCTGGAAGCTTCCCTAGGTCTTTTTGGAAATGTCCACTACCAGTGAGACTTGAGCAGAGACACGGCTCATGGTTAGATTTATACAAGCTAAAGAACGACTGAATATCATCTCGACCAGCTCACGATCCTTGACAAAGTTCCAAGATTGTCCATGTGTTCGCTGGCACGTGGCGACCCACAAGTAACTGCCGTTTCAACCCGCTCACCTCCTCTCTCCAAACCCAAATCATTTCAAAACGCCTTCTTGGCTTGCTTTTACCCAAATGCTCGCTCACTCCAAAGCCTACGTAGTATTGGCTGACTTGCCGACGCCATCGCGGAACGTTAAGGATATTGCGGGGTCAGCCATTTATTATATGAGCGCTTGGATGTTCTACCCCTGCGGCTCATCCTTCAAAGCCGAACGATCATGTCAAATTTCTTCCAAATGCCCATTCGAACTTCACGCGAAATGAAAGCGATATACAAGAGCTTGGGGAATAGAATTGGGGTAGGTGCTCGTTGATATAATAACTTAGGGTGCGAAGCTGCCATTTCCTGGTCTAGTTCCATCACGCAACCATCTCTTCAAGTGAACCAATTCGGGTGAAAATATGAAGCTCGCTACTATCCTCGCTTCGGCTCCGTTTATCGCACACCAGGTGCTTGCGAGCTTAAACTGCACGGTCGTCGCACCAACCTTGACCCAGAAATTTTGCGAGTGGGATGGATGCCAGAGCTATGCGACTGCTACTGCTGGACAAATTGTTCACGCTGGGTGCCGTGCCGATTGCAGTACTGAACAGGAGTAAGTAGCTAGGTTGCTTTCCTGAGGGATGTGTTACTGATGGTGTGACAACAGGCCATGGCTTCAACTCTATGACGGAAGCTTCATCCGCGCGACGAACGAGACACTGAAAGGGTGTCGGTATCATTGCAAGCCTTACGCTATAACCGGTACGCTTGTTCTAGCACCTTCCGTATCTCTCTTGGGGCTCTATTCTCCTCGAAAAGTGTCTCCCAGACACCCTCGTGCTAACAAACCAAAGGCCTCCCATACTGCTTCCAAGAGCGCGCAAACTTCACCGGCATTGCTCCTGCCGCAAGCGTCTGCACAGTCTCTTCAACGTCTGGTCTTGCGAGTCAAGTCCCCGCACCAAAGACTCTGGGTATTGAGCCCCCAGCTTTCCCGAGTATATCGACCTTGTGCAGTTTAGGCATGACGGCGCCTATGCCACCTGCAACGCCAAAACCAGTGGCAAGGAAGTGGGATGCTTAGATCATTCGGGTTGGGAAGTTGGGGGGGTGAACGGACGAGTTGTGAAGGGCTTTTGCATACACCTGTACCTGCACCGAGATGTAAAACGCCTCATGGAGCATTTCATCCAACAGATCGAGCATTGCCCCCATTCCAAGAAATATTCGCTGTACACAGAACTTTCTAAAGTCTAGTTAAATATATGGAACAAACAATCTGCATCAACTTGAATCGTTTCCTATCAGCGTTCAACGTGGCTAGATCGTAGGAAGCCACCCACCTACGCTACCCATCATTCATGGATAGTACCCGAGGCTCCTTCAGGCATGAAACTAATCCTACTCGAGTAGTTTCGAGTGCCAAGAGGGTGAAAGGGTAGCGAAAGAGGTAGCGAAGCGAGCGTTCCACGCTCAATGTAGTTACGCAGACTATAATAAAAGAAAGGTCAAAAAATGGAGCGTCTAAAGCTAAGTTAAGCGCATTACTCAAAATTTAGGCGGGACGGCGTTAATAGAGAACTCCATGCAAGCTCGCTTGTCAACTGTTAACTGGGTTCAAGTGACCAGTACTGCTTCGCCAAGGATTAACTGTGGGTGCCTATAAGCCCACAAACAACCTACGCCCCCATATGAAACATTGGTTCCTATAGGAAAAGCGAATCAGGCTACAGGGAGGCAGTTAATGGGACAGGGCTTTCAGCTATCCTCCGTTCAAGCTCCCAAAGTAGTTGCTTTTAAACCATCTAATTGGCAGTCATACTGCCGTCTACAGTCAACTCTATTCCCGCTACCCACGCTGCATCAACACTCGCCAAGTAGACATCAGCTCTTGAGATATCTATCGGCTTGCTAACGCTTTGCATTAGTATCCATGACGCTAAATCCACCTAGCTTGCACGACGCGACATACCACTAAATGCAGATCCTAGGCTAAGGCTTTATGTGACTAGCCATATAGTTAGCTAGATGCCTGATCTCGGAATTAATCCTTCGGGGGTTACAGCGAAAGCAGCCTCCGTTCACATATATGCCTCATTGTCTAGCCCTCCAATCCGACGGAGAAGGTACCCTGATAGACAGGAATATTCTTGGCACTGGTGCTCCAAAAGACAACAAAATGTCTTGTTCATTGCGCCGAATAGCCTGTGGCTTCGCGTCCACTAACGGAACGTGAATATCAAGGCAGTGGTAACAGGAAACTTCTACGCAACCTACGAGCAAATGCCAGTATATTCCACTACCCAGACCCAGGCCCTCATTCCCCAAAATTGGCTATTAGGCTTAGTAATCCCGACTTCTCAATCGCTCCTCCCCAACCCTACCGCGGATCCCCACTAAAAGCCGGCCGAACACTAATTGCCCTCACCTTCGTCCCAAACCCCTTACAAACCCCTCTCTCATCTGGACTGACCCTCTCCACTGGCTCCCCTGTGCACGCCTCATCTCCCCACCCCAGCACTTCCCATGCACCATCTGCCAAAAGCTTAAAACTCTCGAACTGGTAATGATACTGTGGGAAATAAATAACGGGGACGTAGCAATTGATAGGGCCGTCGAAGGTCCAGACCGAGGACGAGGAGTTGCTACAGGTGCCGATCCAGGCACAGTAGTCGGAGCCGGGAGCCTCTCCCGGGGTGTCGGGACAGTGGGCTGTGCCACCGAAAGAGTAGGTGAAGGAAGAGGGGATTGGGTAGGGGTTGGGGTTCGGAGATAAAGGGTTGGTAGTTGGAGCAGTGGGGGCACCGGCGAGGTTGGAGAGGAGGTGGCCCGAGTAGAGAGAGATGTGCTCGTCTGGACGCATGTGAAGGTTAGGCCTTGGGGATTGTGGGGAGGTGCGAGGAGCTGAGAGAAACGTAGGGAAAGGGTTGAAGGAGAGTGTGGGGCTAAGATACCAAGATTCAGCGTCCCTACCCAGGAAGAAACATTCTTCTTAGACTGGTACGTTGTTCTACAATTGCAATTCAATGTGGCACCTCCGTTTATCAAATTGCATGAATTGCACGATCGGTCGAATCGCCCGCTATAGCTCACTCATATTAGCAATCCATCTATAATCAACCGATCACGTTGAAACTAATTCTGTCCCTCCCAACTCCTCAAATGACAACGGCTCTTTCCGAGCAAAATTCGAACTTACTCATTCTTCCACTTCAACTCCCCATCATCATTCTCTACTTTGTTTGCCATATATACTGCGCTCTTTACCCTCGTTGTCGCGTCCTCGCCCGTCAAACACTCGCCGATAAACCAGTTTTGTCGAAATTCGGTATTGATGCATTGGCTGCTTATCGTGGATAAGTAAGATACAGATCGTATGGAGGCCGATCCAGCTGGAGCAGCAGAGGCCCACGAGATGTGGAGCCCCAAGAGGGAGAAAAAAGCTGAAGGAAGCATGTCGCGCAAAGAGATGAGTGTGCGTGTAAGGAGCCTTGACTTATCTCGTTTGGTGCAACAGATTTCGCCAGCGACGCATGCCTACTTTAAGTATCTCTCAATCCTCCCCATATCTTGCGTGAAATGCACATGCTACTTAAAATTAATCCATTTATTGCAACCATATCAGCGACCCATGGCCTGAGGATTGTAAAATTCCAATTCTTTTCCTCAGGCGGGCAGTTCTGAAATTCAAACCAGTCCTCTGTGCTACACAAAAATCCTCACCATTGGCTATGTTCGAGTGTGGAGGATTCAACCTGCTATTGGAGGTAAGCAACAAACATTTTAGCCGCGATGTCACGTGTGGATCGTGGGACGAGGTCCCACAATTTAGATTAACGGGATTAGGAGAGGAATGGTACTTTGTTGGGGTAACTTAAAATGACAAATCCGTGTCGATGTCGTGTTGCGGCGCGATTTTTATGTGACGGACAGAGAGCACAATTGAGAGGATAGGCTGTAGCGGGCTGGATACGGTATGGCAGTGCTGGCTTTGAAGTGAGTCTGAATGAGCGAATGGGGTATGCCAGCCAAATTCGAATTCGGATGCGTGCATATAAGGATTAAAAAGCACTCCACACCACGCCATTGAGTGAATAACACGTTGATGCGCTTTCAGCCTTTCAAATAATCGCATAGCTAGGTAGGCAAACGCTCCAAACTCCTGGCCTTTCGAACAAGCGGTGGACTGTAAGGAAACTCAGCCAGAGTTGGCTGAGGCGTTCGTGGTACTAGGGAATGGATGGTGGAAAAGAGGGGGTGGGTGAAAGTAAAAGTTCCAACCTTCGAACAGAATCCAAATTCCAAGCTTCCACGATCCAAAATAAACCAGCTGCTAATAATGTGTGAATCGTCCAGATTTCCCGGATATAAAGCGCCGACTCCATCAGAATGTTCGTTAAGGCCTTTAGTTCCAAATGTCCAAGATAACTCCCATCCAATGAAATGCGTTAAAAATACAGATATGGGTCGCCCAAAAAGAAATGCAACGCGCACGATAGTGGTGTGCAGGTAATGTTAAGCTCCGCTGTAGGCCCGGCCATATGCGTAATATGTCGTCGCAGAAGCACTCAGAGCGTCAAGGGCCAGCTTCGCAGCTTCTTCGCGGCAGTGTTCAATATATCGGACATCTCGCCATAGGACTGCGCGATATTCGCGGCCTTGAACCCATACGCTGCTAGACCATGCTGTCCGTTTGCCTGGGCCGAAGATCAGAGGGACTGTATTGATGAAGTACTTTTAAACGAAACATCGCAGACTAACCTCGAGGATCGGAGAAGTCCTGCCATTGCGGCTGCTCGATGGAATTTTCGGTACAGAAATCTGGAGAGATAGGTTTTAGCAATTTCGTAACGCAGTGAAGGTGCAGGTGCAGGCATACCTCGAAGTTGCTGAGTGTAGGATGCAGAGCTCGGCCTGCTTGAAGCCATTGGAGCGATATAAAAGTAATATGTGGTTTCCTAGGGTCTTTGCCTTGAGGGCAGGTTGCACTTCGAAGCTGAGTTAAGATGACTCTACGTCGGACTAAGGAAAACAGCTAGGGCTCTACTCCCAGAGTTAGAGGCCAACCCATATAAGTTTTCTGCCCTGCAAGAGCCTCACATGCTCGATGGAACAGCAAATGCCGAACAGAGACGTAGCCTCGCCGTCACCATGTCATATGCAGGCAGTATTGCTGCGTGTAACGTCATGTTCCTTGGGGTGACTTAATTGAGTGGGCCACGTTGACGATGGCGATTACTTGAAACCCTGATTCGTTGATTAGTCGCGGTGAGGCATAAAACACAGTGCGAAATGGGACCTGTCAATCGGCGTGGCTGAGGGAAAATGAAGGACGAATGTGTTGCTATACTATGGAGTTCGCGCCCCCAACAGTGGGCTTGAGGGGCCAATGTCGTTGAAGGGTCCAGGCCGCTGGGACCGATTTACTCATTCGGGGCTATTTCGAGGAGGTTGAGGGATGTGTTGGCAAGGAGGACCAACTAGGTTTCTAGCAGGGCCAGCAAATTCCTGCAGAGAGGTGCCAGATGTGTCGTGCAGCTAGTGGACCAGCATGCCGTTCCCCGACCCACCATCGAAGGACCGCACCCCGCCTCGTGCCGTGCCGTTTCCGAACCATCTTATGACGGACCTTAACGTTAACGCTTTGTCAACTGTTCGTTCGCTTAACCCAGCTTGAGAGTGCCATGTGTTGTCCGGAACCCAGGCCGGACGAGATGAACGCAGTCAGCTCTGCAAGTCAAGCAGAAAAGAAATACTTCTTGATGCCCATCTTCGCGCGAGGTTCCGAATACGACGAGGCACAGCCCCCTTTCCGAGAATCATGGGAATCCTGCCCACGTGCAGGACCCGCAGTCCAGTTGCGTTCCTAGATCCAGGTCCCGCCTCATACGAATGCTAGGGCCATCCGTTCGCTCTCTGAGTTAAACATTCGCGGGAGTGCTTCGGGCCGTTGTGACATCTCAGTCACGGGTAGAGGCCTGAAGCGCAACGCGAAGTCAACTGAAGGATAAGGAGCTCAAGCTCGCCGCCATCTCGACAGCAGGACATCAGCACGTGAGGGCAGGGCCTGATCCTTACATTTGTTTGTTGTGTTGTTCTCTTCGATGCGTTGGCCACGAACATCTTGGAAAAGTTGCAGGATCGATGGCGTTGAAGGGCGTCTGTGACGTGGTCCTTCGAGGTGCAGCTTGCTGTGCCCCGCTTTGCAGCCTGCGTTCGAGCCAAGCCAAACTCAGCGACGCACGTGTTCCGGCGCAAGACATTCAACAGGGCCAGCTTTCTTCCTCAGCTCGAAAAAGGACTGCCAAGTCGACTTTCGATTGAGTGAACGGACCGATGACGACTCGTAAATACGTACTGCAGCTCACAAACAAGGGGGGGGAATATGATGTTGATTCCAAAGATGCAGCGCTTTTGATAACAGCCAAGATGCTAAATGGAGTTCCAGACAGACAAAGCCCCCACCTGGTGATGAGAAAGAAGGGGATAATTATTTACAAGAAGCTCTGGAAATCCAGTTGCGATACCGTAGAGACGCCTACTGGCACTGCGAGTAATACGGGTTCAAAACACTGCACGTCGATCCTGAAGCACACGTCGTGCAGCCCGTGTACCCATTCCCACCACACTGGCCATACTTCGCGATAGCAGCGCATCCTCCAGTGTTTCCGCCATTGCCGCTCGAGCTCGAAGTCGTGGGCTTCACAGCTGTAGCGAGGGTGGAAGACACAGCGACCTTGGTGGCCGAAGGCTGTGCTCCTCCTGTTGCAGTGACGACTGAGCCAGCCTTCCCAGCAATAGCCTCTGTTCCACCAGATATGACAGCTGGGCCAGGGGCAACGTATGTGCTAAGAGGCTGGTAGATGTTGATCTGAATTCCTGGGTCTGCCGCTTTGTAGGCACCGGGGAAAGACACTCCTGAAGGTGTCGATGAACCACTACCAGTAACAGTGATTTGATAGCAAGTAATATAGAATTGGGCTCCTCCTGCCGATGAGGCAGCGTGGAGAGCGATAGCTTCCGCACGAAGGAGATAGTCGCCGGGGGCAAGATTAGTGGGAATCTTGACATCCATCTTTCCGCAGTTGAGGTTAAGATCCTTCGTTCCCCAATAGTCGTCCGAGCCCTGCGATGTCGAAGAAGCCTTCCCCCAGGTATCCTCAAAGACTTTGAAAAAACTGCTTGATCCGTCGGCGGTTGATGCATCACTAACTTTGCTCATGTAGACGAGGACGGGTCCGTAATGCGCTCCACCGATGGCTTCGTTCGCACATGACCGGTCACCTGGCTGTTGATGCATTTCGATAGTGACAGTGTCGCCCGGTGCTACGCTGCATTTTGATGCCGCGACGCCTTGGTTGATGTTGCCTTTTCCTAGAATTAGCAGAATTACTTGAGGGAAATTGCTGGGACTGACATCGGATATTGTTGCTTGTCACGTCTTGAACGGGATTGTTACTCGTCGGAAGTCTCGCACAGGTGCCACCGTGGAGGAGTGTCAGTGCTATAGGCCGGCAATCGTGCTGGGAGTACTTATCATGTCCTTGCCATTGACCCAAAGATCTTGAAATGTAGCATGGCTAGCCACACTCTGTGCCAAAGCCGCTACACTAGTGAGAATAATTACACTCTTCATGGCGGGATATGAACTGAAATAGCCAAGAAACTTGAATTCGGTAAGAAAGCTGTAGGATCCACCTCTCAACCATGGGAACCGGTCTGCGAGCTTTATATCCCCAGGCCATAACTAAAGGTGAAGGCATAAAATTCCACCGTGTGCCAGGTCTAGCTGCCCAGATGTTCCGGATCTAGAGGGGCAAATCTCAAAGGGGGGCCGCTAAAACGTGATGTTTGGTTGAAACGACTTCGCATGACCTCAAAATAAATTAAGAAACGAAAGCTTGTCGTGGATATGGACCGGGATGCTCTTCCCCACAAACGGTCCTGCGGGCCAAGCGGGAAATTTCCCGGCTGTGAAACATGTCATTCGATTGGCGCGAACGGTATTCGTGCCTGAAGACAGACATCGTGATTTAGCAGGTGGCGCTGCGTGTGCGATTTCGCTTGCATTTCGGTCATGCCAGAAAGGAAAATATTTGATATTCCAGGATATAACACGGTGCTGCCTAGACTGATGGGGGAAAGCGACCACCGGATAAAAAGTCTCTCGTCGACCTCGATTGAGACCGAACCGGAAGCATCGTTCAACCATGTGTATACGTGGCGCCTGAAAATATTGGAATATTCGCGTGAAAGGAGATCTTCGACAGATTAATCGAGAATTGAATCACGTAGTCGAATAGACGAAATTCCGTGCAACTGGTGGAATTCACTGGTGAAGTGCAACACTACAGAATTGCAGTACGTGGTCTGTGTGTTGGAGGTAGTGGTGGTACAATATGTTCTTTCCTGGTTTCGATCCACCATGTACCGAACTACCAGGCTTGTGGCGTCGTTGCAAATTGGGGGACAATCTGTTTATATTGTGGTTGATTTGAGTTAACGACGCCATGTCGCAGGTGCCGGGGTTCTCCAGGTTTCGACCTCGGCATGGGCCGTTGGCTACGGCGGACTGTTGGCGGAACATTCAGCCTGAATTCCGTCCATCACAAAAGTAAGTTGAACATGACGAATTGGGGATTCTGCAAAGGTCTTGCTAACAGCGCTTTGGATGGATGTACCCACCACTGACACATTAAGCTGCAATGGGAGATATTGGCTGCGAGGCTATGTTGTTTTATGGTAAGACACACGAGGGAGAATCGAGTTGTAGCCGAAAATGAGGAAAATTCTAGGGTGCAAAAGCCAGTGAGCCGTACGATACAAGATGGCAGCGGATCGTGAACAGAAATAGATGATGCCGCACAGAATACCACGAGGCTTACATGGCGGGAAATGGATTATCTGCAGGGCACTATGTAGTCGCTAAGACGACATCTGTCCGGAAGAAGTCGTGCAGGTACCTCTTCAAAACCTATCAAGGTAAGAGGCTGCTCATAGCTGCACGGGGAACTGTGTCGTCTCAATCTTCTCTGGATAATGGAGTCCACCCTGCTTTCTCACCTCGTCCATTACCTCCATGATGAGAATGCTCTCTGCAAGTCCCTCGTACTTGCCCTCTTTCCTTCCCTCAACCAAGGCAGTGGCCGCCTCGTCTGCTTCCCAGAACATACCGTGGCCTTCGCCTTCGGAGTTTTTGCCTCCAGCGAATCCGTTATACCAACCACTGCCCTTGCCAGGGCCTGGCTGTAGCCAACTCTTGTCCTCGATAGTTCCATCACTGAGGATGAGCTTTGTTCTCGTTGGTCTGAACGCAGGGGGGAAGACTTGAATCTCTCCTTTCGGGCCCTGAATGCGGATACCCGGCGTGTCTCCATTGCCACCAGGCGCTGTGGCGACGCGGAGAGAGGTGGTGGCGACGGCATGAGCGTCTCCGCCTGCTTCGGCAGAACGTGGGAAGCTCAGCACAATAGTAGTGGTCTCATCAGCCGCTTTTGTGGCATCATAGGACTTCATCACTGCCAGCACCGCTGGCGGTTTCCTCGCATTTTCGGGCTGAGTGTGGTAGAGTGTCTGGAAGACCCACGTAAGGCTGTAGATGCCGAGATCGAGCAGCGCACCTCCCGCGAGGTCCGGATTTACCATTCGGTGCTTCCCGTCGCTCCATGTTGCTTCCGGATTTGACGCCATGCTGTTGTCGGCAAGCACGCGGGCCACGGGGCCAATCCGTCCTGAGGTAATGACATCACGCACATATATCGACAGAGGGAAATACCGGGTCCAGACTGCCTCCATTAGGAAGAGGTCCTTCTCTTTGGCCTTGTCTGCCAGAGCCTTTGCTTGGGCGGCGTTGACGGTGAAGGCCTTCTCACACAGTACGTTCTTGCCTGCCTCGAGACACAGCATAGCATTCTGGTAATGGTGCGAATGCGGCGTGGCAACATATACAATGTCGATGTTAGGATCCTTCACCAGCTCATCGTAGGAGCCATATGCCTGCGCATCAGCCGGGCAGCCACAGTCCTTGAGGAATTGCTCAGCACGGGACTTGGACGAGGACGAAGCAGCCGCAACAACGGCATGCTTGACATGCGCGACACCGCGGGTCTTCGGGTCGACGAGGAGGTCTTTCGTACTGCCAACTGTCAGTTTATAATAATGACGGCACGTACAGCGGGCAGTTACAAGGTAACGGCAATGGCGCCGGTCGCAAGGATGCCCCAGCGAATCGTCTTCGGGGAAGACATTGTTGCTGCTGAAGAAGGATCTCAACTTGAGCGGGGAAGGCGTAAGAGATATTTGACCTTTCTCTCCACAGATGCCTGACATAAGGTTGCGTCGCAGCGGCCCGTGATGTCTTCACTTCATCCAATGCAACCACAAGAACTACCGATGTCGGCCGAATTTGCCCCGATTGCACCCCACTTTCGGCCAATCCATAGGAACCCCATGGTAGAAGGGCAAAGTGGAGGTTGCAAGAAGCGTGAAGAGATGCGTCAACCACTGAGAGTGAGGAGTGATGGGCGCCGGCTCCTGCGGGGGTTCCTGAGGTCATCCAGTGAACACTGTTGCCAAGCCGCTCGAAAGAGGAGACTTTCGCCGACCATTACCTTCTTACTTTGCACGCACATTCATCGCATCCACCTCACGTTTGTCTCTCCTTCCACTCTTGCTTTTTAAGCTTGGTCGCGAGTGCATTGCTAAGGCTTAATTAACCATAAATTTAAGCACCACTAGATCTGAACTGCCACTCCCCCTCTCATTGGTACACGATATTGACATGCATATCATCACGACTCAGCCAAGTCGATCTCTGCACAGCCTCATCGAGTCGTCGCTAATCTTCCCTTTCAAGCACTTCTCTTGGTTCAGGAAGGCGGATGCATCTCTCAAAATGCTCCTCAGATCAACCCAGCCTAGTCCCGCAACATCCTTCTGTTTCTTGCTCAACGCTGCGGGCGCTTGGAATAGCGAAACCCCTTTTCAGCATTCCTGAAGGATGGGAGCCAATCTATCTGACTGTCTCGGCACCGATTGTGGTCCCTCGCCACTAATGAGGTGCTCTCGGGGCTTAGAGTATATCTGCGCGCCCATCTTCATGGATCTCGTGAATTCACATAAGCTCCCCTTCTTTTGGCACGGTCTTTTTTTCAGGAGATACTGGCAGTATCAGAAACATGCGGACTTTGTTTCTTCTCTGTGCTGTGCTTCCCACCCGGTTAAGTTTGGCAGAAACAAGCGAAACGGAGGCTCGAAACCGGATATGGTACCCCGCCGTACAATCTCCAATACAAATGATCTTGAGCGGTTCTCTCGATATCGACCCTTGGCACCCGTCAATAGTCCCAAACATTGGTATCTATGACATTGATCTCTTCGACAACTCCAACGACACCATCCGCCTACTTCACAGGCTCGGGAAGAAGGTAGTGTGTTACTTCAGTGCCGGTACGGCAGAGGATTGGAGGCCAGACTTTGGGAATTTCACAGAAAGCGATATGGGCGCAAACCTTCCGCTGTGGCCAGGGGAAAGATATCTCAATATTCGGAGCAAGAATGTCTGGAAGATCATGGCCAGGCGTCTGCTCCTGGCAAAGCAGAAAGGGTGCGATGCAGTTGATCCTGATAACATTGGTAAAGGCTATTCGCCTTGACACATTCACCGTGACCTGATACTGATCTTCATAACATAGACGTCTACTCCAACCTCAATGGGGGTGGCGTCAAACCCCCTATCACCGAGCGCGATGCCATCCGCTACTTACGCCAACTCTCTAGCTTCTCGCATCGTCTAGGAATGTCCATTGGCCTAAAGAACTCGCTCGAGATTCTCCCCTTCGTTACCAACAATGTTGAATTTGCAGTTAATGAAGAATGTGTGCTGAACTCTACCTGCGGCAAGTACTCTAAATTCACAAGTCCTAGCCGCGGCAGCATCGGCAAAGCAGTCTTTCATGTCGAGTACGTAAACTATACCGACCCAAATGCCAAAGACACCGGGCCTGTGGCGAGGCTGGCTAGAGAAGATCAGGAACGGCCACGGCCCAGTTCAACTTCGTGGAATATCACGGCGTTTGCATTCCCTGGTCTAACGAACGACACGCTGCGCAGAAAACTCTGTTTACAAGATGTCCCGGGTTCTGACAAATTAAAACTCAGCACTTTCATCAAGACTCTAGACCTTAATGGATGGATCATGTGGTGTGATGGCCGTGTAGAAATCACCAAGACCAAAGCAGTCGAAGTGCCCGAGGTTCCGCCAGCCGGAAATGGAACAGAGCCAGTAGACAGCGAGACTGAGCTGGAGAAACAGTTAGATGCCGATTTACAGGGTGTTGTGTTTCCAACGCCGACGGGTGCGATCAAGGATAGGAGACCCGGGCCTAGGTATTTAAGGGGTGTGCACAAAGCGTTGTAATAAAGTAACAGCAGTGGAAATACCACGCACAGATCTTATTAACTATTCCGAATCCACAAAGCCTTCTACATGACCTACGTCAACTGTCCTCGTTCCATGTCTGCCAAGCATCCCAGCTACCTTCCGTTCCGTATTATCTCAACTCCCTCCTGCCTACGCGTCTCCACCCTCACCCAAAGCCCCGCCTTCACCCTCCTCAAAAGGCGAATCCCTCCTCCCCTCCTCCAACGTCTTCCTCGCCGTCTCCAGGCTCAGCGAAACCAAAACAGGAACCATATTCTCCTCATAAGCCCTCCTCATCTCCCTCCACTCCTCTATCGATGTTTCAATAAAGTCCAGCGCCAACAACGTATCCACAGTTCATGGGCCCGACTCCTCGATTACATCGCGGAAAGCGTGCGCAAGTACGAAGAGCTCTGTGAAATGGGTGAGGGCGAGAATGTAAGCATCTGATATAGCTTGGATTTGGAGGTGTGAGGGAGGCGCGTGTTTGGAGGTTAGTAGGGCTTTGTTTGTGTGGGTGGAGCCGATGTTATCGGCGTTCACGTCGGTGTTTGTGGTTTTGGATTTCTTAAGGAAGTCTTCGAAGTATGTGATTTGCGCGTGAATGGTTTCAACTCCGTGGTTGAAGCCCTTGAAGGTGGTGATAGTGTTTTGCATGGTCTAGGTGTTGGTTGAGCGAAGGGGGGCTTGTGACATGGCGTGAACTTGGCGGAAATTTGGAACAAGGTTTATAAGGTGTGGTTGATGAGGAGTTTCAATCGGATTCTAGATGAAGCAGTATGTCTTGCTTGGGTAAATTGAATGGAAGAAAGGGAATGGGTGAAGGCACGTTGTGTAAGGCTTCGTGGAGGTGAAGAGAAATCATTCCGTGGTATGTACAATATCATCCGCGTTGTCTTGCACTGACACTAAAGAACTCCGAATCAATAGCGGAATGGGCGCCAGAGTAGCTGAAAAGTAGACGGTGATTCAGAACTAGGTAAAACCATGCAAAACCACCATAAGACGAGCTAACGCAAATGATACAAATATACATGCCTACTACATGCATCTTCTTGAGGCTTTGTCAGTTGTAGAACACCAAGCACCTCACCTCAATCGACTGCCTCCCAGGTGCATTTTCTGGTGTGTTGGGATCCATGAACGCCGTATGCGGCGTCCTCAATGCCAAACCAGGCACGCCCTTGTCCATTCCCTCTCCCCTGGAATCAAAGCACTTGAGCAACATAACCTCCTCTGGCGTCATATCCTTCATATAATAAAACAGATGGCTCTCACTTGGCGCAACACTCAAAGTCTCGCCCCGAACCTCATATCCATCCGTAGCGTCGTGGGAATTCGGATCCGGGAGTTTCTCCTTCCCGCGATCATCATCATCGCAATCGAAACTATCGCGCTTCGGATACAAGAGGTCCACAGGGATAAAATCCTCGGGTTTCGTAGACCGCCAATCGATCACTGCAAGTGGGAAATCTGAGGCCGGATTCTCAATTGGCCGCCAGACATTAATGATTTGATATCTACCCTTCAGCAGTGCGTCCGCTTGGTCTCCAGGTACATGTCGTCGAACCCTGGCTTCCGCGGCGCCAGGTGTTTGGTCAACGTGGACTTGCTGAACCGGCTGCCGAGGGAAATTCTTCATTCTTCGACGTATCGTATGATCAAATATCACGACTTTCTTGACACCGGCCAGCTTCTCACGTAGCAGCTTCTCAACTTCGCAGTAGTATCCGTTTCGCACTGCGGCATCGTCTGTGAAGAGTTTCTCCGTAGCCGGGTATTCATACACCGCGAATCCGGAGTTGTCAGTAGAAAACTCGCCTTCTCTGCCCCGCAGGTTTTGCACGCTTCGAACGTGAGAGAGTTGGGTGAATGAGGTGCCGGGGCCGTCGACTTTGTTCCAGGGTTTCCCTTGGTAGGAGTTAGTGTCGATATGCTTGAAGGTTGCGGTAGTCATATTTGCGATAGGTGAATGAGTGTGAGGAAGAGTATGGTGGGAGATTGGAATGGTGATACGATGGTGAGTTTTCATGTACCGAACCTTGAAAGAACTGGAGGGTTGATTTATAATTTGAGGTGACGCCATCCAGATTGGCCCGAGTTAGGACGGCAAGCTGGCGGGGTCGGCTATCGGCCAAGGTTACCAATCTGATCATACCTGTAAGCGCGCAAAACATTATTGGGATTCATCTAGCTATTTACGGTTCAAATAGTCACTTAGGAGGCATTTACGTTCAGCGTCGTGTACCTGCAGCCCTTATTACTTCTGCAATGTGCTCAGCAATGCATACCCAAGGAAGCAATATAGACTTATACCCCCATATCCTATTCCATCCAGATCCTTCCTTACCCCTAACATCGCCAACGCCAACGCCAACATCCAGATTTCGCCTGGCTAAAGTAATCAATCTCAACTTCTCTAGCCCAAGTGAAACTACTCCGTTCACTACAGCTCCTGCTCCCATCTATACCACCGAAATGTTAAGCCGCAAATCAAATTCCCCTTAACCTCTATCAAGCAGCTCGCAACTTCTAAACTGCAGTCTCATACAGTCTCAACACAGCCTCTTGCTCCCTAACACATACTATAAAAGCTTCTACACACAACACCCCCGACCTCACTATCTACAAGGGGTTCATAACCATATCTTACTCTGCCATCAATTTCCCAAATCCAAGCTTCGCAGATTGGAAAAAGGGAGGTTAGCGGAGTTTAAGAACGGGGGCGACAGTTGAGGGTCTAGTTGAGGTACGGCAGAAGAAGCATGGGGCGGAACATTGGTTTTGCATAAACATGGGTCGCAGCTCTAGGATTAGCTTCAATTGAGATGTTGCCTTCAAAAGGGTGCCCTTGGAATGAAGCTGCGAGAGTGTAGCGTTGCCCACGACTACCAGCAAGATATGGATGTTGCCTGGGCACTTATGTGTAATGGGGTGCCGCATGATTCTCAGGTTTAGTTTTGATGGTTGGGGTTGGAGGAGGGTAAGGCGGTGGTTGCCCGACTGGCCAGATAGGCGAATTTCAGAGGTCCTAACTTATCGGTGGCAGTTAAGAAGGTTGGTCGGCAAGCGAAGTTAGCGAGAGCTTGCATTCTAGTTAGTAAAAGGGATGGCGTCAGCTGAACGAGTTAGGCTGTTACGCGGCTGCCTCCCCGTCAGGTACGGGTGGCCGGTACGGCACCAAAGTGCTTGGATTGATTCCCTGATCGCCGGAATCCTCGCCATTTCAACAACAAGCGGGAAAGTAAATGACTGAGCTGTGGACCTGATTCTTGCGGTTGTGGTCGCGGAACGGTTCACTTGCCAAAGATGAGAGACAATTCAATGATAGAAAGGAGTTTTGTCGGCGACGAAAGTGATGGTGAATTGTATGTTTATTATGACGATTCTGATGATTACGAAGAGGGTAAGTTCAGTGAACTCCATAAGTTCAAAAGTGTGACAATACTGAGTGTAGTGATGGACTCGTAAGGTAGCGATAGCCTGAATGGGTTGCTGGGCGAGAATACAATTGTGTTGACCTGAGTCCAGAGAGCAGCCCTGGATCTCTACGGACGAAGCCATGTGGGGGCGGTGTATGTGTGCAAGGAAAGGATGCACGAACCTAAAGTGAAGCCGTGGTAGGAAAGGACATGGAAATGGACTTAGAATTTGTAACCCTCTGCCTTCCTAGTGCAGTCCGGCGAAATTGGCTCGCTAGTCCAACTCGAGAGGACTGTGCATGGCGAACTAAGGCCAAATGAAAGCAAAACTTCGCAAGCCCTTCTCGCGTATATGTACTGTTCAGAAGCGAAGTAGACCTATCCAGGCACTTAGGTAGCAGAATAGAGCCTGGGTGCTGCTCACTGGCACTTGCCTTGGTGATGTTGAAGGGCGTAGGCGAAGGTAAGTGCTTCCCAGCGGTGGAAGATAAGGTGGGTCGAATGGCAGAAAATTAGCGGATTTAGCATATTGCAAACATCGACGAGATTCTTGGCGCTCTGCCAGATTTGCTCCTCTCCCCTTCAGATTTCTGATGACAACGACGACGCAATGTAAGTCTATAAGGGTCCTATAGTATCGTCTCTCCTATATGTAGAAATCACTCCCTTTGTTTTTAATTAATATTGTATTGTTGCTGAGATTTGAGAGGGCTCGCTTAATAGTCTTGACAAGCGCAAATGCACACAGAATTCTTGGAGTTTTTGCAAAATTTTACACATCTGCTCTTTACAGCAGCATCTTTTTTTAATATAAAATATAGATGTCAATATTATAGAGAGAAGAGCGTATAGAGTTATGGGTATTCTTTTTTATTAAGAAATATATTTGCGTTGCTGAGATATGAAAGAAAATGTGCTGGGTGAAATGCAAGGCTCGTAGAGCGCCAAGAATTCCGTCGATTTTTGCACACACTAAATACGCCCGGCAGCAGTGGCTAGGCACCAAGTGGACAAATCTCATCCCAGTTCCCAGAACCAGAAGATGTCTGCTCCATTTGAATCACTCCTACCTGCCAGTGCCTGCCTACGTAGAATGCAACGGTCCTACGACCACAGCGAGGATGAGCCCCTAGTGGACTCAACCGGCGCTCTGTTCCTGCGTTCAAAGCGCACCGAGCGTATGCAACGAAAACGGGCAACCCGCGACAGGAAACCAAAAGCGAAGGCGTCATTATCAACCCTCCCTACGGAGCTCCTTCTAGAGATCCTGAATTATCTCCAGCCCAGCCATGTCTTTCGCTTCGCCCTCGTGGACAATCGCTTCCGTTCTGTCGTCCTCGCCAACTCCCAGCTTATTGGCCACCAGATCATCAGCCGTCGCTACACCCTCCTTGCCAAGTGTTTTCCTCTCCCTAAGTTCCTCTCCCAAGTCGACCCCTCAATCCAGCCTTTGCTGCTTGATACAAAGCAGCAGAAGAACCTGACTCTTCATACCCAGCCTTACCAGCATATTCACCCACCCAATCCTAGCCTCCTCTGTACTTGCCTTACCTGCGTCTTGACTTGGAACAACTTAGGTCTCATCCTGGACTTTGCCCATTGGCAGTATAACCTCGACGTCGGCGAACCAATCCCCATACTCCCCCGTGGCCAGGCTGTAGAATGGAACCAGTGTCTTATCGAGCGCAACGCGAAGATTGTCCGAAAGGCACTGGACAACTCGCTATGGTATGCTCGCATCCTGGAAACACATTTAGATAGCACTGTGCGGTCGATACGGAGGCACCAGGCAAACAAGGGCAATAAAAGGAAGCACGTGGACATGACGGTTGAGGATGCTGCTAGGGGCACAGACATGTTCCTATCTCGGAGTGGCCCGACCAGTCTCGAATTCCCACATAACCGAGACCTCTATTACATGCTGTGAGTGTACCATGTCTTTTTTGTCCACATCTGCTAATCTTGTCTAGCGAGGCTTACCTACCAAACAGGTGGTGGAGGAAGCAGGAGGAAAGGTGGATATACACCATCGCTGGCCAGCATGATCGAGACCTGGATGTCGTCGTTCGATTCGCACAAAGGTTCTAAAGCTTTCCATAAATTAGAAGAATTGCATCGGCCCAGGTACCTCACTCTGACATTCTCTGCGCTAGCGAGCCCTGCAATGTTGGCCTTGCAGGCCTTATCTTTGCCTCAAGACGCTGGCGTAGTGGTAACGTTTTGTGAACTTCCCGGGCCCCACTGCAGTTCATAGTTTTCAGGAAATCTTCCCGCAATCACAGATCTTCCTGAACAAGGACACTTGGAGCGCTTGATTTCCTTGCTAAAATTACAGCTACTCATGACAGATTACGCCTTAAGAATGTGCAGGAGCACAACCGTCTTGGACCTTCTCTCCTATCTTCTCTTCCAGTATATGTGACTGTTAGATATGTTTAGCTAAACCTTAGTCTCATACGCAATTCGGAAGAGAATGTATTATGGTAAGTCGAGATATATCCCCGTCTTCGCCTCTACCCCACCTACGCAAGAATCCAGCCCCAACCTGCGTAATTTCTGCCAAGGACATTCAGCTTCGAGATCTACAAGTTAAACCTGACTCTAGGTCTTTCCGCGGTTTCCTGCACTTAAGCTCTTCTATGGTGCGCACGAAAGTCTGTGTTGGCAATTGACGGCTCTTCAATTCCGATATCGGAAAAATGTCGGAATTGTTCCGTTGTAACATTGACACCCTCTCCCAACAGATTACATTTAAACTTGACCTAATACAGATCCCCAACCCCCTCCCGATAATGTGCCTTTACCAGTCATTTCCAATCTTCATGGATCCACAAGCGAAAAGGAAATGCGTTAACAGTTCTCCGTTGCTCAACTATCGGCCAACAGCTTCCCCTCAATTCTTCGGGATATCGGCAACCTAACTGCACACCCTTCAAAAACGACACTGTGCCCGGAAATAATTACTCATTTTGCAACATCTAGCATTCACCAGGCAAAGCACGACATCGCGTTACAAGCAAATGTAAGGATGGAAAAAGCTGAGGTATCAGACCTGCACTCAGGCCCGAGCACCACAATCTCACTAGGGGCTGAAGGACCTCAAGTACCGAAAACGAGACCCGCGACACCTACGGCTATTGAACGAGTGGTTTCTCATTTGACCATGCGGTCAATCGCGAATCCTGGTCCACCTCCTGATGGTGGCCTTCAAGCATGGACTCAGGTCTTTTGCGCCTGGCTTGCTATTCTGAATACATGGGGCTTTGTGAACTCTTTTGGAGCTTTTCAAACATACTATGCTTCTATTCTTCCTCAGAGCAACTCCACTATATCCTGGATTGGGAGTACCCAGGCTTGTCTTATGTTCCTTCTTGGCACTTTTTCCGGTCGCGCTCTCGACGCTGGGTTGTTCCGTCCAACTATTATTATTGGTATCGCCTTCCAGCTAGTAGGCATATTTACGATGAGCCTGGCGAAGAATTACTGGCAACTCCTCCTTACTCAAGGGATATGCACTGGAATCGGAGGAGGAATCTTCTTTTGTCCAGTGATGGGTCTGGTTTCGACATATTTCGCCAAGAGAAGAGGCATGGCTATTGGCATCGTCACTTCTGGGAACTCCGCTGGAGGAATCATATACCCAATCGTAGTCCGCCAACTTCTCGATAAAGTTGGATTCGGATGGACAGTTCGTGTTTTAGGATTCATTAACGTTGTTTCTTTGGCTGTCGTCATTGCCTTCATGAAGCCTCGACTTCCACCCCGAAGGACGGGACCGATCATAGATACAAGTGCATTCACGGACGTTCCATACATACTTCATGTGCTCGGTACCTGTTTCCTAATGCCCCCGGTTTATTTCGCGTTCTACTACGTACGCCCACTGTCTCCTTGCCTCTTTCTAAACCCTAATGACATCACCAGATTGCATCTTTCGCCCGTGACGAACTCCACATGCCATACGCGACCTCTCTCAACCTCGTCATGATCCTCAATGGCATCGGCATTCCCGCGCGCGTCCTCCCAGGCTACATCGCAGACCACTACATCGGCGTGCTAAACACCTTCTCCTGCTGCCTGCTCCTCAGCATCATCATGCTCTGGGCGTGGCTTGGCATCCACTCCATCGCGTCCTTCTACGCCTTCACCGCCATATACGGGCTTGCTGCCGCTGCGTTTCAATCGCTCTTCCCTACATCCATTGCAGCACTGGGTAATGATATTATGAAGACGGGAACCAGACTTGGCATGGCCTTTACAGTGATTTCGTTTTCAGCATTGGTAGGGGGCCCTATTGCGGGTGCGCTGCTGAAGGCGGCTGGAGGAAGCTATGTGTCCCCTATTTGTTGGTCGGCGGCAAATACAGTTGTGGGTATGGCGTTGTGTGTGGCTGCGAGGGTGTGGAAACATGGGTGGGGGTGGAGAACGAGGTGTTGAAAAATCAACAGAAATATTATTGCTTTAGAATATGGGACTGATTACTGGTATTTCATAATAGATGCTAGAAGGAACTAAATCTAGGAATTGGAGGTGGTGACATCACGTGCCCCGCTCATTCTCTGCCTATACAAGCTCGTAAGCCTAGAGGTCTCGCGGAATACATAAAGGCGGCCTTGAAACAGACTAGTCAAGAAGAGAAGAAATTTTATATCCATATCTACAAAGCCTTGTCAAAAACCACGTGCAATCTGAAATCGTCTAAGCTTGGCTCGGTCCAAGCCCCGCTCTTAGAACGGACACTTTCCACGGCGCTTCTGCGCGTCTTCATCATCAATTCATCTATAAACTCAGGTACCGGACCAATGATCAGCCGAAACCCCTCGAGGCTCAATTGAAAGCCTGGAAGCTGGGGTGATTTTCGCCATGGAGGGTGAGTGCTACTTAAGCTTCGCTGGTCGCGCTGGTGGACAGCACTAGCAACTGACACTTGTTTGACGATGCTTTCATCATGGTGAGGGACCTCGCATATGTCCCAAGGCCGGAAAATTTAGAGCTAACAACTAATGTAGCGTTTCATGAATATTTACTCAATTGCGATCGTCACTGCTTTTGCAATTGCACGGCCAAGGAATCCGACAGATTCTTCGTTCGATGCTGTGGTTGACAGAGGCTCTTTCGAAATCCCGTCTGCGAATGTCCGACCCAAGTTTCGCTACTGGATACCCGACGCATCCGTCAATGTCGACATTGTTGCACGGGATGTGAAAGCCGTGAAAGATGTTGGGTGTGGAGGCCTCGAGCTGCTTGGTTACTACTTGTATGGCGGCCCGCCTTCGAATGGTGCCGGAAGAGGAACGTATGCGCCGGTGGATTGGGCGAAGTATGGGTTTGGGACGACGGCTTGGCGTGGGTTTATGCTTGCGCTCTGCTTGGGGATGGATTAATTGCTGACTGGCATATGCAGATACTGTCTTTAAGGCTTTCGTACAAGCGCATAAGGATAATGACCTAATTATGGACTTTGCTATGGGACCGAATCAGGGGACAGGAGTACCGGCGCCGATTAATAGCGAGGGTTTGATGTGGGATCTTTCTGCGTACAATGCCACGGTTCCCATGGGAGGGTCCTTCAATGGGTTACTTCCAGGTTGGGGAATTGGAAAGCTACAGGCTGCAGTTTCCGGGACCGTGTTGAGATCACAGAAATACACCACCAACGACTCGCCTGGTGGACTTCCAGGAGATCTTCCACTGGCTCGAACACAGTACACTCTCTCTACAGAAAGCCTCACTGATGTGACGTCTCAGGTTGATGCCTCCGGCCACCTTCATCTCGACTTCTCATCGAATATGACCGCGACAAATGCTACAGGACAAAATCACATCGTCTTTGCCATCTACCTCATCCAATCCCATTACCGCGCCCAGCAAGGGCCTCTCGAGATGAAGGGTCCCCAAACCGTGTCTGACTCTTACATCAATAACGGTTCTTGGGCCGTGGACCACTTCTCCGCTCTCGGCGCCCGCACAATGACGAAGTTCTGGGAAGACTACATTCTCAACAATGGCACGCGCGAACTATTGCAGCAGGTTGGGAACTACGGTTGGGAAGATAGTGTGGAGATCGAAGCGAACGTTTACTGGACAAAGAACTTCTCGGCCATCTTTGAAGCGCAGAATAAGTATTCGGTGAATAAGTGGTTACCAGTTCTATTCCATCGTAACGGACATTATAAACAGTCGAATCCTGGGGTTTGGTGGGTCACGGATGAGGCGGATATGGGGAGTAGTCATATTGCTGATTATAGGGCGACGGTAAGTGTTGTCTGGTAAAATTTGTTGATGTTACTGACGAATGAAGCTCGCGTCTCAATATCAGGTATATGAGTCGGAAGTCAATAAGTGGGTGGAGGAATATTTGAATTTGCAGTTCTCGGCGCAACTCTCGTACAATCTTCCCATGGATATGGTGTGTATCACCGGGCGGTATGTGATTAGAAGTTTACTAACGGGACTTTTAGCTTGCGAATATTCCATCTGTGGGTGCGCCAGAAACTGAATCTCTTGACTTTAGTGATTTGATCGACGGGTATCGACAGTATAGTGGTCCCGCCAATCTCGCACGAAGGCGGATTGTCTCTTCAGAATGCGGAGCTGTACGTGGTGAAGCATATTCCCAAACTCTTCCCGAAATTCTCTGGAAAGTTAAGCGCTCATACGCGGGTTCCGTTAATCAATTTGTGTTTCATGGATATCCATACTCAGGCGAAGTATGTGTTTCGCACCCAAACCCCAGTGGCAGTTGCATGCACTGACTTGTTGTAGTATGGTAACACCACCTGGCCAACATGGTCGACGTTCAATTATCAGTACTCGGATATGCATGGCCCACACGAACCTGCGTGGGAATTCTACCGAGACCAGATTGACTACATTGCGCGCAATAACTGGGTATTCCAAACGGGCATTCCTCGAATGGATCTCGCCATCTGGCAGAAAATGACAGTATACCCTGGCCATATACAATTGAGGACGTACGAGCCCACAGATTTGGAGCAGATGGGATATTCGTATGAGTACCTGAGCCCTGACAACCTCAATCTTCCAGCTGCGAAAGTCGTGAACGGAGTACTAGCACCAGACGCACAAGCATTCAAAGCACTGGTTGTGCGAGCGAACGATTCCTTAACCCTCGGTGGTGTCAGCAAGCTCATCGAATTTGCAAATGGCGGTCTCCCCATCGTTCTTGCAGGAGGGGTACCAACAACTGTTCTCGGGACTCTAGCTCCTACGGTCTATCGACAAGTCATGCGGGACATGGATGCAATGACCCAGCTTCCCAATGTCCACATAACTTCTTCCTACCTCGTTGCATCCACCGTTGCCTCGCTAGGTATCAAGCCGCTCACCAAAATTTCGACGAACGCGACTTGGTACACGTACTGGCGCTCGGATCCATCATCCAACATCGACTTTGTATTCGTTTACAATGATGCAATGCATGCGGCCCAGGGTACCGCTGCATCTGAGGGCACTATCGAGTTTCAATCCACGAAGACACCATATGAATACAATGCTTGGACGGGAGAGAAACGACCAATTCTGACATACGAGAAGACGAGCACGTCCACAATCATACCATTCAGACTTTGTGGGAACCAGTCCACCATCGTTGCGTTCGTTGCGTCGTCCGAAGATACACCTGTACCTTCTGTGCATATCACGAATACATCTAGTGGTGTGCTCGGGACCAGCGTGTCTGCAAACGGTGGCATCACGCTCAAAATCGGAAGCACTGCAACTTACAAAACATCTACCGGTGTTACTAGAACGATGCCCGCGCCGCCTGCTTCACCATTCACCCTGACAAATTGGACACTGACGGCTGAGCATTGGGATCCACCCACGAATCTTTACAACTACATGGCTGGAGCTAATAAGCGTAACACCACACACTTACTCCCCAGCCTCATCTCGTGGCTTGACATCCCTGGTCTCCAAAACGTATCTGGGCGCGGATACTACTCCACAACCTTCACATGGCCACCAGCACTCCTGTCCTCCAGCTCAAACACCACAAACACGACCAAAACCCTCTCCGGCGCTTTCCTCGACTTCGGCCCTGTCTACCATACCCTGCAAGCCTCTCTTAACGGTCACCGTCTCCCACCTCTGGACGTCACGAGCGCGAAAGCAGATATCAAGACATATCTCGTTGAAGGCCTAAATACGGTTGAAGCTGTTGTGGCAACGCCGTTGGGGAATGTGCTCCGGCCGATTTGGAATTCGTTAATGAGTAGTGGGGAGGGGCCTGCGAGTGCGGATGCAGGACCTAGCCATGGGTTTGTGGTCCCACCGCTTGGGAGGTATGGGTTGCTGGGGGACGTTGTTGTTAGGCCTTATTGGGAGGTAGAGGTGGGTGGGGAGGGGAAGTAGGGGTGTGTGGGCGGAGCAATGGATGGCATGGTATAGTGGTTAAAGAGAGAGTTTATAATTATGCTTTAGCAGAATATTGCTTTGCGTGTTATGGAGGACGGGCTACTGGCATAGGATGGTGTGGGTTGAATGGTTGGGGCAATGTAATAGGCTAGAGTCCGGAGTCCGAAGGGATTATGGAAAGTGAGCGAAGAGGCATTGAAGTCTCTTGGAATCTCTAAGGCATCGCAACTGTAGGAGCTTGACGTTCCGTTGGTTTAGGATTGGATGAATGCTATTCGTTTGTTTTCTGTATGTGTTGTGCACGCGGCTACTAAGCTGAATTATGATAATGACAACCTCGGAAACGCCTGAATGGATCGGTTGATTCTGTTAGTGTAGCTAAATGCCCGAGAAGCCTCACTCCCAACTGTGACCAAAAAGATGAACACTAATTTTTGTGCACTCCATGACTTCTCGTGAGATCATCCATGATGTGTAAGAACATCAGTGATCATTCTGCATCATCCCAAAGACTGTACAAAGACCGCAGAAAACTCAGCTATGGTGTCCGAAAGGACTCTACAACCGTGGTCCTCTGCAAGTAATAGAGCTGTTGGGAAGCAGACTTTCATGCAAGCATCTGGCAGGAAAATAATCTCAAAGTCGATCATAGCCCGTGTCCGCAGACACGTTGCAGTGCAAGCGACAGGAAGAAGAGACGCAAATTCAGGAAGCTTAATTGGGCCCGCAGAAAATGACCTGTCACCGAAGTCAAGATAGAGGATAGCCTGCCCTTGAATCTTCTGGATGATTAGATCACCTCCTGGGGTCCACTTAGCCTGATTCCATTGCTCTCCGTTGCGGTAATGCTCCCAGATTGAGGTGGAGCTGAGATTCCATAATCCTCCAGTACTGGAGTCGTATTCGGTGTTACCAATTCGAATGTAGGGTGTGCGAGGAAATTTCGATTTCAAAATGTTGGAGGCTCCCAGTACGAGCAGTTCATGAGCTGCTTGTTTGTCGAATGCCTTCTTCTGATAGAACAAATTGAGGGCCAAGAGGGGGCCAGGGACGCGTGCTTCAAAGAACCGAGCTACCATGGCTGCTTCATGATGATCCCAAGTCTTTTCTTGGTGCTGCTGTACTTCGGACACTTCACGGACTGCCTCCAATCCCGATTCTTGTTTGACTGAAGCAGGAACCACGCTACGTAGACCACCAAGTACAGAATCAACACTGCTAGAAGAACTGGGACTCGCTGCGGCGGGCATCTCAGGTGGCGCCGATGGAGCTGTAGCTGCCATGATGGACAAAGCAGCCGTCATGGCAGAATCAGCCCTGTCAGAAGCACTAAGACTCACTGCGGCGGGCATCTCAGGTGGCGCTGGTGGAAAAGGAGCTAGCATAGTGGACAGAGCTGCCTGAGAGGCAGCAGAAATGGCGGGAGCACCTTGGACCGGAGAAATAGTAGCACCAGCGGGCTGATAATTGCTCTTCCGCCGTGATGTTAGCATATGGTGAGCAGGTACTCCCTCGTCCCGTTGCTGGTTGGCATATTGAACTTACCGCCTGGTCAAGGAGGTGGCCAACTCTCCCCTCAAGTTTTTTCCGCTCTGCATCGTTCGCGTTCTTCCTCCTCAACTTACTTAGTCGGTTCTTCTCATCCTGCTCCCGGATGAGGAGTCGTGTTGGCGTATCGTTCCTGGGCATGGAGAGCAGGTATGATCACCTGACAACTGCCGTTGGACTGTAATGGAGGAAAGAGGTGGAAAGAAATGAGGAGGTGAGGAAAGTGGAGGCTGAAAGGGTCAACGAGCAGAAAGGTACGCGCCCGGGTGAGTTTAGCGCATCTTGGCAGTCGCGCAGTCGAGTGACCCATTGCTCTTGCCACTTTCGCGCTCCACCCCGCCATTGAGGCCAGTGCCGAGGGCCGATAGTGCTTACTTAAGGTTTCAGGTCTATTACGCGTGCTTTAAGATTGTTTGCAAAGAGAAAAGGATGGGAAAGACTTAGCATCACGGAGTACTTTGATAGTTTTTCGTGAATGCTTTCAAGGTTGAGATGACTGATCTAGCAGGAACGCTAGATCGATAGGTATTAAAGAAAGCAACCCTTACATTAGATATTCGACATCCGGGCTCAATCTTAGAACCACGAGTGACGATGACTCCAACCAGGTGTTGAGCACATCATCCGCCCCATTGCCACATCCTCCGTGAATACTGACCCAAGGAACTACCAAGCCCCCAATAGATGGATAAGGACAAATCAGAGCGTATAGATAGCTTTTATACGCTCTGATCGGATTTACATAACGCCCTCCTTTATTCGGTATGGAAGTCTTCGACCAGATTGACTATAATTCCATTCCTTCCAGGGACTCAGTCAACCACTTGTTCATCTCCATGTTCATCTGCCTCTGCTGGGTCCGATTTTTATAGAATTCAGGTCCACGTGCATTGTTGGGCGCCTGCCATTCTTCAGTGTCGATGTTGTATTTCTTGTCCAAGCCCACGTGCCCGCCGGTATTGTTGGCGTCATGGTCTTGCTCGTCATCATCTTCCGACATCTCCATGCTCGCATCCCCTTCTTCGTCGAGGCTATCATTCATCTTGTTTTTACTCTTCCCACTACCACCGTTCTTGCTGACATGAATGTGCTTGTTACACAGACCTGTTGGTACCTTCATGTTTGCAAAGCTGTCCATGGTTACATGCTTGCTTACCTTCCCTGGTTGAGCTCTTTTCAATTCCAATATCCTCTTTCTCTGCCATCGTTTCTTCCCCCTGCCGAGATTTCCCTGCTTGCACTTCTCCCTCCCAAGCTTACTCTCAATATCATTCAAAGTTGTCAGAGTTTCGAGTTCCTCCTCAACATCGAGGTCGCGGAACTTTGCCCTCTGAAAATCACTATTCGCGGAAGGAAGACTAGCCGCGAGTTCCTGGTCATTTTTGCTGTGCTTCCTGACGTGGAACCAAAATATCGTTTCGATTCGGAGGATGCGCTTTTCGTGCTGTCGGGATTCTCGCGTGGGCCAGGTAGCTTGAAGTTTTTCGTCAACCACAATGCAGCATGGTAATGGTCCATCAAGCTTTAGCTTTAGTGCCTTTAGGTATCGAGATTGTCCTCGAACCTCGTCTTTTCGTTGAAGAGTTGGTGGCGATGATGGCTGGATGTTTCCTTCGATCGCGCGGGAGTTTTTGTCCCGAAACGTGAGGACCGAGTGAAAGGACAGCGGAAGGTTCGACTCGACGAACATTGAGGCTGCACCACCAGCGAGAACACTCCCATGTGAACTGTAACTTAAGGCTGCCTGGTGTACATTGTCCATGACTGACTCAGACTGGCTGTTCGGTGCCGGAGGTTGGTCCAGCTCCATGTTGACGATGCTGCGAAGATCAGCTTCGGCTTACTCACGTGAAGAACACCTCGCAGTATTGTCTACAAATCGGCGACCATACCTTTCGTATTCGCTGGCGTCAATGTTCAACACCTTAGATAGAGGCTCCACCTCGAGAAGCTGTTGGTGTTGGGTGGGGGTGGAGTGTCGAATCAAAGGGTGAGAGGAAGGAGCGAAAGGGTTTTTAATTCCGCAGCCAAAATTCGGGTTGCGTTGCGTGCTCAGGTTGTGAATGGAGTGAATGCGGATTCCGATTCGGAACCGAAAGGTCGGCATGACGTTATCGATGAGGCACCGCAGCATTTACTCCTTCCTCTTTACACAAATTAGCAACCCAAGTAATTTCGCCAATAGTCGTCCCTTCAACCACATTTTTGCCCGCATATCTCTAGAATCAAGTACAGCTCCTTCACTTTTTGGTGCCCCCAACGGCATCACATCCCGCCTTTCCAACATCCTTCGCGAGGGTGCAGAATATCGGCTTCCATACTTTGCAGACCCGCGCCGCCTGCCCAGTGCCACCTTCACTCTTGGGCTCTTGGCGAGCGCAGCATACTGAGTTCCATTAGCAAGATTTGACACCTCGACGCACATACCTGTTAAATCGAGCTTTTCATGGATTGTATCTCATCTACCGATAGGTTCCATAAGATACACAGACGATGCAAACCGAAATCCTCCCATGGTCTCAAATTCAAACTCAAACTCCAGGTTCTTGGTCTTGGATTGTGTTGCCGTTTCTTCCTGGACCATCCGTTCCCAATGGCGTTCCATCTTTCAATATGCACGACGAAAAGAAGAATAAACGCTAAGCACATGCAGCCTCCTAGAATAAATGAAAGAAGGCAGTTTGTCTTGATTCTTTTGGCGAAGAACAGGAATCAGTCGGCAGGACAAGCGAGACGCCCGGCTGCGTCTCCCGGCCATAGAATGGAGGAGAAAAAAAGGAAATTCGTTAGTCGTCGTAGGTGCGTTGTCCTTGCACGCTTGTCCACCGCGAAAGGGAAAACCCGTTCATCAATACAAACCCAATGGCGCTTCCAAACGCCAAACTCCGCCCAACTCCGCCTGTAGCTTCACCAGCACCCGCGACTTGAGGAAGCTTTCAATCGCCTACCCGCCAGCCTCGTCTTCGACGAGAACGCCCCAGAAGAGGACCTCTTCATTCTCTCTTCCGTTCAACGCACCTCCGTAAATATCCGCACACATCTCGATCGGAATCTCTACTTTAAGGCAGCCATTTCCGAGGAAGGTGAAGAGAAGCCACGAGTCAAACTCCGGAAAGGTACCGCCATCTTCCCATCTCCTACTCAAGATGCCTCTGTTTTGCAGTGACGGCGAGTCTGGGATGTTGAAGTGGTGATAGGGCAAGGTTTCGGAGGAGTCCGCGATGTAGAAGGCAGAATTTAGGGCTAATTCTACACTGGTCGACCGCGATTCTTGATCCAGGCCGGGTGAATCGGGCGCAGTGGAGGTATAGAATCGTAACGTGCCGAAGCGCAGGTCTACCGGTTGTCCTAGCATGTCGAACAGCTCCGTCGAGTACAGCCGGAAATAGCCGTTGCACACATTCCCCAGGCCTGAGTCCTCGTCGGCACCGCCGGTGAGGTGCAGCTGGTCTTCGGCCCACTTGCCCTGCGCTTCGGCTGCCCAGAGCGAGTCCCGGATCTGCTTGCGCGAGTACGCCGTGTTGAGTTCGGAAAGGGCGAGTCGGCAAGCGAGGCGCCGAACCTCTTGTCTCCTCCTTCCCGATTCGCGGTCTGGTGCTCGTGATTGCGAGGCATCCTCCTCCAGCGACCGCAACAACGATGCCTCGATGCCCGCGACCAGCTCCTCGAATTCCTGCACTACACGCGCCAGACGGGCCGAGCTTGTCGTGGCTTGTTGTTCGGGTTTCGCGTCGTGGCGGGAAGGGTCGCTCTTGAATGCGGCCATTGGGACGGCCCAGGGCCACAAGCTGCACGCGCAGGACGAGGATTTCTCGTCGTGGACGCGGGTTGCGAGGGGAGGTTGCCGTTTGTGAGGGGAAGTTTGCAGCTCCGTCGGTCGGCCGGTCGGACACGGCCGTTTTGGGAGTAGATATGACTCTGACACTATCAATCGGTCGTGCAGTCGGCCGTGAGAGTTTACATGGGGGATCTGGGGCTGCTGATGATGTCTGGCAAGAACAAAGCAAGAGCATGAGAGCTTCCGGCCGAGGGCGAGGGGACTGTTGAGATTTTGCTGTCCTCGATCCAAGGCGCGTCGCCAAGCTCTCCTCGCGCTAGCTTGCCCCAGCCATCGGACGACCCGCAGGCTTTCCCCGACCAATCACACCTGGGACTGACTGCATGAGCGAGACGCCTGCAGGTCATATTCTTGTGCTGGATTTGGTCCTCGAGCGGTTAAAGATTCGGGTTGAATGGCATCGAGCAAATCTGTTTCTTGCTATTGGCGAGGGCGAAGACAAAAGTGCTGGACGGCTTATCATTCGCTTGTCTCCGGCCTACAGGTCTCCATCCCCCCGGTAAATACCACTCCCGCTTCACTGCCATCAACATCTATCACCACAGGAGGAAACTCTTCGCTCACGCCTCAACAAGGCGTTCGGCTTTCAGGAGCCACCTGTCCTCTGCCGAATTATCCCCATCGGTCAATGTCGTTTCAGCCCCACGACGCACAGCATCGCCATCTCCGCAATCCCACTCATGCTCGTGCTTGCAAAAAGTACCAGAATCCATCCCAAGCTGTCGGGTCCAACGAGCGTCCTGCCTACTTTGTCAGACGTTTGTCAGACGGTCGCGAGATTCTCGGCCGAGTTCTCCAGTTCTTTCTGGGAGCCTTTCGGCTCCACCCAGCCTGATACAAATACTAACTCGATCCCCACCAGCTCTAGCTCTAGATATAACTGCCCTTCTCAAGCGTTACTTTCGAAACTGTCAGTGGTGAGTGCTCGGCCCGAACACTCGGGGAGATGCAGTACACGACAGGCTCCGTGGCCCGGCACCTAAAACCCCGAATCTGACGCCTCTATCACCTTGGGGTCGTATCTGCCGCCCCCTTGATAAAGGATTCGTCGTTAATATATACTTTCGGAGGAGCACGCCAATCATTATTTCTGGATCTAAACGAATCACATCCTCAGTTTGAAAGTTTGAGCACCTGTTCGTCTATCCCTCGCTTGGCCAGCGTCCTCTCTACGCGAGGCAGAATCCTCTTCTTTACCTTAGGAACTCGGTCTACTGTGTATAGTCCATCCTACATTGTCAAAAAAACTTTTCCATCTTTCTCTCTCTTCGTGTCAGCTTCAAGTTCGGTACCGCTTTTGAGAGCTTCGTGTGACTGTGACGCTTTCTCACGTCTAGAGAGGAAGATTGGTAACTCAAGAACCTGACGCTAATTCGTCTAAACTAGTATTTCTCATGTGGCTCAGAGCATAATACCTACATATCTGACTTCAGCACGATCCTTTGGGCTGTACCACCTATGAACCCCGAGATTCCCTCGAAACCAGCTTTGCCTCCTCTAGCTGCGCCTTCTCCAGCTCGTGCTTCACGTTTCACAGGCGTGGCAAAGCACGGCACACGGGCATCTAGACCACGCCCAGGGCAGTTGTAGTTCAGATACTTTATCACTTGTGTCACAACGCTTTCTTTCCTTGCCGCACCAGCCGCGGTGCCAGACTAGCTAATCTCCATGACGATGACGACCCCGAGAGGTGAGCGAAACTGGAGCTCTGGGTTTGGAGAGTGTGGGAACACGGCTTGGAGGCAGTCGGCGCAGCCACTAATACGAGAAAATTGCCCCTACTGCCGACCGATACGGCTGCAGCTTACTTAAATCCACACAATCAGGAACGCATCTACGTCAAAGGATGTCAGAGGGACGTTCGGATTGAGCTGCGTGCATACGCTTCGCCCTATGACCAAGTTTGCTTACGACTGCATCTTACCCCGCCAATGAGTATCTAAGGCACTTCACCATCACTGTAAACGTCGAGTATAAGCAACATCCCCAATGATCTGACACAGACGACCGAACCAGAGGGCAGGGCGTCCGTCAGCATGATCTGCAGGAACGGTAGCGGTGTGTTGCTCTTGCACACCGATGCTAATACCGATGCCACGGGATTGTTCATAGGGCTGCTTGAACCTTGGCAGTACTAAGAAGGCTTAGTAATATTAACTCTAGGTAACTAACTATCTCCTCAACTCTAGATACATAGGCGCTTCGCATTATTAGTTATACAGGCATTTTGCGACGAATACTTCGTTCCCTTTACAAGTCACCAGGTGTAGCGAGGTGATGATCAAGTTCAGATTAGATAAAGTCTGCACGATTCGTGTATCCAACGAGTATTCACCTTCCCATCATATCACTTTCGTGCCCTAGGCATCCAGTATCGCACACACAGGTGCCAGGTAGACATGATTTCACGTGAAATACTAGGTTGTCATAGTATGTGCCTTTCGGTGTCAAAAGTTTTCGCCTGCTCCAAAATGAAAGGAAAGGATGGTGGAAGGGTAGTGGCGTCACCTAGTGCTCTGGATTATCCCACTATCCCCATGAACCTGAGTGCTCTACCTTGGGCCTTAATATTTTCATCCTTCCTTCACACCTTTTTACCCTTGACTATTGTGAGAGATGCGACTTTCCTTAGTAACCTCTACTCTCCCTTATCGAAGCTTAATCCCGATTGTGCCCGCCACCACCACACCAAAATTCGACCTGATTCCGCTCAATAACTGCAAGTAGTTGTGTGGCCTTTCTGCAACGGCAAATGCCTTCACTTCTCACCTGCTTCATTGGGAGATTCTGTGTTCAAGTTTCACAGCAAACAGAGCCGGTGTACACCAGCCATTTCCGCACCAGTATCTGTTTGCTGAACGCTCGGCGTAGACATTTCAAATACATTCATCACCATTCTTAAATTCAATTTCGCTTCTCATTATAGCTTACAAAAACGCAAAGGTGAAAGGCTAGAATCTACGATGGCGATCGGACGATTCAAGAAGTGCTCAACGAGGCCTTAAGCTTATTTCCACCTCCCAAAAGAAACTCCGTGGTGCCCAAACGGTGGATATATACTCCTCTATTCTTCGGAGCTACATAGGTAAGAACTTTCCATGCAGCTCTGAACTCTATGACTTCGAAGCCGAGACCACAATGAAGTAGTCGCCGGGCCCACAAGGCCATAGTTGACAAGAAGGATAAAAGAAGGGCGAGATTACGCTAAGCTTAATCAACCATTCATGGTAAAGTATCAACAACATAGGGAGAAGAATGGTAGAGTGCAATTTGAAAATTCCTCTAGAATCTGGTGAGCAGATCTCAGCTAGTCATCTCTACCCTGGATACGAGTCACTGAGACCACTTCTTTACCGGTACCATTCCAGAACTCAAACTAATTACTCCAGTTTCAGGTCTTACAGGCACCCCGCATTGCCATGCTCACCCCTGTTCAATTAGCTACTCCTGACGCTATTCTCGCCTATCCACGAACTGCCGGATATTGAAAGCTTATTTGAAAGCTTATTCTTCAATCTACACATTCGCCCTGAATGCGAGAGTATTTAAAGCAAGTTTGTCTTCCATATATCACGGCCGGTTTGCGGCCCAAATGTCGATGGTGGGTACACACAGGTTTACCCTATAGACATCAGGTCTTTACAGTGCGCTAGTAATGAGGTTCGGAGTGCTGCATGCAAAAACAGCTCCATTCCACCAAAAGGTAGACATCATGCGACCAGATTCCTCAAATTGATTGCTAAAATCCAATTCACACCAATCGCAAATATCCTATTCCAGTTTCCCCACATTTCTGCAACCCCAGCTCAACATGCGGCCAGGGCTTCCAACGGGCCGTACTACGGTCCGTACAAAGTGAACCGTAACGGTCACGTGAGCAGTACGAACGTACCGAGTTTGTGAGCCGTACCGTACGTTTAATGATGCCCTAGGTACGGTACGTAGTACGGACCGTATTACCCTTTTAGGAAGTTTGTATGGCGATTTTGGAGGAGTAGGACGGCTCTGGCGAAGAGCGGCCCTGCGGGAGCGTTTAGGAGGGTTTCTAGAGCTCTAATTAGCTAAAAGTTTTGTGAGGACGCGTAAATCTCTTTCTAAGTCTTTTAATATATCCATCTGCAGTCTGTTGTCTTAAAAATGCCTATTACTAACTATTTTCTATTGCAGGGCTATCCATCCACGCGCCTCGCCGCCTTACAGGCCTCATCTAGTTAATTGGATACCTCTGTCGCCTATTTTGCGCAGTCTCGTAGACTGCAGAAGTCGAGAGCCCTCTACACTGCGTCTCCTGCCTCATCCCGCGATAGTACACTGTCTGTGGCTGAAGATCAGTTGCAGCAGTTCCTGGAGGACTGTAATTGTAACGCTGGGGTTGAGTTTGCAATTGACTGGAATAATATATAGATGTTAGACTTAAAACAGGCGTTGCCCTTAGCGCGATTAGGTTACCGCGTGAAGAACAAGACTATGTTGCGAGGCAATTGTACGCTGTTAAAAGTATGGGCTCATGGCGCGGATTTGACGCTTATAGAGGAGCAGGGCAAGGTAATCCGCCTCTGGCTCTGCTGTTGATGCCATGAGCAAGGTTCTCAGCGCGGCTGGTCGTACGGTAACTGACGATTGAGGCTATTCAACTCTAGAAGAATTGGTTACGGAACAAGGTAGTAAGCAGCGAGCTTTTAGACCTCCCTGCTCATGTTACTAGGGAGAATCAGTTATCTAATGGCTATTTAGACCTTAATCCTGCGTCTCTAGAGACCTATAATATTAGCTGTTTTGACTAGAGTACGACGTACTTTAATCGAATTGTACTACTCGTACAGATCACGTGAGCCGTAACGGTTACGATACGTACACCTACCTCTCCTCCTCCCTGCCGTACGAACGTACTCAAAATCTCACCCGTACAGGCCTCAAAAACGCCCAATCGTACAGTACTACGCCTCGTTGGAAGCGCTGCATGCGGCACCAAATTTCCCTTCTATTATTTCTCCTCCCACTCCTCCATCCCACTCTCGCCGCCATCAAAATAGCTTCAGCACTCAACGTAATTGAATACACACCCGAGAAGATCGCGAAAGAAGACTTCTTCAACGGCACCGTCAGCATTGTCAACGGCGGCGTTCCAACCCTCTTCTCCGACACTAGCGTCGACATCGCCTCGAACGCTGAAACACAGGCGCTCCGAAACTATGCAACACACAAGAACCTGCGGATCATCTATACGGAAGCTGAAGTCGCATACCGCATCGTCGGCAACAAGAAGTCCGGCATCACCACCGCGAAGGATCTCAAAGGCAAGAGAATCGGTGTCGTAAGCGGCACCAGCGCGGGCTACTTCGTGCAGAAATACATGGCGAGCGTGGGCGTCAAAGACAGTGAATATACCACCGTCTCCGGCAGCGTGTGTCTAGCGGAGCCCTGCGGCAGCGGCACTTTCCCTGCCATGCTCAAGAGTGGCCAGGTCGATGCCGTCGGGATGTGGGAACCTACCGTCGAGCTCGCAGCGCGGGAGATTGGGCTTGACAATGCGGTTTTCTTCCAAGATGCGAAAGTCTACCGTGAAATCTTCAACTTGCACACAACATCCGACAAACTTGCGAATGCGACTAAGCGCAAGGAAATCGTAGACTTCATCCGCGCTTTAGAAAAGGCCATGGCGCTGTTTCGAGACCAACCGGATAAAGTTTATAAGCGGGCGGCGGACGCTGTTAGTATGAAGGAGGATATTCTCAAGGCCGTCTGGCCGGTGCATACGTGGTCAGGTACGCTCCCGGAAGATTTGTTGAGTGTGTTAGTAAGAGAGGATTCATATGTGGCTGATGTGGATCGGAGGAGCGCGATGAGCGAGAGTATGTTGAAGGATTTGATAGATGATAGTGTATTGAAGGATGCAAGGGCAGAGGCTAAGAATACTAGTTAGAAAGGGTGGGTTGAGATGGCTGTAGCGGAGGAAGTAGCATTCTTTTAAATGGGGACACGCACGAAATGATGGGATTTGATCTACGCTCTTAGTTTGTTTGCAGAGTCGGAATAAAGAGACAGTTTCAGATGCTACGTTCTTGCAATTGTCCGATAAGATAGAGAGAAGTGACGATAGGTTACGAGGATGTTATTCAGAGCCTCGGCCTATTGGGAGGGTGTAAGAGAAGCGCGTTGCTATATCTATAATGTGTAAAACTCCCCAAAAGCGGTGAAATTATATTCGCTAGTCGATTGTCTGCTTTACTTTTTCTCTCTTGTTTATCCGCTCCGGGGGGTGAATGTTGGACACACGTGATATCCAGCTGCGCTAGGGAACCTGAGAACTTGAGGTCCGCGCACAGAATTACACTTCCACTAGCTTAATAATAACGACTTCCTTCAACTTGTAAACACTTTCATTCTCGTTTCTCACTTAGGCTCAACCTCCTACTACGCCCAGCATCTGACATGGTCACTTGCTCACTTTTCTTTTGAATAAATATTCACCTAGTATTGTAGCTGACAGCTCTTATCTCACATCACGCGTATTAATGCACCTTCACTCGTGTAAGATCAATTTTATTCAACTACCAGCCCCGTTTGTTCATAGTGGTACGTATTTTAGTCGTTTGTTTTATGGGCTCGACTGGCCACTGTGGCTGGTATCGAGGGCCATATATCGTCTAATATTCTCACTCGCTGACTTGCTTTCGATCCTCTTATAGTTCCTTTCGCCTCACAACCTTCACCTTGAACACTTGCTCGAGATCCTACTGCTTGAAGATGCCGCCTCAAAACCGGTCTCTCGATCCCCGAGAACATTATGCTCTCCATGGGCACTCCTCGTCTGACACCTCTGTCCAGAATAGGGGCCAACAGAACCCGGTGAGCAAGAGTCAGCATAAAACACAACGAAAGAAGATCAACAAAGCCTCCAAAAGTGACACGCAAGACCGTCGCTCAAGCACCACATCTTCTCATGTCTCTGCTGTAATCACACCCACGGATAAGGCGAACGGAAATGTCGTTGTTATCGACGAAGCCGTTCTGAGCAAGGCGGATGCTATCATTTCGAATGCTGCTAAGGTCATTGCCAACGCCACGAACAGTTATCTGTCGTCCACTTCGGAAGTGAAGGAACATACACACGCTATCCAAGACCATCATCAGAGCCACCCAGCCAACGGATTTCCGGTCACGGGAGCTTCTACAGCACCAGAATCGGTGCGAACGAGGCCAAACACTCCATTTGTCTCCGGCCGCAACGAAGGTCAAGGTCCCCGTAAACATCGTCCTGGGTCCACCACGCCATTTGGTTCGAATATCAACCACGCTCTCCAACCCGTTCGTTTTCAGAACCCGTTTCCAGTCGGTGGTCCACCTACCCCAACGGGGTGTGCCGCCACCCTACTCGATGCCATTCCTGCACACCAGCGGGTAGAGATCAAGCAGAAGCTTGAGACCGTGTGTGCCCAGCAGAACAAGCGGATAAAGAACATTGGGCACCAACGTTTCGAGCTCTGCGAGAGGTTCGCCACGCTCAGGAAGGGAGAGGTCGCTTGCGAACAAGAGATTCTTCACCATCAACAGGAGTTCATCCGCTTCTTCAGTTACTCGATGATTGAAGAGGATGCGGAACGCAAGCTGGCGGCCCAGAAGATGGCGTTGCAGCACGGCAGGCGCGCGAATGAGCAACAGTACAAGGAGCGGAGCTACCGAGATGAGCTGGAGCAAGTGCGTATGGACTTATGCCTGCTCGACAAGGAAGAGCTCCAGTTCTACACGGATACTCACCATGGGCTCGTCGCTGAGATCGTGAAGCTCTTGGGTACAAAGTAGATGAGGCATGTGGGTCGTGACTCTTGGGGTTGCATGGCTGGCGTTTGGCATCGGTAAACCTCTCTTTTTGAGGAGAAGAAGAGGTAATTGGGTGCACAGTCAGCTTCACCGCTATTTGATTTCTTTCATGTCCAGACTACAGCCTTGGCGGTGGCATGGAAAGTGGGTCCCGGTACACCCCTTTAAATAGACCTTCCATTCATATACGCCTACTCTTTTTTGTGCCTAGATTGTGACCCCTACAATCGGGATCAAGTTTCAAAAGCACTGCGGTGCGTAGTCACGTATCGCCTAAAGGTTGTTCCTACCTCAGCTACTTTATAGTAGAGTGGCAAAAGGCACATAGGGCATTGGGTTGAGCTACCTGTTTCGCAAGAAGTGCCTTGCTTGGTCTGGTCAAGTCATCATAGGTACCCGTGCTATGTGCAAAACATAAACTCCTCGACACCCTTCTTCTCCCAACATTATTGACAGGAATTGATTCTCGCGCGACAGCGCCGGACGTTTATATCCATAGGCCTCTATCCTAGGGTCAAACTAAATCTATCAAGGGTTGGAAAGCTCCACATATGTTTTTCCCTGCCCCGGGATTCCTCGAGTGTCTTGGCGTACGGCTTCGATGCTAAGTTATACAATTGTTCACTTGGGATGCTTTTGTTAACAGGTCACGCCTGGCATCGGTGAATACGAGTAGATCTTGTTGATGGGTGACATGTTCGGCCCCTTTGATATCAGGCAAAAAGTCATCAAACTTCCGGTTCGACACTGGGTCATCAAGGTGAGAGGCAGAAGTGATGAGATGCAATTGAGGAAGCAAAGTGAGGGTTGTATTGCGCTAATACAAAGTCTCCGAGCAGTTATCTTGCAAGATACAATGTCAATCATAACGGTAGCTAAAAAGATATCTATTCCAGGTAGGCTTGTTTCCAGACGACATGCAAACAAGAGCAGAAGGAGATTAGGGGGTATAAACGTACTCATACCTCGCTCGGGCGGGTTTGGCGATGCTCAAATTCCAGTAACCATATGTACTAAACAAATTAGTAGATTATTTTCCATTTAGCGTGGCTGAAACATATCAGTTCTTACCAGATAAGAAACTTTTCAGAGATGCGCCTTTAGTTTCTCGTTCTCGCGAAAGCGGCGCGGCCAAATGCCCTGCTTTCCTGGGGAGAGAATGCCGTTCGGATCGAGAGCGTCCTTGATCTTCTCAACAAAGCGCCTATATGCGTAGTCGTTGAAGTCATAGAGGGATGCTACAAGATCTAGAGGAACATTCAGCAAAGGGTTTCATAATCTGAGGAAGAGAAAATGAGATGAAGACTTACCCATGGTATTGACATGGCTCCTATACTTGCTAAACCCGCGTTTCTTGCCCTCTGCAAATAAGCTGTGAAATATCGTCTCTACAGCCTGGCGATGTTCTTTGTTGGTCTTGTCAAATGTCATCATATTAACGAAAATGACGTGGCGTTCGTGCATGAAGAAGTCGCAAAAGAGGTCAAAGGATTCCGCTTCACATATTCTGTAGATGTATTATTAAATTCTAGTTCAAAATAATTGAAATGAGGAACGTACTTTTTCGCAGTCCGAACCCATTCTAGCACAGTCTTCCCACTCGATGGAATGATTGGGCTATAATCGTAGTGAGCCCCAATGCCGCCACCATCCTTCGGTAGCCTGAACTTCACCATTGGCAGACTCCAGAGACTGGGAACGCCCACGAAAAATCCGCCGTGAGGCTCAGGTATAGATTCTGCGTCTAGAATCTCACCATCTGCAGCTGAGAACATTTGCCCTCTCAATCGACCCTTCGGGGCCTTCTGTCCTACGATTTTTTTCAGCTCGTCGAAGTGAGCTTGGATCACGTCGCGTTGGCCATAAAGCCCGAATTTGGCGTTCCAGTAACCGATGTCAAGTTGTTTCTGAAGCTCCTTGAGTCGCCATTGGGGAATGGGTCCGGATTCTGGCCACAACTCTTCGCGCTTTCCCATCATACCAAGCCATTCCACAAGGTTGGATACATACACAGTATTGGGCAGAAGTCCATCGCGTCGCAACGGCCCAAAGACATCAACAATCGTCTCCACATCATCGAAATCGGGCATGTCGAACGAGCAAGAGAGGAAGGCTTGTGGGGCGGGAGTGAGCCATATACCTAGTTTAGTCACTATACCGAGGTTCGATTGTAGAAAAAGCCCTTCGATGCTAGGACCGAAGGTAAACTTCGAGAGATGCGAAGACGGAGAGCCAGACACGGCAAATTGCCCTGTTCGGACCAATTCCCCACTCGCCAGCATGGCTTCCAATCCGCAGATATGCTGATGATGTGTCGCCGTGGGAGTAAAGCCTGTACCTCGATCGACTGTATTACCAACTACAGAGCCCCAGCCTAGAGAGGGGACAGAAGGCCAGACTTTCAGTTTGTGTTTCACGCAATACTCGTACAGTTCGGTGAATGTCACTCCGGGTTCAACGACGGCATATGAGTAATCGCCGTTGACTTCGAGTATCCTGTTCATTCGGTGCAAGTCGAGGGCTATTGAACCGTTGACGCGAGGAGCTGGACCTCCGTAGCTATGACAAGTTCAATTACGGTCTATAAAAGCACACAAGTACGAGGAATGGACAAAGGCGAGCTTACCCGAGGTTTTTGCCTCTAGAGAAGGTCCACACAGGAATACTATACTCGTTGGAAATCTCCAATACTTTTCGCAACTCCTCAACAGTCTTCGGTCGTACTGCAGCACTCGGCATTCTGCGCTTTCCTTCGGATTCCCATAGCTCGTATGGGTCGATGTACTCGGAGAGCGCATTCCCTTTCAGCACTTGCTCGTGGCCAACGGCAGCCATGTACCGAAGAATAGCAGCATCGAAGGCATATTGCGTCACCCCAGGAGGTAAGACGGGCTTAAGGGGAGTGGTAATTGAATTTTTAAAGAGGTTTAGATGTGTCGATTGGTACTCTTCATTCGTGTACGCGGCCGAATGCGCAATGACAGGAAGACCCATCATGAGTGCGTGATACTGTGCACGATTGGGCCCGCTGTGAAGTTTATTTTATGCGGTCTGGAACGCGTGGGTGTCGCGCACATGGGTGGTTTGGCTCCCCCACAATGCGGAGACGGTTGACCCCACATCCCCAACGGACCACCCCTTCAGGAACTGCCTGCTCTCCTGAGCTCAACGTGTTGCTCACTACTGGAGCGGTCTGGCCCATCTGTATGAATACTCATCGGCTCATGGCCACGACTAGCGCAAAGGGAGAGATAGCAAGAGAAGGAGTACGGTATCAAGACAGCAAGTGGGGTCCGTCGGAAAGGCTCAAAAGCGACCTGAGAGTAGAACTGGAGGCTCATTCATTGCGAGAGCAATTTCCTTCCGCTGTCCAATCAACTTTCACCAAACTGAACATCTGTTCTCATTGGTTTAGTTCTTAAAACCTGAAAGATTTCAATGATTATACTTCAATCTGTTCTCTCTGGATCGTCTTTACTTTGCCCTGCCCTGCAGGAACCCTTCAATCCCACGCATATCATTCTCATTTAAAAGTCTTTTGATAAGCTTATCCACATACAACACATCTGAAAACACCAAGCGAGAAGACATTGTTGTCTACCTCTATGTTCTTTCGGTTGAGGAAAGGACTTCCCACCGTCCATTATGGTTCAGAATTTCAATGCTCTAGGCTTGAAGCCATCTCAGGCCAGTTTTTATGGGGCACACTAAGGTTATACGGTTGTTCAACTTGTGTTGCCAAGGAAACCCGCTCTAGCTTTCACTCCACATAGTAAATCCCCTCCGACATCACTTTCTAAACTCCAAAGTTCCCACGTTCTTCAATAGGATTCAAGTGGATTGCCTCGAGTGCGACAATCTAGCTATCTTCCTATTCCTCCTTCTTCCCACTGTGCCATTGAAACCGAAGAAACTGGTTCGATTGTAGTGCTCAGAAAGAAAGCCCTTCTCAATACCCAAAAATCGCTCATATCCCATTCTCGGATGCAATCGGAAATTTCTCTCCTTCTGAGAGGCCTCTCGTTTACTAATATATTTTTGGCCAAAACTACAATCAACGGTGCTATACAAGCTTGATATCACGGCTTGCTGGCATTTGTGATGGGACCTTACCGTGACCCTACGAAACTGAGTTGCACTCTCCCATAAATATGCTGCGGTAGCGAGGCAATCCGTGAGTAGAAATTCATTCTGTAGCATAAAAAACAAAAGGCTATATTTACCGCCAATTGAATCTGTTCCAAGCTGTGAATAGGGAAGTTATATCACTGAATATCCCAAGAAATAGTTTATATAAGGCTACAGTAGCCCAGATGTATCCCTCGTCAACACAAACGCCATACATGCTTCATTAAAGCGTAATTTCGCCTCGAACCTAACAGAATGCCATATAGGCTTCCTATCGCTATACTTGAGATGCCTGCGTTAATGAAAGACGACACCCTCCTCCGCTTGCAATGTTCCCCTTGTCCCAACGAATTCAAGACTGCTCAGAGCGAGCTAGTTTCCGTGAAATTCTGCGACTTCGACGGTTTCGAGGATTATATGCAAGCTTTCAAATATAGCGGCCAACTTCGACATCAACGAACCTGTTGCCTTCTCTAGTGCAGTGACGAGATGATGAAACGGATAAGACATGGTGGGCGGTCAAGCTGAGTCCGCAATGTCGAGCTAAGTAAGCGTTTTATCTTCCATTGAGGGTTTAATATGCTGAATTAATCAAGAAACTGCACTTCTACCCCTGCGCAAACACTCTTCTTCTAACAAACCCCCTAACCTACGACTCGCCCTACTGTCTTTGCATAGCCTGCGGAGTAATTTCCGAGGTTTCCAAGGCACTCATCAGAACAAAGATGAGATCAAAAAGGCAGAGGTATATCGAATTCTATCCATTGAAGGACTTAATACGAGCGTTATAGAATAATGACTGACAAGTGTCTTAAAATCAGAGTACATTTGGACGGAAGCCTATCGCAAAAGGTTCCGCGAGGGGTAAGTTGCCGCGGCCTCGCACAAGGGCTGCTCCATCTAAGGCTCCCGTCATGTCGTGTCCCTCATGTCGAGCAGCATCTGTGTCGAGTAGGACAACGGGCAATGGTTGAAACTGGATAACATAGTGCTTCATTACACAGGATGTCATTGACGGGTTCATATCGGCAAGGGCTCGTAGAAGAGGAAGGTGCTCAAGCAGAAGTCGCTGATTGGACCAGTCTGCTGACTCGCTTGGATGCACTTCGACAGTTGTAGGACATAGGCCAAGAGAGGCAACAACTTATGTAACAACTTGAATCATTGAATGTTGTAGAGGGGAACCTCATGTGCATACCTGCACAAATGGAATCCTCAGATCGCCCAAGAGGAACTATCCAAACGCTGCCACTTCCTATGCCTTCGAAGGAACCCAGAAAGCCAAAGTCGCCTAAATCGAATAGAAGTCTAATTTCTGAAAAGTATGCCTTGCGCCCCCGAGTTTCAGTCTCAGCGCCTACATCTCTGTCAATTGCGGCAAAGGCTCCGCCAACTGTGGCGAGGGCTCCTTCTAATATTTTGACACAAGTTCCGCTGGAGAACAAGACCCAGTCATCGCTCGCTAGTTTTGACTCGACTCCGCTTTATGTTGGCGGAGGATTGGAATGACGCATCTCCAGTCGATCTCAAGGGAGTGGTTTCAGGACCAGTTGTAGTGATCTCATTTCTTGTGGATCCTAAATCTCCATAGCACCACACAATGAGGCGGATTCCGACGAACTAAGCTGAGTCCTCCGCAGGGTCCTAGAAAGCAGCGATAGCGCGGCCTTGGGCTCTCGCTACTATGGCGAGAGGCTATGGTGTGCAACATACAGTGGCGCAAAAGAAGTGGTATTTCTAGACTACGGACTGTTGGTAAACGGCACTAATGAGGGCAGCACTAATTTCATAGCGAAGGGATGTGGCAGATGATTGGGGGTAATATAGTTTTATTGAGTCCACGGGACGGCACGAAAGTTATACGAGAAGTGGTATCGGCGGACTCGAGGTATTCGTGATAATGGTATATAGTGTATCTCTTTTCGTGCCGATGTACAGAGACATCTCCACTCTACATTGGGATGAAGTCCTTTGACTGTGTCATCGCTGGCACTCTCTTCTTGCCGAGGAGCCAGGACAATCCACCCTTTAATTGAACTTGCCAGAGGGCAAGGCATAATAGAAGGATAGAAACGATAGTCAGGGGGATTGCCATATATCTAGCGATAGTCTATGATTGAATATTAGTTCTGCCCCTAAAGAAGACTACAAATAACATACCATGTCGTCGCACGCCTTTCCGGCCCATGAGCCTTCGTACTGAGGATAAAGCTTGTTCATCATGCAAGCCCAGGACTCCTTCGAATACACCTTGCCCTGCGCATCATACTGCCCGTTGTCAAGTCTTGGAACCTCGTCCGTCGACTTCGCCTGCGGGTATTGCGAGGAGACGATGAATATGTACACCAAACAAGCAAATTGGCCGACAAGATTTGCAAGTCCGGTGCCCAACAAGGACCAGCCCCAGATCTTCAGATAGAGGTCTCGGCTGCTGCCGCGGAATCGCCACAGTGCTAAAGTCGTAATGGCAGTCGCACCAATTGCAATGTAAGCGCCGGCAAGATTTGCGTCATTGGGGCCGGTGAGAAGACCAATCTTAACGGTTTTAGTGCCACTCGGGCCAGCGTCAATGGTTTTCGTCCCGAGAACGATATTTGGCATTTTCGGGTTCTGGAGTACGATAGTGACGATTGCGAATGGCATCCCCAGGAGTAGAGTTATTGCAACAAGCACGATTGTAGAGAGCCCGCGCTTTGGAGACGCAGGCCGGTTAGGAAGAGGGACTTGTGAGGAGTCCATTTCGTGAGGAAGGGAACGCGGCTTGAAAAATTGGAGTGAGAGACTTTGGGGTATTGATAACTATAGAAGTGCACAGAAATTTAAAATATCATTAAAGAAGAAAATCAGGCTTTGAAGAATGGGATGATGGACTGTGAGATTCTGAATACTTATGGGGATGGTCGGGTGTGTACATCGGAGTGGGCTTGGCATGGTAGGGGCGCAGCGTCGGACTTTGAGCAGGGGTCTGCACAGCTTGTGAGAGATTGGTGAGAGAAGACCGACAGGATGACATGAGATTAGACAGACGACTAAAATTGACACACGCTAACAAGCGCCGACTGGCGACGACTCGATCGGAGAATTAGATCTGCAATGTTCGTGTCGCTCACAATTGCCGGCTTCTGGGCACTTCCCCCATCCCTCTCCTCAGCTTTGCACAGCTTCAGATGGCGTACAAGCCAACTATCTACCGTAATATTCGGGTTGCTAAGAATATGACGCCATGCTGATCATGTTTCTCTTGCTGCCTCCACTGTGCACAAGTTTTGCCTCTGACTTCGATCTGTTGGAAAACCACCATACTGAATTTGGTTGGCTGTGAAGCTTGCTCGATCCCATAGAACTAATTCTAACTGGCAGGACGCAGGGCATCGCCTCAACGCACTCTTTCTCACACTCCAGCAATATCCTACTCACTTTTTTTTCGTTCACTGCGAAATAACTCGTAAGGTGAAGTATGACTGAAATGTGCTGTACTTGACTTTGGGCGTATGTCAATGTAGCCAATCCTCATCGGTCGCGAGTTCTTGGGGTTGAGGCCGACTTCCTCGACTTCGAGCTGCAACCCTATTCAGGATCAGTATACCCTCTCAAATCAGACTTAGCAAATTCCCGCCATCTAGAAATCGCGCAATGATGGTGTGGAGTAACGGACGGGTCTCGGAAACAAATCAGCACAATGCTGATTCTTTCACGTAGTCACTCTCAACTAGATGCCTTGTTTGAAGGTTCTCGCCAGTCCTTGTCTTCGCTATCCACAAATTTTGCTATATCCATTGTTGCATTTCCGTTCGTTAAGTGGAAGTGATAATTGGCATGATCATTTTAATTATATCCCATTAGGACTTCTGTGCGTCGCTCATCTTGTCTCACAGGCCGTCTCCCACAATTTGCCTCGCTATATGATATTAGGAAAATCTGCCTTCTGAAATACTGAATATCGCAACAAGCTCCCCATTCCAGTTCTTGGATTTCAACACAATGTACTCACAATGCTACAGACGGCATCCTACAGTCTGGAACGCCTAGAATGTCCCCGGACAATTTTCTCCATGGCCCTGTCCAAGTTTTGGGCAGCATGGAGAAACTTGAAAGGGCTGGATTTCGGACTGTGAGATTGAGGCCTAGGCCCGTGGTAAGGATTTTCGTTGGAGAGGTCCGTTTTGTTTTTTTCCTTTCGATTAATGCTGGTTGTTCCTCACCATGGCTAGATTTTAAGGTTCGATTAAGGTTTCAAGCCCTTCCCTCAAACATCCCCATGTCTCAAGCGGCAATCCGAAGTACTAGACAAAGTTACCTCGCAACTGGGGCTTGATTTCTACTGACCCCAAACGACGATCGACTATAATGTCGCTCGCGACTCGTGTCGGAAGTGCCTAGTGCCGGTACGTTCTTCACAATTCCATCGCGTACTCTATCATCCGTCTTTTACTGTGGGCGATAGTGAGAAGTTACGATGAGCAATTGTAAATCTCGGTATCTCTTGTCTCTAAACTTTTCCACTTATAATTTGTTCTACTTCTCTATCAAAACGGCCGTCCGGTTTTCTTTATCCTAAATGACTCCAATGGCGTCCATTCGCTTTCGCAGACGCCCGCCGCCCGCAGTTGGCATACGACAAATTGACGGCTCTCCAGATACCTCTAGTCCTCAGGGTGCCCCAGGTCCTCCAAATATTCCAGGCCCTCCAGATCCTCCAGGTCCTCCAGATCCCCCAAGTGTACCTGAACCTGCCGCGGAAGGGCCTGGCCCTCCAGATCTACCCCAATTACCTACTCCAGCTGCACCATTAGCGCCAGAAGGTATACCAGGACCTCTACCAAACCCAATTATACCAGATCTACCTTCACTTGCTCCTCTAGGGCTGCCTCCACCTGCTCCTCCAGGGCCACCTATAATTTCTGCTTTGACTCCCCCATCTGCTGCTCCGAGTCCTCAATCTGCGTCTCCAAATCCTCCATCTGCGCCTCCAAGTCCTCCATCTGCTGCTCCGAGTCCTCCATCTGCACTTCCGCGCCCTCCTACGCTTCCAAACCTTCCATCTACATTTCCGAGCCCCCAATCTGCGCCTCCAAAACCGCTACCACCTCCGAGTCCTCCACCTGCACTTCCAGGCCCACCTCCACCTCTGTCTCTATCTTCACAGGCTCTAGCCTCAACTCCTAGCCCCTTGTCGGGTATTACAACCACGACGGGGAGAGACCAAACAGCCCCAGCCTTCTCTTTCCAAAATTCCGACTACACCACATCGTTCGTCACCATCACACTTTCGTCGAAACTTAAAGGGGAGGGAACTCCTGAAACTCTGACCACATCGTCTGAAAGTACAATTATAGTATTTTCAACTCCCACCGCCGATACCAGTTATGCTATTCCGCCCGGGATCACAAGCCAGATCATGGGGACAGGCGCGGCAATAAGCCCGACGGCAATGATTACAACCACAAATAATGTCCCGGGCAAGCCGACTGCTATAGCAATGAACTCGGAAAATAATCGTGGCACACCAATAGCATCGACACTTCTCATATCTTTAGGTGTTATTGGTAAGTCTCCAAGACCTACTTAATCTAGTGCTTCGGCTGCCTGGCTAAAATTATTCAGCTGCGGTATCAGTTATTGTCGGAACTGCAGTGATATTTGTGATGAAGAGAAAGAGGAAGCAAAGAAGACTGAAAGAACAGGCTTTTGAGAAGGTGAGTTCCATCCTTGCTTCACCGCCTAGTTTACTAGCGAAGCTCATCCACTACAGAATGCGGCAGGAGGTGAGGTAGGCGGATTTAGATTCATTAGAGATACTGAACCCATATTACATTTTTGAGAGGCTATAAATATATCTATTGAATCTACTCCTATGAATAAAATAAAAATGTCCCTAAAAGAATTTTTATTTTCCTACCACGCTGATCAATTCTCGACATGGAGGTGAATCATGTCCATATGTCGAAAAATCAAATTTGCTGCACGTGCGGAGGAGTGACAGATGTGACAGGAGCTGGAGGTTCGCGAAACGTTGGAAACTTGAACTGTTTCGGCCACGGTTTTACGCCCCCGACGATCCCGCTTGCGGGAATGCGTTCAGCTGAAGCCCGGTCCAATGGGAGGTTTCAAATGTGCGCTGATTGATCCACTTATCTGTCATAGATGTTACCACTTAAGTTTTTTTGTAAGGCACTTCCCAGCACGATGCCTTCTACGTCCACCCGCGTCTTGTATGCATCAATGCCGGAGACATACTCACTCCAGCGACTCTAATTAAATCGCCTATCTTTCTAGAGATGTCTCTCTACGAAGAATCCCTTCGAGCAAATTCTTGGGCCGATTTCTCCCGCAGTCTCTCCCGACGCTTCACCACACTTGAAGGATGGCGTGAAATTGGCACCGGAGTGTATGCCATGAGCTCGAACATCCTCTTTTTCTCTATTAAAAACCAATTTGATCCCGAAAAGTACCAGGACGATCGGACATCTTGGACCCGAGCGAGCAGGGTCAATGTCACTAGCTTTTATTCATGGCCGGATAAGAGGAAGACAGTGGAGAGCACATCTGGAAAAGTGATCCAATCTTTCCACACAGTAAACCTACAAAGGCCACCGCTTGGGGCAATCCGGACTATAAGCCTCCAAGGGCCCTCGATTTTGGAAGAGGGCGAAGGATCGGAGGCACGGAATCCACCGCCTGAGAAACAATATCACATATTCTCACAAAAGAAGAAATGGTTCGTGGTGGCAATGGTTGGAGCTACAGGGACTTTGTCAGTTCTAACACCATATATCTATCTCCCCTTGCTTGTTACCATTGCGAAGGTATGTTTTCAACCATGTATGCATCGCTCCAATTTTTTACTGAACATTTTCATGTAGGAGTTCAACCTTGGGCTCGGCTCCGTGGCTCTTACGATCAGCTTATACTTTATCTTCCAAGGCATATTTGCAATGTTTTGGGATGCAATATCTGATACGTTTGGGAGAAGGCCAACTTACATCTACTCAATATTTACCTTCCTCGCCACGAATATCATACTCAGCTTCTCACCAAACTTTGCAATCCTCCTTGTTTTCCGTGGGATCCAAGCTGCCGGTATTGCTTCAGTTGTGTCCATGGGCAACGGCGTCATTCTAGATATGACGCCTTTGCCGGAAGCGGACAACTTTTTCAAGGCCTACCAAGGCGTTCGCAATGCCAGCATGGTTTTTGGACCCCTTTTGGGCGGCGCCTTATCCAACTCTCTCGGGTTTCGATCAATTTTCGTCCTACTACTTGTCCTTTCCTCCACGATCTTCGTTCTGCTTCTTCTATCTCTCCCTGAGACCCTTCGTAGCGTTGCGGGAAACGGTTCGGTTGACCTTCATGGCATCCACGAGCCTCTACTCTCAAAGTTTAACCGTTGGAAAGGGAATGTCAACACCCCGCCTTGTGTAGATGAGGGGGAGGAGGATTGCGTTCGGCCGAAGGTTTCAGTCAGAATGTTCCTGGAGCCGCTGTTGCTACTGAACGAGAAAGATATCCTCCTGAGTTTGCTATTTGCAGGTGTCACCTACGCAGCTTGGGGTATGGTATTGGTGAGCACCGCGGGGTTGTTCAACAGTGTCTTTGGCTTGAATGACCTTTTCCTTGGCCTTGCATTTATTCCAAACGGTATGTGTTCTTCCTCTTTGTACCCCCAACATACCCAATCCCCACATACCCAATTTCCACCTATCGCAACTAGCTAATGGTACTTCTAGGCTTGGGCGCAATGGTCGGTTCAGCAGTGATGGGAAATGTATTAGAGCGCGACTTCCTCGAAGCTTGCTCAAAACATAGAGCAGTCCACTCATTACCACCTACTTTTACCCTCTCCCGGAGTTCGCTTCCAGCCGACTTTCCTCTCGAGCGCTCGCGCCTCGCGCGACTCCCCTGGGTCACGATGCTATTTATTCTAAGCATATGCTTTTATGGCTTTTCGCTCGCATCTCCTTCCTTAACGAAACGACAGGGATGGATTGTCCTGCCCTTATTGCTTCAATTTCTCATTGCCGTCTCGACGACTTCAGTCTGTGCAATCCATCAAACGTTGGTGTCAGATCTATGCCCTCGACAGGGTGCTTCAAGTGCAGCAGTGAACAATCTTATGAGATGTTCCTTCGCTGCTGTTGGTGTGGCCCTTATACAAAAGATAATTAAGGGAGCGGGTGTGGGTCCCGCATTTGTGGCTTTGGGGTTTGTCATAATAATATTAATGCCTTTACCTGTATTGCAGTGGTACTTTGGATCAGAGTGGAGAAGAGCAAGGGAGGCACGGAGGGCAGTAACGTTCGAGGGAGAGAAGAATGGAAAAGCAAGCTGGGAAGGGGTTCCATAAAGCTGAACTTTTAAGGTTCTTGTTTGAATGCGCAAAAATTCGCCTTACATATTTACGCAGCTTTTTTTTTACTTCACTACAAGGGCGCGCTGAGGGACGATTTGCCAAGGAAGCAACCCAGAGCTAGAACGTGGAGTGCTGTCAGGCGCCATATTCCCCCCATGCTAGCCCCTAGCAGCTCCTAATTCCTTTCTGCCGGCAAACCGATACGAGGGAACTCTCCCATAAGTTATTTCATTAACCTTGAATCAGTTTAGCGGTCTCTAGTGCAGTGCTCTACACTCCCGAAATCAGCAACTTCCACCCCCGGCTCGTCCCAAATCTGCCAAGTAAGCATATATCCCCTTTAGGATGGGTCAAATGACGTCGTGTTTCCAATCTACGTGTACGTACTCTCCTCTTTATCTTTCACGCCCATTCCTTGCTTCCACAGCTTCTGTCGCATAAGCTCCTTCAACGGTTTTCGTTATGTCATGAAAAGGCTTTACAAAGCTGCTGTAGTTTTTAGGTCCATCTGCCCTATCGACGACAGGATCATATTAAACGCATCTGCGCTTGCTGCAGAATGTTCCGCTTCATATCGGTAGGGCGATTATATAAATTGCCCAGCCTTTTCCCCGGTACGCCCCATGCATGCACATGTTTAGCCAACCAGCCCTGTCGCAATACCTAGTAACTATCCATCTCTCGTAAGCTCAAGCTTGCATCTCACATGCTGTTTGCTGCCAAATCATGAGAATCGCAAGCTTTTCGTCTGCTCCCGAGATCGGCTACTCCTGCCTGCTAGCCTGAACCTAGTAAAGACTGTCCCTCATTACTATCTCTTGACAACAATATCCTTCCCGTAACCCTTCAATAACGCAACGGTGATCTCGTTTGTTTCATGCACCTAAAGGTTCCAAGATGCGGGGATAAGTACGGCTAAAGAGATTCAAGGCTACCCTTGATCATTGAGTCCCTTGAAAATGTCGATAGGGTCGACTTGGTTCCCCACGGCTCGTGTCCATCTCTTGCTCATTCGCAGTCGTGGCCTTCTGCCTAGTCGTTTCTGAGTATGGCTCATATTTCTTCCGCCATTGTTCTTACCTTCTTGACAATTGGTACCATTAGCGGTCCAGTTTCTCAGGGCACGGGTTTCGCGGCAGCGATCGAGCAAACGTACGACTATGTAATTGTTGGGGGAGGTCTTACAGGTCTAGTAGTTGCGAACCGGCTGTCCGAGGATAAGACAAGTACCTTTTATGCCTTCTATTCTGTCGTTGAACCTGGCTAACTGTGTCCTCGTAGAGTCGGTCATTGTGGTCGAGAATGGTTATATCGATGATTCGCCAGCCACAAGCATCCCCTATATGGCGGGCTTCGTCAACACAGAAGCCATGTATCCAATTACAAGCGCTGCTGAACCACATCTTAACAATCTTACATTTCCGGTCCGAGTCGGTAATGTGGTAGGTGGTGGATCTGTCGTGAACGGAATGATGTTCGATCGAGGTTCAAATGCAGATTACGACGCATGGAAAGACCTTGGGAATGAGGATTGGGGATGGGAGGGGTTGGAACCGTACTTCAAGAAAAGCACCCACTTCACCCCACCCTCAGAATCTTCGTGCAGAGAATTCGGAATTACCTACAATGTGAGCGCATATGGAAGCGGCCCCCTGCAGGTCTCGATACCAAGCTTTCAATACCCCGACTATGCGCCAATTTTCAAGTCATGGCGCGCTGAAAACATCTCCATGCCAACCGAAGCATTTTTGAACCCACTTGGGGCTTTCTGGGCCCCTAATACCGTTGATAACACAACCGCTACCCGCTCTCATGCGCGCAAGGCGTACTACGATCCTGTTCAGTCCAGGACGAACCTCAAGCTCCTTTCCGGTACTCATATTGATGAAATACTTTTCGACGACAAGAATACAGAGAAGATTATCGCAAGCGGTGTAAAGATTACATCTCGCATCGATGGTTCAACCACAAAATTATATGCCTCTAAGGAGGTCATTCTTGCAGCGGGCGGCATTTTTACTCCTCACTTACTAATGGTATCTGGAATTGGCCCTAGAGACATATTAGCAGCTGCCAACGTTACGGTTAAGAAGGATATGCCCGCAGTTGGATCCAACTTCCAAGATCACGTTCCCGCCTACATGTCCTTCAACTTATCAAACCGCGCCTTTCCCAATCCAGACTCTGTTGCCAGCAACGCTTCGTTCAACGCGTCAGCTGCAGTGCAGTATGAGGAGAGTCGCTCCGGCCCATGGTCTGTCGGTCGCGGCAATGCCCTCGCCTTTCTCACATTCAAGCAATTCTCCTCTAACTACCAGCTCATCACTTCTCAGATCCCCCGACAAAAAGCTATACAGTTTCTTCCAGAGCAGTACTCAAAATCTAGGGCATTGCTAGCAGGCTTTGAGAAACAGCGCGAGATTCTTATGAAAGAGTATCTTGGTGATGATGCCGCGGTCGGCGAATTCGGCATCCAGCCTTCAGGACGTGCCACTGCTTCGATACAGAAGCCCCTATCTCGCGGGACACTCAAATTGAACACCACACATCCCCAAGCATTTCCTATCGTTCAATGGAACGCGCTTCAGAACCCGATTGACAAAGCAGTGCTGGGCGAAGCCGTTCGTTGGAACCGGAAACACTGGGCTCGCAAAGAGCTTTCGCAATACAGCCCGGTAGAAACTGCTCCGGGTGTCCAGTACCAGTCTGATGATGAAATCGTGGAGGGGTGTCTCAAGACAAATGCGTTACAGCCAAGCTTTTCACATCCCAGTGGAAGCTGCCCAATGATGCCTGAAGAACTCGGGGGTTGTGTCAGTGGGAGTCTCCTTGTATATGGTATTCAAAAGCTGTCTATCGTGGATGCTAGCATCATACCAATGATCCCAGCTGCTCACCTTCAGGCTACTATGTATGCCGTTGCTGAAAAAGCGGCTGATATTATCAAAGGGAGAAGTAAAGAGCCTTAGTAGATGCATCAATGTAACAAGTACACTTCGGTACTGAATTGCTCATTCCTAGGCAGAAAAGGACTTTAGAACATGGTGATGCGGGTTGTGATGCCTTCACTCATGTAAGGTCAACGAAATGCAAGTCAAAGTGAATTTATTGACTACGCTCTTCCCACTGACTAGTTTTCCAGCAAGCGGAGTCCCGGTTCGGTTTAAGGCGGCTCATTGACGTATCCATGGGTGGCGGAAAAAGAGGCTAATTAAGCTCCGCAAAAGATAAGCTTACACCATCGTGATGCTTGTTTCTTGCTACCATGCCCACACCACCACTGTCTGTGTACTGTGTGGTAAGAGGATGACGTACCCGTACACGTCACAGTCTAGTAAATTGTGCTCGGAAAAGGAAGTAACGGCGCTAATTTAGCGCTAACACTTGAGGAGGTCTGAAATGCCGACCGCCTTCTTCGCTCATCCGCAAAGCCAAGCACGAAAGCTTTATGTTTCTATACACCCAACGTCTATCATACAGAGGATCGAGCCGACTGGCCAGCAAATCTCCTCAATTTTCTCAATGTATCCCATCCACTTCGCTTCAAAGCAACCCCAATCAATATTAGAAGGACCCACTGATAGGGAGCAGTGCCGCTATCAGATTGTTGATCCGGGATTTCGCCCTCGAGGGGCAGCACCAAATAGGACTCCCTGAATACGAGTAGCGCTTTTAAACACTACCCACCAAACTATCGCACTAATACGTATAACAAAATGAATGACGACCCACAAATTCAGGATACCCCCAATCTCCCCCCCATTTTACTTTGAGTTTTCTAATTCAACTTAGCCTGCCATCTGAGCACCTCAATAGGAGGTGGCCATTCTGAGTCTCCTGAACAGTTGCCTGCTTCCCACACTCTCCCAAGCCTTTTAAAAGGTCGATTGCACAAGAATTTGTGGCTCCGCCATAGTATGCAACGTAGCAAGCCACGGCAGATGGAGAAAAGGCTGATCCTGAGTACACATTGGGAAAAGAGACAACACTGCATAAAGGCGAACAGAATCCCACAAGCTTAGCTAGAAAAAAAACTAGCAATCTGCTTGGTTGTCGAAACCATTGATCTCAGCTCTCTCTCGGCGTGCTAGGCGCATTTACCGTCGGCATGATAGCCGGTGTCTTGTTAGCTGTCAGCCTGAGATTAGTGGCAATCTACACAAAACTCTGTCGTCGGCCAAGTCAAGATACGTTGCCCTTGTATAGTCCCTTACTCCGAAATTTTGAAAACGCCCTGGAATCTGTGCTCTAGTTTGGATCCCTGTCTCGATAATTGTCCTATTATTCTTGCACTGCCGCTAGTTTACGCCTGTTTTCCAACTTCGGATACATCGACTTTGAGTCCAGTATTGCCGCAATCCTCACCACTATCATCGCAGCCGGTATTCAAGCTAGCGATGCACCCGAGGTACTTTCGGCCGTTGAGATGATTTGTATAGTCTCTAGAGGGAATTACCTACTCTAGCTTCTTATCCACCACCAAAATAATATTCGCTTGCCTGTTCGCTGTCCGTCAATTCAGTGTTCCGTGTCCGAAATGCACACACCTAGCAATTACGTGAAATTCGTCCAGTTTGCTCACCAAGGGTTTCACATTCAACTTTCTGGCACCCTTCTGGTTCCAGCTGATTAAAGGAGGGAAGTGGTATGATGGCTGGAAGAGCATTTCTTTTTCCGTCGTAAACGCAATTGTCGTTTGTATTGGTCTCGTGGTTTTTGGGTGTGGCGGGTATGTGAGCGTCCAGGATATCATCAATCAGTATAATGAAGGCGCTGTTCGGGGGTCTTTTACCTGCTCATCGAGCGCGTACTCATAACCGGAAACATACTTTTTTTAGCATCTTCTCAGTACTTAGCCTTCTATCGAACTGAAAGTGCGATTCTTCCCTATCGAAGTTTACTATATACTTCTCAGTATCTTGTTAAGTTCTCTTCTAAGTAAATCTACGTATACTTCACTTCAGAGGAAATTTCGTCTATTGTATTTAGAATAGGATGTCTCCGCCAAGCACTGCTCTCCTCGGTGTTGCGATCTTCTCGTCTCAGCTGGTTTGTGGCTTCCTTGGCTGGCGCTTCAGTAGCCTGAGGTTAGGCGATCATCCCAACGATCAAAAAGTCCCAACTGGTTTAACATTCAAAATTGATTCTCAGCCTTGTGCTACTCACCTGACGTTTTCCTTGAGGTCGTGAGACCATGTCCTAACGTGGCTGGAGTGAAGATGAACTTGATATGATCATGGTCAGAAGCATTTCCGGATTTTTCCTCTAGCCTCGCCATGTTCGATCATATAATGCGGTCAATCCCTGGACGCTACTAGAATACCTTTAATCGAAGCCTACTCTCCTCAACGTTAACCTTCTCACATGACCAACTTTGACCTGATACGCAGCGCCTTCAACTTACCAGTCTTCAGTCAAATCCCGGACCCCAACTTGACATCATGGCCGATAGCTGGGACAGTTATAACTATACCGTCGCCAGCCAAAGCTCCCCCCAGCTTCCGGACACATGGAAGATCGCACCCCTGGACGTCCTCAACGGTGACATCGACGCAATAGCAAAGTGTCCAAAGACATCTACAACCTTCATCGCCTTTGCCATCTCCAACGTCATCGTCACCGTTGTCGGCATTCTTCTAGGTTGTCGGCCTATAATTCACAAACTGTCCTGCCATGTCCTTGGAAAACGGGGAAAGCAGAACACGATTCTGTATAACTGGATATTTCCGCTCGCACTGCATGTCGGCGCCAATGCCCTTGTTGGAGTGGTCATTCACAATACCCCAGGATATGAGAATGTTAAAGTCCAGGATGCGATGATGATTTACTTCGTTCGGCCGCGGATCTCGGTGCTCGCATTGGCGACTATGAGTTGTTTCTTCATGTCCCGCGAGGATTATCCGTGGATGTATGCCCTTCTAGCTAATACGATTGCGGAGTTTATTCTCCAGGTTATTGCAGGTATGAACTTGCGCTGCTTCACCGTGCCTAGATCGAGTTGTCGCTAATGCGTTGTCCTGCTCATGCAAACAGACATATGGGTTATCTACACAGGCATCAATCGCTGGAACACAACAGCCCTCGGCATTGCGGCCGCAATGTGCATATCCACAGGTCTTTTTTTCATCGTGGCTCTGCTCATCGTCATCGCATCGCGGCCGTACGACTCAACTGGTGGACAAGTCTTTCACATAGACTATGCCGCCGGCTTTAAGGTCTCGAATTCATTTGGGAATAGGTTTTGCAATTGGTTCGCTATGATGATGTTTGGAGTCCCGTCATATCTTATAAGCTGGGGGTTTTTCACCAGCTTGATTACTACAGCGAAGACCGAGTAAGCTGTGATCTTTCATTTGAGGAATTAGAGTGTACGGAACGGCTTCTTCGGATTCGGATTTCGAAGTACGTGAGAGCTGACATGTATATTCTGTAGATGGTGTCCGCCCAAGCTTGCCGCTCAAGTTGCGATATGGGTGTTGTTTCCTCTTCTCGGTACGCCGTCATTTAGATCATTTAATGTGTGGTTGCCTAAACTTGTGAGTAGGGACTATATTCGGTGTCGCAGTCTGTTAAATCATGGTATCATGAAAAACTAGAGGCGATGCTGGTTGACGAATGTAATAACTTTTCCGCGTGCAGCAAACGCCTAGCAAGTTTCCGAAATTTGCTGCAATAATTTATACTCGAAGAAGACATAATGGTAACGAGTCAAGCTAGTTTTCACATATGTTGTGGTAGTAATTAACACAAAAATGGTGGCTCAGGAATGAGGTTTTCATGCACGAACAACCAATCTAGAGTAATCTTGACTTCATCGGTCATGTAATACAGCATCCTTGGGCCTCATCGTACACGACGTATTAACGCAACATACTCCCACTTGTCTATCATACTAGAGTGCATCATCCTTTAAAAGCCAACCCCTGTACCTTCCTCGGAGCATTAACTGTACCATTCCCACTCCGCACCTCCAAGAACTCTGCCATTCTCTCACTCCACTCCCACGGTCTCGTTTGCCCCCCAGGACTACTATCAAAATACTCCCACCCCGCCACCCCCTTAAAATCTTCATATTTTTTGGTCAACTCCCCCAACATCTTCCCCACCATCTCCAACCCCACAAAACCCCCCGCATTCGCCTTATTCGTCGTCATCCCCACAACCACCTTCTCAGGCTTAAAACCAAACTCCACTATCCTGTCATAGTCCCGAGTGTCACCCACCCAGCCAAATGTATTGTAGAACTGTGCGTGATACCACGCAATCTCGTTCCCGCGCTTGGCTTCCAGAATCGTGTAGTTGAAGCCGCTAAGATTGCGACCACCATTTAGCGCCTCCGCAACAGGGGACATGGTAATCAAAAAGCCAGACCCGAAGTCCCTGCGCAGGCGATCGATGAGGCGGATTACGTCTGGCAGTGAAATTGCGGTGGGATCCTCGACGTCGATGTCGATGCCATCGAAATTATGTGTTTTGAGACCGTCGTGGAGAAATGCGTAGTTGCGCTCAAAGAACGACTGATTGCCGGATAGCGTGTGGAAGTTTCCAAGCAGCATGGCAGAGATTTTGATGTTATGCTTTCTAAGTTGGGAGGTGTCGGACCAGAGACGGTCGAAGGCTGGCGAGTCGATGGAGTCGGAGTTGAGGAAGAGACCGGTTATATTGAGGTCGAGGGTTGCGACAATGACGTTTGTCACGACGGGTGGCGATGAGCTGTTGATTAAGGGGAGGAGCGAGACGTGCTTGTCTTCAGTGTTGTTGATGGCGCTGTGGTAGTAGATGATTCGTTTATCTGAGGAATTGTAGTTGCATTGTGCAATGCAGGAGAAGAATGAAATGAAGATTGTGAAGCATAGAAAACTAGGAAACTTCGAGGAATACATTATACTTAAAGCTTACCTTGGTTAAGAGTGACTTATTTAAGGGGATTCTTCTTTACTTATATATCTTGTCTGCCTCTACCTCCTTGAAATCAACTGTTACAAAGGAGTTGCTCCAGCTGTTAATATTAGGATATGATGTCAGATTGCTGCTCTGTTTTTGACGCTCCCAGGGCGAAGCTTAATCATTCTGCAAACTAATTTTTCTAGGTTAGTGGGCCTGAATAAGGCAGGCCACGGTCGACGTCTGGCAAACGACGTACGATTTCAAGAGTGCGGCCCAATAAGCAGTCGCAGATGGTGCACTCCCAAAAAAGGATTCGGCTGATGGGAAATCGTGTATGTCATATTTCCAAACTGAGAACTTAGCCTTGGAGCTGTTTCTATTAGGGTAGACAAGTTTCGCTGCCGCGGTATACTTTCGTTCAAGTGGAGTTCCTAATCACCCCTCATTATCTAGGCTCCTCCGGCGCCCCACCCGAGAATTTCCTGCCTTACGCTCACTGGTACCATCATTTGCCCTATCCATGATAAACATAGTACTACGTGGACGACCTCCTCCTATCGATGCTCAACTTTCATTTCCACTGTTAACACCACTGTTTGCTCCACTGACTCGTTCCCTCTCTTCCTCCATCATCTCGGCCGCTTCCCAATCATCGGCAACCTCGACGGGTTTTTCCTTTTCCACCTTCTTCTTTGTGCTGCTTAGACTGAGAACAGCAAATCCACCCCTTGTTCCAAGAGCTACATTCTTCTCGACTTTCCTTGCTGGCGCACCTTTAGCTGCAACTTGGCTCCAACCAGCTCCAGGCCCAGCATCTACCTCTTTTCGAAGAATATTCAATGACGAATCGAGACGTACAAGCTGGAGCTTGCCAATAGTGTGCGCAGAGATGGCCTGCGATAGAATTGGTTTGAGAGCTTCTAGAGTGACCTGCATATCGCGCTCTGGCATGGTGACACGCGCCATGAGCGGCGGCCTCAGGGCTACTTCCTCACTTGGGAGAAAGTTGACTTCCAACGGGAACGGCGCGTTCGGAATCGTACTCTTAACGAGCGAGTTAACTTCCTCCACTGTCAAGGCGAAGCGAGGGTTCGTAATAAGGAATGCATTGAACGGGTCACCAGACATGTTCGTAGGTTTGGGACGAAGGGTTGTAATAATCGGCGGGGAAGTGGTGACACGCTGAACTTGTCGAATCCTTGCACACTCCGCCAATGTCTTCATTGGAGCCATGACGAAGCGTGGAGTTTTGAAAATAGCGACGTGGCGGTGAGGCTCAGGGTCCATACTCTCAGAGTCGAGTCCAAAATCTTCCGCAATAGAGTGCAAGAAAGCTCGATGGTTCGCAGGCATGGGCTTGAAACGTAAGCGTTTCTGCGCTGGGTCGGCAGCAAACAGCCGAAATTCTTTTTCCTGCGTCGCCGCCCAGGTAGAGTTTTCTTGATACATGTCCATAGTCGCCCCTGAATATTGAACATGATCATCTTGATGTGTGACGGGATCGATGTTGAGCGCCAGTGCGAGTTTACGGTTTCGCTCAAGTCGGCCGCATTCATCATCACACTTGAGTGCCTTCTTGAGGTTTCCGTCGCTGCTCCTGGATGCATTGCATTTTGCCTCTTGCTTGATCCGCTGACAATCGCAGGTGACGAGTATCTTGTGTTGACAAGGCTTGTCTTCTTTGCACGGAATCGGAGAATGACAGGGAGCCAGGCACGGGTGCCCACAAACACTGAGCTCCTTTCCACAGGGTTGCCTACAAGGCTCTGCACACTCGCCTGGGCGATGGCACTGCTTCTGGCATTTATGTGCACCGCATCTCAACCTCCTTCCGCATGTTTCACCACACCGCACCTCGATTAACCAGCAAGGCTGATTACTCAGCGTATTTTTGTGACAAAGACAGAGCTTGGTAGTCAGGAACGGGCATTTGGGACAGCTCTCTTCATCCTGGTGACAGTTGTGCGCCACCTGGGGATGTCCACACATCTTCGGTCGTTCGCATTGGAATCGGCAGGGCGGAGGTTTCGTGCCACAAGGCAACGGCGGTTGCAAAACAGTATGGCCACAGTTGCAACTGATCTCCTCGAAGATAGCCTCTCGGCATGTACCACAGGCACTTTTATGGCAGAGCTCCTGGCAGCGATGGTCTGGGTTTCCGCATTTCAACGGCCGATCACAAATCCGTGTGCAGATATGCTCAGCTTCAAAGGCTTCGTCAGGATTTCGTGGCGTAGAGCTCAACGGGCGAAGCTTTCGTCGACTAGATTGTCGCTCGCTTGCTTTTCGTTCTCCTGGGCAGCATCGCTCTCCACATTCGTGCCTGCCGCAGTTGAGAGAAACTCGGCAAACTCTCATGCATTGCGGCAACTCTTCTGTTCCTTGGTGACAAATACTAGGGGAAGTTGTACGACCACATCTGCAAGTGATGGACACGATCTGAAGGCAAGGCAGGCACTCTCCCTGGTGACACAGTTGCCGACACTCGTGGCCACAATTAAGCAGCTTCCCACAAGCCTTAAGGCAGTTCGGGATTGGATCCTCACAAGATTGGCGTACCGTGTTTGATATTTCCTCCAGAGGCGTCTTGCCACAAGGACAGTGAGAGACAAGATCCGGAGAACGTGGACAGTGGGGAGATTGGGCGTCCTGCTTGTGGCACAGCTTTTCACAGTAGTGCTTTCCGCAGTCGAATTCTCGTCCGCATACATTAGTGCATTCAAACAAGCCGACCCAATACTCGACAGAAACCGAGCCATCCGAGGCCAGATGCGACTGACTGCTTTCCATCTGCTCTCCTCGATCACAACACAATATATCTTTCTGGCTGTGTCCACAATAGCACCGGGCCGGGACGCGAACTTCGCAAGCACCGCATAGACCTTCATGACACGGACGGGGGCAAGTATGTTCTCCGCAGAGCATAAGATCTGCACAAATATCCCCGCAACTCCACCCTTGTTCGTAGTCTGTATCGACGCAACGACGAGTGACGGACTTCTTCCCGCAGAAGCAAGACTGGGTGGGACCCATTTGAGTGCATGGAGGACAAGGACCAGCATGGCAAGTAGAGGGGCAAGGATGGGGGCATTTTTTGGGAATTAGGCGCTGTCTGGCGCAGGTTTGTCCACAAGAAAACGGAGGTAGGCCTGCGAGTGGCTTCGGATCCATCTCTTTCTCACACCAGCAAGCGAAACTCTTTGGTAAAACATCCTTTGGAAGGTTGCATCCGGGACATCGCCACTGGCGGGGTGGAGACGGTTCACCATCTTGGGCTTGCTGGTGAGCAGCAGCAGAGCCTTCCTTGGCGGACCACTTCTTAATACAACCTAGGTGGAAGACGGTCCAACAGGTGCGGCAGGACCAGACCCGAGAGTGCCTCCGCACGTCCTCCGTACAGATGGCACATTCATAGTGTCCATTGTCGATATCTTCATGGGTCCGTGTGGCAATGTCCGGGGCAGTCGATTTTGAGGCTCGTGGTCTACGCTGTCGTGGTAGCTGATGGCGGGGGACAACGGGTTGGCCTGGTTGAAATTCTGGAGCATCGGCCTGGAGGGTTGAGGCCCCGGGCCTGGCACTCTCCTCGGTGGCCTCGGTCAAACGGCCCCCAAACTGCCTCCCACCAGGAACCATCCGTGGGGTGTGCATCGACGATCCGCGGCTACCTCCCCTACCTCTTCGTCCTCGCCGCGGGAGGGTGTCAGCTGTGCTATGGGTGCCCGATGCCTGGGTCGTTTGTGTTGTTGACAGCGGGTTTGCTTGACGATTGCGATTCCCAGGCCGGTGCCGTCTCTGGCCGCGGGGAGGGAGGTCCATGTTGGCGGCTGCTTGAGTGACGTGAGCGGAAGGAGCCAGTCTCAGACGGGAAGCTGCTGGTGGGATTAGAGAGGGGGTTAGGGAGGGGGTTAGAGACGGTGGGATTGAGTGCTCGAACGAGACGATATAACATGACCAGAGGTCGGTGGCAAGTAGCACCTAGGTAGACTTTTGTATAGAACCCCAAGGCACGTGCCAAGCACAGCCTGGAGGGCGGCCAGGGAGAGGCGATGACTCAAGAGTGCTTTGCCAGCGGCTGAGCAAATGAGTGAATTGCTGTCGAAGTTACAGTGACTCCTCGCTGCTGCAGCCATAGCCCCGGCCACAACTTCCGAGCATCGAAAATCTCGAGAGCGTCATCGCTGGGGGTTGGGTCTTGGCACTGCCAAGCAAACACCCCTGCCCCCGTACCGCTCAAGCTCCCGCTATCTCCAGCTTCACCAGTAGCACCAGCTTGTCCAACACCGCAATCCATCAGACACCATGGTGAAGCCACTCGTCGCCGCTCTCGCCCTCTCTGCACTGCCTTCGACTCTCGCCTTCCGCAACACATCACCCTTCTTCCTCTTCTCGACCGCAGAGTATGGGCCCCCCGTCGCTCCTGCCACTATCGCTAGGTAGCTAACCGCTCCAGGCTCCCCCTCAACTCCGTCCATACCGCAGTTGCCCAGTCGGCGAGAGTCTCCGGTCAGGTGACAGACTCCCTCAAGAACTGCCCCTCGAGGACCTACTTCATCGTTCGACAGGATGGCGTCGCGTCGGCCGATTATCTCGATGCTCTCTCGGCGCCGCGACTGGCTCTCTACCTAGGGGACCAACACCCAGACGTGAAGAGTCATATGGCAGTGTCTGAGGTGGTGGGCAGCCTAGATACCAAATTAATCTCTAAATTTCTCGAGTCGCAATGTGGCGCCGACGTCGTACAGGTCGATGGATCTCGTAGGCCTATCCCGCTCCCCAAACGACTATCGCTAAACATCTTAACAGTGGCAGAAATGCTAAAGCCATCAGCGCGATCAAAGGATAGTGCGCCGCTGATTGTCGAGCTTACCTTTCCCGCTCCAACCACTTCGCAGCGCTCTGTGATGCTCGAGAAGCATGGTACCTATCCAAAGTTCTGCATGACGTTGATATCCTCCTAATGTTCGAACAGACGAGAACCTCGGGAACCTAATCGCCGGTTATGCCGACTCCCGAGACTATACCGTCATATATGCTACTACCGCACCAACCGAAGTGCAAACCGAATCTACTTTCCAGACACAGCCCACCTACGAAATGGACGATGCATTCGGCAACGCAGTACATATGGAGCTGAAACGAGACATGACTATCCACAAGAGGGCTTCTTCTAACGATGGGGGTCTCTTTGAGAAGTACCAATTCTTCTCCCCAGGCTTATTTATGGGACTTTCCGCAACCATCCCACTCTTCTTCATCCTCTTTATCGGCCTCAGGGCGATCAGCAGCCTCGAAGTGTCATATTTTGCCTTTAGCAAAGAAATGGGCCCCACTGCGCAGAAGAAGTAGTAGTAGCTCGAGGCTTTGTTCGTGTACCTACATTCTGTAACTTATGTAAGAGCATGGGTCTAGGCGTTTTGATGGACGGAGATTTAGCGAAATTCGGGTTCCCTTCTCTAGACTGTATCATTGACTGCAGAACAGATACTGTTAAGTCCCGCTCTTATCCTAGTATTGCGGTGCATTTTCCTGACGGTAATACTTTGTTGTCTTTCAACAACCCTTGCCTTACTTGCATGATGGATGACTCGAAACTGTTAGCATGCATGCATGCACAGCCACACTCTCCAGACTTCCAGAAACACTCAAACAATCGTCGTTTAGTAGCATTTCCGATTCCTTACTCCCCACTCCTCTCAATTTACCTCCTCTAGTTTTCCCACACCCTCCATCCTATCGTCAACATGCCATCTCGCCCAGCATTAACCAAACCCAAACCCAAACTTCAATCTCAAACCCTCCCTACCATCTCCCATCTCCCCCGAGAACTAGTCGACACAATAATAACCACGCTAATCCAATCCTACGCCCACGACCCGGCCCATCAATGGACCCACCTACGCCACATAACCCGATTCCACAAAACCCAGCTCGAAAAACACTTTCTCAACTTCTGGCTGCCAAAACTTATCATCACTGTCTATTCAAGCGAATCCACAAGCGTCGACTACCGCGCCTGGAGTGTCTCCAAGCCTGCATCCACCGATTCTACTGCACGATTCAAGGGACGGGAGGGGTGGAAGGACCTCGATGATGAAGAGAGGATGTATTGGGCCGATAATGTTTGGAATAGTACTAGAATGTTACCGAGCGTTCATGTAAGGTTGGGCGTGGGAGAGTTGGGGGAAGGGTATGCAGGGGGGTATATCATTAGTGATGTTGAGATTCCGGGACTTAGGACCTCGGGAGAGGGAAGTAGTGTTTGGTTCAGGTGGATGGAGCTGTTTGATTGTTTATTCAGAGAGGAGATGGTGATGAGGAATGTGCAGGGGAAGCTGGTGAGTATGAACCTTGTTTTTGTGAATCTGCATCTGTTTTTGACGCTAGAGATCATATCGATCGATCGATCGATCGCTCGGTCTAGACAGCTACATGGAGGCGAGGCGAAGCTTCAATTCCAGACCCAGATCCATTTGCTAAACAGACTTAACCAGGTCCAATCCCACATCACAGCCGTCAAATCGCAAAAAGCCTGGCCAAACACCAAACCTGCTCAGCGCGCCGCTCTCATCGACTTCCTGCGGACAGAAGTGCAACTCCGTCGCCGCGACATCCTCCGCCAATGGCGCAAGCACAACCCGCCTCGTCTCCCAGCCTTGACTGAGAAGTATTGGGACCCTAAATACAAGCCATACGTCCAAGATAACCACCTCCGCGAGAACCCTCCAGATATTCTCGCTGTGGTAGCGGTCGAGGAAAGTATGGTCTTCACGATGAAAGGGTGGCGCAATTGGGATGTATGCGAAATTGCGAGATTACGGGCGAGAGAGGCGAAATGGGAGTGTCGGGATTTTGACCGGGGGTGGAGAGAGAAGAGAGTTGTGACGTGGCGGGAGAGAAGGAAGGAAGTGATGCAAGGGGGGGAGCTGGAGTTGGTGAAGAAGTTGAAAGTGTGTAAGAGATGGCCGGAGGAGTCTTGGAAGGAGGAGGAGATTTGGAGGGAATGGTGCGCTGGGGGTTGAGGGAGCGGAGAGGTGCGCGTTGAGAGTGAGTTGATGGGGGTGGACGGTGTAGTTTTCAAATGTATCGGTGAGGCTAACTAACATACAAGGAGAGGCTTCTAATTTTAATTACTCTAGCTCTAGCCTTATTGCCATGAGTAGAGAAAACTTGAACGAACCCATTATCTAATCCTATAGGTATCATACGCCGGAAAGAAGAACTACGCGCTCTGAGTCAAACCTTAGGAAAGTTCCCACTGCATCTCAATCACATCCCATACAACGACTACTTTCTCACTATACACCAGAATTCTCTGCATGCCCTACCTTCTACAATTCCTCAAAAGAAGCCAGCCGCTAGAACACCTTCTCGGCCTCCGCCTCTAGAGCCTTCTCCAGAGCCTTGTCTGCTACAAGCTCTTTTTCCGCGCCTGCAATCACGCCCCTCAAATGCGACGCACAATTCTCCAACTCTTCCTGCTCCGTCTCATCCAAGACAATTGGCATCGGCCGGATGATCCCCTTGCGTCCGAGGACGGCAGGCATTGACAAACAGCACCCGAGACTCGGCTGGAAAAATGAGATCGGCCGTACCGTGCGCTGGTCGAAGAGAATGTATTTGCAGATACTGGCTGCCATGTTGCCGATGCCGTAGGCGGTGCAGCCTTTGGACGCAATGATAGCGGCTGCGGCGCCGCGCGTGTGCGTTGCGATTTCTTCTTTGAATGCCGGGGTGATTTGGTCAGGAAGCGCGAGACGAATTGGTGAGGTGCCAATTAAGATAGAAGACCAGGCGATCTGGGAAGTGTGAGTTTAGTTTTGCATTGCATAAGAATGGAAAGGTAAAAGTAAATGTGTGTGTGGGTTGACGTACAAACTGGGAATCTCCATGTTCACCAAGCACATATGCATCGATACTATTCGGCGAGACCTCTGTCTTCTGTGCAAGCACTCCTCGCAGTCTAGCAGAATCTAGCGTGGTGCCTGATCCGAGAACTTGGGATTCAGGAAGTCCAGACATCTTTTGGGCAAAGTAGGTTAGGATGTCGACGGGGTTTGCAACGAGAAGAAGAATGGTATTTGGGTTGATGGGAGCCATGGATTTGAAAATTGAGGATAGAATGTGGAGGTTGCGGGAGAGGAGGGAGAGCCGGGATTCCCCTAAGAAAGGTTAGAGCGGATGACATGTCGGAGAATGGAAAAGAGAGAGACAGTTGTTTAATGTGGACAATTTTTGAAAGAACGCTACTTGCAAACTCGATATAGAAACCAAATGGCTAAACTGCGGGAAGTCTGAAGGCCTCAAGGTACAAAATAGAAACAGCCTACCAATCTTTTGTTTAGCACCTGCAGTGATAACAACAATATCCGCCTGTCCAGCATCTCGGTGGGTGCCGGCTCGGACCCTCGTCCCAGTATTGCCACGATACGTGGCATCGCTGAGATCTCTCACCTGTGCCTCAAGGAGTGCTGTCTTGGGGTCCACGAGAATCACCTCGCTACATATTGGGTTGAGGATTAGCGTGTAGGCTAGAGTCGACCCGACGTCACCACACCCAAGGATAGCGATGCTAGTTTTGAGCCTTTGATGTGCCATAACGACAACGTCTTTGCCTGGCGATGTTACTTTGGAGTTGCGGCGGCGGCGCTCCTCGTTGAATGGAAAGACAGATGTTGGTGAGGCTGGTGGTTCGGCCATCACGACCGTGCGTGCAGGTGGGGGTGTAATTGCACGTGGCATAATCTTGGTGTCTTGGGAGCACTAGAAGAAAGAGGAAGCTCACAGAAAGTCAAGGAAGCGATGGAGTAACATTGCATTCACAGGACTATATACATATGTCAAATACCAATAATATTACCATGGCATCAGAGGCAAATCCTCAGCCTCCCGCCAAGCTCTGGACAAACAAACCACCATGGCATGATGGTCAGGTTGGTGACACAGCCGTGAGCGCTGTGCAAACTGTGCCTGTGACAGCTTGAAGCACATGGGAAAGACACCTGGCCGATCAGCCGCCTCCTCCGAAAGAATCAAATCCTCCGAAGGGAGAAGCAGCCAATATCAGGTCTGTGCCTTGCACATGCAGCCTCACCGCCTCACCGCTTCAAAAAGCCACTTAACGTATCTTGCTTGCATGAGTCTTATCGCCTGTTTTCGAGTCGGAGGCGTCCGGTGAAAAGACCACACGGGCTCCACGTCCATTATAATCGTCGTCATGTGGGAATAGTGTCAGGTTGGGGTTGACGGCGCACACCGAGACCGAGGCCCGCCGGGAATCACTGTCTGTGATAACCACTAGCAGCCACCTCCCCGAAGGCATGAGGAAAGAGCGCTCAAGGGTCTGTAATAGGGTAGGAGCGCCCAGGACAAGATGAGGGAGATCGTGATCGGGCTGGAGAGGAACGTGGCAAAAGCCCTCTGCTTGAAACTCCTCCAGCTCCTGTCGGAGACCAATTCCTGAGTTCCCACAGCAGCGACTTGATCTAGGATCCGGCGGTGGTACAGCGCCATCCTCAGCGTGAAGAGCTGCGATCAGGTTTAAGCGGGCAATATGGGTGCTGGTGTGACTCCTGCTCCAAGTCGAGAAGCTCGTAGTTGAACGAGTTGACTTGTGCCAACTGTTTTTCAGCATCTCGATACATGCGCATCAGAACCTCATTGATTGAACCTTGAATCGATAGGGGTCCACGTTCCATAGAGGCAGACCTACGACGTCAAGTTGATATAGACGCTCATTGATCCGGGCTACCAGGCCTTTAACGAAGGGGGATATATGATGATAGTAGTGTAATATACGAGCTGGAGCCGAATTAGCTAAGGTGACTGAAGAATTGGCCTTGTCGTTTGCCGCAGAATCGGTAGACGAGACGGATCGAAAATCACCACCAGAGTCACTACGCTTGCAACCTCATCCTAAACTGGGTGTGAAGTCGCGCGCTGAGGTTGAGCTAGAAGCGCGATTGGTCTTGGATTTCGGTATCTTGTCGATGGCTGGGAAACCTAGTCAACATGGGAAGGTGGCAATGTGCCTTTAGAAGCACTACTTATTCATATGGGGTCGACGGGCGGGTTAGGACGGCTGTGTTCATGAGGATTACCAGTGAAAGGGGTTACTGAAAGTTATGTTAATCTTTGGGATAACTCTCTAGCGCGTCGAGCATGCTAGGGTGTGAGAACAGCAGGATAGAACTTACTCTAATCTAGCTAAGATTATTTAGTCTAGCGGGTGCGGTTGAACCGTGGAAGCAGCGCTGGAGTGGGAGTGTGAGAGTGTGGGGGATGACGTAGAGGTATTTATATAAGCAGAGGGAGGGGATTCCTAGGCTTTGGAGGGGCGCCATGCGCAGGCGGAATGCCTCAATTCACGGTTACTCCATTGGTGATTGATGTGGCTAGGAACGGGTATTGGCTCATACCCCGGGGAGGCTAAAGAATAAGCCTGCCAGCCTTCCTTCCCCGTCATACGCCTGACTGCTAAGCAAATGGACGCCACCAATATCGCTCTAGCTGGTGAGAATAAACAGACCGGATTCCCGTAACCATTCGCTACCAGGGGTTTTGGAGATCATCTTCCAGTGGTGGCACCTCTTTTTGCAGCCTTGAAGCTACTACATCTGCTTCTTTCCACACTCTTAACAGATTGCGTCCAACAATCTTACCAGCATCCTCGTCACTCACCCCTTGTCGGAGGAGCTCGGCTACCAATTCTGGGAATTTCGAAACATCCTCTAGACCGACGGGCGTTGAGTCGATTCCATCATAATCTGTGCCAATGCCCACATAATCATATCCAATGAGCTCTCCTATGTGCATAATATGCCGCACAACCTGGTTCAGTGTCGAGTTAGGGGGATAGAACTCCGGCAGTTCAGATGACGAGCTACTTGGGACACAGGAGATGAATCCAGGACTGAAGTTGATCATGACAATAGAGTTTCGTTGCTTCACATACTGAAGAATGTCATCCGGCACGTTCCGGGGATGCGGACAGATAGCATAGGCAGAACTGTGACTGAAGATGGGTGGCGCCAGACTGCCGTTCCAACCACCGCTTCCGTTGCCTACGAGGACGTCTTTCATAGTATCCTTACTCACATGCGCGAGGTCAACAAGCATGCCCATGCGATTCATCTCTTTCACCAATTCACGCCCGGCTGGGCTCAGACCATGCCAGTAAGGTGTAGCAACTTTCGGCTGGAAGTTTGGTCCAGATTCGCACGCGGCATCAGCGTACTTGTTGTGGCAATTCCATGTCAGAGTGGCGTATCGAACTCCTAGTTGGTGATACAGGCGTAATGTTGAAATCGAGTTACCAATCTGATGAAGACCTTCAATGGCCGCGGGGGATATAAAACGTCCTTTCTTAAAGGCTTTTAAGGCTTCGAAGCTGTCCGTAGTGGGAGTAAAGTATTTCGGATAACTTTGGCCAAGACGCTTAAAAAGATCAAGTTGGTCAAGTGTGAGTCGTACAACTGCACGAATTAGCGCCCGATCTCACTAGCATGTAGATCTAACTATAGATTCAGATACTAGAGAAATGGCTTACTAGTAGAGTATCTGTCATTCGAGAAATCAGTTCCATTTCCCGGCGGACAGGGCATGAAAGCACTCCAGAAAGCGCCGCCCTGTTTCCCTTGGTCCAGACGAGGGAGATCGACGTGTTGTGGAAAGCCACCATTCTCAAACTTGTCTCTAAATTCGGCATCATAGATATGGTTCAGATACCTAGCCCTAATAGAAATCATCAAGTCATTGTGTCCATCTGCCACAGAATCTCAGCGGGTTTCGTGCAAAGTTGATGAAGCCGTACTAACCAATCAATGGGTTCTCGCTGAGAATCTTGCTAGCCCGCTGCTCAATTGTGGGGCCATGAAAGCAATGGTGTGCTTTCAGAACCTGAAGTGGGAATTGAAACCATAGACTCGACGAAAGCAGGACAATAGCCAATAGCGATGCGACAATCCAACGGTCTCTGAGGGTAAACGACCTTCGGTGGCCGGAAGGGACTGGAAGGGACTGGTGCTTCTCATCAGATACAACGCCGGCAATTTTTATCTTCTCCATATTGCCAATGTCGAGAAGAAGAGAGTGAGCAGAGGGGCAGAGGGGCACAGGGGTAGCGAAGTCAGTTGATAGACAGGCGTTCAGGTAGCATTACAAATTATGCTTGGCAGATTCGGGGACGGGATGACGAACTTCCCGACGCTGCCCTAACATTTTATCATCCCTCAATGCGAGTCCTCGTTCTACGTACGATTCAATTGAGGTTACTGCAATCATGGGGGTCGTTTCGGCCTTCACCATAATCCGTGCTCTGTCCTTCTTCCACATTACCCTTGCCTTTTTCTTCTTAACAAACCCAAAGATCATCGCAGACCAAAACGTAGTCTTTCTCTTGGGGGAGTCAATGCAGCTTGTACGAGCTCCCAATTGAACAACACCCACTAGTCGCATGTGACTAACAGTCTTGCAGCCTACGCCCCGAGACTTCAACAAACCTTCCGCCGCTACGGCCTTCATCGCCCTGCTTTTCGCCTTCCTAGCAATCTCGGACCTCACGTCTCTCTCCATGTCCGAGGAAGTGGCTGAATCATATTGGGGTACGCAGACGCCTGTCCGGCTCGTTTTCCTCTTTGCCGTCACAGGCTATACGTATATATTCAAGGAAGGTGGGGCGTTCGCAGAACGGGGACAACATAGCTTCCAATCAGGGGACGATCTGAAGAACAGTATTGTCTTTACCTGGGGCTTCCTAGAGCTGGCAACATGGTTTTGGGTAGGCCAGGCGCCGCGTTCAGACTCGATGTGATTACTAAATCGTAGACAGGTTTTCGTGACTCTCCGAGACGAACGACGACAGAGAGCAGTACGACTGATCGAAAAGCGTAAAGCTGAGCACAACACGTTATAGGCGCAACTCCTGGTCCGCAGTGAATATATAACTGTGCTTATAAACTTTTCTGAGACTCCGTCCTCTGTCGGAGGTGTGATGCGGCTGCGGCTCCGTCGACAGAATAGTTAGAATAATTGTTGGAGCTAAATTGGCTGTTTTTGACGGTGTATAGCGTCGGCTCTGCCTTCTCTCACCTGAGAAAATTCCAGTTCGATGGAAAATTGGAAGAAGTTGGAGAAATACATCAAAGATGGGATGATTTTCTCCAGGTTTGGCTCAGAACGCCGAGTGTGCAACGGTGGGATCCAGCACACTGAAATGGAACGAACCTGGTGGGGAACATGAATTGACCTTGTTAAAGACGGGTGTGGTGGAATCTAACAGAGCGAAATGTTAGATAATGCTATATTCTTAAAACAAAAAATGCTCCTGGAGATTACAAGGGGGTTAAACTATCCAGACACACTTAGGAAGTTGGAAAATTATGTCGAAAGCACAGACCACTCGTAGCAGTTGCACTTCTACCACCCACCCACGACTTCCATCTTAACCATGTCCTTCTTCGGCCGGTTTCGGACTCCAGTCTACCAAAACACCGGCTCAACAGCTCGCGATCACCTTGCGTCTGAACGAACATATCTCTCATGGCTCCGCACCGGCCTCGGCTTCATCGCTCTCGGGATAGCGATTGAGCGCTTCAACCAGCTTGATCTCACATCCCTCCTGTCCAACCCAGCCGCTGAATCAATCACACCTGCGCATAGGAATACAGCGCAGGATGAGAAGCAGAAGGAGAAGGAGCACTTATTGGTCGGCGCACTTCTCGGCACCGGTGGCGGGAGTATCTGCTATGGAACAACGCGTTACTTCTCTAACATGCGCATGCTAGAGAAGGGCTTGTTCAAGCCTGCCTACTTCGGCGCTGCAGCCTTAAGCATTTGTGTCGCAGGGCTGGCGGGCGCTGTCTACGTTGAGGCACTGAGGGAGAAGAGGAAGCGAAAATAGACTCCAGCCCGACAGAGGCGGGTTATTCCTAGTCGGTATGCCTACCTTCCAACACCTGCATTTGGCGATCTCAACACCCCATGTAAAAACGGGCGGGCTTCATCGTTGCCCAGAATCGTAGTGTACACTTGTCCCTTGACAGAGGACTTCGCTCTTTTCCAACCTTCAAAAGTGCAGCTTCTTGAGCGCTCCACAGTCTAGGCACAGCCTTGGCCCAGCATTCCCAGTGCTGTCTGTATGCCAGCTTCACGCGCTCTTAAAGATATGTGTCTCACTTAGGATCGAGCGTATTCAACACCTTAACCGCTTCCCATGCTCCGCGTAGCTAATCGACACTGCCGAGAGGCAAATCCTCGGTTCTTATTTTCCTAACACCTAAATGGTCTACATGCAAGTGCGGCAACTTTCTATTCATCGTCGAACCTTCTGTAAGTTACAAGCCTAAACCTACCATCTATCATCCGCCATCCTCCACCCAAGTGCGGCCTTTGCGTTCTAAGCCTTCAACATGTCATCGGCGTCGCCTAAAATGCCCAACTCTACCCCCGAAACCTCCAACCCTCTGAATCCGCCGCAAGCACTTTCTATGCCTTCAAACAATCGCTCAGCATAGCGAATGTCCATATCTCTGGTACTAGCGACCCTGATACCGTACCTAGTGATCTCAGTCTCACTATTAGTGTTGCGCATGCTATTTTCACTTGATGATGGATATTCTTTTCTTATTTACGAGCACCTTCTTTCTTCGAGATGAGCATAAAACAAGAATTAAAATGGCCGGTCATCCGCTTCAACCTGGAGAGAACTACATTGTGTCTGAGGGTCAGTGTATCAGCCCTCAATATAGTGACATTGCTAATTTATCAGCAGCTCCTTTTATTATTAACAACAATCCGTAGCTTGTCTGAACGACTACCCATGCGACCGGAATCCGTGTCACGACCTTTTTTGATGCTGCCCGCGAGCGAGATCATTGATGCATGATATCCAGGACCATTGTGTCTACAATAGGTGAAACCCATTTCTAGACCGGCTTTGAAGCTACACATATCTTTCCACTAGCCTACAAAGGTCCCTTCACTGAACACAACCATGGCCGATAGATTACAACTCAGCCGGCAAAAGGAATGTCTATCTACTCTGTGCAGAATGGATTACTGCTCATATCCGATATACACTAACTTTTTGACGCCTACGCCATCTCGATTAACGCAGATTTACGTCCTCTGTCTAAAATTAGAGATTAAGGCTAATATTTATCTTAGGACAACTATAAAGTTATAGCCTTTAGGCCTACTTAAGGAGATATTCCTGGCAAGCATCTTGATCTAGCATATCTTGCTCGTCCTAATGCACTTGCTGATTCGCTTCTACGGTAGCACTTTAGGTAGGCTGCCTTAGCCAATATAAAGTGTGCTGGGGAGCCAGTCTTCGAACATGACTTCCCGCCTAGCACTGATATAGTTGGCGAGATCCTTCATGGTCCAAAGGCTAATAGGATGAAGTTTGAGTTATTTGGCCGCCTTGGCGCTCAAATGGGGTTGTTCCAGTAGGTGATTAAGTGTAAGAGTTTTCCTAAGATAAAAGTTATTTCATTCATGGCTAATGTCACGGACAGGCTACACATGTGACGGAATAGCTCAGCGAGCTAAGCGACCTTCACCTCTCACTCTCCTCATCCTAGTATAGCAAGAAATAGAGCCAACCTACTCTACCAGCTCCACTAGCGCCATACGGTAGTGGAGACCGAGCTTGTCATCGCAACACATAAGTGATAAGAGCTCAAACAGGAGCGCTGATAAACTGTTACGTACGGTATCTAGTGAATGTTAACGACATTGCGCGAAGAGGAAAAGGGGGAAGCTGAACATGTTCCAGCAATATTTGATTGGGATGGCTTGAGTGACAGCGCGAGGTCTATGCGCCATCACATGATCAGTATTGGGGTTTCCTAGGAAGGCTTCCCCGAAAGGCCTTACATAGTGATGCAGGGTGTCACAAGTTGCCTTGACAGCTAATATATCAACTCCAGGAGGTGAACCTTCTACACGCGGGTTTCACTAGATTAGAATAGGCGCGGAGTAGAAGCGAACACATATTTAGGTTGCGAATACTAACAGCAGAATGTGACTAAAATAAAGCCCAACTACAATTATTCAACGACATAATAAAGTGAATTGAAGGAGAGAATTACCCTTTACTAACGTTGAGTTGACCTTTCCCTATAGCAGAGTGCTGCTGCGTGGTGTTAGTTTTTTAATTCAATGGCCTCCCACTCTGTGATGCAGGCGGAAGCATTCCTTGTGCAGTTTCAAAATAAGGATAAGCGGCCATTTTACGAGGTTGTGGTTTTAGAATAAATGTGAAAAAATATGTATTGATGAAATTCCATTCTGATAACACAGAGGACATATTTCCCTGATCTGGTATCCTCAATGCCCAGATTCAAACTCCCAGTTAAATAGAGGTCCTAACCTCAGGTTTCCGGGGTGCTTGATTCGGAAGCGACCAGGGTATAAGCATATTCCTAGTAATTCAGTAGAGCCCACTTCCGGCTCCTTCATGTCCTATCACCCATTTCTATCCACATCCGTCCATATGCCACTCCTGACACAGCGTGTACTTGCTTATTTCGTTCATCCTCCCCGTTATCACATAACCGGTTCCCCAACTTTGCCGATGCCTCGGCGTATCACAGACATGCTCACCGTCAGCCCTGGCACTGGTGTGCCACCCAGGGGAACGGATCAATTACATGCACAGCCTCATCGGACTTCCGATTGACTCGGAAAACTTAAAAGCATCAATTCCGACTTGCACCCCAACTCCTCGATGTAATTTCCTTTGTGAAACCGCCCGCTCCAACAATGCCTTCGACCCCACAGCAACCCTTAAAAGTCATCATCCTAGGTGGCGGTATCGCCGGTCTCACAACTGCACTTTCCTTGACAAAATACTCGCCTTCACAGTTCCCTCTTCCTCAAATAACTATCTACGAGATCAGACCCGAGCCTGCAACCATTGGCGGGGCCGTGAACCTCACGCCGAACGCACTTCGTCTCTTGAACCACCTCGGCGCTCTACAGGAAATCCGCGCTAGAAATTATGGCAAAGAATGTCTCGCCGTTGAAGTCTTCGACCTGTACACTGGCGCCCGGCTAGCTGAAAGCAGTTTCCGAGGCCCGGTTGGCAGAGGCCTGGGCGAACCACCCTTCACAGCACTCAGAATCACAAGGGGGGAGGCGTTAAAAGGAGTATTGGCAGCAATCGAGAAACACGACAACATCAAGCTTGTGTGCGGAAAGAAGACAGTAGACATCCAGGAAGACATCAACGGCGTTGAAATCAAGTTTGCCGGCGGCGGAAAAGTGAGTGCAGATATCCTTGTCGGCTGCGATGGCATTCACTCCGTGGCCCGTCTCACGCACGTGGAGCCGGAGCGGAAAAGTGTGTATTCCGGCATCTGCAATGCCTTTGGGTTCGCAAAACGAAGGAAAACAGAGTCCGGTGGCTTTGAGGAAACGCACTTCGAGACGACAGGGATGAACTTTGGTCGAAGAGGTATCTTACTCACCTCGTTTCACAACGAAGATAAAGACTCAGTCTACGTTGGTGCACTCATGCAGGTCCCGGAAATCGCATCAAGAGACGGATGGAAAGCCGCGGGCAAGGATGCAGAGAATACTCGCAGAGATATGCTGGAAAGATACAGCCCCGCTGCATTAGACTTGATCCCACATCTGATTGCGGACGCAGAGGATCTATTCTTATGGCCTGTCTTCACGCTCTCCGCGGGCGGAAAGTGGGCTACGGATCGCGTCATGCTGATTGGAGACTCTGCACATGCCATGCCACCACAAGGCGAATCGACGGGCATCGTTTTCGAAGATGGCGTGCTATTCGCTCGCTGTGTGGGACGATGGATGGAGAAGAACAACGGCGCCCCTGTGAAAGAGGCGTTTAATGCGTATGAGAGCTTGAGAAGAGAACGTATCGATATTGCGTATAATGAGAGTCAGAATGTGGTCAAGACGGTGCAGGATGTCGGGTGGCTTGGGCATAAGATTAAGATGAATATTATCCCGTGGTATCTGTGGTGGACAAGAAGTTATCGAGAGAAGCATTTCATCGAAGATGTCACGACGTGTGAGCTTAACTATTAGTGGTAATGCAAAGGAGTTGAAGAGTCTAGCGCACATATAATCCGGTGGCGGTATTTCACTGACTGCGTTGTCCCTTGATCTTGATAGACGTCCTTTCCAGATGTCTTTTTCAACGAAATCGATTCACCGGCCCCTGCACAACTCCTCCCTCTCAAAATCTTGTATTCAGTAAGCTCGTGAATCACACTAGCAGTAGGCACCTCTAAAAGCCCCCTTTTCACTAACACCATCTATGAATGCTGAAACTTGGTTCAGCTCACGAAGTGGCGGTGTTGAGATCGTGGATGGCATTCGTTCAAGTGCAACCGCTTCTCAGTCTACGGCCTAAGTAGGTCACATACTGAAATTCCAATGGGTAACTGAGATTTGAAGGAAGATTAAAGCACGGAGTATGAAATAATTAACAGGAAAATGTTTGTTAATAGAGGAGAAAAGATTCCTTCCTTCCCCGCTCTTCGTTTGCAAATGACTGAAGCATAAGAGTCGGAACACTACTACAACGGAACGAGTTCAGTAAGGTACCACGGCAGGAGGAGGTCTCCGCCAAACGCCACAGATGGCTTGTGGAAACATACTTCAATATGGCGAATTTGGACGACATATACAAGACCCCAACACCTTATCTTTTTTTCCCCGCTTTTCCACGAGAACATCTAGAACCTCGTCGCTCTGAACACGTAGGATACGCCTTCTGTCCCATCTCTCCCTGCGTACTGACTTCTCCACTTACGACCATTTCCTCACCTCCCTCGCCGCCCAAAACCGGCTCGAAGCAAAAGGTTACTCTCTCCCCCACGGCGCCATTTGCTTCGTCTCGCACATTACCACCGAGTACACTAAGTACGCGCTTCTAATTATACGACAACCGCTCCGATTCTGGAAATCGAGTAAAACAAGAAACCGAACCTGGTGGTTAGTATGATGCAGCGAGCTACAGTATTGGTAGCATCGCCAGAAATTTATCGCTGCCAGGAACACTAGACATCTGTGTGGCTTAGTGTTTAAATGATGGCGATGTCAGCAGCAGCGACTTTGGTAACGGTGATGACTCCGTATGTGATATATTTACGGATTAAGGGGTATGTGAAATTAAGAGAGAATCGCACCCCCAAAATACAAAGTTCAACAATAGAGGACGGTGGCATACGGGTCGTGGTACAGGATTATAGAAGTCAAACTACAGCTCCATCATCGCGTAAACTCTTCCTATAAATACCTCTCAAGGGACAGAGGAGGCTACAGTAAAGGTCAGAAAACGAGGCCGCGTAGGCTGCACCGTTATCGGAGTCCTCTAGTTCCTCGGATGTACCTCCAACCACGCAAACGTAGTTAATCGGTAATACCCTGCTATGCCTTTACCTCCAATGGCCAAACGCGTTTGGATGAGAGCTGCTTACTGTCACCTTCGTATCCCCTAGCGGTCATATGTCCATCTCTCAGAATTTTCAACATGTCTTTGCGAAAGAATAGATTGCTAGATGTTCAAGCTTTCATTGGGGCTTCAGTGGTTCCCTGTGGCAACGTGTGCGGTTGCTTTGTTGTGGATCGATTAGATGCTTAGGGTAAGGAAAATCACGGGGCGTTCCGACCGAGGTTAAAGAGTTGTATTGGATGAAGTTTGCTGTGGAGAGGCTTGGATTGCTTGTAATGTAGTAGTAAGGTTTAGATTATACTCTAGAATGGAACAGTTTGAAAGATTTGAAAGAGACAGACAACTAATAGGAAGACTCCTTAGATTACGCTCTGGGACGGTCTTGTAGTACAAAAAAACGCCAACCATATCTATACCAAAAATGGAAATGCTCTACTCTAATCACCACCTTTTACGCCCCTTAGTGGTTCCCATTCGGTGCCGTAACCCGACTCGGCACCTCTCCAATACCATTTCTCAAACTCTCCTCCACCAAAGCAAATTCCTCCCTCCACACCCTCAACATGTCAACAGTAACATTACTCCCACCACACAACACAATAACAACCTTCTCCTCGGGCTTCACCTTTCTCCCCAACACTCTCTCCAGCCGTCCATCATAGCACAGCGCAACATTAATTCCACTCGCCATCTCCACCATAATCCGCTCATCGTCCGCAAGCCGCCAACAGCCCATCGCAGCCTCGGCATCGGGCAACACAACGCTCCTCACGTTCTCCCGGAGCGCGTAGTCCAATGTGCGTTGCGTCACTCGTGTCGCACCGAGACTTGTGGCCTGAGATGTGATGCCCGGTAAAGTAATGAGTTGGCCAGCCTCAAGGCTCTTATTCAAGCTCTGGGCGCCATCTGTTTCGAGAGCAAGGACGGTAGTGGAAGACATACCCAGGTCGTCGAGGCCTTGGCATACACCGTTGAAGAGACCCCCGCCGCCTACCGAACAGATCACCACGTCAGGTTGGGCGCTTGGTCCGGGAAGTTGAGACGCAATTTCGTCAATGAGCGTGCTGTTGCCGGTCCAGATGTCTGGGTGGTCGAAAGGAGGCGCATAGATAGCTGAAGAGCCGGCCTAATTGCAATGTGAGGAAAGTGATTCAAACGGGCACGACGCGGATAGAAGACGGAAGACGAAGGATCGAAGATTCTAATCTAAATGGAAGAGGAAATTAGATCATGATAAAGGAACAACGTCGCACTTACCTTGGCCATAACCTCCTTCCTTAAATACGAATCTGCATCCTTCCACGTCGGTCCATGCTGTATAACTTCATACGCACCAGCAGCCTTAAGCTTCGAGATCATCAACGGCTTCGTGGACAGCGGAACGACAACCGTGCAAGGGAGTCCTAGAGTGCGAGAAGCATGAACGGCAGCAAGTCCAGCATTCCCACCACTGGAAGAGAAGATGTGTGGCTGAGCACTACGATCAGGCAACTCCTCCAGGCGACAGAGGATGTAGTTGCCGATGCCTCTGTGAAAAGGTTAGGTTTCTAGTCAAGACTGCAGAAAAAGATTGCATGCAAAGGGGTGCGATTGAGAAAGGGAGTCTAATACATACCGAGACTTGAATGAACCTGATGGTTGGAGGTTTTCGAGTTTGAGGAAGACTTTACTTCTACGATTTAGAATTGCTTATCCTGCAGTTGATCTAGACCTGCACGTATAGAAGAACAGAGAATGGAATGGCAGTGCACCAGTAAAGTCTGACAAACCTAAGAACAGCTGGCTGGACCGGAAAGGAAAGAGAGTGAGATCGTACCATCCAGCTGCTTGAGACAGCGCGTAAGATTCCTTTAACGGCGTCTCGATCCATGGCTTCTTCTGTGCCTGAGAGGAGATGAGAGTTTCTTTGACCGTCATGTTGATACACCCTGATGTTCTCAATAGGGAGTAAACAAACAGATAGAGGAAACTGAAGAGTGGAGAGGTCCCCAGGATGGAATGGTCGGAATCGTAGGTTAAATATCTCCAAACCAGGGCAGCTGACAGAGGGGTACGTAGTATCGATTACCCTATAAGTACCTGATAAGTCGCGGTTCTGAGCCCGGAATAACACAGGTGACGATCTGTGGTTGAGAGCAGAAACGGCTATTCACGGATGGGCGCAGTGAACCTTTTGTGATGACATTCTGCTGCAATTGACCGCCTTCTGTTATCTGCTTGGCGCGCCCTACTGAGTGACAACCATGGAACGGATTGGGACATTGGATATGGATAAGATAAGAGATGGAAATGGCAAAGAAATATGGGAGTTAATTGATGTGGAGATGCATAATGCTCTTCTGATTGCAACTGGTGGGAGAAATCACATGATATCAAAATCTCCACCCACCCAGGTGGGCAAGCAATGGGAGTGGTGACTGAAACAACTTTTGAGGATCTCATCCCTATCGAAAGAAACAAACTGGACAACGTCATTCCATCTTCTATTGCGCCGGTTGATGCGATTGAATAGGCAACCAAGATGTTCGCAGCAATCTCTACTAAGGAACAAACGCCGGCCTGGGTATCAATGCGTCTACATCCTATGCCCCTAGTCTCACCAACTAGCCTACAGCTCCCGTTTCCTCGAGCAGACCCTTCCTGTAGTTCCAATAATGTGCCCTGATTGGATCATACTTGTTTGCTAAGAGATCCAAAACCTTCATGGCCTTGTCTTTTTTGTTCTCTTCTATGTAAATATCAGCCAGTAAATCCAGGGCGTGGCTAGAGTACACCTCATCCGGTTTCTCCAAGTCTGCAAACGCGAGTATGAAAGATTTCACAGTCGAGGTGGGGAGTTTAGCGTGCCGGATGATGCCGCGAAGGTAGTTCCAAGGGCTTTCGTTCTGGGGGGCTTTGCGGATGGCGGTCTGGGCATATTCGATTTCCCTCTTCACAATGTCCTCGCTCACGCCCTGCCCACCCCGACCACCGACAACAAGAAACCAGCGGTGATTCCAGGCTGAATTATTCCTTACATCTTCCTCAATCATGCTCTCGGTCCAGGCCAACTCCTTGTCATCAAAGATGCCAAAGCGCTTCACCAGCCACTGGCGATAGCTCCAGACATGGTAGTTCTTGGAGTCTTGCCCGAGCATGGTAGCTATGAAGTCGGCCTCGCCGTCCGGAGAGCCGAGCCTGTCTATGATGGTCTGGCGGTGGTGCCAGATCTGGTAGTTTTTGAGGTGCATGAGGGCGGTCGGGTTCAACCAGGCAATCTCGTCGGCTAGCGAAGTGTCCGTTTGTTCGAGGGCCCTAGCGCGATACAGCCACACAGTGTAATGCGCGGGATTCATGGTTATGATGTGCTCCGTCAGGCTCAACACCCTCTCACTGTATTCGTTGTTCGCCATGACAGCGCGCAGATAGCCCATGGCCTCGCTGTACTCGTCTGTGTATGCAATTGCGGCGAGAGGGTTGGGGCCACCGTCATCCTGGGCAATCGGCTCAACATCTGACCACGCCGGGTCGTCGTGGTAGAATCGCGGCATCGTGGTGAGGGACAGCAGTGGGCAGGAGCTTGTGAAGGAGTACGAGGACGGCGAAGAGAGTGGATGTGGTGGGGTCTTCAAGTCGCTGCGGGCAAGACTTGGCACCTCTAAAGCGCTTTCAGCCAACGACAATAACTAGCGGACCCTCAAAGAACAAGATGCAATCAGACCAAAAAAAACCCCCCTCCCCCAAATGATGGGTTACTAGTTAGCCAGCGCATTGTGCAGCCTTCTCAAAAATAGAAGACTATATGAACCTTAATTATGTCTCCATTACATCCACCTGATTCGCTAGGCTGGGTGATTATCTGATATCTCAACTCCTTAAGTCCTTTCTCTGCCGGACTTAAGTCTATGGACCGAACTCACGAGCCTTACCTGCATCACTTCATGGATATTTGCCCCGGCTAGAGGGATGGATGTAGCTATCGAGGAGAAGAAATTTAGCATGAGGTGCAAGATTCAGGCCTACTTACAGCTAGCCATGGCACTTCAAGTCGTATCTACCCTGCCTAAGATTTCCAAAGTATCGACATTGCTGCTCTGCCCAGAGTTTGCGATAATTGCTGTATAATGCCATCTCGGAGTTAAGCTTACGTGCTTCCAAGCGCTCGATGAATGAGCAGTTGCAATCAAAAACGCCAATATAAAAGATCCTCTTTCTACCTCCTTAGCTCCTGACCAGACCTGAGCCCCTATTCGATACTCTATCTATACCATTTCCATATCCTCTCTATATCCCTCCTCTCCATACTACATTTAGACTATCTACTATCCAACCCCAGCATATACAACAATGGCAGATGCTCCTCTCCCACCACATACAGGCTACGCTTTCCCGGGCCTCTCCAATATTCACGCCTCCATCTACCCAGCCATCGACACTTCCACAAACCCCTCCCTCTCCCAGCCTGGGAAAGTCGTTCTGATCACGGGCGCCGGACGAGGAATTGGTCGATCGATAGCACTGCAATACGCCACCGCCTCTGTATCCTGCCTCATCCTCTGCGCTCGGACAAATAGCGAGCTAGATGAAGTGGAATCTCGTGCTAAGGAAATCAATCCCAGTGTCCGGGTCATGAAGTTTCAACTCGACGTCACGAGCGAATCCGCCGTGAAGGCGTGTTTCGAAGCTGTGCGTGCCGCAGAAGGAAAACTGGCAGCGTGGCCAACAGTACGTAGTACGGTCGTAGATTACGGAGCTCCTACGGCCCGTACAACGTACGTACGTAAAGGCGAATTGACCCGTACATACGTAACTTGAGGCTGCAAATTTACGCGTATACGGCGTATACGGACTTTTTTTGGTGTTGTGGTAAGCTTGCCAAGGCGTGTTTTTTGAGTAGTCCTAGTAGAGCTTAGTGATGCTGCACGGTCGATTTTCATCAACATACTGCGATGTATCAACACCCATCTATATTGCCGTCGTCGTCGTTGTAATGGATAACTTTGTACGCTCTACGCGTCAATCTCAAGCTTCTCAAGCTACGATTTCGTCCTCCTCTGGTAGCGCGTTGCCCTATCACGCTGCTGCTTCCAAACGCCTTGGGAAACAGCGTGTTCCCACATCACCGCTCTCATCAACGCCCACATCTCAAGAAGGCACGCCCTCATCCGTTTTATCCTCTCTATCCGATCCACTCACTCACAAGTATCCCGAGTCGTCTTCTGAGTGCTATAATCTCAGTGTTCGTTTCCCTATTGCGTGGGATCAGATTTGGAAGGGCTCTGAGCGATTGTCGAAGGAGCGTCTTGGGTATAGAGTAGTGAACAAGCGCCAGCTGCAGGGCGGCTCTAAACGCTCGGGGATATATAAATACGGCGCGGATCTGTTGTATCAAGAGTCTAGTGGCTCTCTTAGGCGGGTATGGCTCTGTAAGCTCTGCCATGAGCAGGGTCAACGCGACTGTGCAAAATACTCTGAGTCTACTCATCATATTAGCACCCATCTCAGGAAAGCTCACCTCATCTCCATCAACGGCGGGCTCCTACCTATTCCCCCTAAACCGAACGACCCTTTTAAAGCTGCCACAATTGCAGCAGGAGCAAACAACGCCTTCTCGCAGTCGCCCTGGCAGGAAGATGAGTTGACGAAGGCGTACGTCGATTGGATTATTTCTCACGATTTGTCGTTGAGGCAGGCAACGTCGCCAGAAACGAGGGGATTACTCACATGGAATCGACCTCAGTTGCATAACGCCCTACCCAGCAGCCACACAACGCTCGCGAAATGGATAATAGATGGCCTAGAGTTACAGAAGGAGGAGATTAAGAGTTTACTACGCGCTGCGAGTAGTACGATCGCGTTGAGCGTTGATATATGGACTTCCCCAAACCACCTAAGTTTCCTTGGAGTAGTAGCTCATTTTGTCAGTATGTGACCCGTGCGCGGTGGCGAAAATCACGGAAATCCTGCACTTCAGCCTCAACTTCTCACTCTACTACAACGCTCAAAACTGACCTAAAATCAACACACAGACGCTCAAAAAAAGCACCGCGATATCCTCATTGCTTTCCGAAACCTGCGGGGTGATCATACCGGCGAGAACCAGGCTATAATTGTTGGGGAAGTCCTGATTGAATATAAGGTGGTTTCTAAGTTCAAATTTTTTGTGGGCGACAATGCAAGCAACAACGACTCTACCTTCATTGAGGCGATCAACAGGGAACTCAGTATAGAGCTCTCGCAAGAGAATCGGATCCGCTGTGCTGGGCATATTATAAATCTCGTCGTCAAGGCAATTATATATGGAGATGGCGTCACAAAGTTTGAAGCTACGTTGGCTGACGCACCACCAAAAAAACAGTTCTCCATCTTCCGAACGCGCGGGGTCATCGGCCGACTACACAACCTTGTTAACGCGATTAACGTCTCTACTAAACAACGAGAGCTCTTTATGGAGATACAAATGGAACACTACAAAGATATTGTTGGCTTTACAACACTTACATTACTTAGGGACAGCAGCGTAAGGTGGCACTCAGTCTATTTTATGCTCCTCCGCTGTTGGGAGTTACGGGATACAATTGACAAGTGGCTCCGTCGATGGAGGGCTATTGCACCTAGGAAGAAGAAGCTAGAAGAAGGAGACAACTACAAAGATGAAGAGGATGGATTTAACGCAAAACTCAACTCTCTAACGCCAGATGATTGGGATGAGGTGAAGACCTTGGCCGACTTCCTACAACCGTTTCATGAGATGACAAAAAGACTTGAAGGCAACACCAGCAAATCGGGCTTTGGCTCTCTCTAGCAAACAATTGTTAATCTCAACGTACTTGACAAGGAGCTTCGTGAGCAAAAGGCGCGCCTTGTTCGACACCCAAACAGCTTCCTTAAGTCGGCTGTCAATTAAGGCTTTGAGAAGCTTAACACCTACTGGACTAAAGTAATCTTTGACTCTGAGCCATCACCGTACTCAGTAGCTACTGTGTTAAACCCTCAACTTCAGATTGCCTGGTTCAAACAAACTTGGAAGCATGATAAGGATTACTATACAAGAGTTGAAAAAGACGTAAAGGCAACCTTTAAGAAGTACGTTAAGCTCATCGCACTAGAGGAGGAGGATGATGAGATAGACGAGCAATCGCAGGAGACTCAGCACCGGAAGGTCCCTAAGGGCTCGAGCTTTGATAGTCGTTACGAGCGATCTCTCAACGTCGATCTCCACTATATGATGGGCACAAAGGGCAGGGCCAAACGCTTCAAAGCTTCCAACGAGTTAGAAGAGTACTACGCTTCCCACAACAACAATCTCACTCGCTTCATTAAATCAGATGACAAACGACTCGACAATCCTATACAATGGTGGGATGAGGTTGGCCAGCAACGCTACCCAACGCTCTATCGCATGGCGTTAGACTACCTCTCTATCCCATCAACTTCATGTGATTGCGAGAGAGCGTTTAGTAAAGGCAGGAGGACTGTTACCGACGATAGGAACCGACTTGGTGGAGCTACTATCGAAGCACTTCAACTACAGAAGAACTGGCTCCAGAACCAAGCAGTGGCGAGTCACCTCATCAACCTCAGCCTATACATTTCACGCCAAGAACCTATATAAAACATCCGTATACGGCATATACGGTGGTCTCCGTACGTACGTAAGGAAGCCTTGATTTGGATCCGTAAGCACCTCCCATGAAGCTACTACAGTACGTACGTACAAGCTAACTCCACCGTATAGGTCCCAAAAGCCCTACGGATCTACGGTGTACGTACTGTTGGCCACGCTGAAAACTGGACATCTTGATCAACAACGCAGGTGATTCATCTCCATGGGTCCTACTCACCGAGACCGAGCCCAGTAGCTGGTGGAACACAATGGAAGTCAATCTCAAAGGACCGTACCTCTTACTGCACGCCTTCCTTCCCTTGCTCGTAGAGACAGCGGAAGCGAACAAGACTACCGTCGACGTGCTCAATGTATCCAGTATCGGCGCCCATACCACGTCTCCTGGAGCAAGCGCATACCAAATCTCTAAACTCGCTGTATTGCGGTTGACGGAGTTCGTAGATGCGGAGTTTGGGCAACAAGGCGTCAACGCAATTGCGCTGCACCCAGGAGGCGTGAAGACAGAGCTTGCGAGGAAGAGAACGCCGTTTCTTTCCCATTGTAAGTAGTCCTACACACTCTCACTCCTCTGAGTGCTCGCTCGATCACCCTCATTCGCTCACGCTTACTCGCCCCTACATCCTGTTACGCACTCATTCACTTGCTTGTTTACTCACTTACTCACTGGCACTCTTACGTACTTGATTCCTTACTCGCCTGCACTCTACTCACACACCCTCACAAACACACTCTTACTCTCACTACCATTACAAAGAAGGAAAGAATCCCAAATGCTAAATTCACTGCAGTGCTAAACGATACCTCCGATCTTTGCGGTGGCTTTGTAGTTTGGCTGACCAAGGGCGCACGAACATGGCTTGCAGGGAGATATGTAAGCGCGACATGGGATGTAGAGAAGCTAGAGAGTATGAGGGAGGAAATTGTGGCTGGGGATAAGCTGAAGGTCAGGCTAGTTGTGTAAAACCTGTGTAGGAGGATGCCCGTTATGCACATACATCTAGCATGTTATTGCAAAATCCGGAATATAACTAAGAAGCAGAGTCTACCTGGAAAACGCGTTGCTGGAATTGGGAAGATCATTGGATGCCAATTTTAGTCCTAAATTACTATCTGCTCTGTTATACTCTAGGTGGCATTATAGTAGGTGGATGGTGACGCTTCTTGTTCCTAACCCCTCAATGGAGGTCACCTAAGTATGTTAGTAGCCTCTTTCGTCTAACTCGTAAGAGGATGCTGGCTGTTAAATGGAAGCTGTCGCAGGTGGAAGAGAGGTGGCCGGACTGTCCTCCCCATTGACACCTCTATACTACAAAGCCGGTCGAGCAACCTTAGGTCTTCTTAACAAACGATGGCCAAGTCTGGTCAATTATTTACTCATTCATTCGACTAGCTATCGAATATCTTTCTCAACCCAATGGTCCCAAGTCTAGCCCTTCAATCCCATCATTCCACGGCCACCAACTTAGCCCCAATCCTGATCGGGCCCAAATATCCATGACTAGCAGACCAAACAGTTCAAAAATCCCTTCAACCCATGCGTGCACCTTCGCAGTGTGTTCTCCTACTACCACACCACCTGGTAGTAGATAAAGAGTTTTGCCAGTAAAAGGGGTGAAGAAAATCATGTGCTCGGCTCAGAAAACCCCCGGAGAAAATGGTACAAGGGCGATGTATGACAAACGCCAGCCCCAATGCAAAAAGGCCAAATAGAAAAGGTACAAGAGAAGAAGCCTGCCTGACTCCGCCATCCGGCTCCGTCTTGGATTGAGAATGACAATCCCAGAATGTGAATCGCTCAAAGGAGGAGAGGAAAAAGGAGAGATGATGAAGATGATGACTGTCAAACGCCAATGTATGCAGGCCAAGGACAAGAGTTGTCTAGACCAATTGTGCTGGAACTTTTCCGTCATGTGGTGTTGAAACAGCGCCGGAGAGCGTGAGATGTTATTGAGGTGATACAAAGTACGCAAGGAGAGAATGGGAAGAAACATCATGAGTTTAGTTGAGAAAGCCCTTGCATCCGACAGAACCGCAGAGACAAGGCACTCGGTCGGTAGCGTCGATCTCCCGCTCGAATTTGTAGTCATAGGTGAGTTCCTCATCTGGGAGAGAGGTCAGTACATATTATGAGGAAGAATGAAGGCAGATCTTACTCTTTTCAATGTCCCGCAAAGCATATATGACAATTCGCTTTGTGCCATCCACCCGAATAATTTTTGCCGTGCAGTTCGGAGTGCAACTGTGGTTGATGAAGCGAGCAATACCACCCATCTTGGTTGCATCAATAATGGTATCCTCGTCAATCCGGAATAAATAGCTTGATCCAACGCCTTGCATGTCATACTTCTTCTCACGGAGGTCCGCAACACGCTGCCGAACCTTCTCACCGACGTACTCGATGATCATGTCATTAGCGGCGATATTCTCTTCAGCGTAGAGTCCCCAATTGTGGATGGCGGAGCGATCAAATTTAACGAGTTTCTTCCGCTTCTTCAGCTGGTTGAAGCGCATGGCGTCACCTTCGGCACCGGTCATAGTTTTCGAAATGTTGATGTCGTTTACTAAACGACGATTATTGGCACGGTTGGCGCGAGAGTTCGCGGTCGAAGTGGTCTTGGAAGAAGTAACGAACTTGAAACCTTCCACTACCGCGTGGGTACGTTCTTCGTTCTTCGCACGGCGTTCACGTTCCTCTCGTTCCTTCTGGACACGGATGCGATGCGGAAGGTATTTCGACTTTTCGGATTCACGGATCTTCTGAACGCCCTCAGTCCTGGCAGAACCGCTGGCATTGGATACATAGTACCCCTCAATCTTGGTCTCAGTTCGGGAAACGCCTTCTTCTCCTGGTCGATTCAAATGCTTGATTTGTTTCTGTTTCCATGCCCAAGACTGTATATCGCCCATCTTTGCGGCTGCTATCGACTGCAAGGCGTGCTTAAGGCACTTAAGGTCCTCCTCGTCCTTAAGCAGGTGTTGCCAGCCATCAATGTCCATGACAACAGTGGGGTCGTCTTCCACGGTTCGCCGGGGCTCACCAGTGGAGGCGCCCCAGTAAACGGAACTTCGTTCCTCTCCCGAGATATCCTCTGGAACAAGAGGGACCTGGGCGGCAGGCTTGGGTTCTTCGGCACCAATGACCTCTTCTTCGACTGGGATGACCTCCGTGATTTGGACCTGCGCAGCTTTGGCTTCTTCTTGGAGCTGCTTTTTGGTCTTGCGCTTCGTCTTCGGAACTCCTATCTTCTTCTTGACTGTCTTGGCGGTATCCGTTGGCTCGATCGTCTCCATTGGCTTGGATGAATCTTCGTCATCTTGAGTAACAACGGCCTTAGGTTCATGTTTGTCTTCTGTGTTTGTTTCCACTGTGCCAAAGATGGCGTCTGCCTCTTGCTCAATCTTTCGAAGCCTCCGGAAACCCTTTAGAGCTTTGTCAGCTTTCTTCCAGATGGGCGAAGACCGGGGAAGAATTGCAAGAACCTGTTCTAGCTCTTTCTCCGCCATGTTTTCGGGATCTTTGTGGATGAGATGAGCAAGTAAACTGCGGGCGTGCGAGTCGTCCATCATCTCGTCTTCACTCTCTTCACCCCATCCAGCTTCGATGCGTCTTCGCTTAGCCCTATGAGCCCGGGAAGATTCCTCGTCCTCTACATCGGTAGAAGGAGCGGGGCTGATAGGCCGACTCTCCTGCTCTTCAGTATCGCGCGTAAAGGAGGACCGGCCTTCATCGTCTGAATCCTTATCATCGTCGTAGAAGTCTAGCATGGCACGATGAAGACCACGGACTGCATTGCGCTTTGGAGCGGATGCCTTACGTCTCTCATCCGCAAAAGCATTGACAATTCTAGGAGGTTTCTTCCCGCGCACGCGGTTGTGATCGTAAGGACCAAGTGCTTTACGTCCAAAGCGCCCTGCGAAGCCTGCAGCTCGTGAGTCTGGGGTACGCATGGCTGGGGAATCATTGCCATGGCCAAAGTATGCCGGAGGGCGAATTTCTTCTTTGTTCTGCGGGTCCGGGATGTTAAATTTTCGACGTTTAGGTGCCAATCTATCGGGAGCTAGAAAATCAAGCAATGTGGGCCCAGCTATCCGCGTCTTGATATCGGTCAAAATCCTTTCGCGCATTTCCTGCTTGATTGTCTCACGTGCCGCGTTCACCGGATCAAGATCTTCTGCCCGCTCTTTCTTCTCATACTCGACATCCATTTCTTCCTCCTTGGCTATTCTCTCATACTCAACCTTCCTCTTCCGTTCTGCAGCAGCGCGTTCGGGACTCGGGCTTCGTTCGTAGTCAGGGTCCCCATATTGCTGGCAATCCATATTCATGACGTAGGTGAAAAGAGCGGACATGTTACACTCTTTGTAGCATTTCATAGTCTCCACTTCACCACGCCTAGATTCCTCGAAAACGACAAAGTATCCAGTGGCATCGCAACGGACCTCTTGCCAGCTGTAGTTCTTCAGACGTTTCTTGAGATGATCGATCGTAGTCCCTAGAACCGGCACATATTGATGGGCGATGAATATATACGGTTTCCGCTTCATGCGCGGTTTGATAGGCTCCGATTCAACGAGATATGAGAAGACATGCTTCTTCGACATAATGGGCGGGGCAACAAGTACAGGCGGTCGCATACCTCTTCCTGAAGGCCCTTTCGGAACATTTGCCGGTAATCCAGTCGCGACTGTGGCTGTTGGTGTGGATGGACCTATTAATTTGGCCTGTTGTTTGGCCCTCAATTTCTCCTCTTCTTTGCGGCTCTTTTCTACAACCTTTGCAACTAGCCTCTCGCATCTTCGACCCTCGCGATCGAGCTGGATTTTGACTTCTCTTACTCCAATGCGCTGGTTTGTACCCTCCTTTTCGGCTCTCTTTGCGGAGGTTGCGGCCTTCATAGGCAGAACGCCCCGAGAAGGCGGAGTATCTCGAAATTTGACCAAACAAATTCCCAATGGGCTGCCATTGTTAGGGTCGGTCTGATTTCTGACGGACTCAACATCTCCATAGGTAGTGAAAAAAGCCCGAATCTGGGGCTCAGGAGTCAAGGGGTCAAATCCAGTGACGACCACCTGGGTGGCAGGACCAGGACCGCAGGAAATCCTGGAGTCGTAGGCGTAGGGTTTCGCCACATACGGCGCCATGCGGAGTTTGGACTTGGGCGCTGCTGTACCAACTGTCTTAATAACATAGTTCCCGGTGGTGTAGCCAGCAATAGCCAAACGGGGATCTGGAGGGGGAGATGGGTCGCCCTGCAACACAAGTCAAATTAGCCTTAGCGTCACAGGACGACCACATCTTGGGGACTCATTATGGTTATCACATACCTTCTCGACTATGTCCTTGTAGCGGGGCGCCGGCTTCTTCTCATGCCGGCCCTGGTTCGCAGTCTTCGGAATAAGCATGGGGTCGTATAGTATGCGCGAGCCCATGTTCCCATCAGTGGGCCGTACAGCCAATTTCGCATCTGGCGGCGTGTGAACGGGTGTCATGGTTTCGGCGACATTGTTGGAAACGTTAGTTGCGGGCGCGCAATGCGGGAGAGCAGCCGTCGCGTGCATAGTCTCAGTCGAGGGCTGTGCGGAGCGCGGGCTAGGAAGCTTGCCCGGCGGGGATGAGTCTGTGCTGGTCAAGGGCGTGAGAGCGTGGAGAGATGATGTGTGGCCGGGGTACGACATATTTGTCGCTGAGGAAAACACCGAGGAGGCTGAACTGGCAAGAGAGCTTGTCGAGCCAACGCCGTTCAGAAGGTCGCCAGAGCGATTGTCATCCTCAGGTGAAGGTGTGGTGTTCTTGTCCTCGGTTGCAATGTTTTCACCGCAAGCAACTGCCGACGGCGCTGATGACGGTGGGTTGGTATTGACGGACGAGCTCGCGCGATGCGAGCCGGCCCGTCGCGTTTGATTGTCTTCTCTGTCGCGACAGTAGTGCAGCATCAACGGGATACTCGACGGGCAGTCGGGGAGAGTGGCCGCGGCGGGTGCGCGCGACATAATCTAGCGTCGGTCCTAGCAGAAGCGCGCCGTCACCGTCACCATCTCGCCGGGCGGCAGCGCGGAAAGTGTGTTGACGAAGCCGCTAGACTCGGCGCCGCAGTGAATGGGGAGGTGTCGAGAATGAGAACGCGGTGTGGGGAGCGGCACGACGCAACGCGAACCGCTCACGCAGCGTGTTTCTGGGCAGACGCCGACTGCGGGCGGCGGGGGACAAGAAAAAGTGTAGCGGAGAGGGAGGGCGAGACGGCGAAACGGGTGCCGGGGAGACGCAAGCCCTATGGCGGCGAGTGGTGTGTGGTGGGTAGAAGGGCAATGGAATGCTTTGGAGTTGAGGTTCTCGTCGCAAAGCTTGGCGGGCCGCGCTTGATGAAAAGGAGGCAGTCACCGACCAACTCCCTTGCCAGCACGAACGAAATCTGTAACAGCAACCACTTGTGCATCAACTGCATCAACACCGTCGCCTTCTGTGCACTAATTTCACCGCGGCCATGTAATACTTCTCCTCTCGGCCCTCTCCCTCTTCCTCGCTCAAGATCTGCATTCGCCGCCCTGTAAACCCCCGGCATCTCCGCTGCAACTCCCCCAGCCCCCAGCGTCATCGCCCGCCATCCCAAATATAACACTCTACACCGCCTACTCTACTATGAACAACGTCTCGCAAGGAAATTGGTGGAGCACACAGGCATGCTTACCGGATATTCACCTGTTGGACGGAAGGCGGCTTCCTTGATATGTCACGTGAGCTGAGTGCTGGCGCAACGACCTGCCCGTCCGGCTGCACATGCGGTCGACTTGTTCGACGGTAGCTGGTATTCCCTCCCGGTGTGCTCGAGCAGGCCACAGCCCGTGTCGTTTGATGCTCATCTACTACATCCTTCTGTGCGACACACACGCCGTTACGCCTTCCGTTTGCTGCAACTTTCGGCAGGGTCTGCTGGTGCTGGCCGCCATTGTTCGGGTATTGCAGGTTCAAATATACGCATGGCAGTTGTCATGGCTTGCGACTATATTTGCTGTGATCGTCATGTCAAGACATGCCGACCCGCGTGAGGAGGAGCCGAGTTTTGAGCTTCTCTGGCCCTTGCTGCATCACCGGTGAGGCCAAAAGGTCGTTCACGATATTATAGGCAGAGCTGAGACTAGGGTATATTCGGGCTCAATCGTCGAACGATTACCGTACTTAGAAGCCTTGCGTCGTGGTGGAACGACAAATCCCCCACCTACCGCTGAGCTACCTCGCCAACCTGCCCGAGCCGTTCGATTTGGAAGTGTGTTCATCGCTCCTCTTTGATTAGATTCCTCGTCTTTCCCTCTAAACATTTGTCTCAGTCCAGCATCTTCCCGTTCACCCACCCCTTCCTCTTTACGCCTAGCTCCACCGCTGCGCTCCCCCAATCAGCCCCATGGTTATGCCCCTCATTCTTCCCCGCACCTGCGATACCCGCTCTCTGGAGGCCCTGCTCTTCGTTCAGCAACGTAAGCAGTCCGAAGACGACGGGCACATTTCCGTCTAGTTGTACGCGCATCAGGCCGTGGCTCACAGCGTCTGCGATGTACTCAAAATGCATCGTCTCTCCCTTGATGAGCACGCCAATTGCGATGATTGCGTCGAACGGGGTTTGGAGGCTGGACGGTTCTTGCGCAGGCGGTGTCGACATGGAGAGTTGGGTGAGGTCCGTGGCAGACCCGAGGAGGTCTGCTGCCGCGCCTACGACGCCGCTTGACGAGGACTGGACTTGCGAGGCTGAATACATTCTGCCGGCATCTCGTTAGCTGGAGGCGTATCCGGGAAGAGGCGCGGAGAATCTGATTGAGCTACTAGAATATGTAGTAGTAGAGCTAGTAAAAGGATGGTTGCACGTACTGCTTAACAGCATATGGCAGCTCGTAGCTTCCTGGAACGCTCTGGGTCACAATGTTCTCCTCCTTCACGCCTGCGTCAGTAAGTGCCTTCATTGCCCCCGCGAGTAGCGCATCGATCATAGTGGAGTTCCATCGGGCGTGAACGATGCCGATTCGTAGTCCAGAGCCTGCTCTCTACTGTCGGCATGTGGTACACGTTGTGAGAGCCCTTAGCTTAGGTAGATACCCAGAGGGAGCGACCATCTTGGAGCAGAGCGGCAGTGCCGGCGCATGGCGGGGTCTTACCATCGTATGCTTTAGGCTTGCCGGGTCCTTTGAGGGTTGACATTGCGTAAAAGCTACTTGGAGCAAGTAGCGGATATATGCTGGTGAAAATCTGGCTGCGCAAGCTGTGCGCATGTATGTCGAAATGCTGTTGAGGTGCACAGGAACAGTGAGAACCTGCTACATGGATTTGTTTCGTTCCTGGCCGGCCAGCCCCGCAGCGGACAGGGATGTGGACTCACGACATTGCCCAGATCAGCGGCGCTTTCAGATGCGCACACCACGCCATCACAACCATCCAGGGAAAGCCATTTACATAGACAAATTTATTTCAAAGCTGGCTTTGGTGTCGTGCACATATACTTCATAGTTCGATCCCATTGCAGAACCTGGCCCCAGGTCGTCTGCTCATCCAAACATTCGAGAGCATACCATTATTGGTCCCGTAGCATTCGTAACACCAACCAAAGCCCATACATAGCCAGCTAGGTGAGCAACCTCTAAGACGCCAATTCCAAAGAGACTGTCAAAATTTTACTCGACCGTCACCGACTTGGCTAGGTTACGAGGCATATCAACGTTCAGGCCCTCCGCGACTGCCATCCAGTATGACATCAGCTGCAAAGGAATGACGTTTATCAGACCCTGCAAGCAGTCGACGTTCTTAGGAACCTCGATCTTGTCCGTCTTGTCAGCGGGGAACTCTGGGTCGTTCTCGTGGCAGATAATGATCGGTCGTCCCGCTCGAGCAATAACCTGCTGGTAGGCATTCAAAGATTTGGCGAAAATGTCGTCTCGTGTGAGGATCATGACAATTGGGAGGTTCTCATCGACAAGAGCGAGTACACCGTGCTTCAATTCTCCAGACATGACAGCCTCACAGTGGAGGTAAGAGATTTCCTTAATTTTAAGAGCGCCTGTAGTATGATTAGAATGGTGGCAAACTCTTGACTCCCAACTGTATGGGGGAACTCACCTTCGAGGGCTGTAGCGTGCTGAGAGCCGCGTCCGAGTAGCAGCAAACTCTTCTGATCCTTGAACCTCTCGCAAAGCTTCTTGATGGGCTGGTCAAGCTTGAGAACCTCCTTGAACTGCTCCGAAACCTTAGAGAGACCGTCCATGATCTCTTCTCTCCTCTTCTGCTTAGACGCGCGGTCTTCGGACAGAGAGAGGGCAAACATCACCATGCAAACGAACTGGGATGTGTAAGCCTTGGTGGAGGCGACACCGATTTCGGGGCCAGCATTGATGTGGACACCGCAGTGAGTGAGAAGGGAGATGGAAGAGCCAACAGAGTTGACGATACCGACGGTGAGTGCGCCGCGTTCCAAGCAGTAGCGCAGAGCCATAAGCGAATCTGCAGTTTCACCAGATTGGGACACAAACACGCAGGTGTCATCACGGAAGACCGGCGCTTGGCGATCCAAGAAATCCGAGGCCAGCTCCACGGCAATCGGAATCTCAGTCAATTCCTCAAAAATACCACGGACAGCCATGCAAGAATGGAACGAAGTACCACAGGCAATGAAGATAATCCTGCGGCAGCGCCTGATGGTCGTGATATACTGTCGGAGACCGCCAAGGGTAACGGTCTTATTGGCGGGATCTAGACGACCACGCATGGCGTTGACCACTGACTCTGGCTGCTCGAAGATTTCCTTCTGCATGAAGTGGTCGAATCGTCCCTTCATGATCTCTTGAAGCTCAATCTCCAAAGTTTGGATGGTGCGCACGTTAGAGGCTCCATCGTCCTTCTTGAGGCGGTGGATGTTGAGTGAGCCTTCGTGAATGTGGGCAATATCGTCATCCTCCAAATACAAAACCTTCTTCGTGTGCTCGACAATCGACGAAGGATCGGAGGACAGAAAGAACTCGGTCGGCATTGGCACACCATCGTCAGATAGGAAGGCACGGGACTGCGAACGGTGGAGGAGAGACTTGTCTGGGGGAGCAAGCAGGTTGTTGACGTTCTTCAGGGCAACATTTTGCGAGGCACGCTCGGCGGGGAGGGCAGTAGCCTCGTCAGTGTACTCCACGTCCACGAAGTCAACCTTCATCTTCTTCTGCGTTCGCACGCCAATAACCAGCGGCGATCCCTTGCGCGCGGCAATGACCTCGTGGGGGTAATGGACGGACTTCAGCAGCAGACCAAAGGCGCCCTGCAGCTCCTTGATGATGGTCTTCGCCAGCACAGGGAACTCCATGTCTGGATGCTCATCATGGATGTACTTGGCGAGCTTAGCAATTGCCTCGGTGTCTGTCTCGGTCTCGAACTTGAAGCCCTTGCTCTGCAGCAGTGTCTTGAGCTCCTTGTAGTTGGTGATGATGCCATTGTGCACGACTGCGAATTCCCAGTTCGGATCGGACCTGTGTGAAGAAAAAGGTACGAGTCAGCCCGGGCACGGAATTTCCGTCGCCAAGACGGCGTACGGCACGCCCAACAGTGTTTCATTCTGCTGACGGCCGCCCGTTGTGCGAGCTGGCAAGTGCAACTCACCTGTGGGGATGGCAGTTGACGCGCGAGGGCGGGCCGTGGGTGGCCCATCGAGTGTGGGCAATTCCAGCATGTGAGTCGAAGACCTTGTTCTCGTCGAAATTGGCCTCCTCAACCAACTTCTTTAGCGCTGCAACCTTCCCGACTTCCTTGACTGCAAACACTTCGTTCTTCTTGTCACCGTCGATGGCGAGCCCAGCCGAATCGTACCCACGGTACTCTAGACGCGAGAGGCCTAGGGAGAGGAGAACACCTGTTAGCCCCGCGAGCTTCAGGAAGCTGCCGCAGCCTGCTTGCGGGCGAATTGGCGGGGTGCACTTGCCATTGATCAGAGTGTTGAGAATGTACTTCCTGTCCTTCTCGACTAAGTAGTTAATGTAGCCAAAAATTCCGCTGCGGGTCCTTGGTCAGCCGTGCCGCTTCTACTGCTCTCTCGGAGCTGCATCGGAGGGCGGGGCAGTCCAACTTACCACATGGCGAGACTGCAGAAACACTGTGAAATTCGTTAAATAAAAGCGATCGTCGAGGCTGCGAGTCTGAATTGGAGCGTGGGGATAGAGTGAACGGGCGAACGCAAGAGGGACTGGAGTGCGAGTGCAGAAGAGCGGTGTTGATGTTTGGCTTTTATATCTTCACAGCCAAGTGTGTGCCCCAGCGACGCACCACTCCACAAAAACCGACTCCCTCAGCTGCTAGCCTCGCCCATGCATATCGCTCCCCTGGCGCGGTGGCGTAGGCCGTGAAACGAATCGGCCGCCCTTCAATATTCTCCTTTTTCGTGGCCACACCCGCCCCATCGCCAGGTCAGCATATCCATTCTCTCTCTGGCACAACTGCCTCTCCTATTTCGTCATTGCTTAGCGTCAGGCTCGCAATCGGGCCCCTAGAGCCTCCGCCAATAGAGCTCGCCGCAGTGTCTGATCTGCCACTGGGACCGTTTTCTGAGCTCTTCTGAGCTTGTGCTGGGGCGCAGCAGCTTCAAAATAGCAGCCGCTAGGCCCTGAAATCCCTCTTCTTTCACTTTTTAGATTCCTCTCCGTGCTGGATGGCTGTATTGGCGGCGGCCCCCGCGCCGCTGTGGCTAGTGACTGCTTACGAAACGTGCTTCTAATTCTGCTCCCTCAAAGCTCTGCGACCAGGAACACCAAAAGCGAAAGACGTCAGCACGAAATCTCTGGCCGGGTACAGCTCCAAAATCAACCCGGTGTCGCCGCCAATCAATAAATCGCCCCGGCGTCTTGGGCAGATTCAGGATTTCCTGCCATGCCAGCAAGCAGTCCCAGCCCTTGCCATGTTTCGACAACGGAATCCGTGTCGAACGACGTCCCTGGCCAAGACTTCATTCTCCGCTGAAGTGCCACAAGCGGGAGTTCGTTTACCTACGGATCGAAATCTGCAGCTCGTGTATCAGACGGTGAAGAATCCACCATGTGGGATGCCCTCCACGCTTAATTCTCACACAAGGAGCGGTGCGGTGGTGTTTCTCAATCCTAAGTGGCTTGCCGTGAACCACCTATCACAAAAAGGGACCATTAAACGTGAATTGAGCTGAGACTCCAACGCATACCCGGCATCATTCATTTGGCACAAGTCAATACCTGCCCTTCCGGGTCTCACACAACAATTGACTTGGGCGTTCTATGAAGCTTAGCCTGCGCCTGTCAGGAATCAAACTTTCAGCTCCTCTAAGCAACCGGATTCCTTTTTCGACCCTGCATGAGTCCCAAAATGTTGTCGCTCAGCGTGATAAACACCACGCTCCAACTTACAATGCACTCCCAGACCGCCGGATAGACAATCGGTTGAGGTCGCGGCTTCCAGTGGACCACCAGACGATGCATTTAACTTCGTTTATGTCTGGGAACCATGTCGATAGTAACACCCCACCAACCATGGGACATATCAATACGGCTGCGGGGTTTCTGCTCAGCTGTTTGCGGCTCATCTGCAGGTGACTGTTCAGCTTCTCTGCATGCACTCCATCCAGCCTTACCAGCAAAAGACCGTTCTTCCCGTTGCAGCTCGTCTTCGGGCGCATGAACGGACGACTTCACCCGATTCATGGAATACTAACTGCAAATGTTCAGACGACGCCGTCTTAATCTCGAAATCGAGCTTCGAGTTACGATACCACATGTTTTCTTTTGTTTCGGAAAAATCACCCGACGGCCCAAGTGGGTTTTGCCACCGCTCCAACGGCTTCGTTAGGTAGCGACTCTCATGGTCTGCTTACCTGGGATGATTCGGACCCATCAAGTTCTCAAAGGCAAAATCTTGGCTTCTTTGACGCTGGCGAGAAGACCTAGTTTGTTAACACCACAATTGCTTTTTAGCCTTTCTTCCTTGATTCCACATCGTGCAACCTCACAAACCTGTTCCAACAAAAGTCGGTATTCTTCCTCTCTGGAAGCTGTGTTCTCTGTTAGGTCTTTTATCGTAGTCATTCTGCTGCTCTACGCTGCTAGTTTGAATTCCCAACATCGGCATGTTAGGACTTGTTTGATGTTCAAAGTTTGTTTGAGCTGCATATTTTCATATGAATTGCCTACATATACCACCTTTTGCCCCATTCCAAACACATACGACCATAGGACCAAGCAAAATCTGAACCCCGTTCGATCTTCGATAGATAATCTTGGTACCGGTGGATTAGTAGTTAGGTGGGTGACCACTAGCGAATACCTGCTGTTGTATGTTTTTGCTTTTCTTTTTGCTTTTGCGCGGGTATCCAAGATGTCAGTCATGGCTTAATACTAACAGAAAAGTCAGTTAAATAATTCCTTATAGTATTTTGCTTCCTTTTAAACTCCATTTCCATGTAGTCTTTGGGCACACCGGGGATATTGTGACCAGATTTGAAGCGGTATCCCCATAACTCCTACCAATTAATAATTGAAATATTTTATATAATAGACTGATAGAATTAAGTTATGCATCTATTCTCGACTTGTTCTGCTCTCGGACCTGTGGTAGCTACTCTCAATCATTTTACCACTGTAGCCCCTCTTTCGGCCCCTTCTCCACTTCCCCCCACTACATGTTCAGCCTAATGCATAAAATTTTTACTAGATAAAGGGCAGGCTGAGGAGAAATAGCCTGGACAGTTTATGTCCTTGATCATATTCTTTTCAATCGGGTGTGAGCCCTTCTACTTTCCATTCTACTTGCCCAACAGATCTACGCTAACCTTCGTTCCTCACAAGAGCCACCCTCATCGAAATGCTTCACACATTCTTCCCAACCGACCATACCGAGGTATAGTACAATTCATACACGCACGGAGAAGCAGCTCTAAGAGAATCAATTACCAAAGTCCATGCAACCTACCCATGCTATGTAACAAGCACTTTGCTCAAATGCATATAAACCATCAAGGAAAATACTCAAAATGGCAGCGATGTATCTAGACAGAGTAATATCGCAGTCATCTAATTCACCTACTATCACAATACCCAGGGGCTTTGGCAGCAGGGCCACTAACCCAGCTGGATACAGTAAGCACAGTTGTATATGCCATGCCGACAAACCCGAGGATGCAGAGTAGTACATCGGAGGCGCGTGAAACGGAGCTGCGAGCGATGGCTTTATAGTGTAACATTGGCTGCAGGGGTGTTAGCTTGCTTCATTCTTATTCTTGCTCCCGAACAGAGACGCTCTCCGGGTAAGTGACAAGAGATTGCGGTCTTGGACTTCGTCAGGACTTACGGGATATATATACACGAGCGGTATACAAGCAAAGCTGCCGACCAGACTGACAAATTTATCCAGATCGTTCGCGCCAACCCACGCCAACATGGCACAAACCATGACCATAAAAAAGCGGAAGAAGTTCTTCTTCCACTTGATATATGGATTGTACTTCCCTGTCCTGCTGAACAGCTGCTGACTAGTGATTTCGATCGCGGGGTATATTTGCAGAGGTGTGGAGAGCAAGATCGCAAGGGAGTAGATGAACTGCACGCCGTTGACGAACTTGTTGTCTTGCGGCATGTTTAAGATGACGACGGTTTTGGTCTTAGAGCCGTAGGCAGCGTAGGAGAGCGCTCCCATGCTGATGAAGACGACCGTGATGATGACCATCACACCTGCTAGCACGCCGGGGAATTTCTTCGGGTTTTGCATTCCGGTTTGGATCGGGATGATTAGGCCGATGCCTTCAAATGTGAATATGGCGGTGCCGATGAACAACGTCCAGTCGCTATAGTTGAATCTGACGATGTCTGCGACACCACCCTGGCCGACGATGGTGAGAATGTCGTAGTAATACAGATAGACAAGCCCAAGAAGGATGAATACGTCGGCGACAAGGGCGAGTTTCTGAATATTGTTGATATTACGGTATAGTGAAAGCGGGAGGAAAATAATCATCTGCATCAGGATCATGTACTTTATGTCAATGTGCGTTCTACAGTCCGACACGGCCTGAATGAATGCTTGCAGGTTTTCCGATACGAAGACAATGTATGCTGAGGAGAATCCTATTTGGGAGATGACGAGGGAAAAGTTGATCAGATTGCGCATCCAGTTCCCGTAGAGATGGAAGCCCATGTCGCCAAACGAATGTTCAACTTTGAGACGAGTGGTTACGAGGAGAACGAAGCAATAATAGGACAACCCGGCGACGCCAAGGAGGACGAGGTTCGAAAAGAGCATGCCGCCATTAAGAAAGGCCCGAGGGAGGAACAGCACACCGGTACCAACGAACGACTTTAGTAGCAGTAGAGCGGCACCAGTAGGGCTGCCCTTGCCATGCTTTAAGTCCTTTCGCCGCCTACGTTTCTTGCCCGGTGTCAGCAAGGCACTAGATTCACCATACTCGCGACCCTCTTCTTCGGTATGTTCTCCAGAGTCATACGCTTCCGATGAGAAGTATTCATCTGGTTCCAACACCTCATCGTCTTCTTCGAGTGATTCACCGGCAAAGTGGCCATAGAGACTTAGGAATTCGAGGAAATTGCTGGTGAAGACCGGAGGGGGTTGCCTGGAAGAACTTGCACCAAGAGTTCCATAGTTGGATGGGCCAGGGGAAGGAGATGGACTTCCAGCAGCCCGGCGCAGAAAGTTTCGTCGGAAGCCTCCCGGCTGCTTTATGGATTCGATATTCAGCGTATGATCTTCGGGTTTTGGTCGAGATGAATGGAAACTTCGGCTCCGCTTCGCTTTCTGGCGCTCCTCTGCTTCTTGCTGCTCTGTCCAGCGATAGATTTGGCGGGTGATATCTCCGCCTTGCAGCCGCAGACTCGAGAACTCTTCGTCAGAGTCGGATGACCCCGGCCCACCCCGTGACTCTTCCTCTCCACCAGCTGCACCGTGCATTCTGTTCGGTGAGCCATACTGCCCGGAGAGGTTCGTGGAGGAGGAGGGTTTCTGGGGGCCTGCCAGATGTCGACGGATAATCTCAGGGTCTTCGTAGGGGGCGGGGGATCGACCGCGGCCATCGAAGGAACCATAGTTGCTTGGTGGGCCCCGAACAGACGATGGTGCCACCGAGGGGGACAGAGGACGTATGGGTGGTGTCCCAAATCGGGGAGGGCTGCTCCTGCCAAAAGACTCGCGCAACGCCGAAGACAATGCCGATTCTCCAGGGCCTTGCAGCGATGACTGCGGACCTCCAAGCCCAGCCAGCGGTGTCTGCGCCTGTGATGGCTCGTTCGTCCCAAGCTGCGCTGGTGTAGGTACCTGACGTATCGCCGGCGATCCTCCTGGGAATGAAGGTACCGGGGAGCCCAGCCGTGCGGTCGATGTTGCGCGCTGGGAGCTCTCTGCGACGGGCGAGCTGCGGCCGGAGTCCCTTGAGGACGAAGGAACCGCCCGGGGTCGCGACGATTCCGGGAGGTCGTCCCCCATTGCGTGCGAACAAGTGTCTTCCACCTGTTCTCTTTCCCCTGGACCGCCTTAAGGCGAGACAGAAGCTTCGGCTATCGTTGTGTAACGAAGGATATGAGCAGTAGGAAGGGCAGGAGTCGGTTGGCGATATGTATGACTACGGAAGAGGGGTCGAGAGGGGTAAAGGAAGGTCAATGAAGCGGCTCAAGACAGGGTCCTATGTGCGGGATAGAAGCAAAAGGTTATGACCGCGGATGGTAAATCCAGACCGAAGACTGTGATATGAAGGCTGAGGTTATTCGCTGAGCTTGACTTCTAGCCAGGCGCAGGCGTGGGGCGCGTGGGGGCCTGCTCACATGACGATCCCTGTGGCGGTCAAACGTCGAAAAGCGCCTTGGCAGCCGTAGCTGTGAAAACCACAGCATCAAAGACACATTCTTGTCCTCATCCTCGCCTCATTCACTCCTTTCTTTAACTTCTACGCACTCTCATCTCCTTCCATGTCTTCATTGATCAACCCGGTTGCTTGGAATCAGTCGAGGTCATCCATGCACATTCTGGGTACACCACAGCCACCGCTCGGATAGACGCATCTGCTCTCCTCGTGACTGCTGAAAATGACTGACCCAACACATGGTCATGGCACACGCAGGCGGATGCCGCCGCGGTCCCACTCCAACTTCGCTACACGTACCGCGCGGGATGATGCTGAGCAGTTGGATCGACGGTCCTCAATGTTTCCGTCGCCTTCGCCAAATGAGGAAACCCCACTTCTCCCTTTGGATGCCCACACAATCCATCAAGATGCTCCAGGAAATGACGAAAATCTTCAAGAAAGGGACCACGGAATAGACACCATGCGAGAATGGTTCTCCAGAACATTTCATACTGCGCAATCCAGGTCGCCACGACAAACTTCAATTCCAGGACACCATGAGATTAAACGACCTTCAGATGTTGCAAAGCCTCGACCCGGAGCCTTTCCAAGGCCTGTTGGAGGGACCGAAAAGCTTGGGACATTTGCGGGAGTTTTTGTTCCAACCACTCTCAATGTTCTTAGCATTCTCATGTTCCTGCGTTTCGGCTTCATCCTCGGTCAAACAGGGGTAGTGGGTATGATGGGTAAGTTTCCATTTTTGTCCCAAAAATGATATGGATTTGACCAAAGGTAGGTATGCTCATTGCTTGTTACGCCATTAATCTCTTAACCACCATGTCCATTTCTGCCATTGCTACCAACGGAACGGTTAGGGGCGGTGGTGCCTACTATTTGATTTCCCGCAGCCTAGGACCCGAATTTGGCGGAGCCATAGGTATCGTCTTTTATCTGGGCATGGTCTTCAACACAAGTATGAACTCCGTCGGCCTCATTGACTGCTTCATTGAGAATTTCGGGTCTGATTCCGGCAGCTGGTCTCAATGGATGGAGCAAGGCTTCTGGTGGCAATATCTCTGGGCTACCGCGGTGCTGGTAATATGCACCGCAATCTGCTTAGCCGGAAGTGGCCTGTTCGCACGATGCAGCAATGGTTTGCTTGTCATCTTGCTCATCGCCACGTTCAGCATTCCTTTTTCCGCTCTTGTAGTGAGACCATTCGAGAGCCGAAAGGAAGGCATTCTGTATACTGGGCTTAGCCTTGACACTTTCTTTGGGAATCTGATGCCGCAGTTCACAAGAGGTTCTGCAGGAAGCCAGCATAAGCACAGAGAAAACTTCCAAGATATGTTTGGCATCCTTTTCCCTGCCACCGGAGGTATATTTGCGTAAGTCTACGAGTATCTTTGTTCGAAACCCTGATGTACTAATTTCAATGAAGCGGAGCAAGTATGTCTGGAGATTTGAAACACCCAAGTAAAGCGATCCCGAAAGGAACCTTGTATGGCCTGGGATTGACGTTCATCTCATACACCATCGTTATTCTGTCCATGGCTGCGACCACCACTCGTGCCTCCTTGTGGTCAAATACTAACGTTATCCAACTAGTACGTTCCTTCAACCTCATTCTGAATTCCGCTAAACTGATGTCCAGACGAACGTATCAGGGATAATTGTGCTCCTGGGAGAGTTTGCGACTTCCGCCTTCTCAGTGTTGATGGGAGTCATTGGTTCTGCTAAACTGCTTCAAGCTCTAGCTCGAGATCATCTTCTTCCCGGTCTCTCCATATTTGGACAAGGGACTGAGAAATCTGATGAGCCAACTTATGCCATCGTCATCACTTACATCCTCGCGCAGCTTACCATGCTGTCTGATATCAATCAGATTGCATCCTTCATTACCATGACCTATCTGATGACGTTTTTGGTTACAAATCTCGCATGCTTCCTCCTCAAGATTGGATCTGCGCCCAATTTCAGGCCCTCTTTTCATTTCTTTAATTGGCAAACTGCAGCCATTGGCACTGTAGTGAGCGGTGTAACAATGTTCTTGGTCGATGGCGTCTATGCTTCTGGCTGCGTTGCACTTCTGATGATTATCTTCTTGATCATTCACTACACTACTCCTCCAAAACCCTGGGGCGATGTCAGCCAGGGCTTAATTTATCACCAGGTTCGGAAATACCTCCTTCGCCTCCGTCAAGAACATGTAAAATTCTGGAGACCTCAAATCCTCCTTCTCGTCAACGATCCGCGTCGTCAATACAAACTCATTCAGTTCTGTAACTCTCTAAAGAAGGGTGCACTATTCGTCCTTGGCCATGTAATTGTTTCGCAAGATTTTGGATCGGCAGTACCAGAAGCTCGGCGACAACAGCAGTCTTGGGCGAAATACATCGACTTTTCCAGGATCAAGGCTTTTGTCAACATCGCAATTTCTCCAGCTGTAGAATGGGGTGCCAGGAATATTGTGCTTGGCGCAGGCCTTGGAGGTATGAGGCCGAATATTGTGGTTATGGGCTTTTATAACCTCGGTGAGCTGCGGCTGATGAAACCTCTTATTGATATCCCATCACCCCAACCGTCAAGGCCATCGAGCGGAGCCGGGAATCATCCAATCACCCCAAAGGCCGTGCATGCAGCGGCTAAACGCAGGCAGACGGACAAGCTGCAAGGGATCTTACCGACAGATGCAATGCGGCCCGAAAACGCAATTGGGATTCGCAATTACGTCACAATTTTGGAAGACTTGGTGCTTCGGCTCCAAATCAATGTTGCCCTTGCAAAAGGGTTCCAAGAGTTGGATCTCCCTGTCTCAAAACCAACAAGGAAGGAGCGGATTCTCAATTTAATAAGACTTAGAGAAATAAGTGATGAAGAGCCTTCAAAGAAATATATTGATCTATGGCCTATTCAAATGTCTGCGGAGATCGCCACCGCTGGCGAGAACCCCACAAGTAAGAACGTCCTCACGACCAATTTTGACACCTACACACTCATCCTCCAACTTGGCTGTATCTTAAACACAGTACCGTCTTGGAGGCGGACATACAAACTCCGGGTCGCAGTGTTTGTAGAGTACGAGTCTGATGTTGAGGAAGAGCGTGGACGCGTCACGACATTGCTGAGGAATTTAAGAATTGAAGCTGAGGTCCTGGTCTTCTGGCTTGCTAGTGGAGACTTAATGATGTACGAAGTCGTTGTAAATTCGAGTACTGCAGAACACTGTGTACAGGCAGCAAGGGATGTTGACGAAGCTTTAGAAGATGAGGAATGGTGGCAAGACATAAAACGCCTTCGAAAACCTGGCGATATGAGCGCGAGTCAGGAATTGGCGCGGACTGAGAGCCTTCTTGACACTGTGACCAACTGGCCCACTGCATCGTTCCAACATGGCCGGCGGGAGTCCAAACCGAAGCGCTTCGCCGAGTTACGAAAGATGCTGCAGCGGTCGAAACGTAAAACATCTATGGGCAACTTAAGCGAAATGGGCCTCAATGTTGGAATGCGTACACAACGCTTACCGGCAGACCTTCTCTCAAGAAGTGACACGGAGTCTTCATCAAGCGATGACAGTGACGAAGAAGCGGTGGCGACCGAAAGCGAAGATCCCGTCGCAAGTGAGAACGATCTATCCGAGTATGACCTATCCGCTTCGGATGAAGAGCGACCAGCTACCCCAGCCAGAAGATCGAAGAGCGTGGGTGCCAATATGAGCATACCTTTTATTCGACAGAAGCTGAACCTTCGTAAATCGTTATGGAAGGATGGTGAATCTTCAGCGGACAAAGTCACACCCCTGCGACCGCATCTAGATGCTGCATCATCGGACACAGCTCTCCTAAGCACTTTGAAAGCCAAGCGAGCTAGGAGTATTCAGAGCACATCGCCCAGCCCTTCGTCTTCTTCAACGGAATCTTCTGCCGCAGCTCGACCTCCACCTATTCGCCACCAATCCCTCCCTAAATTTACCTCTAACCCAGTCCCTCGCTCCAGCATTGCAGCCGAAGAAACCCCCGGCCCATCTATCATGTTCGCCGACATGCCCTCTCCATCCACAACCCGAACGAAAGACCCCGTATCCTCCTGCGTCTACCCCTCTCCGCACATCCCTGCAGATCCTACATCCTCAGAAGACCAAGCATCCCAAGCAACAGGCTACCCAATCCAACAAGCGATCCCGCTCTCCTTCAACGACTTACCGTGTCGAGCCCAACACCTCATTCTCAACGAACTCATCCGCCAGCACTCTTCGGAAACAGCCGTTGTATTTACAACGCTACCTAGCCCGATGGAAGGGACATGTGAGACTGAGATAGAGAGTGTTAAGTACATTTCGGATTTGGAGGTCTTGTGTCAAGGACTACCGCCTGTATTGTTGGTGCATAGTAATAGTATGACTGTTACTATGAATTTGTGAGGAGTGGGGCGTTGTGTTGGAGGGGTGGATTGGATGGATGATGGGAATGCGTGTAGGTGGTTCTTGGCACCCAGTATGGGATATTAACGGTGATAATTTGGTTTGTTGAATAAGTTTCTAGAACTAGGAAGGCGGCTGGGAACAACTGGTTACATTTGTCAATCAGATCAAGACCCAGACTCGAGGTTCCGAAGTAGTGCTAACGCGCAGTAATTATATAGAGATAGCCTAGAATTACTGCCTTGCTAACAGTTCTCTTCGACTCATCCTCATTTCGCGGCATGCATGCTAGGAACCTAAAAGTTCAATGTACACATTGTCACTGTGAGAAAATTGCGTCATGATGCGTAAAGGTGGGTTTCAACTTCCATCTACTCTGAATCACTACCTTCGTCACTGCTTGACTTGTTGACATCCCCCTCCTTCTCCCTTTCTACGTCCTCTAATTTGTCTGGTTTGCCGGTCATAATGAACGATTCCAGACACGTGATGCGATTACCGGTTGAGTAGGTGCCTAAAAGTTTGCCAACTTGTTTGGCTGTAAAACCACTCTGTGGCTGAGATTGTTTGGTGTTAGATTGGAGGTCTACGGCTGAGAGAAGCCATATACGCCCAGAACCGTCGCTGCTTCCAGTAACGAAGAGAAAGCTGGCGTCGTCTGACGGAAGGGGAAGAATGCTGAAGTCCTTGACGCGGCCTGTGATACCGGCTGCTGGCCCGCCTAGCTGACCTAGCAGAGTGCAGGTTGGGATGTCTTCCTGCTTGTCGTGTTTTTCAGGGCATGGTGTGGTCGAAGAGGTCTCATACAACATAATTCGTCCATCTTCTGTGGAGGCAGCAAGAATATTCGGATGACTCGACCCTGGGAGGTAATGCATCTGATGGAGTTTCGTCCTGGGCGTGGGCATCACTTTTGCTTTTGGCTTGGAATCGATCCCGAATATAACGGCGCCCCGCTCGAATGCAACGACGAATTCTTCTCCTTCCGCATCCCAGGCTACTCTCCTTCCCTCCCCGGAGCCGAACCGGCCTTCACCTCCGGCTACAAGGACCTCTTTCCCAAAGTTGAGAACGCCAGCTTTTTTGCCGGTCACGAGATTCCATAATCGCATGCATTTCTCGCCTTTCCCAACGCTGACCATCAGCTTCATACTGGGGTGCACGGCAAAGTCGTTTATGCCAGCAGGTACTTCACCGGGTGCTGCTGTGTCGCCACTCGGTCGGCCTTGGGGCTTTGGAATGGGAGCTTTGATGGTGGAGAGGGGAGTCCAGTCACGAGTCCTTGTGATAGTGATAGTGCTGTCTTCGGCGGAACTTAGTAGCTTGCTTCTCGTCGGGAAGTAGAGAGCTGTGATGCTAGAGGAATGGTGCAAGAGTGATCCTAGCTCCTTGTTCTTGGAGTTTTGGGTAATAGAAGTCCCGTGCAGAGTCGGAAGTGGAGGCTTTGATTTTGAGGGCAGGGGTGGTGCGGTTGAGAGTGAGTATACATTTATGCGTTCGTCGGTGCTGCCTGTTGCGAGCGTGATTTTTGAGGTTTCATCCGAGGGTGGGGAGAGAGCCAGACAGCGAATGGCGGATGCGTGGGCGTTGAACAAGAATGTATCGGAGAAGTTGACTTTGGCGTCCTCGTCCTCTTTTGAGGCCTCGTCAGGATTGCCATGTCTCGTGATCAGGGTGCGCGGGAGAGCTGCTGTGAATCCGTGGAGTACTCTCTCGTAGGAGCCTGTGATAATTTGAATCGTAGTCGTCTCGCTAGGTTTATCGGCTGTGTCTGTTGCGGTCTCTTTTGCCTTGCCGTTTACTTCCATTGCAAACCCATTTGCAGCGACTGGTAGGTTCTTGCTCTTGTTCGCTGGAAGTTTCTCCCGTGATACCAGTTTTGGGGTCGATGCAGGCTGCTCTTTTCGGCTTTTCACCGCTGTCACCGGCCTAGTCTCATCTGCCACATCTCTCTTTCTCTTGCCCATACTGGCTTGCCAAATCAGTCGATGCGCCGCTGCAGCAATGAAATGAGGTGTTGAAGTCGGCGGGCGCAACACGAAATTTTGATTTTCTTCGCGTCCGAAACCGGCTTAGCGCATAACCAATGATAAGCTAGGCCAAGCGGGCTCCCTTGGACTTCCTCGCCCTCCTCGCAACGCCAGAGTCCCATCTGTACTCGATTCACGAGCATTACCACCACGTCCATCCACAATAACCCATCTACGCATCCCGAAACTCATCACGTTGGCGACACTCGTGGGAAACGGATGTCGTCCACCGTTTTTCGGTCTTCATATGTCCCTCGACGGCCTTCGTGATGCGTATTCTAGGGAGAAAAAGAACGAGGTCGCGTAAGTAATGTGCAGTTTTATTATCGCATCGCGATTTATTTTATTCTATGGCTTGATGCGACACCGGAAAATCGCTCTGATTGTTTTATTGAGTTGTGGTGGTGCTAATATCGCACTGTGTAGGAATTGCGAGGTCTCTCGCAAGCGTAAGCTGCGCGAGCTCTACAACTATACGGCCCTACTGAATGCAGGCCGCCCGCCCCAGTGGCAGGATTGGGCTATCAGCGACCAGCCGAGTGAACTTGAGCTGCGCTTTCTCAACCAGAATGACATCACCAAGTAAGATCCCGTCTGTCTTATCCGCTTATTTACCTTATTCCTATTATATACCCTACTGAGGTTCCCTACTTGGAGTCGCGATGTTGTCGTTGCCTTCATATACTAATCTTCGTTTGTGTTTGCAGAGGTCGACGGTTCAACGACGCAACACTTCCCTCCCCATTCCAAAATGCATCACTACCACCTTTACTACAGTTCCAATCATTTCAGTCCCCCGCAAAACCTATGCTCCCTACGTTCCCAAAGTCCTCACCTTCTCCCGTTAGCACTTTCCCCAGCCTTGAAGAACAGCTGCGAGCTGCGTCTGCCTCGCCGTCTGTCGCGATCCAACCGCTTCCATCGACCGAAACATCGATACCTAAGGATGCCAGTCCAGTCGCAAGCCCACTCACGGCCACCCTGCGCGTAGAAACGCCGCAGCCAGAAACGCAAGTGGCAGCACCTGCTGTTGAGGAGACAGCAGCAAGCCAGGCACCAGCTGACACAATATTGCTCACACGCGCCCAATCACCAGGGGCTCATGAAGTACAGGAGAAGGAGATTCAAACAAAAGTTCTTCCGGATAGACCATCAGTTGATCACCAGAATGTCAATCTACCGACCGCTGAGGATGCTACCGCCCTGCCTGATGTAGTGTCAACGTCCACCAGCGTAGAGGAGAAGCCAAAAGCCCCTCATGTAGTTCAACTACTGCCGCAGGAAGTCCAGGAAGCAAGACTGCAAGAAACGGAGCAGACGCAGGAGCAAGCAGCAGAAAAGGAACACAAGGAAGAAGAGAGACTTGCTATCCCAAATGCTAATGTGGCGGCGGAGCTCGCCTCATCCCCTTCCTCGACGGTTGGTCCTTACTCGCAAGCCACACCCTATGCCCCACACCACTCTCCGGACACGAGCCCCGATACAGAGTCGTTCCACGATCGTGTCCCACCATCTATTCAGAACGAAGTTGGTTCTGATCCAGCAGTGCAACAGGCGAAGGAAGAAGAAGACTGCCCCCCCAAGCTTCAGATGCAAGATGCTAGGGAACAGACACGCGAAGAGGGCTCCGAGACCCCAGATGTCGAAAGACAGATTGAAGAGGAGCAAGCTATTCGTCTTGCTCGAGACGGCAAGTCTCAGATGACCGATTTGCAACCAGTACTAGGCACTCAAGCTTTGACTGAACTTGTGGAAGCACGTGAAGCCGAGCCCGAGCATGAAGGTTCTGTTGAGGACAAGAATCCAAAGGTCCCAGCTGACTCCTTACCAACACCAACCACGACTGCACCTGAGCCATCCTTAATCGGCTCAGAGAGTGCAGATAACCTTCCAGTGAAACCTCAAGAATCGGCCCCATTGGGTCCGGAACATCCCACCCCACCCGCAGACGTTGATGCCGAAACGGATGACGCACCGCCGGTGGCGCAAGAGTCGAAGGCTCCACAGACACCATCCTGTCCGGAGCGTATGACAACGCGAGTCGCATCTGGGGCTATTCGACAGAAGTCCGTGTCTGAAATTATTGGAGAGCAGCCCCCACTAAGAGCAGTACTCACCCCCCGCTCAAGTAACCTCTCAGCATCGGCAAGTCCCGCACGATCTCAATCTCGTGACCAAAAAGGGAAGGAAATATCAACGGTCATCTTTGCCAAATCGAACAGGACCCGACAGTCTAAAGCCCTTCAACTCTACAGTGAAGACTATGCATCACTCCAAGGCGCCTCTCAAGATTCGAGTCGAGATTATCTGCAGGGTTTGTTCCAGTATCAGGCACATCATCCACCGAGAGCCCAACCCCTGCAGGAGCTCCTCTCATCAGCGCGGAAAACTGTCTCGACGGCTGGGACTCTCGCTACTATACGTGAATGCCAGGACTACAAGATTCTTAAACGAGTCTATCAGTTACAGAACGCCAATAGGTGGTCCTTGCGACAACTTCAGAAGTCTACCGAACCTTCTCGACCCCCTACGCATCTTGACCATCTTCTCGCCGAGATGAAATGGATGCAGACAGATTTCAAGGAAGAGCGGAAATGGAAAAGAGCATTGGCTGCTACATTTGCTGAATGGTGTGCTGAATATGTGAACAGCTGTCCTGATGTCCGGACCTCGTTACGTATTCGAGCAAATGTTCCGAAACATAATCGACAAATGAGTACCGCCGATGAGGACATGAATGATGCGCCCACCCCGGACCTGATTGCTTCTGGTACCAATGAAACTGAGAGTGAGTCCTTCGCTGATGACGAGGAATCTTCGGAGGGATATTTTTCCAATGCCCCTGCTGGCTTGTTCTCGCTAGGTTTCAACGACGTGGTTATGAAGATAGTCCGTACAAGGGCCAGCGATGCCATACTCCAGGAACTTCCGGCTTACGAAGTCAACCTTGAAGGCATGAACGATGTAACGCCGATATCGTTCTGTGATCCACCAATTCTTCCTGTTTCGAAATTCGTCACCGGGAAACTTGTTTCAAAAGTCAGGGGTCCTCCCAGAAAGCGCAGCCGCTACGAGTATGATTCGGAGGATGAACCTTCCAGCCCCCCAAGCAGGTCAGGTACGTCTGCTGAACACTCCATGCCTTCGACCCCCGGTAGACGGCTTTTTCATCGGAATGATCTACAACCAGAGATGACTGATGTTGCATTGTTCAATCCCGAGAACAAGCACGTGCGAGACCGGCTCCAAGCCGCACATCAGTTCAGGCCACCCACTGAATTCCCAATGCCCTCCGTATCCTTCTTTGAGAACAGGAACTCCTCCCAATGGTTATGGGATGAAGACCAGAAATTACGAAGCCTTGTCAAAGAGTACACCTTCAACTGGTCCCTTGTAGCACAGGAGCTTGCTCTTCCTTCCACCTTTGTATCTGGGTCCGGTCGAAGAACACCCTGGGAATGCTTTGAGCGATGGGTGCAATTGGAAGGATTGCCCGCCGAGATGTCGAAGACTCAATATTTCCGAACTTACCAGACCAGGCTGGAGCAAGCACAAAGAACTATTCTCGCTCAACACCAAGCTCAGTTACAGCAACAAGCTCAACAAGGTCAAAATATGCCGCAGCCGCCCCGCAGACGTACGACACAGCCTATTCGTGTTGAAAGGAGGAGAGACAATCGATATATCTTCATTATTGACGGTATGCGGAAATTGGCCCGAAAACGCGAGTCGGTGGCGCATAAGCAAGCTGAGTGTAAGACTGGTCAACTCTTTTCTCATCCTATCATAGCTGATTGTATCACAGCTCAAAAAGCTGCTGCACTTCGGAAAGCGCATGAGCCAGCAGCTCCAAAGAGTAATGTCCACACTCCGCAAGAGTTCAGCCGCCTCAAGTGGGAGCGCGAGGAGAAGATGCGCCAAAGGGTCATGCAGCAGCAGCAGCAACAGCAACAGGACCAGCAGATGAGAGTAAGTCCAGCCTGAGCATAACACAAAGATTTGAGAAAATAACGTATGACTGGTAGGTAATAGCAGCGCAGCGCCAAGCAAGCATGTCAAGTCAGCCCGGGATGTCTAATGGCATTAATCAACCGCCGCGCAACGGAACACCCGTTGGCAATGCTGCTACCAATATACCTACATCGCTGGCTAATGCTGTCTCTCAACCAGGCCACCCTCTTCCCAATGCTGGCATGCAAGCTCGAACTCATCCAGGGCAACAATCTATGCAAGGCAACTTTCCTAATGGCAACATGGCCGGTGTGGCTATGGGTGCATCAGGTATTCCACAAGCACAAATGCAGGCAACGATGCAGAATGCGCAACGGATGCCTCCCCCCGATAATGTACGAATGGCTATGCAAAGGAGCCAATTTCCCTCCACCAACCAACACCAATTTCAGCTGCAACAACAGCAGATTAACATGGCTAGCAATCTAACGGCGGGAATTGCCATGGGCAATAGTATACCAAATACTGGCATGATGGCATCCATGGGCCAAACCCTAAATGGAAATATGAACACGTCAATGAATGGCATGTCCGCCAATGCTGGCTCTCCGCGAATGGGCCAGGTGAATCCAACTATGCAAAGCCCTTCTCGTCCTCTATCGAGCGGACACATACCTCAGCTTCACCAGTTTCAGAATCAACTGAAAACACAGCATCCGGAGTGGAATCAAGAACAGATCCAAAAGGCGGCTTCGGACCATCTCAACAAGATTATCGCGAGACAGCGGGCACAGGCTATGAATGCGGCGGCAGGGCAATCGGGGATGACCCCATCTCCTCAAATGGGATCCAACGTGTACCTCCAGAGTGCTGGCATGGGCAATAGCCCCTCTCCGAGCACAGTGCAGAATTACCAGAATCAACTTCTTCAACAGCAGCGGCTCATGAGCCAACAACAGCGGTCTCAGCAAGCGGTCAGCCCAGCCATGAGCTCAGCTCGACCTCCAAGTCGCAGTGCGACACCTCAGAACCCTCAGCTCCAGCAGAGCCCCGGGATGCAGCAGGCGCAGCTCTCGAGGAGTTAGTGGGGTGACTGGGCTTCAAATTTTCTGTCTTGCATTGTATATACTTCCTTTAATGATTTGTTATCATTAGTTTTGGCGTGGAAGAGGGTATGAGCAATCTGATTGTCAGCGAGTTGGGCTTTCTTGGAGCTTGGCATTTCGTCGACACCCAAAGAGCATCAAGCTATGGGCGCGAGGGTCTTGTTTCGGCGAGGATGGTGAGGCGGAACCTCATCATGGAGATACTTTTGGACCCAGACTCGTCTTAGACCTGAGTGTGCTTGATAAATCAAGCATATTAGCACAATGTGCATGACCAACATGACACGTCTCACAGTACTCAAGTGAAAACCTTGACGAGTTTGACTCACAGGTGGCATGCTTCGTGAACGCATTCTGCCCGATCCTTTTGTGTAAGGGACGATGATAGTGCTCGACAAATATTTGACGCGGGATGGAAGGTGGTGTTGTCCTTATCTTCAGCTACGACAGATGGTGAGACCTGGCAAATGCGACGCACGCGCCATATGTCACGGTTGCAGAATGGCTTTCGCCCGCGGACATCTGCATCGCCATCACCGACTTTTCATTCTCTTCACCGCTGCCACATCTTCATCCAACAGCAACATCTTCGGATATCACCAAGGTCGAAGTATCTGGGCATCTTTTTGCCTTTACGAATGCAAATCCACTCGCCTCGACCGCTGATGAGGCGGCAGTGCAAGCTGCGTGTCTAGGGACTGAACCCTTCCGACTAAACAGCCAGCCCGAAGCTAGAACCGGGCTTTGTAAAAGGCGGTATTGGCCTTTGAATACCGCTGCGGAGGTTCTGCGCCTCTGTGCCACGGGAAAAGCTTGTGCAGGTCTCCTGTTCGTGTGGGTGGTTCTGGATTCCCGGTTCCTTGTAGGGCTGCATCTTCCATCTCGATCGTCGCCGAAGAGAGAAAATTCGTGCTCAAATAGTATGCAGATCGGATGCTCTTTGTTCAAGGGATCACTTCATCGGACCGAAAATGCCGCGTCGACCCAGGCATCGGGACGACCCGCAGCAGCCACGATTTCCGCCATTGCACCTGTCTTTCCTCGTTTGAGTCCAGCGTAGGGTGACAAGTCTCCTGCTTCATGTTACTAAATTTTCTCGATTTTTCGAGAAGCCTCTTAGCTGAATATGTGTCGTGGGGTTGCGAAAAGAGTCACGGACAGACAATGTTAGGTACTCTGGGCATTTGGGGGCGTGCTGCGGTGAAAGGAGGATGGGAGTATTTATACGGACCTAACCACTGCCATCACGGAACTTCTCCTTTTCTTCAGGCATATTTCTGCAAGCTCTTTGACAATCTTCGTTCAGAGATTTCTCAACATTTTTTACAGACTTTGCAGAATCCTTGGATATCTCACTAGGTATCGGGTCGGGCAAGTCGAACACCGAATAGTTCCTCAAGTCTCGTTATCTCTCTGCCGTGTATCCACCACTCTAGAGCCTCGCACATATCTCAGGCCTTTTGAGCATCTATACTGCATTTAGTCAAGGATTCAACCATGGTTCTTCCTTGCAAGCCCCGCTCCGAGGATCCACCACGCGAGGACGTCTCCAAGTTCGAAGCTGCAGTTGAGGCCTCTGAGCTGACTCTACATGACAACACTCCGCACGAAGGAATAATATCGCCGGCCGAGTCCGAGAAAAGGCTCCATGGCGATAACACAGCTCCACTCGTGCTGTCCGAGTTCGAGGTGATTCGCCGCGTCCAAGCACTACCCCACGACAATACTCCGATTATCCTGACGTTTGGACCCCACGATCTAGACAATCCTAGGAACTGGAGCAAGGCACGCAAGTGGTATATTACCTGCTTTGTCAGTATGCTAAACGTTTTAACGTACGTCCAAACCCCCTTCGAATGGCAGGCAATGAAGAGTCCCTAATTAGAACAGATGCCTCTGCGCCGGTGGCTATTCCTCAGGCTCGCATCTCTATAAAGAGGAGTTCCACGCCTCTTCCACCATGGCCACAGCAGGTCTCTCAACCTACATTCTCGGGTTCGCCTTTGGACCGCTGCTCCTTGCGCCACTCTCCGAACACTATGGTCGCAATCCCGCCTACATCTGGTCCTGGCTTTTGCTCGTCATCCTGCAAGTCCCGGCCGCGCTTGCCCCCAACATGTCAGCGCTTGTTGGTATCCGCTTCTTGCAAGGCTTCTTTGGTAGTGCACCACTAACCAACACCGGAGGGACGATTGCAGACCTTTGGGAGAGAGACTATTCGGGAGCGCCCATGGCAATCTATGGGCTCAGCAGCACACTTGGGCCCCCTCTTGCATTGCCACTCACAGGGTACCTTGCACAAGCTAAAGGATGGCGATGGCTGTTTTGGTTCTTCATGGCAGTTCTCGGAGGGGCGTGGGTTATTCTCGCTCTCACGCTCCCTGAAACGAGACACACCATTATCCTCAAACAAAAGACGCAACGCCTCAAGACGCAACTCACCGCTCTCGGCCACAAATCCGCAACCTCCATCCAAACGCCTCCAGACAAGGGGTTAGGGCACCTCTTCAAAGTAACCCTAACCCGGCCGATCCGGTTCCTCTTCACCGAACCCATCACCTTTAGCACCGCCCTCTACAACGGGCTAATCTATGGCTTAGTCTTCCTCTTCAATGAATCCTTCCCTCTAGTCTTCGGCCACCTGCATCACTTCACCCATGCCCAAACATCCCTCACATTCCTGGGTCTGTGCATTGGGTCCATTGTAGCATCCATCTTCCACCCAGTGCAAGAACACCACTACCTCCGGTACCGCACTCCTGAATCCCGCGTTTGGCTGTCGCTACCTGCATGTTTCCTACTCCCCATCTCACTATTCTGGTTCGCAGCCTGTAGCACAGCCTCAGTCCCTTGGATCATCCCGATTATCGCATCCGCCTTCTTCGGCGCAGGGATCTTTGTCGTGGTCCTCGGCGTCCTCAACTTCGTCCTTGATGCCTATGGCCCATACACCGCATCCTCGCTCGCGGGTGTGATCCTAGTGCGGAATATTGTGGGCGCGATTTTCCCGCTTTTCGCAGAGAGGATGTATGAGGGTATGGGGTATCGCTGGGCAGGGGTGTTGTTGGGGTTTTTGGCGCTTGTTTTTTGTGTTGTGCCTTTTTTGTTTTATTTCTGGGGGGTTGAGATTAGAAAGAGGAGTCCCTGGGCCAGTAGGAATTCTGGGGTGGGGAGTCATGAGGTTGGCGAGTGAGGAGGTTCGAAGGGGAGATGGAATGAGGTGGCTTATGAGTGGGTAAAGCAGAATGAGTAAGAGAGTGTTGATGGATGATGAAGAAAGATGGCTTTAGAGGGACACCCGAGTTGTTATATTCCAGGTAACGGAAGAGATGGGTGAAAATACCGATGGATTATGCTCGTATACGTTACACGCAAAGAGGAAGAGGTGGTAGAAAACATGGTATAAATGGCGGAAAATCCACGGCGTCAAGGTTTGCTGCGATGCTATATACCCTATTATCGTTTATATATTACCTTTGAGCGGACTCCTGGCAAGATTTTTCTAGGGAATTCCTCCCGCAATGAGATTGGAAGAGTGGATTAGTGTAGAGCAGAGAATACAGGTAGATTTCGGATCCACGATACAGTCTTTCTTCCGAACAACATCAGACAAAGAATGATTAATAAACATCGAATAGCCAAAGCACCTTAAGTACACGGCCAGAATGGTTCGCACCCACCTCAGTATCCCTACGCTCGTCGTTCCTAGGACACGATCCTCACCATCCCCTTTTCTCACCCCTCGTGCACATCCTAATCCCCGACTGACACAGAGGCGTTCGACACGTGCGCCAAGCTATCAATAGAACCAGCATACAATATCAATAGACGACCACAGTGCACCTCTCATCACCTCGTAGCCAAGTCCACCATATATATCGACCCTGATCTCGTTATCTAATGCCCCGAGTCCTTTACCGCTATTTTGGCAGTTCCCGTCAGCATTCAGCCTAATGTCTCGTTACCGAGATCATGAATTCCCATCAGCGTGGGTTCGGCCGCGGACGGGGCCGGGTCGAGTCGGATTGATTACGTGGATGGATGTTAGTGTGGGTGTCCAGGTGATCGGGAGACATCACAGGCATCACGTGATGCGTTCCAGACTGCTGAAGGGCTGGATTGGAAGCGGTGGCGGAGTGGGATGAGTGCTGAGGCTGGCGATGTGGCGGCTGATAGACCTGGGATAATTGGGTTGGGGGCTGAGGGGAGTGGTGTGAATGGGAGGGTGGTGATAGTGGCTGACCGGTGGAGGAGCAGATGCTAAAAGACGTTAATCCTGGACATCGAAAGTGGCGTTCTAGAATGTTCGCTTGGGGGGAGCAGCTCGCTTGGCCGACCCAACAAGGATGGGGAGCTCTTCCTCCTTAAGTCTATCAATAGATATGAGCAAACAGCATGGAAGTTGAATTGTAATCTTAGGCTGGTAGTAGAATAGTAATAAATAGGGCATTTTCGCCAACATTAAGTCCCTATGATGCGTCTACATCTTCTGAGTAAGGCAGAGCACGGCAGAACCGCGATAAAAATTTGGCTATGTGCTCAATCGGCGTTAAACTATCGCTGGCCAATGGATGCGAAATACGAAGGCATTCCATGATACTATGGGTCCGGCGTTTCGCATCTTTCCTTTTACTGCAGTTCCCCGTCCTTTTGTGATAGAATTCACTTAGTGCTTCTCGTTCCGTTTAGCTCTTTCCATGTCTTTACTTCCCTGCCACAAGTCATTCTGAAACACGCCATTCCGAAACAACAACCCAGGCTTGTAATCCTTATTGACACGGATCGTAACCGGCTCTGTGAAGGTTTCAAGAGCTTCTCTTCCAGGAGGGATGCACCCAAGGTTCTCAGGGTACCTCGAATGCTATACAAGCGTCAGGAGTTCGGCTGGAGAATCCCAAGCTAGTAACTACTTTCTTGCTATGCGGCAATAGAGTAGATATGCAGTTACGACCAGATAATAGAGATCGAGGGCATTTATGGTGAGTGTAATAGGGATCCTTAAGAGACCATAGCCACTACCTGCCTGCAATATGGTTGTGCGAATCTGGCCGCAGGCATCGTCGGAAAAATTGGAGTCGATTAGACACCCCTTTGGACGTCTGGTGGCTAAAAAAGATTGGCGCATAACAGGCAGAAGATCCCGCAGTGTCGTTGCAAGTAGTATTCTTCTGGTATGAGTGCTACTATGGGCGTAGATTGATCAGAGCATGTGCAAAAATGCCAGCGAATGAGGCCTCCAGCAGAGGCTCCAGAGGTGCCTTCTCCTCTACTGGTCCTGGCTCGTGGTGTCATGGATACGACACTGAGAGGTCTTACAAGTGCTATGAGTAAAGAACAGCAAAGAATAAAGAGGCCCGTATATATCCAATGCGTCTTGATGATGGATGAAGACGTAGTCGTGCCCCGATATTCGAGGGGTCATAGGCCAAAGGGCTGGAATGACCTTGTGGGAGCGAATAGATAACCAATAGGAGAAGCCCTTGACATTTCTGTTTATTCCTGGACCATGCAAGAACTCACCGGGATTGAGGCCTGCATAAGTACTCCATGCGGTTTCACAGCAAACTGAAGTAGTGCATGCCCTTTAGACTGTAATGTGAAATGGTGCTTTTATGTGTTAAGATATATTAGAAACAGAGCGCTCGAAAGAGGCGGCAAGTGAAAGGAGAAGCATCGGCACGGGTGTTTGTCCATTTTCATAGAGAGTAGCATTTGGGAGTTTTCTGGCGCCTTAGATGCAGTGAGCTTAGCCAATAGTCTTTGTCTCGAGGAGCATGCCATAGCAGGAATGAGAGACAGATGAAGAGGTTGGAGTGAGGTGGGTCTTCACAATCCTCGTCATACTCGGGATTACGATCGCCTTCAGGACAGTCTCGAGTCGGTTCATTTCTAATTTATTTGAAAACGCAAATAGACTCGGAGGCTGATCGGCACTAGCCTTAGTTTCAATCCTGTCCAAGGCTACAGAGTCGGGCTTGGGAATCGACTGCTTTCTAAAGTTGTACATTGTGGACTGAGGTTTACGCAGAACAGAATGGATGGATAATTAGGATCTCCAATGAGCGAGACTCAGGGGAATTGCCATCCTTACAGTTATTCTACCCATTGAATTGCAAAATTGTTCCACCGTTTGGTTAATTTGGGGGAGGACCACAACCCGTTCACATCCTCGTCTGCGCACGTCCTTGTGTCGCATAACTTCGCGTATGAGGCACGGTCGTTGAGGGCAATAGTGAAGGGTTGCTAATAGCTGGACTAGAATATCGATAAAGGAGATGGGAGACGATAAAACTAGTCAATACTAAACGCTTCAAAACGCCGTAAATATGCTATCAAGGCGGCTCGTAATGCGTAACAAACCACACAAAACGCAGCAAATCTTAGTCATCCTCGTCATACTTGTTGGACACATCGCCGAGTAGGATGTCATCAGGGGCTGGTCCACGGTGATTTCTCACTACACGAATTATTAGTCACTCCCAACGAAGGAAAAGATAAGTAAACGGTCTGATACATACCCCACTCGCACTCAACGCGGAAGAAGATCCACATCCAACGCCTAAACACTTCCAACAGCTCCATCATGAAAATGCCGCCTTCCAGATCGTTGAAATGATCGAGATGCGGGCTCAACTTGATACTCCAGGTACATCTTAAAAAAGCATCGATAATAATGGCCGTATAGTAAATTTCCTTCGCGTGAATCCACCGGTGTCGTCGCAAACCCCATGGATATTCTGGGTCGTTCCTTTCATTTGCGCCTGAGAACAGGTGGAGGTCCCAATCGCGAGCGACGTCCCAGTAAAAGGAATATGCAGAGTTTAGAAAGACTGCGCCTAGCCATAGACGGAATAGCGTCGCTTCCGACATTCCGTATTTGGAGGGTTGAGGGGAGCGCTGCATCGCAGAGAGAACAATGACGGGGAAAGCAGAGGAGTATTTCAAGGCGTTGGCAAGATGGACACCGCCCCAGCCAGTATTTAGGTTAACCTGGCCTGTTCGCTTGTTCGCCTTCTGTACACGAACGTACTCAATGAGGCATTGCCGGAGGCGAATAATGGAGGGAATTGATATTATGAAGGGCACCCAGAATCCACCTCCGCAATTGCGATTTGGAGGGCCAGTAGATGAGTGGCCAGGCGTGAAGAACATGCAGAGCGAGATGAACAGATCGCCGAGCACTTTCGCGTAACTCGTAAGGGCATCGGCGAGGAGAATGTCGCCAAACTTGCCGTCTTGTGCTTCAGCCAGCCCGCCTATTGAAATGCGCTTCAGGGTTGCAAGTGTGCGGAGCCTTCCATTTCTGCTCACGAATGGGATGGGGGCAATGAAACCAAGGACTAGTAGCAACAAATATAAGTTTGGGAGTATCGACCACTGCGCAACGTCCTTCGGACTTCCGTTTGTGAGGGCCCAAAACAGGAGCAGGAAGCACACGAGGGGTATGGAGAGGAAGGTGGCGATGCGGTAGCAGGAGAGATGGTGTGGGGGATGGTGAGGAGAGGCCCGCGAAGGGTAGCGGACCAGGCTAGGGACATCGATCTTAATTAGGGAGAGGTAGTGTAGGTTAGCTCCCCAAGCCCAGACGCCTGCAGACTCAATGTTATTCTTGATTCAGGGCTTGTGAGCCGTGAGGAAGACGCAGATGCATACCGAGGACAATAATCAGGGCAACGCGATAGGGAAGTGGGAGCACGCGACTGAAGCCATCGAGTACTGGCTCCACAGCTGGATCACCGTCCATTTCCTGTTAATCCTGTCTTGTTCGCTCCCCAGGAACCCTCCTCTGGACGTATCATCCAGCGTGTCAAATGAGCGACTGTAGGTGAGAATTCTCCAACTTGCCGCCCGCCAGTGGTCAGTGATGTCGTGGTCGGATCGCGAGGGGTGTGTAGCAAGGGAAGCGTGGTCACTTGCTATTTCTAGGAGGTTGCGCAAGTGAGGCGCCACAGCACGCTGACATAACTCAGATTTCAGCCGCAGCTCAGCCTTACGGGAAGAACCCTGCCAAGCGGCGCCCGACCGGGACCAAGCTTTTCGTCTTCAACATCACCATGACGCCCATATTCACCAGCACGTTGATCCCGCCTGCTTAATTGGGGCTGGCTGACTGGGCATATAGAGCTCTAATTGCATCGTGACTGCTCTCTGAAGCCCTCACGCCGCTCAATCCCCCCCTCTCCCCTCCGACACCTCTACAATCACCTCTTTTCAACGGCCGATCGAACCACATTCAAAATGCCAGTCGGACAGACCTCCATCCCCAAGATCTTCGCCGCCGGCGGCATATTCGGCTTCTCCTACTACCTTTGGATGCGGCAGTACTGGTTCCCGAATCCCTACAAAACGAGAGAAGTGCAGAACATCGAGGATCGCTTCACAGCAGGTGGTGGAGCTCCAACACACACGCCAGGCGGGGGTACTAAGAGAGGTACGGGTCAATTATGACTGACAATGGCGGCGGTATCGTGCTAAGGACATGCCTAGGTGACAGTAACAATGTCGAACCGAGGAATACGAGTAGCACCGGTGTTGATTCATAACATTTCAAAGACAGGATATTAGATCAAGGACGAACGCCGGTGTCAAAACAGAGATGTTATATGACCAACGATAAAACAACCGAAAGGGTAAATAATTTTCAGCACATCCTGGCCTCCTTTTGATATGTTGGAAACTTCTGGCACGGGATATTAAAAGGTTACTGTATTTTTAAACCCTTATCATAGGGACTTTAAACATATCCACTCTAGTTAAATATATATAATGTCGATTTTAAAATCCTGTGCCCATCCGCCCGTAATTTTTCCCCATGTGAAAGAGATTAAAATACATACCGTCTCGAAAAGTCCCCTCCGAGTTATGGATCTCGTCGGTGACGGTGAGCCAACATGTTCAGTTTTTCTCAGATTTGTAGGCGCGGCGAAAAGCCACAGAGTTGTCCTAATCGTTAGCTCAGGCTTAGGGTAAACTACTCTTATACTGCGAATGGATTCTTGCTTTCAAGATATCAATTCTTCTGTTCTCCCAATTCACCGCGAAAAGGAGCCAATTGAAAGCATGTCTTTACAGGAACGAGTAAACAAGGGAGCTCCGAGATGGTGACCTTCTTAGATTGGTTCTGGAGGTCCTTTTGGGCGCCCATTTCACATCAGTAAGAACGGTGTTTGCGTGATTATCTATTCCTGTAACTACCAACGATTCGGTTCTCTCATGACAGTAAAAGTGACTTACCTGATTTTCTAACGCGAAATAGAAGTAAGTGTGGGCTTCGATGTCATATGAAGAGTGACAGAGGAAGTATATGAAGGCAGCAGCATCACACTGCAATGCAAGGGGGTTATCTTGGTAGGCTCCACTTAACGAGCGTGATACTCTGAGCAGCTTTTCTGGGGGAATGTTGGGGACATATTCAAAGAGTGAAGTAAGTCGTTTTCGCTTGCTGATGTCGATGATGGAAGGGAAGAATGGTGGCATCCATCAATGGATGCAGAATAACGCCAAGTCACGTTAGCCTATTCTAGTTAGCATATATCTTATCAATATAGGTCCGCTCCGACTCGGAAGTTGTCAATCGAGGAAGGCATCATCATTCCACCACTTTTCCTGAACATTCCCTCAAATTAATTTCGTCGTAGAAGCCACCATGGCATCGGCATGTACGCGAGTCTTCAGTACTTGCGAGCTACTTGAAGCGATCTTGCTTCAACTTCCAGGAACGGACCTCCTCCAAGCACAGCGCATCTCTCGCAACATACAAAACGTGATACAGTCTTCCCCGGCGCTCCAGCAAGCCCTTTTTTTCCAGCCTATGCCTATGGAGAAATCGGAAAGCTGGGTTGTCAATCCCCTTCTCCAGACTCCGTTTCTTCCGTGGCTGATCATTCCTAATGGGGACCGCTGGGGTTTACCAACGTACGACAGCCTGGAGCTCCTGGATTGGACCTCTACTCCAAGGAGGGAGTGGGCATTCTTACGTCCGGATGCATCCTGGAGACGAATGTTTTTAATCCAACCTCCACCGAAGAAGCTATCCGTGGTCTCGCGCGGTCATACACGAGAAGGTGACTCTTCATCAGAGTTAGAGGTGGTATTTGACCAGGAACAACCACCCGGAGTTACTATGGATGCATTATACGACATTCCTCTAATGTTCCTGCGGAGCCACTGGTTCAGCCGGTTTGCCTTGGAAATCAAAGCCCCTACCTCTCCGTCCGAATGCCCAACAATGACACTGTATCTTCTGTATACCATCCAATGCACAACGGAGCCCTTTCCAGGAGACCTAATTCCAAGCAGGAAAGATTTGAGGTCAAGAGCTTCAAGGAAATGGGAGGTAAAAGATGAGGACCTTTGGGAAGGTGAACTTGTGTATCACCCAGATATAATCTTTCAGAGCGATCTGACACCTGAAAGAGGTGGTATCCGTCTATCTGATTTCGCAGAATGGACGAGGAAACGAGTCCCAATTTCTTCGTTACTTGCGGACGTTCGGTGACTTCCGAGAAGACAAGATCCCATCACACATCAGAGTAGTCGTCACGCCCTTCTGGGTTTGCTCGCACGCCTATCACTAGGATCTGAGGAAACGGCGGCGGATGCAGATGATAGATCTTCACCCCCAGAATGCTCGTCATCAAAAAGCAACTCATCGAGCAGCTCACCAGCAAACGGCATGCCGCGCACCTTACCGTCCGATGATACCATGGACCTCATACGCTTGGCAATCGATACTTAGAGCCGAACAGATTCCATTGCCTCATAGAAGCAATCTTTAGTGCTAACGATTTCCGTAAAGCCAGGTACCTCGAGATCTCTGCATCCCTCCAAGATGATTTGGGACCATACAGTATATTATCCAGCACCGCAAGCAAGATAGCGCGGTTTCCATAGTTTTGTCATTTAATATGTGTCCTCGAACATGAATATGGGTTGTGCTATTCATAATTGCATTTTGATTGTCACTTTTTGAGCTGCGCATTAATGGAAAGCGTGACTGCGTGATGTCAAAGCTCGCGTCGCCCATCGCCTACTCACGCGTACCTCGCCTACACCTCCGTTCCCAACCACGACCATTCGCTAACTCCCCGCAAGCCCCAATGGTGCCCAAAACAAGTTCGTCGCAACTGAGCTCGTCTCAGAAGACGAAGCAGCAATCCATCTCTAGCTTCTTCTCCCCGAAGCCCTCGCAAACCGTTAAATCTACTGTCACCAACCTTCCCCCCCAAGCACCGGCGATCACGAATGAAGCAAACCACACGACCCAAGAGCCTAGCTCTGACGAAGATGATCTCCCCATACAACGCACTGTTGTATCGCGAAGGAAGCGCGTCCTTCTCGACGAGGGAGAGGATGAGGAGATGGGAGTGGTTTCCCCAGTACCGAAGCGGGCCCGAAGCATAGCCAGCAACGGGCACATCGAAGACAATGGGAATACCGGACACCATACCTCTTTAGTACAAGCATCTGCCATTGGGCTCAATGTTGGAAAGCTTCCTAAAATCTTAAATCGGACGTCGAAATATATTTTTTCGTCCTCCCCAGCAGCGACTGAAGAGAATGAAGCAGAGGATGAGGAGGATGCCGCTGCCGCCCAGAAAAGGAAGGAGAAACTACACCAACAATTTGTAAAGAAACTCGGGAAACCGGACAGCTTTGTGGAGCTTAGGAGGAGGAATAAGGCCGGCTCGGAGGAGGCTGCAGAGGGCGAAGACGGCGAAGACGATGAAGAAGACGCCGGGGAACCTACACCAAAATCTGCAAAAGGCAAGAAAGGTGCAGCTACGAAGAAAGCGCCTGCGAAGCTCACGCCCATGGTCAAGCAATACCTGGAGATCAAGCGAAAGCATCTCGATACTATCATCATCACGGAAGTTGGGTACAAGTTCCAGATCTATGGAGAGGATGCCAGGATTGCTTCGAAGGAGCTCGGAATTTTCTGTATCCCGGGGAAATTCAGATATGATGAACGTGAGTTGACTGCCCATGCATCAGTGCTTTGACGCCCCGCTAATGTAATTAGATCCGTCTGAAGCACATCTCAGTAGATTCGCCTCCGCAAGCTTCCCCGTTCACCGCCTTCAGGTCCACGTGAAACGGCTCGTTCAAGCGAATCATAAAGTTGGTGTGGTAAGGCAAATTGAAACGGCAGCATTGAAAGCGGTCGGAGACAACAGGAACGCCCCGTTCGAGCGCAAACTCACAAACTTGTACACGAAAGGAACTTATGTCGATGATGTGGAAGGGCTGCAACCGTTGAACGGTTCTTCAAACCCCGGTGCACAATCCACTGGATACCTCCTTTGTCTCACCGAGACCAATGCCAAAGGGTGGGGTACCGATGAGAAGGTCCATGTTGGCCTTATTGCCGTACAGCCTGCGACAGGTGATATCATCTACGACGATTTTGAAGACGGGTTCATGAGGAGCGATATTGAGACGCGGCTACTTCACATTGCTCCAGCCGAGTTTCTGATCGTTGGAGATCTGTCTAAAGCCACAGACAAACTCATTGAGCATCTGTCAGCCAGCAAAACGAATGTCTTTGGTGATAGGGCACGCGTTGAGAGGTTAGAGAAGCACAAGACGATGGCCGCTCAAGCCTACAGCCATATATCAAACTTCTACGCCGACAAGATGAAGTCAAGCTCCGACGCCGAATCCGACAAGCAAGGTGCTATCCTCGACAAAGTCCACCAACTCTCCGAGCATGTCACAATCTGTCTTTCAGCCATGATAACACATCTTAGTGAGTACGGATTGGAGCATGTTTTCGACCTCACAAAGTACTTCCAGCCCTTCAGTGCGCGGTCATACATGCTCTTGAACGGCAATACGCTGTCCAGTCTAGAGATTTACCAGAATCAGACAGACTACACATCCAAAGGCAGCCTATTCTGGACGATGGATCGAACGCAGACGCGATTCGGACAACGAATGTTGAGGAAATGGGTTGGACGGCCATTGATCAACAAAGAGAGACTAGAAGAACGCATTGCAGCTGTCGAGGAGCTAAAAGAGAGGGAGAACACCACCCACGTCGACAGACTAAAGTTCCTCCTTGGAAAAGTCAAGATAGACCTCGAAAAGGTATTGATCAGAATTTACTACAGGAAATGCACTCGTCCCGAACTCCTCACCGCTCTTCAAGCCCTCCAAGCCATCTCCAACGAATACGCATTTGTTAAAGGTCCCGAAGACGCTGGCTTCTCGTCGCCGTTGCTTAATGAAGCGATTTGCAATATTCCAAAGATTTACCAGGACGTGACGAACATTCTCGAGAAGATCAATCCCCAAGCCGCCCGCGATGACGATAAGTACACCTTTTTCCGTGAAGAGCATGAAGCAGAAGATATCAATGATTACAAGTTGTCGATTGCATCTGTCGAAGACGACCTTGAAGCGCACAGGAAAGTCGCCGCAGAGAAACTGCGGAAGAGTAAGGTGAATTATGTCACAGTCGCTGGAATAGAGTATTTGATCGAAGTGAAGAACAACAAGGATGAATTGAACAAGGTGCCAGCAAGCTGGACGCAGATGAGTACGACGAAAGCAGTGAAGCGATTCCATACACCAGAGGTCAAAAGGATGATCCGAGAGCGGGATCAACACAAAGAGAGCCTTGCCGGGGCGTGCGAGAGAGCATACATCAACCTCCTCAACGATATCTCCGCAAAGTACCAGGAACTCCGCGATTGTGTAAGCGCTCTCGCAACGCTGGATGCCATCTTCTCCCTCGCTATTCTCGCCTCCCAACCCGGTTACGTCAAACCAACATTCACATCCGACATCGAGGTTTCTATCACCGGTGGCCGCCACCCCATGGTCGAACAACTTCTACTCGAGTCTTACGTCCCCAACAACCTCCACCTCTCCTCGTCCGCGACCCGCGGCCTCCTCATCACCGGCCCAAACATGGGCGGCAAATCCTCCTACGTGCGTTCCGGCGCACTCATCGCCATAATGGGCCAAATTGGCTCCTACGTCCCCGCCTCCTCTGCCCGTCTCGGCATGCTAGACGCCGTGTACACACGCATGGGCGCCTTCGACAACATGCTCAAAGGCGAGTCGACATTCATGGTCGAGCTCAGCGAAACCGCAGATATCCTTAAATCTGCCACTCCGCGTTCGCTCATCATCCTCGACGAGCTGGGTCGCGGGACCAGCACATTCGATGGCGTAGCTATTGCTGAAGCAGTCCTTGACTATGTTATCCGTGAGATTAGGTCGCTGACGCTGTTCATAACGCATTATCAACATCTAGCGCGATTACAGGAGAGGTTTAAAGGGAAGGAGTTGAAGAACGTGCATATGCGGTTTGAGGAACGAGATGGGGGGAAGGAGGTTGTGTTTTTGTACGAGGTGGAGGAAGGAATGAGCCATAGGTCTTATGGGCTTAATGTAGCGAGACTGGCGAGAGTGCCAGACGGCGTTATTGAGGTGGCGGGGGTGAAGAGTAGAGAGTTGGAGGAGCGGATGAGAGGTTGTAGGTTAGGGAATTTGTGAGTATACTCGGGGCTGATCAAGATTGCAGAGCAGTGGGTTGGCTAACAGTTTCCAGGTCGAAGATGGTGAATAGATTGTTAGAGAGTGGGGATGGGGATGGAGATTGTGCGGGAGAGAGCCTCGAGAGACTTGTTGATGGGATGGAGCAGTTGTGAGTGACGGGGTTGTGTGCCCGCTGTAATGCAAGGTAAGCCGGGATTTCAGTGTCCAATACTCAAGTTTCGTAGGTTGGCGTCGGAGCTTCCCTCAGTGTGTTTGGCAGGCGTTTTTGCGGCTGTGCGATATAGTACATGGACACCGTTTTTTCCTTCAGGACTCAGGAGGGCTTCATTACGGATGCAAATAAGTCACGTGTTTCGAACAGTTAAAAGCTCACTAGTAAAAATACAAGCCCAGAAGGCTATTTCCTAGCCATGAACACCCTTACGCCATCATAACTACCGCTATATGCAGCCAGCCATCTAAGTACGCAGTCGTTCGCACGAGCTCCTCGACGCTTGTGCCCAGGGGGAGCACGGCTCCATGTAACACCGCCTGCGCCAGAAGCGGACTCCGTCTGCTGGGGAACAGGCTCGGAATGATTTGGTTCAGCGCAGTGCCGATTGTTTGCGGCTGACCTGTACTCTCCTGTTAGCCACCAATTCCCTCACATCCCAACAACAATAAGGAGCATCTTACGCGACGAAAGTGCAGGGTTAATCGGCTGCTGCACGACCCGCAGTGACCCCGGCGCTTGACCCTTGTCGTTGCTATCAGAAGTAGCGTGCGGGAGGTACAGTTTGACGGGTAGATGTCGGAGAGAGACACCCGGTGGGTTTAGAAGCTTCTGGTTGATGGGGTTGTAGAGTGGGAAGCTGTGTTGCTTGACGGATTCCCAGAGTTGGGTCGAGTCTTCTTTGCTGAGGTTCATGACGGGGCGGCCGTGGCCGTTGCGGACGAAGTCGGCCTGTGAATGAATTTCAGCTAAACGCTTTTAGTTTGAGCCATGTATAGGACCATACCTCCTTAACACTATTAATAAACAAATCATGCAAATGCTTGCCATCCACATCAAGCTTGACCAAATGCTCAACCGGGTATTCGGAGAAATGCACCGTCAGCCTCCAGGGAATATTCACGTCGTCCCCCACATTCCTCCCATCTGCCTTCTTTTCCGCGTCATCCCCGTCGGCGGCGGGATATGCGGGTTCGGTCCCAGAATACAAATCGTACAGCAGGCCGAGAGGATAGTGCCACTTCAACGGGACATGCTCGTAGGACAACCAGGCCTCGGCCGGCGAGACGTCAGGATATATCAGGCTGTTTGAGAAGAAGGTGTGGAGGCGTGGGGGAAGGAGGCCGAGATAGGAAAGTCGGGGGAACTGGATCTGGGGTGAGGGTGAATATCAGTATCAAGTCGGTAGGTAGAGGTGAGTAGCGGCCCACCAAATACGGATCTGAGTCATCGTAGGTGCGGCAGTCCCCTGAATGAAGTCGGATCTCGAGCGGAATAGTCCCATCCCAGACATTCTGGCGCAGGCGGCTCGAAAGGTCGCGAGAGCTGCTCATGGGACGCAGAGGAGCTGGAGTTGCAGGTTGGCGTTAGGCGGTACCTTGGAAGGCAAGCAAGGGCGGGGTAAACTAGGGCGGGGTATCGTACGTTCCGGGTTCCAGAGCCTAGCCACCTAGAAACTTGAAGAGGAAGGAGCTTTGACGCTTTGTGAGCCGTTATAGAAAGGCTTTTGGAAAAGTCAGGCGGGCGGGGGTGTTCAACAAGAGACGGTATCCTGCTGAATCACTCAAGTGTCTGAACACGACACGGCCTTTCACACCCCCTCACACACGCTTTCACGACGCGCGCTGGCTGCCTGGCAAATGGTGGCCCCTTCCTCGGAGCCCTGGATCATGCATGTAGCGCTGAACCTGAACCGCAAACGCTCACGCCTCATCGATGATGAGGAGGACGCGGACTGCCTCCCACCACTGGCGTCTCCGCTGAGCGATACGCTAAAAAAGACGAAGACGGAGAGTGAATTGGATGAGATTGGTATTGTGTCTCCCGCGGATGCCTGGCCTGTGGATGTGAAGAGCATCCTCGAATCGCCGACGCTCCCTAAAGCCGAGGGCAGTGCGCTTGAGCCGCACAATAACGTGTCCAATTATTCGTCCGCCACTTCCCTTTTGGTGCTGTGTGTGCAAGGCGACTGCCATCTCCATTACGACCTCCTGTGGTACATAGCTTCCCCTTCCTGTTCAGGACGGGTGAGACGGTTGTGCTAGACTAACCATTGGCACAGTTCTCAGTTACTGGACCTGTACACCATCGCCCCCTCATTGCAAGCCCTCGTCCTCTGCCGCGATCCGTCGACCCACGTACCCTCTACCTCAGCATCGATTTCGCTCCCTCTCGTCCAGGCTGTTGGCCCCGAATACAACCATTTTGTGAGACTAGGATTGTTACATCCCTTGGGCGGAGGACATTACCCGTTAGATGCTCTTGTAGTCGTGGATACTCGAGGCAGACGCAGACTGGTCTTGCCTTTTGGCTGGGGAGCCGGCCGACATGCTGCCGACATTGGTGGAGGAAGAACTGTGCAGAACCGCCTGATGGAGATGCTCAGAAAATGTATACAAACCTTGAGTCAGGAGTAGGAATAAGACCCCCACCAAAAAGGGCCAGGAAAGCGAGTCCAGAAGAGCTCCAAGACTATCCGTTCATCTCGGCCAGCAAGATTAGCATGACTGGGGCGCGGCTACGGAAGAAGACGGCCGAACTGGACGAGAGCACCTGCTAATTATGTGCGGTGCCATGGCACTTGCCAGAATCCACGCTCCGAAGCTTCTATGTTAGGGACACAATGTGGTCTCGTCTCTCTGCTATTACAGGGAGCTCCACCAAGCGCGTCACGAGAGCGGTTGACATGCAGCAGTGGGATCAGGTATCAATGCATTTATTGAGGGGTTTCGTTGTCGTACCCTCGGCAACGCCCAGTCACCTCAGTCAGAATGGGGTAGTGATATAGACATGAATGATTGGAGACCGCATCGTTCTAACCAAACCTCGTCTCCTTGTCCTTGACGGGAAGGTCAGAGCCCATAGCGCCCTTGTACTGTTTCCGGATGAAGTCGCTGATCTGCTCATCCTTGGCTTGCTCGACGGCAGACTACAGAACGCTCAGCGTTCAGTATCACGGCGGTAAGGGAAAGTGTCGGAGACTTACCTCGTTGTCCTGAGGCCCCTGGCCAAGGAACTTCTCTTGGACGAAGTCGACACCTGGACCTTGTCAGTCACGCCATTTATTAAAGCAAAAGCAAGTCTCCAAGCTTGGCAGCTGAGAATGGGGGGAACTGAGAAAGGGGGAGGTAGCAGATGTGCCTACCCTTATCAAGCATGTCCTCATTCTTCTCGCTCTCACGGCCGCCGCCAGCAGCTTCGTTCAGTTTGTTGCCAATTCCTCCAAACAGGCCACCTCCCTCCTTTTGCTCGCTGGAGGAGCTCTGCTGGTGCTGCTGGCGCTGCTGGCGCTGGTGTTTCTGCTCGCCGCCGCCGGTGAGCTTGTTAACGAAATCCATGACTGGTGGCTGTAATGGACGAGGCGTTGCTGGCTGTTGAAGGGTTTGGTGGTGGTAAGTCTGAAGCTGAGAGTGGAGGGGGATGAAGGGAAAATCAGGTATTTAAGTGCAGGAAGCTGGGCTGTCTTGGATGCAGTAGTGTTACTACAACGAAGGGCTGTGCTTGCTCTGTGCTATCTTCCCCACCGGGGGTACGCGATCGGATCTGCTACGTCATTGGCGCCCCGCGTCCGATCGAGAGAAGCAGGCGCGGACACGTGCACTCAAACATGCCACTCGCGGCTACGCCTTCCCGATGCTCGCTGTGAATTTTCTCATCAACAACTCAATTCACTCCAACAACGGTTGCTGTTCTTGTTCACTCCTTTACGCAATCGCCATGATCCCAATCACCATCATTACAGGCTTCTTGGGGTCAGGAAAGACGAGTGAGTTGTTGAAACAGTCGCACCACTTTTCCGTTTTCCTTTGCTCACGTCCACTTCAGCACTCATCCTCAATTTAATCCCTCAGCTGCCCAAAAACTACAAACTCGCCCTCCTCAAGAACGAATTCGGCGATGTCGCCATAGATTCACAACTAGCAACCTCAAGCGCTATTTCTGGAGTGCAAGAGCTGCTCAATGGCTGCATATGCTGTAACCTAGTCGGGCAGCTCTCCGACGCTCTCGAGACCCTTGCGCGCGATGTTACCCCCGATCGAATCGTAATTGAGACTTCAGGGTCTGCCTTCCCCGCCACGCTTGCAATGGAGGTCAATCGTCTGTCCCAAAGCACTGGGAAGTACATACTGGACGGAGTCATGTCTGTCATTGACGTGGAGAATTGGAAGGGTTATGAAGATACATCCGTCACTGCGAAAATGCAAGCTCGCTACACTGATCTGATTGTGCTGAATAAGTGGGAACTGGTCAGCGAAAGAAGGCTAGAGGATGTTGAAGACGCCATTCTAGCTCTGGAAGTAGATCCTCCGACTCCAAGAACGAAAAGCGACAAGGGATGGGTAGACAAGGACATCATCTTCGGACTAGATGCGAAGTTGGCCAAAGGAATTGGCACGAGGTCGCAACATCACCACGACCACGGCCACCAAAGCGAGGTGGAGGTACTGTCAGTAACCCTGACTTCCCCAACAAAGACTGGACTAGACGTGGGCAAACTGTGTAAGCTATTAGAGGAACCCACCAAAGACGCAGTGTACAGGATGAAGGGCGTCCTTTATGCGAATACAATTCCAAAATCCTCAGATGGCCGCCCGGCCTCCGCTCTCACTGTCTGCGGCCGAACGCGGTACATCCTCAACTGGGCCTTCGGTCGCTGGACCTTCACCGAGGCACCTCCGCCATCTACGAACTCAACTCCAATGGCTTCAGGAACGGCAACACCAATAAGCTCCGGATATTCGACGCCCATACCTGCGGGTGAAGAGCCAGATCTGAGAATGACCGTGATCACGGCAAAGTACGAGTCGAACATGTTCCAGAAAACTATAGAATCTGGTGGCTATATTGCTTCCCAAGATGGTTCAGATGGCGTTCTTACAGTCCAGAGGATTCTATGAACAAGTCTGTAGACATGCATTTCGTCTATATTCATTCGATTTCTAGAACCTTCAAATCCGCCAGTCACTCTGTGAACAGTAATCAAATACTGGACGCGGATCACGAAGCATGGTTTCAAGCCCGCATGCAGTAACGTTGAGACAATCATGTGTTTGTTCAGCTGCAAAGATGAGTCTTGGCAAGGCGGACATGAACTTGGAGCACCCTGATTCGATTTTCCAAAGCCTTGCGTAATACAAAATCGAAAGGCGTTGTCACCAGGGCTGGCCTAAATTAGCAACAAAGACGTCAAGCGAGATGCATGCACCTTATCGAAAGCCGACATTGCCATGCATGTAGTGGTGGCGGTGCTTCTCCAGAACGAAGCTCACTCGTCTTCGAGAACATCAACCTCAACATCTTCTAGAATAGGCATTATGGTGCGAGTGATACCTATACCTTTCAGACAACGAACGATTCAAACCTAGTTAACACGTATGCTTTCAGTGTCTTGACCTCATGCTCACTTGTCATTTGTATCATCCACCATGTCACGGAATCCATTTCCAAGATCCTACAAATACTTGAATATGGGCAGCTCCGATCATATCGACAACACCTCCCCCAATCCCCCACGACGCGGATTCTGGCATTTCCTGCGACATAATCTAACAATTGTTCTGGCGTTTTCGACGGGTCTGGCATGCGTTGTCTCTGTTATCATCTTCACATCCTGGCTGAGCAATCAAGTTCTACATTGTCCGGACTGGTCTGTTGATTGCCATGTTTCTCGTCGCATCCATCTAATTTCCGGACAAATCGGCACAGTTCAGGGTCTAATCACCGCCGTTTTCGCCATCGGGCTTGCGGCGTTGGCCTATGCAGCACATGCATTCTCAGAATCGGCACTCTGGCCGCTCCTTAATAAACAATCTTTCACCATCAGGGAAATGGGCACGTACATTGAGGCTAGTCGTGGGTCGATTCTGTCGTCTCCTCTTGCACTACTCGCCGCTCGGAATTTCGACTCATCCTTGGTTATCTTATGTACGGTACTCATCACTCTGGCCCCTCTTTCAGGTGCTCCACTTGTTGGTTATGTTTATGATCAACGGAATCTGTCGGTCGAATTTAAGAGCGTCTACCAGCCCGGTGGAGGAATCGGAGTGTTTTTTACGCAGCAGAACCCACCGGGCCCACGCCGCGACGCCGCTCAAAGTTTGTACACCTCATGGGCCTTTAATCTATCATCGGAACCAATGCCAGAATATCGCAACTGGTTTATTGACCGTCGGAGTTTGTTGGATCGGGGTAACATGACTGTAGGTGCAGTCATGCTCAAGCAGAATATCTCCTGCAAAGGTTGGAAGGCAGAACCAACAGATAAGAAAACGCATCTGCGATTCAAGACGAAAATGGCTACGCATAACAGGACGAAGCATCACGAACATAGCGAAGAAGTTCAAGTTCGGGATCAACCAAGGCTCGCCGTTTGGACTCATGACTACGCGTTTCACTCCCCGACGAGAACGAGCGCGACCATCATCTTCGCAGCGCTCAACGGCACTATCGAAGACGGCCTGACGACGACAAATCTCCCAGATAATGCCTCCATCGTCAGTATCTCCAGTATAGCATGCGAAATCGATATCAACCTCATCGACGAGACTCTCACTGTAGGATCTGGAGCCCCATTCCCCACAACCCCAATAAACTCTATCAAAAGTCTCCAAGAACCCGGAGGCAAGGAGGCAAAGAACTCAACCTGGAACGAGCTCGCGCTCTGGTTCGCCGTCGCGCCCGTAGCAAACGGTGCAAGTGTCTACGGTGCGCAGCCTATGTACTCTTACAACCATGACTGGATTCCCCTGAGATATACATCGGTAAACGGGGGATCGAACGCTGGCTGGACTATTCCATATATTAAAAACTTCATCCAAGTATCAATTGGCGCATCGATGCTGGGCGAAACGAATAAATTCGCCGACGGAAAGCCTATTGTTATGCCATCCCTCTCTCTTACCCTGAAACTCGACCCCACGAGAACCCTACTACTTCTCATACCCCCGCTTGTTATCTTAGCTTTGGGATCGCTTCTGATTGCTTGGAATATCAGCTTTTACAGACGACGAGATATCCCGATTATGCGGAAAGCGTCACTGTGCGAGATCCTGAAGAGCGCGCAGACCGAAGATGTGTTGGGGCCGGCGGCGAGGGATAAGTTGGATTCGAGAAAGTTGAGTAGATTGGGAGATTTGAGGGTGGGGTTTGGGAGGGGAGAGGTTGGGTTGTGGGGGTTAATGAGGCCTTAGGAAGGGTGTGGAGGGGCATGAGATGATGGGATGATGAGTTCGCGTTTTGCGCAGGTGTGGAGTTACGGATGAGTCGAGAATAAATCAAGAATCCTATTAGAGTTTAACGATTCTATTTTGCAAAAATTTTGTGTGAATTATGTGTGAATTAGTGGGTGGTAAATTGCGCTTCCTCGTGATGAACATGCCAAATACCGTATGGTCTTCCAGATTTACTCCCCATTTAATCCGCGTTGAGACTTACTAGGCTTTCTATTGCTTTACCTAAAACACAATACAGAATTTGTAGAATGATGGGGAATGATGGGGTAATTTATAGGATCCTTTAATGATGTCCACCGAAGCAAGGCCCCTAGAACCTCCCCAGAGCGTGCCTCGGTTTTGGCACTGTGTAGTAAGGCAGACGACGGGGACCGACTTGCAGATCGGTTGCCATGACTTTCAAATCCTCTGCCAGTCTTCCAAGCTGCCAACAATTGGGGTATATTTGTTTGAATAATATCCAAAGACGCCGCGACATCTTCTCCACCTCCCTGGACAAACTGTATGTATCCTCATTGTAGCCCTCCTTGTAGTGGTAATGTATTCGACAATACCTGTGTAGGATCTGCTCGTAGGTGTTGGGATGGCTCAGGAACAGATCGTCAAAGAGTTGCGGATTCATCTTGAGGTCAAGTTAATCTTGTCATCTGGTTGGATAACATGACTCGGCTTACCGTCTGATTCCAGGCCAGGCACCATTCACAGCACGGCCGCCGCCCAAGGAGCCACCGAGCCCCATCTAGCCACGGGTAATCCGGTAGAACTTGATGGAAGTGGCGTCCTCCGGGAAAAGGCCAAGGGTACGGACATGTCTCCCATGGGGCCATTCTCCAGGCTTAGCAACCTAGTGTGTGAAGAGTGAAAATTGAGCTGTGACAGAGGTGGCCAAAGACCAAAAATTGAGCACTATGCAAGGGTTGAGAAGAGCCGGGTGCAAGCCTCGATCTCGTTGATACTTGTACCTTTTTATAGGACTGGTGAGGGCAGACTCGATACGCAATCTTTGCCGTGCATGCTCAATAATTGATGAGGGCGCGTGCGGCAGGACTACATGGTTGGCAAGCAAACAGGGAATGGCGGTGAGATCCAAAGAGGCAATGTTGCAGAATCTGATGCATGGGAAGGGGAGCGTGGTATGTCACACAGTTCACAGTGGTAAATCGCTGTGGGGAGTCTAGCGGTGCTAGGCAAACAGAACGTCACTTTTGTACAACCCAGCGACGGCTCTATGAGGCGCCCTAGGTCACAATCGCATCATCAAACTTGTGTGAGCATGAGGCGAACCACCTTCTGGGCTGATTGCTTAATTGCACAACATGGGCAGGCATGCGTAATAGTTGGGTAGAGCTGCTGGGAAAGGTCCGGCTAGTCTGGCGGTTTGGAAATGCTAATAATGGCGGTCTTTGTGAAGATAGAGATGATTGTGTGAGTGTCGTCTAAGGGATAAAGAAGCACCATGAGAGAGAGACAGCAGCGATGGGCCTTATATCGCGACGCCGGAACCTTGGCATGTAGCTGGTGGCTGGGAGATTTATGCCAAGGCGCTAAAAGCACTTTACGCGGTTCGTGGCTGCTGCGCGTCAAAACGACGGACGCGACCGACTCTCTGAACGCTCCTTCACATCTTCGTCCCACCAACACACCTTCCACCCGAGTCCCAATTCCACTCCACCGCGCTTTCCTATTGCCCACGATGCCTCCTACTGTTCTCGGAAAAAGAACCCGCAGCTCCGCGAATGCAGATGCGTCTGGTAAGTGCTATGGACGCTCGATTCGACTCCTGTCAACAAAACTGACAGCGCCTGCAGATGCCAGCTCTACTGTAGCAACTCGCGCAAAAAGAAGGGCACACTTCGTGATTCTCGACGATGCTGAGAATGAGAACCCCTTTGTCACTCCAAGCAAAAATGCCCCCGTCAATGGCAACGCTATGGACGTTGACGAACCAATCGAGGAGAAGCCACCGAGTAAACGGGGAAGGAGAGCTGCAACCACGCCTGCTAAACACAGCTCCCCCGAGACGCGACTACCATTGTCAACCGCCAAGCTTAATTCACCATCGAAAGCACCTGCCGCAGTCTCACAAAAACCAGCCCAGGCTACAACGCCCCATACTCCGCGCCACCGGGACGCGCTCTCAAAGAAGGTCGCGGTAACGCCAAGGCATCGCCTCATTGTCGCTGGGCGGCCTCTCACACCTCGAACGTCCCACACACCTTCGACGCCTCGCAATACTGCTCCCACTGTCTACAATGAAGCTCGCCAAGTATTTGCCCGAGGCTCTGCGCCAGCAATATTGTTCGGACGCAATGAGGAGCGAAAGGAACTCGAGGCATTCATCTCAACACGCACTAAGGCAAAGAAGTCTGGCTGCCTCTACGTCTCTGGTCCTCCTGGCACTGGAAAAAGTGCTTTGGTCAATGAAGTCTGCGGCACAATTAAGTCTGCGGGGAGTGTCAAGACTGGCTACATTAACTGTATGAGTGTCAAGGATGCGGTAGATCTGTACCGAAAGTTGTTAGAAGAGTTCGTCGATATTACCGAAATTGCAGAAGGCCAGGAGGTCGATGCTTTAAAGACACTCTTCATGCAACGCAAGACCTCATATGTCGTCACACTCGATGAAGTGGACCACCTTTTAGAACTTGACACCGATCTCCTCTATAACATCTTCGAGTGGTCGCTCCAACATTCTTCAGGTCTTGTTCTTGTTGGCATTGCAAACGCTCTCGATTTCACGGATCGGTTTCTACCTCGATTAAAGGCTCGTGGCCTCAAGCCCCACCTGCTGCCGTTCCTACCCTACACTGCACCTCAGATCGCTTCTGTCATTACTTCGAAGCTGAAGGCCTTACTACCTGCGGACTCAAACCATGTACCGTTTCTCCACCTAACCGCCATCCAGTTCCTCTCCAAGAAGGTGGCAGCACAGTCTGGTGATCTCCGCAAGGCATTTGACATCTGCCGCCGAGCGATCGATCTTATCGAGGCTGATACCCGTGATCAATACGCGAAGAAACTAACCGAAATTACTCCATCTCCTACACCTTCTCCATCCAAGATTCCTCTGGTCGAAAATATGAATCTCTCTTCACCAGTCATTCGAACACCTTCAAAGATCAAGTCGCAAAATCCACTCGCTGCTTCCATGACCCAACTCACGATTGAGAACGCACCACGAGCCACCATTGCTCACGTGGCACGAATCACCGCTGCTGTTTTCAGCAACGGTACAGTTCAACGCCTCCAAAACCTCAATCTTCAACAAAAGGCAGTCCTATGTGCTCTATCAGCTCTAGAAAGGAAGAAACGGAGCTCCGCGGCAGACAGTGTGCTAGCAACCCCATCGAAGGCCCACAGCACCGCACCAACCATCAGGGACCTCTTTGAAGCTTACACCACCCTGTGCAAACGAGAGAATATCCTACATCCGCTTACCAGCACCGAATTCCGGGACATTGTCGGAAGTCTGGAAACACTCTCGCTCATATCAGCTATAGAAGGCAAGGCAGGGTCACTTGTTGTCACGGCCGGAACCCCAAGGAAGAAGGGTCGCGGCGGAGGATTTGGAGGCGCTGTTGTTGAAGATCGTCGTGTTGCAAGCTCTGTCGGGGCGACGGAGCTGGCTGCTGCTCTCGTGGGCCCTGGGAGTGGTATTCTGAAGGGTATCTTGGAGGGAGACGAGGCTTGCTGAAGAATGATAGCTGATGCGATGTATATGAGAGTAGATGGTTCGTTTGTGTGTGTGTTTTTTTGCATAGCGTGGGTGTTTGCATACGGGCTGTCCTAGATGGATAGAAAGCATAGCATCGTTGTTGTACAACACGTCAAATTCGAGTCTCATCACTTAGCTCTGTTTTTAGCTATGAAATTAGCATTGTAGTGATTTAATTCTTAGGCAATGATGGCAATGGAGAAGGCCTGGGTGCAGTGGAATTGTTGTGAGACTCTGGCCTGACTCCTGCTTCTATGATAGGTTAAGTAGAAGAATTAATTAGGCTAGATTTTCTTCTACTAATTCTCCCGTACTCACTATATCTTGGTCAGATTTTCCATCCCTAATCAATCCGGGTTGTCAACCTCGGAAGGCTAATTCCCTTTGTGTCTCACGTAACCAAAAGTTTCGGTGAACCTTGGAAGGCTTCCACCTCACCCGCTCTGATTTCGACCTTACACTGCGTTCGCCTCTATCGTCGCCATCACCACAGCAAGCGCAGATGTTAAGCAACCTCTCGGCTTACTTTTATATTCCCAATGTTACTCGAGAGAGTAGTAAAAAAGCGGAGGTGGCGCCTTTTCTACCCTAGACTCTTCTATTTTCTTATAAGCACACGCATTATCAGTGCAGTTAAGAGTTTGCCTTTGTCTTCCACCCTGACGCTGTCGGCACTATCGATTGCCTGTTCAAGTCTTGAGGGGTATATAGGCGATGAAGTAGTGATTCCTGCAGAGAACTTAGAACTAGCATTTGCCTAAACCATCTTTGGCAGTTCCAAGAACTTTCCACTATTTCTCTAGGCTTCAGAATTAGATCACCTCGCTTTTTCTTAAGCTTCGATCTTAAGCTTTTGTAAGCCTGGAGTAGACATGATGTATGTGGGACGCCAGGTCCACGATTGATTGGGTATTCCATTGTAGAGCCCCCGTGCTTAAAGTTTTATAAGCATCCAGCCTTTTAGACCATGCCCTCACACATCTTTGCTTTGTTGGACACATACGGCGCCAGTGCATTGCTCTAAACATAGATACATACGGGCTAAACGAGCTTCTAGAAACCTACCGCTGCTGCAAAGTACATGCTAAGCAGTTCTCCAAGTATTTGTTCAAGACGGCCTTGAGTTGCAGATCCGAAATATCAAACGAAGCGAAAGAGACCGCACAAGACAACTCCCAGAAGTCGGGCGTAAACCTAAGTATAAAGTTCTGCTTTGGTAATTTGTTCCCGTAACTCAAGATATCATCAACTCTAGTGCACCAGTCTAAGATACCTTGAACCTTAATGACCTGAAGGACGCTATCGCCCGCGAAAAGAGGAAGCAAGGCGGTTTCGCTACCAAGGAAAAGTAGATGAAGAACACCCATACTTCACTGGAATCCTGGGACAGGTACGATATATTCTCTCCAGTGGGACACGCCATTTGCGAGTGTAACCAGGCCAAGCCACTATCTACTAGTGCCTGTACCTTACTTTGTATCATGGCTGTCCTAAAGGCTGCACATTAACACAACACTCTTCCGCTGCAACACCACCTAGACTTACAACGAGAACAGGATACGGTTGGTGGGTGCCTAGCCAGGTTATTGTCCTAGGAAACTTCTTGCACCACATCTCAGGTGATTGGCACGAAAATGAGGTTGAAAGGGTACCTTAGAAGCACTCTCTTCTGAAATCCGAGACTGCCATCTGCCATCCTGATTAGGACGGGAGAAGAACGCTTCTAAGCGTGCGATCCTTAACTCCCTATTAAAAAGAGAAGTGGAAATAGAGCAAAAATTTTAAGTACTCTGCTTCTAGTACAACTTGAACAATCTGCAAGAGGTTATTCTGTAGGCATACATCGTTAACATGGATTGCAAAGTTGGAACCATGATGGCCGCTATAGTGACTGATATGGCTGGAGGCGTTATTCGTTAGAATTTCCCTGAATTCGCTGGCTTTCATGAAGCTGAAGGCAATGAAAGACCCTATTTTATATTGTTAGGCAAAGCTACGTCTCGACGTCACTGTTGGCTGAATCTGACGTGGCTTAAGAAGCGAATGAGCAACAGGCTTCAAAGATTCCTTCAGGCTGAACGTTAGAAGCAAACAGCCACTAGCAGAGAACAGCTTTAACAAGAAAATCTTTAAGCGTACTAAGTAAGTAGAGTATCTGTCAATCTTGTACTAGGTAAATATGCTAGACTTAAGTGTAAATTAGAAATTAGTCCAAGGCAATGTACGTTACGCTGAAAATTCTCCTTTGTCAAGCACTACCAGGAGCATTCTTGTGTGTCACTCTCTGGCGTTGAGGACACTGCTTTGAGGGCAAAGACACTAGCGCAAAAGCACGGTAATCTCTGTCGAGGACTCCCCCTTCAGGTTTAGTGCAGTCTCTCACTTATCTACACAGGGCATCGCTCCTCGCATTAAGCTTCTTCCTTATATCTTTCCTCAATTCCCTAACCCTACCTTAATTCTGTAGCACGATAGAGTAAAATCTATACAATATAAAAACCCCCTAAAAAACAGCCCTTGAAATGGATTAAAACTAAGTATTAATCGATTAAGGTAACATCAGTTTTGTCTAAACAAATATTGTTAGTTAAAGGATTTAAGTAGTTGTTATTATTCTAGGTGATTATGTAAACTTTCTTTTTAAATATAGAATAGTACTTTTGCTTATTAGGTCTAGATAAGTTAGAGTTGTACTATTTTAGGCCCCTGCGGCTAAGTCTACCCATGCCTAGTATAGCATGTGTAAGGCTGCTAGTCCTTACAAAGGGTGATAATGCACCGTAAGGCCCGTAACGGCTGGTACTAGGGTCCTTACGCGCGACAGGTATATATATACTATTCTGTACGCAGAATCAACTGTTGGTTGATTATTCACACCTTTTTGGTTGTGTTGGCGCAGTGGTACAGAGACCGGTCCTTATAGCATGTGTATTGTTTTAGACCCTAACGTATAGGACATTGACGTCCAAGGAAAATCTTCTGAGGAAATCAGCCTCCATATCAGGAGATTCTGCTGGTGTTGTTCGCTGATGGGATTACGCGGTAGGGTTTCGATTCCGTCCTTTCAAGCACTAGATGTTCTTCATCAAGACAGCGTTTGACTCTCTTGTTCCTGATATCCTGGAGCTTGTTTACTCTGTCTGTCTGCCAAGTAAAGTCAACATTGTAATGAATTTTTCTTCGTCTATTTATCTATTGTTGATAGTAATTAGCAAGCACGATGAAAACCGAATTTATAGGGCTAATGGGTTAGCATCTATTCTATTGCCTGGCAACTAATTGTTATCACTGCACGTGAAAAATAGATCTGGACTGTTAAATATTTGTGCGAATCTGTTAAGATTCAACTTCCAACCATTTCTTAAACAAAGGGGAATTCATGCATTCGACCAGTCACGTCAATAACATGTCAATCAAATGGTAAATAAAGGAACAGGTAAAACACAAACACTAGAAATGTACTAGGTTAAAAGTCTTAACCTCCTTATCATGCCTCCGTAGCTCTTCTGCGGGGAATTGATATGGGCATAACTGCTCAGTATAAAAATGCTCTCACCCTCTACCTAGAATGTCAGCGCTGTTTAAGCATTGAGTGAAAGTCTTAGACAAGTATCTATACCTTTCCACACAAATTAAACATTCCTGCAACGGGTAAAGACAATTGCCCCAAGAGGCTCCAGCAAAAGCATCAAGCTGCTTAAGCGGTTTTCCGTGCGGGTGTCGCATCATCTTGTACACCAACGGATTCTGCTCCCCAGTCCGTGTTTCGTAGGAATGATCAGGATAGACTGGGAGACCTGGTGTCATAACTGGTCCTTAGTCCCTTCATCCAGCTCTTTAAAGCCGTCTGGCAGCTTCATCATTATGTCGATTCCATAGTCTAAAAGCAGCGGCGGGTTAGCACCGATGAATACAGGCGTAGTCCACGCGCCTTGCCACTCAATGATTGATGAAATTCGCCCGCAGTCGTCAATGTAGATATTTCCAGCGTGAAAATCTGGGTGCCATATTCGAGGCAAGACGAGTTCAAAGTCGTTAGGGATAATGTAGGGGATTATGGACAGGTATTTCTGTAAAGAAGCGATATGGGCTTCCAGTGAATGTTGCTCTATACTCGTATACTGCAATGCATTCTTAGTCGCTTTCCAGGAATCTGCAGATGTTTTGATCCAGGCTATCTCACGGCTAGCAACCGACTCAAGATACTCTCTTGAAGAATTCCCTAGGGGGGTTGTAAACTGGATGGAGGCTGTGCGAGGTACCATGACTAGAGGATCTAAGAAGCTATTTTAGAGTCTGCCCCCGACTATTTTAGCTAAAAATTTATCCTTCTATAAAATTTATGCATCCCTTTGTTTTAGTATAATAATCTCAGACTAGAACTGCGTCCCGAAAACGTCCTAGCATTCACCCCTCCATAATATTCCTGCACCTCACCACAGGAATTTTTTAGCGCTGAACTATGAACCTAGAAAACGTTAATCCTCCTGCCTAGGCAAGAAAAGCTAGTCCTACGAAGGACAACTCTAGTTCTAATACTCCCACCGCGCGCCAGATAATTTCACTTACCTAGGTATAATATATTAGCAACGAATTTCTACGAGGAGGTGAAGAAAACAATTAGAATGAAGTGGAGGTGGATGTGTCGCAAGTAGTAGTGAGGCCTCATAAGAAAAACATGAAGAGAAGAGGAGAAGTACAAGGTTAACCACGTCGTTCCTGCTAGCCAGTGGACTTGGACTCGGTGGAAGAGAAAATAGAAAACTCTTGAGCCTCTCTCTCCACAGTCACATTGGTAGATGAACAAGATTCCTTTGAACGAGTGTTCTAAGGTGAGACTAATAGAATGGATTCTTCTTTCACATTTAGAGCTAGGGGAGTTACTATTCATTCTAAAAGTGTCAAATGACGCTGACTTCTCCCGGAGACTACTGCATCTTCTTAAATAATTTAGAATAAATCAAGTGGGTAACTTAGGATAAAATTGGGAACTTATCAATGTTCTTCTTAATTCTAGCAAGACGTTTAAAGATCAAGTTAATCTTATCTACGAGTGAAAATTCAGCTGTTAGGGAGGTAGGCATCAAATGTTACGCTTAGGAGACCTTGAGCTCGCTCCGAAACCGGGGCCCAGTTCCTATTTCCGCAACACGTGATTGCGCACGGATCAACTGGACCTCAGGGTGCCTACGGATTACGTTTGCCAACATAACTTTAGCCATTTGGCTATTCTCTTCTCACTCTGGTTTTATCGTGAGCATAACTTCTTGTTCTCTTTGCGAGTGGCTCCTAAGAATTGCACAACTTACAATTACATTCTTCTTTCTGTTTTCTTTGAACAGCAGCGTCAATTGTAGAACCGTCCTCATTCCTGGCATCTTCCTCATGGCTCAACCATCAGCCTTCAAAATTCATATTTTCTACCGCCTCTTCTTCACCTACCTCGACCCTTTAATCTGCATCTGGGGCGCGTATATGGACTTCTTCGACCCCGCTCTCGTCCTAAGCTCGCACGTCCCCAACGTCAGCCCGGATATTGGCCATGCCATGATCCTCAAGCAGCGCGGAGGCGGCATGCTTAACTTTGGGTTTATTTCTGCAGTTCTGTTGCGATACTCCACCGATCTGCAAGTTTGGAGGATTGTCCAATTCGCGGATTTGATTGTTGATGTCGCGTATTTTTGGGCGGTTTGGGAGGGTTTGGGGGCGCAGGGGAGGTTGGATCTTGGGACGTGGAGGGCGGAGGATTGGGGAAGTTTGGGGATTACAGGGTGTGCGACTGCGGTAAGGATGGCTTTCTTGATGGAGGTTGGGTTTGGGAGAAGGGCGGGGGAGAAAAAGATTGCTTGACCCGTGCTCACGCGCAGGCTTCTTGGCTTCGGAGGCAGTGGTGGGACTTCGTACATGATTGCCAGCCCTTGAAACAGTGTGTTTTTGCTCCTACATGATGTTGGGAATTATGGAAACCCTTGTACCGGACTCATCCCTGGAACAGATTCGGCAGCGAAGAAGCGATATCCAATATCTGTATTACTACAGACCTCCAACAGCTCATTACATCGCTACACAAGATTCCACTATACCGGCTCCAGCCCAACCTTCCTCCCCTGCGGCTCGACCACTCTGATCATATCTCCCGTATTCACCTTCCCACCTTTGACCACCACGCCCATAATCCCCGCCTTACAAATCGTCCTTCCAGCTCCATCTCGTAGTAGCACTTTATCCAACAACCCTTCCTTATGCTTCTCAATTCCCGGCCCGGGCCTTCTCAACCCCGTGACCTGCACAATGGGCACATCATCGCCGCTTCCAAAGTACAAATAGCTCCCCTTCGCCAAGCCCAGCAGATCAATACCTGTCGTCGTGATATTCTCGCCCAGTTCGCCTGGTTGGATAACGAAGTTTTGCGCCCGAAGTTCTGTGAAGAGTTCGTAGGGAATGAGGTGGACTTGGCGGAGGTTAGGTGTGGAGGAGTCGGTGGTAGATTGGCTTGATTTTTGATTTTTGGTGCCACTGTGGCAGTCGCCTTGCACACCGACGCCTGTGAGGAGGGTTATGGAAGGGGTGTAGGTTTTGGAGAAGGAATGCGTGTTTGAGAGGTGGGTGGAATGGACGTATGGTGAAGCCATTGGTTTTGGTGGTTCTATTTGATACCGGCAAGATCGAGAGCAGAGAAGCCGGCTGGACTGAATAACAGGAAGCCGGACCTGATAGATATCAATAAGATCCTCACCCCACTATGCATATCGTTGTTCTCCAACTCCCTTACTATTGGTGAGCCTATCTGCATGGTAGTGGGGTAAGTAGTTCTCATCCAATGATGGGCAAGGCAGGGTTTGGTGACGTGCATAACGGCGCATGCTTCGCAAGGCTGGGACACCTGGCTGAATATTGGTGGTGGATTTCCTTCAGGTGTTGTGCTCTTAAAAATAGTTCCTGGAGGCCGCAGACTGAGATTGTAGCCCGATATGGATAGGTAGACCGAAACTGGCCTGGTTGAACTCGACCGTTAGATCGTCGCAAACATCAAGGGTTTCCAACGTGCCTGGAGCTCGTATTCTAACCAGGATCTATGGTGCTTCTGTTTCTTCACTAGCAATTACTAACCTCTTGAATACCGATTAGCCATCACAAGATCCTGACAACATGCTCGCGCAACTTCATTCTCTCCATGCATGAACTCGATATCCATGTCCTGGCAATGGTTTCAAAGGAAATCAAAGTCATGTACGGGCGCGCTAGTGGAGGCAATCCTTCTGACTGGATCGCGGTGGTAGGTTTGGAAGGCGTGTTGTAAATGGTGTCTAGAATATCGATGAATAGGAACATCTTCGAATTGATATCGGAGACACTGTCGGAAGTGGTCGTTTTACATGATCTGAAGGTTTTTGAATTCGAGAGCGCTCGGTAGACGTTGAAATAAGTCTTGAGAGATCATGAAGCTGCAAGGTCTAGGAAGGGTTGGCTAGATCATAAGAACCATCTGACCCTGGTAGGCGATATGTCAAAATGCACGACTCTTGACGGATCGCACTGGTCGACTTATCAAGGCAGACGAATGATTTAGGTCTGGAGAAAATGAATGAAGAACCAGTTTTTGTGGTCGCGGCATCACATGGTGTCCATATACAAAACTTGGAAATGCTGTCGAAGGGAGCTTGGTAGTTGCTGGTAGACTAAAATCTGAAGACACTGTCAAATATCAAAGGCGGAATATAGTTGATAGCTGATGTACTAAGGAGAGACTGGCGTTTCTTTGGTTACCATTAGATTCATTTAGTTGCAATGTACTGTTGTAAAGTTTCCAACAAGATGTCGTTGATTGACTCACTAGGATGCATAGTGCTGAATGGTGCAGCCGTCCTGAAAAGTGAAACTTTCAGTGAATGCCAAGTTAAAGGGCTCGGACATGGCATTGACATACTTACCACGTTATTAATGGCGAGCCCAGAGATTCCTTCGGGGTCCCATGTTAAGATCGAAGCCCTGGGTGGGCCTACGTTCCATATTGCAATCCTTGACAAGCAAAGCTTTCATACCCAGAATCCTGTTAAGTTTCTGGGCATCACTCAGGGTGAGAGGCGTTGGCGGCCCCATTGTGTTCTAAAATAGATATAAGCAGCTAAGGGAGAGGGATTCTCAAGTTCGGGGTTTCGCTATTAGGAATAAAATATGACCTAAGGTTGATTTGAAGGGGTCGCGAGAGCTATAGGTAGGTGTTTTGCAAACCCCCAAATCATCGTCAGTATCATGATGGATTAGAGTGAACTTTGCGATACGGAATTACCACGAGTTATTACGAATCAACACTGCTTAGGTAAAGAGGTTTCGGGGATCTTGAAAAAAAGATGCCAAATTGAGCAGGAATAATTGCCAAATATATGACAACAAAGAAAAGAAAAAATCTCCCCACTCCCTACTTAAACAGACGTTGAGAGACTGCGAGCGAAGATACGATGAATGCATGCCCCTAGGGTTGCCCAAAATTGCTCTCGCGTCCCTACTTGGGGCCTGAGAAGTGTCTTGCCAATTCGATTCTCATTTAGGTCAGCCCCACCGAGGATATTCAGGGGCGGCAAAGAAGCGGAGGTGGAAAAAGGAGGACGGCCTACGCAACAACTAGAGAGTGTCTCTTGAGACACTACTGAAGAAAGCAACACCTGTGGAAGATTTGATGTTGATGAATGGCTTGCCAAGCGTGTTGCGTCACAGTATCACAGATCATTGGGATGTCTGCGCGCCCAACAAGGGTCCAACCGTCCCGTCCCATCTGTCTCGTCGCACCCAGCATCCCATCTGTTGTCACTGAGAGCCCAACCAACAGTTATTTGGCCCTCAACCTTATTTGAGCCTTTTGAGTTTGAGGAAGTGCCAAGGCCGCTCTCTTGCAGATTTGAGACTCAGCTTCAGGAGACGCGGTCTCTTAGAAGCCTCAACCTTCAAACCGCTTTTATTCAGACGATGTTGATCTACACTCAAAGAATCCTTCGATAAAGCAAACGGCAGCTCATGAAGCTTTGATATGCATCAGTCTTAGGGGTTTGCGCAATAGGCCGAGAATTTCATCGGAAAATGACGAACGAGCGGCCAGGCGAGACACGATCCCAAGAATATAAAGCCACTCGGTTGTCCAGACCCCGATACCATGTTTAGTGGTCGAGTATTGTCAAAGCTTGCAAGCCGCGACTAAGACATCTTCAATTTGTGGAACATGGTCTTCGTGATTCACACCAGCAAGCCATCGCGCGTATTTATTCTCACCGTTAATGTGTTCGGTGGACTTGGCTCGGGAAGGAAAAATGGCGATAGGCTGGTGCTAGAAGTGTCGTACATTTTTTTAAAGTTCAGACACGCATTCAATCCTCAGCTGCAGGGCTGAGATTCGGTTGACATGACTTACGCAAACCGGACCGAAAGCTAAAATGCTGGGAGACCAACCAATCCACAGGACTCTTCCCGCGTCATTTCTGATTGCTCCTCACTTGCAAAGGACCGACTGGCCGTTGAAATCTTACAATTCGCCGCAACCCTCCAAAAAGACACTCGTGTCAGTGTCGCTTGAACAATCAACGCATGCCTACTTTCGCATTTTCAACACTTACCTTCTTGAACTATCTCCCTGCAAGCTTTATTATCGACCGATCTCCATTCACATTGACTTTACTGTGTATACGAATTCGAATGTCTCCAAAAGGCGGCACAACAACCAAGGCAATCCTTGACACCGAGTCATTTAGGTATCACCGAAAACCTTCGGCGTACTTCCCCGGACGATCCATGCGAGTCAAGACAGGGCACCGGCCGATCTCCCCACTGGATCGTGACGCCTCATCACTCTCCATCCGTATCTTCGTCTATGCTGCCACCTGTGCAGCATCTGACTAGTGTCCCTCAACCCTAGAATCACTCTCCGGCGCCGTCGTGGCTGTCAACGAGCCGCCAGGATGATGCCAGGCCCTTTACTTGGGTTCATAAACTCGGAGCCCCGACTCTTCATAGCACATTTTCAGTTTCTGCAACTTCCTTGCGAGATACCCCAGTCTGTGCATTTCCTGCAATCCTTCGCCTCACGTCTTATTAGACCCACCTGTTCTTGATTATTCTTAATTATTCTTTGCCGATTTTCTTCCCTCGTTCTACAGCATGGCACGCGATAATGGCATTGGAACGGATTATGTCCTTCCATATCCAATTGCACTCACAATAATAGCCTTCCTAGCTATTGCAATGTACAATGTCATTGAACTTACCCTCGTCATCTTCACCACCTTCAAACGACGCAATGGCCTATACTTCTACGCTCTTCTCGTTGCTGCATGGGGCATCATACCCTACTGCATGGGATTCTTTTTCAAATTCTACAACATCACCAGCTCAACCTCCCTATACATCACCCTTATCGCCATCGGCTGGCCTTGTATGGTCACCGGCCAGTCCCTAGTCCTCTACTCCCGCCTTCATCTCATCGCTCGCGGCAGTTCAGCAGGCGGACGCTGGGTCCTGATCATGATCACTGTCAACGCCATAATTTGTCACGTTCCCATCATCGTTCTTCTCTACGGTGCCAATTCCTCCAACTCGACCCCATTCCTCACCCCCTATTCCATCTATGAGAAGGTCCAGATCACTATCTTCTTCCTCCAAGAGGTTGTGATCTCTAGCATCTACGTCTGGAAAACGATGGCCTTGCTCCGCTCTGAAGGTGGCATCCGCGGCCGCAATTCCCGCATCGTCATGCAGCATCTTGTGTGGGTCAATATGATGATCATCGCGCTCGATATCACACTTCTCGCCATCGAGTATGCAGGATTTTACGACATCCAGACTACATACAAGGCGGCGGTATACGGTATCAAGTTGAAGATGGAATTCTCTATCCTAAACAAGCTACTCGATCTCTTCCAAGGCCGTATCCAAGATTCTTCGGATGATCCGCGCTCTCGCTCTTATCGCACTGCTGAGCTTGGTACTGTCACTCGCAAAGGAGGAGCTAAGTCACAAGTCACTGGAAATGGCACAGTTAGTGGTACAATCACAAGGTCCGCGAATAGCAATGGGCTAGGCAACTCAGCGTATGCCAAAATGGATGACCTTGGCCCTGTAGTGAGCCTCAAGGATGGCGACGTGGTGAAGACGACGCAGGTCACAGTGGTGAGAAGTGAGAGGGTATTACCGGGAGGCGCACACAGTGACGTGGAGAGTATGGCAGAGAGCAGTATGAAGGTGGAGATGAGAAGGGAAAGTGCTAGTTCTAGCGAGATTCAGATCGTGAACAACGGTTTCTAAAGCGATTGGTGACTGTAATGTTGTAACTGCGGAGCAAATAGCATGGACTTTATTTTTTTTAGCCGGCTCTAAGTTTTACTTGTGACAGTCATGTGTGGTGCGCCTTTCCTTCCCCAATCCAATCGGCATGTGCATGCGCCAAACTCAGGGGAAGTCTGAGCATGCAGCTATTTGCAAACTTCGTGGCACTCCTACGATTGCCACACGTCTCAAAAATGTGGCTTTCAGCCTCGCCTGCGCTCTGCACGCCGACCATGCCTTGATCCTTTTCCAGCAAACCGGATTGCATCTTATCACTTAACATGGAACATATCGGGGGCTCACCTGATACAGAGGATGGCACTTTGTTAGCGTTCTCTCTAGCTCTATTAAGACATGAAATTGATCAAATTGTCCCCAGCTATGTTCCGTAACATGCACGAAAATTTCTGTAAACATGATCACGATCTCAATGTGAGCACGAGTGTTCCTCGCCTAACGTTCTATGGTGAAACAATGCCTGTACCGCGATCTACACGCGAAGCTGCACGTTGATTTGCACATAACCCTTATGGTTGATCTCGAACCAGTTGTGCGGGAAATGGGTCTAGAGGACTTAGCCGAGAGAATAAAGGCTTGTGCAGAAAACTAGTAATCCCGAGAGGATGGAATCATGGGGTAGACTAATGTCCGGCTCTTGGTTCCGGATCCTTCGCGGATTTCGAGGAGGGATTCGGTTGGTACTACACATTGTGTGGCGGTTGTGGAGATGAGGCATAGGGGGCCTTACGGAAAGCACAGGACAACTGCTCGAGTACAAAAAAAAGGCCATGTTTCGCTTAGGGAAGGGAAGCAAGTAGTAGCTTGGTGGCAGCTCACACAGTGTGGCAAGAATCCATGGGGCTTCTAATACCATGTTAGTGACATAACATCTCTTCTCTAGCCTCATCATGTCGTCTCAACCTTGTCACGAATAACCTGTATCCTCATAGTTCCTCACCCTCAATGCACCATCCCACTCTTCGCCATCTCCTCCACATTCGCCCCATACCTTGAAATACTCTTCCTTCTTAGCGTCTTGCCCCATTTAATCATAATCGCTACAGTGGTAACTTGCGCCATCCCCACGAATGCTGCATTAAGAAAACAGTTCTGAAGACCCATGTCCGTCACCCAAGGCGTAATGCCATATCCGATTGCAAAGCTCATAGTATTTCGAATGAGGATAACTGTAATAATAGCCTCGCCCGACAAAGCTCGATATGAATCAATGCAATACGCGATAGAAAGTTGAAGACCCATCGTATTCGTGAGTGCAAGGATACACATTGCGAACACAGCGCCGAACCAGTGAACGTGATGGGCCGCTCCAACACCCCACAATATCAGACCAAATGGGATGAGAAGAAACGAAGGGGCAAAAAGCCAGAGACGGTCCTCAGATTCCAAGATACCTTTGTTCTTCCGCGCTTTTCGGATCACAAACCAGTCGCCAAACCAGCCCGTATATGCAGAGCCAATTGCTACACCTATGAGAGGAGAAACATAGGCAACTCCGACCATACTTGCCGAGAAGTTATATGTTCCGGATAGGATGAGCGAAGCAGTGGCGTTGAGGACATTGAACCAGACAAGATTACTTCCGTAGGAGAAGCCGGAATAGAAGATTACTGGAAAAGTGAGAAATATTAAAGGCCGGCAGACCATTCCTTTGAGCTCGTTAGGGTTTTGAAGATCTGCAGCTTGGAAAAGCTTAATCTTGTCCAGATATGTCTTCCGTTTGTAGCTAGTAAGTGGAGGGGAGAAGTTAACGGACGCTTCTGTAGGTGTGCATTTCTCTGGGTTCGCAGGCTCTGCTGGTGCGATGACCCCTGGGGTAGAGGCTGGTATCCCAGCGGTATGGCGGACGTAGTTGGTTTCTTCCATAAAGAAGAACGGGAATACGAATCCGATGCCACAGAAGATGGCGCACCAGTACTATCCGAGTCAGCATTCGATATCAAAAAGTTCTGAGAGCTTCATTACCAACACCCACTGCCAACCCTGTCCGTCATTGATGAAACCAGAGATGATGGGGGCGAAGAAATTGCTACCGGCAAGTAGAAGTGCATAAAGTCCAATGTATCGCCCTCGCTCGTGGCTGAAGTAGATATCCGTAACGCTGATCTCGCATAGGCTCTCAATCGGCGCTCCCACAAAGCTTTTGGATGATCTTGCTTGCTATCCATTGTCCATTGCTCTTCGTATATGGCGCCCAGAGTTGCGTTGCCATGGTCGCAAGAATCGACAGCAAATACATTGGTCGCTTTCCATATTGAAGAGCCAGGGGCTGCCATACGAGACATCCCCACCCAAAGAACAAGAACATGTATCTAATCCTGGTGAGATTTATTTTCGCACTTGCAGTATGAAGAGTCAATTACCCTGTTCCTTGGTTCAAATCGTTGAGGGTTAATCCGGTATCCTCGCTGATTGGCTCCAGCACCGAATATATTCCGGCTGAGGCAATCCCAACCATCAAAGTGTAGACACAAATGCATGCTGTACTCAACGCTTTGCGTCGTGGTGACCAGTTAAGGGGATCATCGGGGTCGGTCGAGGGAGCTGGGACGAGTACGATGTCTTTCTGCCCACCTTCAGCGTGCTGGCCACGCATCGTCCCTAAGAGGTCGACGATGTGAACTGTGCCTGGCACAGGCGCTTCTTTGCCAGCGGGATGTTCCATGCCATCAGCCATGATGAAAATTCACGATCAATGCAGGATCAAGGACTGCGAATTGAAGGAGTTTAATAAGTTGGGAACCTAAGAGCGAAGAAGATGGAGCAGCAGGCTGTCAATATAAACTCCAAGCACGTTGCACCAGGGTGACGACATGGTTCCACCACCGATAGGCTATCCGCTGATATGCAAGAGATAGGCAAAGATCAACCCCTTGCGAACCCACGTTACCTTCTACGAATGAAACTGCTAATTCAGCCAGGCTAGGATGAAAACAGCTCTAGACGTTAGAATAAGTCTCATTGAATGCCGGATTGCTAAGAAATGTGGGGATCGGTGCAGTGAGGCCCTAGTGATCGGTGCAGTGCGACCCTAGTGATCGCGGCGAAAGTAGAGGGAAGTTGCGCGATAAGCGTTGATACCGGACTTTGTGACTAATTTCTGGGAAGATTGAGGTGAAATAACTATAAATCGAGGTTACAAAAAGGACTTGTGATCTCAAGCTTAAGGCTAAGGAAGAAAATGCAATCAGGGTCTTTCGAAGGAACATTTGGGGGCATCAGTTCGCATTTCTTTCCATTTTAGGGTTAGCGTTCTCAGATTTGGTCTTCTCGAGGATGGGTAAGTTGATGTCACGCATTTTTTACGCAACAGCGGTTTCTTCAATTGAAATTTTTACTTCCACGAAAGCCAAACTCGTCATACACGATGTCTACTCTTTTACATCTATGTAACAGAAACAGAAAGAGCCAAGGCTCTATCATGCAGAATGTCGACAAGACAGCACGAAATGGAATGGAAAGGAAAGGAAAGGAAGATCGTGTCTAAGACTTTTGGTGCCACTTTCTGGCGAATTGTATTCCCGTGATGGTGCAAGGCTAAGATATCCGTGCCATCTTGGCTTCGTCTCCGATGTTCTTGAAATCATGTCTGAGGACGTTCTCTCCTGGATATGTTTACACAGTAGGTGACTATACAGTCGGAAGTGGTGTGGAAAGCGCGATTCGCCGAAACAAAGATGGTACACGAACTCTTTAGTTTTAGGGTTTATAATCTCTTAACGAGATGTGAACCGCCTTGTAAGTAGGCTTTGCTTATCGACTTATATGCTATGGTACGATGTCGTTGGAGAGCATCGAGTAGCTCGTGTTCGTTGTTACAAACCGAAACGAGGTAAGAACAGTTCTGAGTTAGACATATTCGAGTTTCATTCAGGGATCAAATTATGCTGAGAGTGCGTGACTCTTAGAGTAATAATTCTCTGAGTACTCTTTTCCATGAATCGCCATTACTAGCCTTCGAGGAACTGGGGGCCCATCAACTTTGCATGTTTCTGGTTCCGCAATTACACAAATACGAGAACTGAAGAAATCATGGTAGCCGCTATGTCCCCGCAATAGAATGGTCTCTAAACTCGTCAAGGCGATAGAACACGCTTTCGCGAGTAAAAGCGCAGCCACCTACAGGATACTAATAGCGAATGGACTAATCATGTCTTAGCTGATATCGTCGCAGTTCATGTTTTGGTATAGAACGGCCTTTGCAGCATGGGAAATTGCTGACGAATTTGCTATTTCTGGAGTCCAGAGCATAGCTCTTTCTTCAGTGACGAAGTTAATTTGCTTTCATATCCTGAAAGACCAGGTGAGATGTCTCGTTCTAAAAAAAAATGGGTCGTGATATCATCTGTTGATTGAAATTGGGGCTTCTGAGTCTGTTCCTTGACCTCGCTGCGATGAGTCCTCAACTTCGCAGAGAGCTCTAACCCTACCCTTGTAAGCTTGTCTTCCACGTACATAACTTGAAGCAATAAGTCTAATCGCTACAGCAAGTTGTTGTACAAGGAATAAGAGATTGATTGGTGAAAGGCATCGTCGCTTCCGGAATTTTAAGAGAGTATCCAAAGTTTGGTGTGTCTCTAGAAAATGGAATTTCACCGGAAGAGGCCCACCTCGCTACAATAATCACCATTCCTTGTTCTGCCTAAGACTGTAATCTCTTGGCGACGGATCAGCTTCATTCTCCATAGTTTTCAATGCGCCCTCCATTGTCGGCGTTATGGGCCCCACCGCTGGCATGACAAGCTCCCTTGTTAATACCAAGGAGAGTATCCCATCCAGTGCCCCCAGGAATATGTGTGGGTGCTCAAAGACTACAGCCGCTAACTAAAAAATGGTCCTCTCGAATTACAGAACTGGCTCCAACTGTGAACCAAGAGGGACAGAGATTGGACGAGACCCTATCTAAAATTTACGTACAAGCACTTTTGGGGCCGACTGGATTCTAGGGAGTTAGGAGCCGATTGTCTGGAATTAAACAGGAGATATAGCATGTTGTTGAAATTCTCGAATGCCATAGAGTAAGGAGCGCAACAATCAGCTGGCAAGATTATGACCCTCCTAAAGTCCACTACCCCTTTCTGAGATTCTTGACAGGACGAAAGGGCTACATGGAAACTAGATGCACGAGTTTCTGTTTACGTTATATAAGAATAATCAAATGAAAAGATGAAGGACTATCTAAGAATGACGATCCTCAGAGGTATTGCAAGCCCAGAGTTCATGATGGCCGTATCCAGGTATTCGATACACAAAGGGTGCAAACTGCTATGTTCCAGACAGAAAGAGAGTAGTTGAGCGCCTTCTTGGGCGATATTGATCACGTCCATCGGAAAGCCAGCAAGCGCTCAAATTTGATTCTTGGTAGCTATATCCTTCGTGAGGCTCTCCATGGGCTGCTAAATGCTACAAGAGGGCCCCTCGGATCCAATCTCCTTCCTTATTTTGAAGGAGAACCACTACCGACTATGTCTGGCTTAAGACAAGTCAGTATTGCCTACCCACGCGATCATGACCTTTGCGGACGGACTCAATTGGAACAAGTCCAGCAGTGGAATCAAATGCACAACTCTGATTTCGCTTCTCGTCAGGGGTGCCTCTTGTAGTGCAGTCGTATCAAAATTCTCGACATCTATGGACATGCGGCATACACCTTAGCTGCCCTATCACTCGTACTCATGTACACTGTTCTACGGCTCTCCTTAGATCGAGGGGCTTGGCTTTTGTAGCATTTGAATGTAAGAATTCTGTGATCCAATATTAGCCACTGCGTGTTATGCTCATCGAGATTTCGTACATTTCCCTTCATAACAATGTTGGCAAGTCCTCTTCCTTCTCTCCTCACTTCTGGAGGAACTTACCGTTAGCGCAGTTATCAAAATTTCTCAACCAGCAGTTGTTGAACCAAAAGTTTTGAGGAGGCGTCATGATGGCTCCTACCACCAGGATTTATAAATCACTTTTTATCTATTCACTTAACTCGTAGAGCGAGGTTGTCACGAAGTCTACCAAGCAATATGTCAGTTAGCAATACCTAGAGGCGATGGAACTCTGCTTTGACTTAAGTAAAGAGATCTGTGTAAAGGAAATTGTGAAACTGTAAGCGGACATTCCTCCTGACCCTATGCACGTAGGTGCGACGACTTCAGGTGCTCAGATACTCCATAGGCTTGAAGAGCACTATGAGGCTCTATGAAAACGAAAACTTGAGCTCACCTCTAGCACATGGTATCATCGATCTGTAGTGGCAGTCTCACAAAGCACCGAAATCACCTCTGTGGAGCTTGGGGGATAGAGTCCGGGCCACGGAGCCCTAGAACTGATGGCAGTGGATTGAGAAGAGATGACATCGGATTGAGAGGGGATCACTTCGGTGTAAGACGATGAAACCCTCCCAGAAAGAGAGTGTGTCAGTGCCGAAGAGCAGGGCCGTCGTGCTGAACATGAGAAGCCAAGTTCCGGCTCATGGCAATACCCCTAGAGCGCAGTGCCTTAGCCCATTTTGGGTTAGCGCTATTCCATTCATTACGATTTATCCTAGAGACTTGGCATGTGATAGAACTTAGGATTCATTCATTTTACTTCGATTCTGACGGAGTTCTCTCTTTTGTACAGCTATTGAGACCATGTCAATAGTCGCTAGGAAGCCTGCAATCTCCCACACAGAACGTATCCGAGGAGTCAGAACCATGCAATATGTCCATGGTAGGACACTTACGCTCTCGTACCAAGTCCCTAAATGCTGGACGAATATGGCCTAAATAGTAGGTGTATCAAACAGCAAGGCAAGGCTGAACATCTGAACGCCATTCTTATCAGAATGGGTGCTGAATGATTTTCATCTATTACAACGAAAGAGTATTCCAATAACCACTTCCCAATAGAACTACTGCAATTCCTATTTTCCATACTCATCATCCCGATATTTCCTCCCACTGACACGCTCCTGTCCTCTTTTCCTCTTATTTACGAATCAAAAATCGCACCATAAGCTGGGATCCCCCTACACTCCATCTGATACACAATCCTAGTTGTAAACTTCTTATTCGAAATCACACATATAGCCTCAGCACCTGACTCTTTATATAACTGCCAAGCCATCTGCACCATATCCGGTTTGCCCATCGTTCGTGTATTATGAATGACGGCTTTGGGATCGGTATTAATCACACTGCTAATAATCTCTTTCCCAAATGTTAGCTCAGGGTTCGGTGCTGTCCATAGGATACGACAGGGGATCTTATTAGCTAAAATAACGGCGAGACAAGGACCGATTCCAGAGCCAGTTGCGACGAGCACGACGGACTTGAAGAGAGTGGCGATCCGCAGAACGCCGCAGGCTGGGATTCCGCGGACCCAGATGTGTGTTGGTGCTCGCTGGATCGTGCGTTTTGTGAAGTCGCCCGCGTTGCTGACGACGAGAGAGAACCCTTTCCCGTTCGTATTCGTGATAGTCGCAAATCCATGCCAGTCAATTAATGGCCTTTCTGCAATACGGATGGATGTACCGACGACAGGCGTAGTGTAATCAAAATGCAGGCGGATTGCGTGGTCAGAGAGAAACTCAGAGCGGACAGGGACTTTCCGAAGGAAGAGCCATGGAAAGATGATGGCAGCTGTCGCAACCGAGAGCAGATATATAGGAGGTGAGGTCTTGTATGCTTGCATCGGAGAGCCGGACAATTGGAGATCGCGAGTGACAAGAACAGCATGGGTCCAGAAGAAAAAGAGCGCGGTCCAGCCTCCGAAGCGATGTGAACACTCCCATGCGTCATGGTAGCGTATTCGAATTGAAGGGTGAGACATTGCAGTGATACCAATGAGTAGAAGGTCGATGATGTAGGTTATTATCACAGAAACCGTACTAACACATCTGAATTTAGGCGGTTTGGTGAAGTCTACGCTCGCTCCAACGGTGAAAATCATGAACCAAAAAGTAGCAGCAATCGCAGCGCCACTATGGATGCCTCCAATATGGAACACCCGAGCGCATTGCCGTCGTATCGAGAGAGGAAACCAAGTTGGGACCGAGCAACAAGTACTAAACAGGAGGTTGATGACCGGTTCGGAACGCATGAGAATTGCTAGCGTTAAATTAGTAGCTGTTGCAGTAGCGATATCAGCAAGCATTGGCTTTTCCTTCTTCACTCTCCGCCAGAGAATGACAGACGCTGCTCCTAGATTTGCTAAGACCACAAAAGTGAAGAAGCGCCGATATAAGATGAAAATGTGGTGCCGAAGCCACCGTTGACCGTGGAAACCATTCTTATTTGGTAGCTTTGGGGGATCCGCGGTGCTGCTTGATCTCGATACATTGAAATCCGAAAGCGGTCTCGAATGTACAACTTGACTGGCTTCCTCCTCCATTCCAGATCCCTTGGTTACTGCGACGGTATGATAGAGATCCTTTGTGGTAAACGTTGATGTTATTTTTTCTGATGGAGCTACAGTCCTGCGGAGGGCAATGTGCTCCAGTTGTTGTTTGTTCACCTTTCCATTCGCTGTCAAAGGAATAGTTGGGAGGTAATTCCACTGCTCCGGAACTGAGTAATATGGAAGTGAACTCCGAGTAAAGTTGTCAAGATCTTCTTCGTCGATGAATGCCATTGTCGTGTAGAAGCCATGTAATACGCCGTCGACTAAGCTAGAACAGGCTCTGGTGATGCCAGGGTATCGCTTAATGTCTATTAATATAGTTTATACAGTTACCGAGAAATACATACCTCAATAACAGCTGAAACACCATCCAATTCGACGCGAAAACCCTACTGTGATTAGCAAAAGTGGGGGTGTATAATTGAGGTGCTCGCTTTACCTTAATCTTCACCTGTTCGTCAATGCGCCCAAATGTATCCAGGGAACCATCTTCCATCCACTGGACGATATCTCCAGTATTGAACATTAGTCTGTTTGATACGTAAGCAATTATTGGCGGGCAAAAACGAGTGAAACATGCCCATCCCGAGTAAATTTGTCAAGCTTATAGCGGCTAGATGTCAGATCCGGAATATTGATGTAGCCTCGTGATACTCCAGCGCCACCAACCCACATGGTGCCTTTCGACCCGAATGGCACGGGATTCTCTTTGTCATCGAGTATGTAGACGTTAGTATTCGGTAGGGGTTTACCAATTGACAAAGTGGATCCCGGAGTATGTCGGTGAGCTGTGTTAAGTATTGTGATTTCCGTAGGGCCGCAGATGTTGTAGTAGGTAGTGCCTTCGGCCCACTCATCGGCCAAGCTACATACAATGAGTTAGACGTAAGATGCGCAAGAGAAATGGGAGTTCACAAACATACGACTGTGAACAGGGCTCACCACCAGTGACAACAGTTTTGATGTTGAGAAAGGAGTTGCGGCGATATTTAGACAGGATTGAGGGGGTCGCAATCAGTGTATCAACCTCGACCTCTATTAGTGATGACTTAGATTCTTATTCCAAGAAGGGCTTACCTCACGAAGTGTCTCCTCCCAGTTTGCACCCCTGAGATGCAGCGTACCACCATTCATCAGGCATGCAAGGATCTCCCAAGAGCCTATCAAGCCATAAGCCAAAGATGCCATTTATCGAAGATATCGACTTACCCATGTCAAACGCAACATTGAGTACCTGCGCCACTTTCGAGCCTCCCGTAATCCCCAGTCTTCCTGGCTCCAATAGAAGAGCGTTGCACACGTTGCCATGAGTTACATCAACTCCTTTTGGCTTTCCTGTGCTCCCTGCATTTCATATTAGCAACTCTAAATATAAAGAATAGTGCGGACCAACCAGACGTATAGATTGCATAAGCCCCATCACTTGAGGAGGTAGCAATGCGAGGTCTGTCTTGTGAGCAGAAACTTTCCACATGCACTCCCAAAGGGATAATTTTGACGTTCTCAAGAACTTGGCGCCTCGTCTTTTCCTCGAATTCAGGAAGGCACAAGATAAATGGAACTTTCGTGTCCTTGATTATATGGGCAAGCCCCTGGTCCGTGGAGACTCCGCCGTCGATGGGGATATATTGGCATCCTGCCTTCAAAACGGCGAAGATTCCCACTAGCATCTCTAACGAGCGCTGTACGACTAGGCATACCCGCTGGTTAGGCCGCAATCCGAGTTCAATAAGATGATTCGCGAGGCGGTTCGCTGCGGTGTCGAGTTTGGCGTATGTGAAAGTGTTGCCTTTATATTTTGCCGCTATCGCCGAAGGTTGAGAATCGACAATGCTTTCAAATGCTGTATGAACTGTTGAGTGAGTAACTGCCAAAGCTGGACCACGGCCAAAACGAGACACAAGCGTTTGATCCTCTGCTGGTAGACCTGAAAGTCCATGGAAAAGAGCTGTCGACTCCATGTTGACTTTACGTGTTGCGTAACAAAGTTACAGACCTGAGTGATACGAGTAGGAAAATTAATCGTAGATCGATAATCGTGTTTCTTTATATACTCCTCCATGTTGAGGTGAACAAGATATGGTCGATGCGCACATACATCGCGCCTGGGTATTGAATTAGGCATGAGCGTAAACACACAGCGTCGCACGAAGAACAGATCACTCTCCATGGGTGAGGACTAATAGCGCAAGACATAAGAGCGGGTTAATCTTGGTTGCAGGGAGGAAAGTGAAGATATATTAACGGCGTGGAATCGGGAATGTGCGATCCAGGAACGAGGAGATTGGATCTCAGGAGATTTGCTTAGGAGATGCTTTGAAATCGAAGAGAATCGTGCACAAAGCGCATGATTGGACATGGGTTAGAAGAAGGAATGCGGAGAGGAAGGCCGTTGAGAGGCCTTGACAAGGATGAGGTGTTTATCCTGAGCGGATACGGATTACTTCCATAAAGGGAAGCCAGTCATAAAAGGCCCAAACCATGTCGAAAACGAGAAATAGGAACTTGAGGCTGCAAAAATTCCACATATTGAATTGATACTATGACATTGCGCAGTGTTCAGAGGGGTTTAGTAAAAAATGACTTACCACTTCAAGGATGGGGTCCGAGAGGGCTAGAAATGTGCACCCTTTTCGGGTGGCAGAGCCGTCGGAAATTCGATGCACCACGGAATCATCCGTCAAGAGGAGAATACAACGAGTCTGATATGGATCTGCAGAACTGAGCGTACCTAAGCGCCACCAATAGTGGCCCATTTCAAGGCGTCATGCTCCGTGCGTCAAATGGATACCGCCATGTCATGTCAACAGGCAAGTATAAAGCACTATCTCAATCAGAGCAGCTGCTCCTCCTAGGAAGCAGCTCTATCATCAATAGCGTCAGCTATGCACGCAGAAGCCCCCAATTCTTCAAACGTTATTTCGTCGATCCGCCAAACGGGAGTAGCGGTCCTCCAGTTGAACCGTCCGCTTAAACGAAATGCACTCTCCCAGGCTATGATAGACGAATTGACAGGGGCACTTCGCCGACTAGACCAGGATCAAGCAGTCCGAACTGTTGTACTCACGAGTGTTGAGGAGTCCCCCTTCTGCGGTGAGTTCAAAGGAAGCCGAAGGTACGAAACTATTGTCTAAGCTGACATGTGAATATGACAGCTGGAGCTGATCTGAATGAATTGGCCCAAATATCCACCGCCGAGGCCTTTCGAACCGGTTGGTTGAAAGACGTGGAACTTGCATTCTCAGCGTTCCGGAAGCCGGTTATCGCAGCGGTTCGTGGACTTGCGGTGAGTGTCCTTCCGTCTCAATTACAGAGAACCCACCGGAAGTAACCGAGTCATCAAGTTTGGCGGAGGCTTTGAGATTGCGTTAATGGTGAGTGGCGAAATTCTCCGGATTCTTCCAAGACAGGAACAGCCAACTAAGCGGCCCTAAATCACAACAGTGTGATATGATTTTCGCCACTTCAGATGCTCGATTCGGTTTTCCGGAGATCAAATTGGGTACTATTCCCGGGGCTGGAGGTACGCAGCGTTTGACCAAGACCTTGGGGAAGCACAAGGTACGTACCCCGCAAACCTATTCCAAATACCAAGATCATGGTGGGCAACGCTGGCTGCTGCTCATACTGAAACATCAGACCATGGAGCTTGTTTTAACCGGCTCGCAAACGACGGCGACGGAAATGGAGCGCTTCGGGATCGTGAACAAAGTTTGTCCGGGTGAAGATGTCGTGGAAGAGGCCTTGAAGGTGGCAGAAACCGTTGCGTCGTTTTCTGCACCTGCAGTTGGGCTCGCGAAGCAGGCTGTCCAAGCGGGTAAGTTGTCCATCAGCCGTATACTCGGAGAATAGTTGGCCTAACATGAGGAAGCTGAAGCCACAACATTGAATGCGGGGTTGGAGATTGAGAAGGCCCTGTATTACAGCAGTTTCTCGCTTGAGGATTGTAAGGAGGGTATTGCAGCTTTCCTGCAGAAGCGCACGCCCAACTTCCAACACCGGTGATGTTAGATAAGGATTGCTTGTCCGCGATAATGCTAGATGGCTTTGTTTCGTTTGCGAGTCGGTCCTATTGTGCTGCGAATGTTAACAGAATTGTTTTAATTTTGGGATGCGGAGAACATACCTTGCTCGCGGGTAAAGTCAGACTGACCCTGGCAGAAGTCAGTACAGAGCCTCGTGTCGAAGAAAAGGTATCTAAATCCATCGTGACACGTGGAGACCCGTGTGGATTGCAGCCGTAGGGTGGGTTTACCGGAGCACATGTGCATTGAGGAGGGAAATGAAGCTGACAGCAGATCAACGCAGGGCGGCTTACTTTATGAACATGATCTGGTAAAGTCGAGACCACTGGCGATTTGTAACGAGGCTGACGTAGTCCTCGATATAAGCCTTGAGAATTGCTCTACTGTGCATACATATGTCAGCTTCTTACCCTTTCGTGCGTTGCTGTGCTTCTGGAGGGTTTCTAGATCAGGATCACGGGATGCCAAGTTCGTCACGTGCAAAATCACATGATGCTAAACCGCTTTGGTCGAAAGATGGCACAGCTTAAAAGGTTTCAACTACCTCAACCATCTCAGTATCTACCCATCACCTCTCCATCGCCTGCTTCCCCCACTTCCTCTGCCCCTGTACAATTTGAAATCACTCCTCTGATTTAACTCACAATTACTCAGCCGAAAATCTCATGCTAATTCGGACAAGTAACAATAGCGCTCACAAATGGCGAGCCCCCCTGGACACAACCCCCAACTGGAGCTGAAAAGGCCGGGCTGGTGCAAGTATCATCGGTATACAGTTTGACTAGCGCTATGTTAGCCTAGCATATCCCCAATTCTTCTCCCTTCAGCGCCTGTCTCTAAGTTCAACAAAGGCTTGACCATCGTAATGGTCATCGCCAAGTTCACACCCGTTTCCCCTCTTAAATGTGGTATATCCTTACCAAGAAGAAGCGAAAAACTCACCACTACATCCTGCATTCTCGCCAATCAATGTATAAGAAACGATGGACGGAGACGTGCCGAAACGATTGAGCGCCACACATCCATTCTTCACGTATATCGGGTCCGCAAAAATGAGCGAGCTCGCAAGACAGCCGCCTGAACTGTATTGGTTCCCGACGGCGTAGTATTCACCACCTTGGCGGGGTTCGAGAACCGCAGGGGCGGCGCTGGAAAGGGCAGTGAGGAAAGAGACGACTGTGGAGGCGGTGAAACGCATGATTTCTGCTGAGGGCGAAGCTTGGACTTGTTGCAAAGAGTTGGGAATTTGTATGATGGTGGATTTGGTTTGTATTCTTGTGAACTGGTGAGTCGAGAGAAGATGGATGTGAGCGAGAGAGCTTTATATCTTCTCACTACTCGCATCCCTCACCCCCTCGACTTCACAGTCCTGAAGCTTCTCGGAATACCGGGCCCAAATCCCTAGCTATGAGTTCCCTTCTCTCGAATCAGAAGTCCTCGTTGACAGTCACAGCGAACTTATTGTACAGTTTCAGAAATTTATGCGACGCTGAACGGGACAGCGGGACGAAGAAGTCGACGTTTCTCCGCCACAATCCTTCGGTGATCGAATCAGGACTTTTCTTTGCTTCTATATGTGCTACATTATAGAACTCATGAGCTGGACGTGTGATGGAAGCCACATAGTCACGATATGGTAAGCTTACTATCATTCTTGATTGCCTCAAACCAGCTAGAAAGGGCGCAGGTACTCACTGCTCAAGCCAGGCGTTGCTCATTGCGTGAACGTCTAGGACTTGATTTCACACGCGTTAGCTTCGAAACCTAGTAGACAGGGCTCGAGTGAAGAGCCCATTCCTTGAAGACCATCCCAGGCAGACGCCGTAATAGTGTTGTCAATGCTGTCGCTTACCCTCCAAAGCTGTTGGTATTCTAGACGGCGAACCTGGTGAACGGGACTTGAACGCACAATCCATCCGAACCAAGCCATCCGGGGCAGACGACTTATCAGTGTCCTGAGTGCCATCGCTTATACTCAAAGTTGTTGGTATCCTCGATGAGGGACCTGAGTGGCTAGAATTGTGGGGCTAAATCCTCACCGGTTTCCATAATGGTGGATAACGATATGTCCTTGCATGCGCCAATCCCTGGCCACTGGGACGGGGACCTTGCAGTGCGGTTCGATACCTGGGTCTACAGAAGTTTATAAGTCCCATATGTGGGCCCGTGGCTGGGAAGATGAGGGGAACTCGGGTTTGCTTGTCGGGTTCAGCATTGGGCATCACACTTTTCAGGGCTTCATAGAAGGCCAGAAAATACTTCAAAATTTGATTCAAAAGTGTCAGGTTTTTGTTTTAGTGCAACGTGGAAAGGAATGGAAATAGAGGCCTTCTGTGGTAACCACCAACACCTTAATCGTACAACCCAAGCGACTGGTAAAACAGACGAAAGCCTCGAAGATGAGGAATCATCTGCAGACCTCCACGCCACAACCCGTTTCCTCGTCCTACCCGCACCGTCCCGCGATCCCGCAAGATCCTGCGTCCGCACGGCACTGTTGGTGGCGGAAGATGCAGGCGAAGCACTTAATTAGAACCATGTGTAGACACGGGACGGGACGAGTGGACTTCAACACGTCGGTTACGATGCACGCAGAATTCGATATCACATCAGAACTCTTTCCGAAGGTGAAGGTGGTTTTGGTGGATCGCTAAAGAGAGATTATGCAAGGGTCGTCAGTGACACGAAGTGGCGGCTTATTGGATCCAAAACCAGCGAGTGAAGGATCCAGCATATTACCAAAAAGGAAAATGTCGTATTAGCTTAACACACAATTTTACCGTTACCAATCACTTCTTTCGAAACTCCATCCAGCCTTTCAACCTATCCATCTCAGATCACAGGTCCCAGTTTCACCCACTTCAGATCGTTCAAACTCTTACGATGTTTTCTATCCAGCGCATCTGCGTGCTCTTGAGGGGTAACAATATCCAGAGCGCTATGTCAGCCTTCCTCTTCGGCCATCTTGTCGTGGCAGGTAGAATAGTGACCTGCTTGCGTCGCTATGATTATACACGACTGGAAACCCCATCAAGGGGCCTGGAATCCCACCTCCAGGTCCAAGGACCTCGTGTGCATACAGCTTGTGTAAAACTGATTCTGGTGGGCCCGGTATGGATACATGTGTTCGATGCGGAAGAGGTGTTTGGCTAGGGGAGTGGTTTTAGGGATTGTAAAGCTTGATCAAGGTGCGTGGTTAACATTTCTATAAATAATGCGATCGCATAGGAGGTGAGTTGTTAACGTACCTAATACTGGTTTTCATCAATCTACCCTGCTAAATTATTCTTTGCGACGTATTCCCCAATCCCAAACCAGCGTCTGTCGCCCTCATATATATCCAAGTCCTCCGTCTTTGACAGGCACGCCGTAGAGGGCCCGGAGTGGAGGGTTCGTGCATTGGGCTAAAATATGTTTAGTGTCCTTCATTCATACCGATTAGAAGTGAAGATAATTCAATAGTACATCCATAGAACAAACTAGCAGAGTAGAGTTCTTTGCATCCCAACCCCTAAACCATCGCCTGCTAGAGCAATAGCCGTTTCTAGGCCCTGACTGGGGGCTAAGCCGCCACGATTGCACTGTATGTCGAGACCTTCAGCGTCGTATATATTGGGTCCCAGCGGACATCCAACTTGTTAGAAGTTCGCACCGGAAGTTACTATGATTGCTAATACAATTCGAAAGGGGATCGGAAAGTATCGAAAGGATAGATAGAGCGTGGTAACTAGACATACCGCCAGTCTTCAAAAGTGACGTTACTGATAGGGGACTTGCTGAAGAAATAATATTACTATCAGTACTAGTTCTAGAAGGGTGTGTACGAGAGTTAACATACAGTGGGCGCCAAGAGCAAGTCGTTACAAAAGTGAGATATTTCTCATATCGAGGCTTTCATCCAGTGTGCCCGACAGTTAGTAATAGAGCCATTTTGAGGCTGTTCAGTAACTGTACGGAGCAGGCAAGTTGTAGGACGCTACTGTACGGAGGAGAGGAGGTAGCTGTACAGATCGTATACATTAACAGCTTTTTAAATTCAACCTAACCTGCTACAGGAGGAGTAGAAGCGGTGAGCAGGCTCTCTAAGGGCTTAATAGTAATTATTTGTACTGTTTTATTGTACCTCTAGCTTACTAGGGACAGTCCTATTACGCAGATAGTAGATCCCTTTTATTGTGAGTGCATAATTACACAAACAAGCTTTCTAGTGCCTTAGAGGCTAAGATTTATACTCTATAAGTTATCCTAGCTGATATCAATAGCTATCCCTACGTTAAATTACTCATTATTTAGGTGCTCCTTAGCATAGGTACAGCGTAGGAAGGCTGGGGGTTATTACTCATGTCTTTTAAATGAGTTTAAAGGAGGCATTGTAGTATGAGTTAGTAAGAGGATAGCTAGAGGACGCCTGCAAGGGGGCAACATGCTGCAACAACTGTTCTGTTAACTGTAAAAGGAATTAGGACATTATCTTAAGCATAGAAACAAGGCTAATAATAGAGGAGCAAGATTTACTAGCAAATTGCAAAAATAAATGCAGGAACAGCATTCTCTACATGACCTAGACTACTACTGTAAACGGCTAGTATAGCAGCATCACATATCGTACAGTATACGGAGTGTAGACCCTATACGTACGTACGGCTTAAATCACCTTTTACGGACCGTATGTACGATTAGGTGTACTAACTGTTGGGAGCACTGCGTTCGTTGATGCCAATTATGCTCGATCCTAATTGTAAACACGCAACCTTGTATACAAATCCTTACCAACACCTAGATTGCTCTCGTGAATTTGATGAACAGCTTGTACTCTAGGCGCTGTAACTTGAATTTTAATTGGTGAAATGCCCTGTTGCAGACGCGAGGATCACCCCCCTTTGATTATACTGCTCTCTAACGCTGACTGTTTGTACAGGAAATGTATCCATTTTCAGTAGAGATATGTTACTTATTTTATGGGGTCGTCTATGTCGGCAATTAGATTGATTCGGGTTGGCTTGCATATTTTATGGCAGCCCGGATAATGAGGAACTCGTAGTATTCTGCGCGAGAAGTAGAGTCTCAAAAAAGTATATATTCGATTAATGTTGCACAACTGCCCGAAAGATAAACATGATATACCTAGATCGTAAGTGTTCGAAGCGCCATGGATTGCTAATAACGAGTATGCTAGAAGATATGTGGATGCTGCTCTAAAATGACGTTAACCCGCACCCAGGTTCTAAGGAATGCGTCTCTCAGCAAGGCTGAATGAATGAGAAATGATATATTACGTAGATGATTATGATAAGGTAAGAGGAAAGCTAGCGGAGTTGCACAAGTGACTCGCTCATATAATATAAGAAGCGTAATTGAAAGTAAACAAAACTTCGAAGGGACGGGTGGCCGATGACCCAGGTCGTAGGAGGCGATACTCGGTTCTCAAGATACTCAAATTCAACACGCCCAGTCATGAGCCTTCGCTTTGATATCTTTCGTTTCAATCCTCCCTACACCCCGATACATGTCGTGTCGGTCGATCAAGCTATTTGCAGTATCGGCATGCTCAAGTTGATTTACATCTACAACGTCTAGTTTCCCTCCATGTATATCGGAGTCATTTGTAGGTACACTTTCCAATCTTGAAGCTAGATGAAAAGGAGCTGGGTCATCCGGTATGGCAGATAGTGACTTCGACCTCATAGGCTCGAGCGCATTTGGGTCACTCTTTCGAATATCTTCTGAAAGAGAACGCTGTGGGCCTTGGCTATCTGTAGAAGGGCTCGCGGCGCTCATTAACCGCTCTGGATTACCCTTCGCACTCTTGTTCCAGCTCTGGAATTTAAAGCGGGACAAGAACCCAGGCCGCTTTTCTTTCTGCCGTGTCTTTGTACTACTCGCCTTCTCTTTATTGTCTTCTTCTGACTTGCGCCTAATCGATACTTCGGGCTGATACGCTTTTCTCAGGCCCTCGAGATTTGTTCCTTTGAGCTCTTCGCTGATATACTTCAGTGCAGTATCTGTAACGTCAACATACTCGGGATAATCCTCAGCGCAGGCTTCTCGGATCAACTTGAGTTTCTCCCAATCTGATCTGACTACCGGTCCAGAAAGATCAGGGTGCCATCCCATAGCTCTAATGTCCGTCCTCATGCCACGATCAACCTGCTCCTTCACGCCCAGAAGCGCAATCAAGCCATCGACTTCAACCCTCACAGTTTGGACGAAAGCATCAAACTTCTCAACATCCCGGACCGTCCAATGCTGCATCGTTATGCTCATGCCTCGCTTGAGACTAGCTCTTGTGCCGCTCTGTCGTACAAGATCTTGAAGCAATCCATACTTCTCGCGGAATGCTTCAAGACGGTTGGTGTCTAGGGCCGGGTATTCCAGTGTCGAAAAGCGCTTTGGAGACTTCAATCCGAACTTTTCCATTAAATCCTCCCGAGAGAGATGAGCCGGACGTCCAGCGATCTCGTTTAGGGCATCGCGCACCTTCTGATTCGTGGCTACCTCGTCTAGTCTCGCATCTCTCACCCCGAAATTCACGGGCAAGTTGGGGTCGGGATTGGTCAATCCAGGGTGGCTTGGGATCATGTGCCTTGCGATAGTCGGAGGCGGTGAGGAAATGCCCACGGCATCGCCCCAGATGAGGAGCCGGCCTTGCTGGATGCCTAGCTTCGCGAGAGCGACTTTCTGAGCACGCTCTGAGTCCTTGGGGGGATGGATGAGGTTGAATGCCTCGGCACAGGTGCTGAAGAGGCTTGCAAGTGACAGGACGTTGGTGAGAATCTGAGCTTTGGAGAGGGCTGGTGGTGTGGTCGGAGGCGTCACGAGCCCGTTCGGGTTGGTTGTCATTTTGCGGGGTTTGGCTTGGGAAGTGCCAATTGTGAAAGAGTCAGAAAACGGACAATGAGGACTCAAATGGATGCCTGGTGAAATCCACCTTGGAGTACTTTCCGTGGAGAAGAAGAAAATACATAGGTTGGCGCGGTCATGGGCTGAGAAAAGTCTGTCCAGTGTGTTCATGTGCTCATGACGTCTGAAGACTGGTGGTTGTGGACCATTTGTGGCGTCCGCATAGATCAAGCGAACGGGCGGGGCGAAGACCCTGTCCGCATAAAAGTCTGGTTGGCCTCTCTCGTCCTGGCATCGTCATTCGCGAATGCCATGTCGCGTCTCTTGGTCAGCATGTATTAGTTTTTCATACATCGATAGCTTCAAATCTAATGAGAGGTGGCGATCATCACCACAAGCGTGCATTGAAAAAATGTGAACGGCATACTGGACACGACATAACCACGACTAATATCTCCAGATCTATCGGGCAATTTATGCAGGTTTAAGTCTACGCTGACTTTGCCATAGGACGTCCCTGAGGCTTCTCACACCTCCTTGGCGGCCTTCTTCTTTTCCATGTGTTGAAGCCTTCGCTCCACCTTATTCGTGAAATGACTGTTAAACTCCTTGGTGCAGAAAGCGCATATGACTGCAAGGCCTCCGAATGCAAGGCTGCTGTAGAAGACCATGTGGTACGCTACTAGCAGTCAGCTAACTCCATTGAAGACGTAGGGGCAGAGGAGACTGGAACAAGCGCACTTACCTTTCACATTACCATCCCGAACTGCCACCACGTAATCCGCGACCATATCCGCTGACACTCCCGGAATCTTTGCAAATGACGCTACTGCTCCCTGTAGACCAGCCTTTACTAATGCCCGAATAGAAGATTGCGGTAGATTGTCTTGTTCTGCAAGGCGGATAAGCCGAGGCGGGATCTCCTTGGCCTTTGTCGTCGTCAATATGCTGGAGAAGATGGCCGTAGCCACAGATCCAAGGGTCGCGCGACAGGATCCAAGGAGACCACTTGCAAGTCCCAGATCTGCCGGAGGAACTGTAAATGGAACAGCGACAATACCAACAACCTCCACAACACCTACAGCCAATGCTCCAAGACAGCACATGACAATAGCTAGGGTTCGCGTGGAGGCATCAGTAGCTGCCATGGCCCCAATGAATCCGCACATGGCCAGAGCCGATAGCCGAAGTTGCCAATGTCCAAATCCAAGGCGAATCGTACCCCCTCCCAAAACCTGTCCGAAGGCGATACTTCCACCAAGGACACCTGACATCAACCCAATCATGATCTGGTTAGACTCGTAGAGGGACGTGATCATTTGCGGCCAAATCACAGTCAATGAATAGTAAAACATCTATTCAAGTTAGCACAGGAACCGCCGCAGAGAAATGGATAGTTTCGCTTACGCTCGCCACTGACGCCACTCCAACCAGAGCCATGAATCTACCGTTGAGAAAGAGAGACATTGGGACCAAAGGATATTTCAAATCCATATAGACCTCGTAGAAGGCGAAACCTACGAGGATAAAGAAGCCGATGATGAGTGGAACCAAGACATGGTATGAAGCCCAAGGATGAAGCCCACCCCCCCAGGAGAGTCCAAGAACAAAAGAAGTTAAACCACCTGAAAAGAGAATGATGCCTCCCCAGTCGAGGTCCCTCAGGTCCTGCTTCATAGTTCTCCCTTCGTGTAATTGGCCGTGAGTTGGTGGGTAGTAGCAAATGAAGAAAAGAATGCCGGAAATAGAGTTGGAGATACAGTTCAAGATATAGTTCCAGCGCCACATCAAGGCCGTATACGAAGCAAGACATCGCGCGATAAGTGGTCCGAATGCTGCAAGAGGGCATGTCGATAGGAACAGAAGTCCAGTGAGGACAGCACGATGTTTGTTAGCAACCAGCTCCATAAGGACGAAACTAGCATTAATCAGCACCTTAGGCACCTAGCGTTCTTGAAATACTAACCTGAAGGAGGTCTGAATGGCTCCCGCAAGCCCAATCAATACTGTTCCACCAAGTATAGTGTCAATGTTCTTCGCTGTACCGCAGATGATTGACCCGACTATACCCATCACGGCGCCGGCAATCATAAACCATCTTCGGCTAAGATTTAATATCAGTCTGAATTCCATTTCAGAAGCCAAATCGGGGGGTAAGATGAAGCATACCCAAAGATATCGCTAAGTCTCCCGACCAAAAGCAGCCCAACACCTCCACAGAGCGACTTAACGATAGGGATCAAAGCGTAATTTGGATCGGGACCAATGTCCGCATTTATAAGAGTGATCGTATTTGCTGGTAAAATGTACCCTGAATTGTCTGTTAGAAAGGGTATTTGGCTGCGCAATGAGGGCAGGCATACCAAGGTAGAGGCCCTGAGCCATGAAAGCGACGGCCGCAACAGATCCAATGAACCGCCAGCTACGATAGTAGCCTTCGGGCATATCGCTTAGATCGCCACCCTTAGCCTCCTCAGCCACCTCATCTTGGGAATCATTAGAGATACTCTCAATGTGAAGGTCACGAGTACTGGCTTGGATTTCTTTCTCGTCCATGATTTGAATATTAGGAATGAAGGGAATACTTAGTGAACTGCAGACCTATTCCCTGGGGACGATCGCCTTATATGTATCCAATGTCCGAGCGTACCTTCTGCATGAGAATGGTGCTATAAGAGACAGAACTCCTGCTAGAATTCCAAGGACTCGGGATCCGTTTCCGCACTCACCCCATGTTTCGAACCCCGCATTGAGGATCAGCCTGGGGAAATGCACGCTTATTGTCCTAGTTCGTCTCCTTCCGACGCGCTAGAGCTAACCAAACTGGCACCTTCTGGAGCCGGTGACCTGGAATCGCGTGTAGGATGGCTGGGCTCACGCCAGAAATATCCCTGAATATGTCTTTGTCGCAAATCAGCTTACGGGAAATTATGGCCGATCCTATTGCGAGGCGGAAAATGAGATGCTAGCGACATCACTGTTTGGCTGAATTCGATAAACACCAGGGGCACTATTCAAGTCACCTTTGGCTAATGAATCAGTGCCAAGGACCATGAATCATTGCCAACCTTCAACCAGGACCAGGCCTCCACAAAGATTGAGAGAGGATTATGTTCCATAGTTACAAAGGCCATATTGTTGACCTGAACTGTATGTTCTTAGAGGGAATGCCTCCTCCTTTCCGAATACAAGAGCCTTAGCCGAAGCGCTCGTAGTTGAGGTAAAATGCCGGGTACGCGTCAGGAGAGTGTGACACAATTAAGAGCAAGGCACGGGAAAAAAGTCTAGAGAAGGAAATTGCGCTATTCAGTGATGATTCAGCGTGGCCTCTTTCCAATGTGCTGGAATACGAGATGTGGAATGGCTTATGTAGCCGCCGCGATGGAACTCGACTCGATAGAAGTAATCCGTACAAGCCTCAGCCATGGCCCTGGGCCGCGGATCACTGTAAACTTGTGAGGGGCTCGGAAGAGATTAATCAGACGTGAAAGCATCCTGCCAGGACTGCCATCTCCCTAAACATTCTCAGCATGGTTACCTAGAAGGGCTCTATTGAGAAGGCGTTCACTTCTCCCATCAGTTTCGAACATAGCTATAGTATAGCAAACGGTAGGTATTTATGGTTAGTGATTTGTGCTATTCGTGAGTAAATGAGATCTCGAGAAGATGTTCCCTTGTTATCGTGGCTCGCAGAATTCGTCTCGAAACTAGGGGTTAGGATGGCGGAGACTAATGGTACAAGCGTTGGAGTGAATGGGTGACAACCAGTCTTTGAACGGCGCCGAAACGTTGGATGAGGCGAAGGGCGATGTGGTATCCAGAGGCACAGTGATGAAGTGGACAAAGTTGGTGGGAATTGAAGTTACCCCATCGCTTGACCCCGTCCATGGAAGGGCACAGCCATGGATGACATCGCCAACGACCATTAAGACATCTTTCAGCACACCTTTCGGGATCCGGCTCCGCTTTCGCGTTGGAAACGAGCCAAACACCTCGGCTCCGAGAGAAATAGATAATTCAGACCAACTTCTATGTCCCCTTGAGCAGCCCAGACGTTTGGTAGACGTTGGCAGATCTGGAGGAAATGCTTCTTTTCTGAAGAATGTTCCGGCTACTTCATTAGGCCTAGAGATAACACGTTTGAAATCCTGCTCGATTAACCCTCTCGCCGATCCGTCCTAGATCCTCCCCTAGTCTAAAGTCTAAATCATGCTCAAATCCTAGAACAGATAGTCCAGACATGCCCTAAAACCGCCCACCCACCCTCTGGGTACTCTCCAAGGGAGGGGGTAGTTTGGGCGCCGACGCGACATCCCCGATCTCGAGAAGAATGGGGTCATGTAACACTTCCAGCGAAAAAAGGTTGTCCGACTGTGGGACGATGACAATATGCAGAAATAATCCGCCTTGTCTCGTTTGTGAGGGACTTGAGTCACGCAGTGGGTCCGACATGCGCGGACGCTGTCATGTCGGAACTTGGTCCTGGTAGAAGGCTAGGATCAGATGGGGAAAGTGACGTGGTTGTGCCAATCAGAGCAAAATCTCGGCTACAGCCCTGAACGGATAGCGATTTCGAGACGATTGCGCGTCGCGGAGGCTGCATTTGGGTATGTCGGCTGGAGGTTTTGGGGTGGGTGCGAAAATGTTTAGAGGGGTATCCCACTTGCATCTGAGTATAGGTGTTAGACCAGAAGTGCCTTGGTAGGTGTTATTCACGAAAGGGTATCTCCTTCAGGGTTCTTATGGAGGAAAGAGCGTAAAGAAAGCGTCGCAAACAGCTGGATCCCTGCATCAAGCAAAGTACTAACACTCAAGAAAGGATTCCTAGATGCCCAAAATCATGTCACAAACTTGTCCACATGTTCTCTTTGATCCATTAAAGTCTTCCCAATGAGCCTCATAGAGCGTATACCATTAGCTATTTCGTAGAGGGAAATTCACCTGAGCTATAGAGAATCTACTGATAGTTCAATACGCTCTTCGCGCTGTTCTTGTCCTCATCTTGCTTCCCATATCCCTTGTATCCCTGTTGCACACTCTTCACTGTTCCCTTTCTTGTCTTCCAGGCTATTGCTCCGCGTTACACTGAAATCATTCCTGACCATAACTCCCACAGTTAAGCAACCATCCGGGCTGCCTCTTTGAGGTTCGCCCAATTAAACAACCCCATGGCTAACGCCATTATTCATTCCTCACTCTCTCGCTCTTCAAAATCTAGAACTCTGCCTAACATCGCTTTCCTACTGCAAATCCTTACTGGCATTTCGTTACTGCGCGAGTTCATGCGGTACGAGTGTCCCGTTGAGCGGACGGTACGGTGCCCGAAAAGTGGCCCGAAAGGCGTAGAAGGGGGTGTCTCAACATAGAAAGGCAGGCGCTTATTATACCAGAGTTCGCTTCAATAACAGCCCATATCATATCAGAGGTGGGACCTCAGTTCGGATCCGGATTTCCTACTGGGGGGGGGGGGGGGGGGCGAGCGCAGTGGCTCTAATTATCGAAGTAGAAGTGACAAACAAGCCAATGCAGACAAGACATAATACTACTTTTCAACTTTGCCATTGGCGTAGACAGTACTTTGTGGTATAGGAAGCGCAAATATTGCAATGTCGGTGACAATTTGAAAAACGGTGTACGGGATCTACTTGGACTCGTTCTCAAAACAACGTGCATTCTTGATGCTCTCTTATCCCAGGAAGCTGCGATTGGGGTGCATTAGGAAACTATTCCAATTTAAATTTGTCAGCATCCGACCTCATAAAGTAGCTTAAATACAGATTTACGATGAAGGCCATTCCTGAAGCAACCGTGAACCAGTGAGAGGCGTGGCAAGCCACTCGAACCCACTTTGCAGAAACGGGGAATACAGGGCTTCCAACAGGCCGTACTACGGTCCGTACAAAGTGAACCGTAACGGTCACGTGTTCAGTACGAACGTACTGAGTTCGTGGGCCGTACTGTACGTTTAATGATGCCCTAGGTACAGTACGTAGTACAGATTGTATTACCCTTTTAGGAAGTTTATATAGGGGTTCTAAAAGAGTAGAGAGGCTCTAGCAAGTAGGAGGCTTATAGACGCTTAAATCTTTTTTTAAGGGTTTTAATCTATCTATCTGCAGTCTGTTGTCTTAAAAATGCCTATTACAGACTATTTTATATTATAGATGTATCTATCTACACCTTTTACCTCCTTATAAGTCTTATCTAGTTAATTAGATCCCTCTATTATTAGTCTTATAAGTTATAGAAGTTAAAAGCCCTCTACACTACATCTTCTACTTTATCCTACAATAGTACACAGTTTATAGCTAAAGATTAATTGCAGCAGTCCCTAGAAAACTATAATCACGTTATAAAGTAATTATACGCTATTAAAGGTGTAAGCTTATAGCGCAGATATAACGCTCCTAAAGGAGCAGGGCAAGGTAATCTGCCTCTAGCTTTACTGTTAGTGTTATAAGTAGACCTATCTATTTTATAGTTAATTAGACCTTAATCTTGCGTCTTTAGAGACCTATAGTTCTAGCTATTTTAGCTAGAGTACAGTGTACTTTAATTAAATTGTACTACTTGTATAGATTACGTAAGCTGTAACAGTTACAATACGTACACCTACCTCTCCTCCTCCCTGCTGTACGAACGTACACAAAATCTCACCTGTACAGGCCTTAGAATCGCCCAATCGTACCGTACTACGCCTCGTTGGAAGCCCTGGGGGAATATGCGATAGCAAAGAGAGACAACCGATATCTTGTCCAGCATGAGAGTGACCGGATACATAGCCTGCGATTCTAGTGTCTCCCTAAGCTTCGACCTGCACACCATTGAATATACTCGACGTTTCACGGCCGATTTTGCTGCTGTGGTTAAGCTCCCTGCACTTCCAACAATAGCCTTGGCTCGGGTAACTTTCCATATAACGATCGATAACGCTACGATCTTGAGAATTATGAGGAGCTGTCCATGAATGGATTGTTCAAAAGTTCACACCTTGCTGGTAATACTAACTTCGAAGCTGGGTGGTACGAACTCTCTGATTGGATGCCAAGATCAACCATCAACCTCACGATAGCTCAATAGGATCTCTATCATCAGCGTGCACTTACTTACTCAATTACTTATTCCACCAAGCAAAACGTTTACCTTGCATCCCAGCTTGGCATTGCAGATACAATAGTTACTGTGATAATCTCCACCTTTATAACGGCCCTACTGGACTCGAACTACGCGGTAGTCATGCCTGACATGGAAGTGATACTGAGAAGATTTTTGGAACTGCAAAGGACGTCTCCACGATGCCGATCTGTATCGAGGAAGACACCACTTCAAAATACATAATGGGTGCCTGAGCGGCTTTGGGTCGGGACCTGGCTAAACTGTCTCTCTAAGCACGGCTGATCTATGTTCGAGGAGGTGGGCTAGACTCTCGCAGGACCGGGACACAACAGTGGTACGCTGAGCTTGCCGAGGCCAGCACGTATGACTGCCCTTGTCTAGCAAAGAATGATTCATTTCCTGGACAAGGCGCGTGCTAGCCTACGATAACAACGAAACATACGTCCATTACCTTTGCTTTCAACGTAATTAACCTATATTTGCTTTAGAAATTCTTCTGCATTACTGATATGCCGCTTCCCTTCGCACGTATAGCATTCCAGTCAGTCAAACTTCAGTTTCGACGTCCACACTGCCTCAACAACGACATTTCAGGTCGTAACAATCAGAGTATGGACTATTCTACGGTATGCCTCACCGTCGGGAACGTTGCACGGAGGCTGAAGTACGAATAGATGCGAGATTATGGCGCTGAAGAATGGGTTGTGGCTCTCATGACCCCGTGTACCCTCAAACAACAACTCAGCACACCGTCACATGCAGACGTAACGTCGGTGAAGATATATATTTCGCTTACAACTGGAACGCATCAATCAAGATCAAGAATCGTAGAAAGTTCATGTCAGCAATCACATGTTCTTTATCATCTCGAAATGGGAAGATCACACCACATTCACGGCTCTACCACAGCCAAAGCGAAATAAACGTTGCATTATAAGTGGCCACGGAACCGATCACGGCACCGAAATACAACACTCCATTCCATGTTCGAGACTGTAGATGAACGTCTTCAAACGCCACCTCAGCTCTAATCGTGAATTGAGGATTCTATATTCAGAAGCGTGAATTAGACCATGGTTGCTATTTTGCCTCGGACTTGACTGTATATATTCTCCACAATCCGCATGTTCGACTTGTAGTTCAATCTAAGCCACAGTTCTCCCCCAGCCGGCATTCTCTAACGAACTCAATTAAGTCAACAGGAAACTCACCCAACTCAGCCACCATGCTGTTTATTCCTCTTCTTCTCTCTCTCCTCCAATTTACTCTCTCCGCTTCCACTGAGCCCGATTGTTCCTACTCCGCACCAGGCTCACGCTATTTCTATCTCTCGAACATAACCTTTGAGTCCCACATCGTCTACTCCACCCCAGCACATATGGCGACATCCTCGGCCACAATTTCCTTCGAATTCTACAACAGTGCTGTCTCGTACACCGCACATTGCAGCGCGGGCAGCGTTGAGCCATGGCAATGGTTTAACGCCGACCAGATCTATACCTGCACTGTACCGCCGCAGGGCGCTGGTACCGCGACTTTCAAATACAGAAGTTCAGATGGACAGTTGCAGGCTAACCAGACGTGGCTGTGTGGAGCGTCAGTGACTCTTTTTGCGATAGTCTTATGTTGGTGAAGTACGGCTAATGAGTCGCTAGTCAAAAGACCTTAGGCACTGCAACCGGACACGCGAACCTGGACTGCAAGACTGTCGATAAGACAGCTGAGAATTTCACGTGGCCGGATCCACAGGGGAGAATGTATAGGACTATTACGACAACGTGTAATCCAGGTGTGATGTATATGATTCCAGATATAACGAAAGCATGAGGGGCCCTGGCCAACGGGGTAATGAGAATTGAAAAGGCGGTTCAGTCGGGAACACGAACGCCAGTCTTTAGACACCTTTAGACACTGTTAGTTAGCTCTTTGAAAATATAAGCATGTCCCTTATAGGTCGCTCGCTTCCTCCTGTCATGCAAACCATCTGATATAATGTGGGCTCGACTATTTGCGGTTTCATTGTCAGTATATAAAGAACTGTTCTGATAAACATCTTTGAAGAGTTCTCATAAAAGATTACGGATGGGGGACTCAGTGGACTTTTTAGCGCTCCCTAAAAGGGTATAACGCGTATTCAGAAAGGAGGAACCTCCGAAGCCTCTCATCATTACCTCGCTCTCCACTTCGTCCTTCTCCTTCATTTCAGCACCCTTTACTTTGAACGGTATCTCGTCCTATGTCCTTTTCCTCAAGGCGCGTCTAAGTTGATGATTATGAATTAGTTGCTCGTTTGCGGATCTAGTACAAGGGCCAGACCAGCCAGTTTCGACGGACTATTCGCCCTGGAAGCCATGCCAAGCTTGATGGTGGACTCTGAAAAGTTTGAACCTTCGTTCTCGTCTCAGGTTAAAAACTAGCTTCAGGAGCTGGCAAATCATTCACTAAAGGGCCGACAGGACGCGGGCTCCTCAATCCCACTCCTCTGAGTGTTTAGTCCTGAGAAATGGCCTAACTAGTAAATACGAGAACTTCCGCGCCCGGGTTTGGCATGGCGTATTCCCCGAGAACCGCCTCATGGTTCGAGCTTTGAGAGCATGGTAACAGAATACCCATATCCTCGCCCAGGCTCACATATAGAGGCCTCGTTACAAAACCTTGCTGATTGGATTGCCTGAAAAGAAATTTATGTACTTAAGTTTGTTCTCTTGGAATTCTTTGTAGTTGAGTGAATTCCAAGCCCGATTTAGCAGTTCATATTTCGACTTCTCTGAAATCTGGTTTGGTGATGGAGTTCTGAATTTGCAATGAAAAGATCGAACTACTACAGAACCTTTTACAATTCTTTTACCTATGACACCCCATTGCCTTAGATCTAGATGGTCTAGGTTTGCCGTGGTTCTTATCTCCGAGTTGTCTCCACTGCTCCTGAATCTACCTTAATTATAGCGACCTCTTTCTGGCGCCAGTAATTGCACCTACTTTCATGCCAATTCTCACACGAACGCATTGCCAAGCCGTCTGGCCAACAATGTTGCCAAAGCTTGAGCACAATGCCGGATTCACCTGATCCTAGCTTTGCGGGGTAGCCCGGGGTTCCATGTGTATTGAACCTTTCAGGCTCAACCTCTTTTATTCGGTAATCTGAACCTTACTTCCAGTTGATCTATCAAACATAAATACGCTTGGCTTACCACGACATGTCCGCTCAATTCCATATATAAATGACAGGCCGGGCCCGGCGGGCCGCGCTAGTTTTCCACATTGCCGCAACGCCAGATTTCCGAATTTGTATAATTCCTCAACATGGTCGTCGCGGTGTCTGGTCTTTAGGTTCGCATTTCTGGAAATTCCATCATGCTGTTCTATACGATCGCTTCTCTTTTGCTTGTGGGCACCACGTTCGCGCAAACACCTCCCGGGTTCACGCCGAGCGTTAACAAGACCCTAGACGTTTATTATGGCTCCACATACATCACCCCAGGCCTTCTGATTAAGAAATCAGGTAAGCATTGTACCCTCACCTGAAGCTACTGGATCTAATTTCAAATAGCTGTTGCGAAGGCTCCAGTGATCGGAGTCACTGGAGAAACTCTGACTGGCAAATACCTCTTAGCAATGATTGGAAAGTCTTCCCATGACACTTCCGTGAACTTTTTGCTAACATTGCGACCTCTAGATATTGATGCGTATGTGCATGCGTACAGGTTTAGGTTTTATATCATATACTGACATTTTCTTCTTTAGACCAGGCCAAGGAGCCAACGCCAAACGTGGGACAGTCCTTCATGCCTTACTCCAGGATTTTGCACCGAGTGGCCAAACCCAGAATGGTACAAATGTGCTCACGACAAAAGCGACTGGGCCGGCATCCTATTTCGGACCTGCACCTCCAGCAGAGACGCCAAAGCACCCCCATAATTACATCTTTCTCCTTCATGAGCAGCCAGCCAATTTTGCTGTTCCTTCTGGCCAGAAATCTGCAGTTTCAGGCCGCATGGGGATCGACTGGCCTAAATTCATGAAAGATGCAGGTTTGTCGGATCCACTGTATGCAAACTATCTTCAGGTACAATCCGGCGACAATACCAAGCGAGAATGGCAGGCTTAGGCATGTTTAAACTAGGAGGGACGGGAGAAGTGACGAACCCACTGCGAGGCGTTAGCCTGCACTAGAATCGCGCTATTATGAAGTATCAATAGAAATATACTGCTTCGGTTGAGATCGACGACTTGCATGTTCCCCCGGGGTTCAAATGCCGAAGAGACCGAATATGGAGAATTTTCCTTGGTTCTCAGCACCGCTCCCTGGGTCGAAGTTTAAAGGCTGCTCTCGAGTTGTGATTAATGGAAGCGTCCAATGAATTGCGGCCATCTTATATTCGCACTTCATGACAATTGTCTCGCCACTCCTTAACAACGGTAAAAGTGGAGATCTTGTCGGAGAAACAATTACATCAGTATGCTGTAAGGAAAGAATCCTTATATAGGCCCCATAATCAGATCGATAACAGCCACGGTATTGATGAAACGAACGCTATATCCGCAACACGCCTTAGCCTATGACAACAACGATCAACAGGTCCTTACTTTCAGAAATACCACGAATTCATCAGCTTATATTTCATGACATAGGAATACTACGATCTAGTTGGGCTGATGCTCAGGATAAACATTCATTCCAGCAATTCGGTCAACAAGCAATAGCTTCACTCCACACAGTTCATCCCAGGCGTTTCTAATCCCGTCTCTCATTTCTCCGTGGGAGTTGTAAATGAGGCAACGCGCGTCGAGTGCAGAACCTCCGGTCATGTTGCTCGACGTACTGCAACGCTGCGGTCACGCCGCCATCTTGACGCCTGCAGTTGCGAGCGTGTCCGAAAAGGAAGTGTTCCTACATGAGTATGAACGAATGCGGGTGTGCCCCATGTCGCGATCGACCCGTATCCGGCTGCAGAAGCGAATGGTACCTAAGCTGCTATATAGCCTCGGACTACAACCTCGCAATTCGCTCAACGTCACCTTATCCTCACATAGAAAGCGAAGCCAACCGGCCCTGTGTTACGTTGGAATTTAATGGTCTTCTAGAACTTAATCTGGAAGATAATGATTTGGGGTAAATTGCTTCTTGGTCGGCCTTGTTCGGGGAAACTTGAACGGGTTTCCGTCGTAGTGAAGATATTGCGGCGTATGTAGGGCCGGCATGGGGAACGATGCGTGATGCTTGGAGCTTCTCGAGGATATAAGACGGCTTGCTCTTCCTTGCAATTGCGGTGATTCGATCCAAGTATTCACCCTAGATCCGACTCAATTGGAAAACTTGACATAAACTCGAAATCAGGATGAAATCCTTTTTCGTTGCCGCCGCTGCGCTTTGCAGCTTTGCATCTGCAGCTCCAGCCTCGCCCTTCGCGCTGTCTCCTCCACCAGCGGGCACTCAGCTCTACTCGCTCCAGGCCAAGTCGTACGAGTTAGCGGGCCCCATATTTCAACCCTCACCGCTAATCTCTTCTACAGCTCCGTCTCAGGCGTGAACAACCAATGGGTCGCGCTCAAGACCGGCGCCACAGCTTACACTCTTGCGGCTGCACAATCCGCCGCCGCAAAGTTCTTCGTCGATCAGTACAAGCCCACGAGCACGTATGCGTTCCACAACGCCGACGACACGCGCCAGATAGCGCTGCAGGGCCCAGATGGCGTTCTTCTGTACCTCGTCGACATCACCAACCCAAGCTCGACCAATATCCCGAGTGGACAGCTTATGGAGTGGGCGACTTTCACCATGGACTCGAACACCCTCGGTGTGAAGGACGGAAGCACGCTTACCAACCGGACATTTGTGGCTGTGAAGGGAAGCGATGGTGGATATAGTCTTGCGCTCTATGATGGTGCGTCACCTGGATGAGAGTAATGTGGGCAAATAGAGCTAACCGAATTCTAGGCGCGAGCACCACGACTCAGAATATTACTCCGATCACGCTCTCTATCGTGAAGACGACGTAGGAAGTTGACTAGCGGCAGGATGGGGCGGATATTAAAAAAGCTTCTATAGAGATTTATTTACTTGAAGTGTCAATATTGGATTCTTGAATAACAAATCTGCTAAGCCAATGATGAATTTTTTTTCAGGGAATATAACCGAAACGAGGTCGCAAGGACTTGAGGAGACTTTGATTGAAGACATGAACTTGGAGGACAAAGTGCAACTAATAGTCAAGGAGTGCTTTGGTGGTGATACTCCTCCCACCATGGTGATTTGATTGGAATGGCCATCGACGAGAATGATGATTGTGATGATGAGCTAGCGAAGTTGAAGTGACAGAGGACTGAAGTGATCTGAAAAGTGCAAGTGCCTGGCTGATTTGACTGGTCACGTGCACTATCGATAGGAATTTTGAACCTGGAAAATCTTGGCACGCAGCCCACCAACGCGATTTGACTTCGACAAGCCCACAACACTACCGCGTTCGGCGCTCGCCTTCCTTCCAGTACCCAGGCATACGCATTCTCGTCAAGATCAATATGCCGGGCCCTACGACTACTCTCCTGATCGAGGGTACCTTCGAGGAGCTTACCGACGAGCTCGCACAATACCTCGATACGCTCAAAAAATCCCAGGGCGACGAGAGCTCCAGCATCCAGGAGGAATGCACGGAGCTTATGAAGGAAAACAAGAAGGATGAAGTGTTGAAGAAGCTGGTCATGGGCAGCGCCGCCCTGAACCAGGCGCCGGAGAAGGGCATGCTCGATTCTAATCATGTACAGAATGACATGCTAATTCGAGGCGTCAGAATTCATAGCAGCATACAATCTCCTCATTCACCTTGTGCGGCAGTCGCCAAACGTTGGCATGTTTCTCCCCAGAATATGTAACCACCTTACCGCTCCCATCACGTCTTCACCAGCCAATGGCGGCGGCCTCGCCCTCTCGATCCTTAGCACTGTCTTCAACACGCTACCCGCCTCAAATGATATGCGATACCACGTCCTCCTCACCATTGTTCGCGTGATTCGAACGACGTCAAATTTCGAGACATTGCGCCCACAACTGAAGGAGATCGACCAGTGGCTGGAGACATGGGAGATGGACGAGGAGGAGAGTCGTAAACTGTACATGGCCGTCAGCGACGCAGCAGCCGACGCCGGCGAAGACGAGCAAGCATACATCTACCTCCTCCGCGCGATTCGAACCTTCCCCTCCGACGAAGTCTCGTCGCTAGAAGCCCGCGATCTCTCTCTCCGCGCCCTGAAGTCAGCCCTCATCCACCCCAACCACTTCGACTTCCAGGACCTCACCGACCTCGACTCGATCCAAGCCCTCCGCAACTCAGAGCCCATCTATTTCCAACTGCTGGAGATCTTCAACTCGGACCTACTCGACGACTTCAACGACTTCAAAGACGAACATGATGGTTGGGTCGAGAAGTCCGGGCTTGACGGCGCCGCTCTAAACAGAAAAATCCGGCTGTTGACACTCGCCTCTATCGCCGCGGCGACCGGCCAGACGCGTTCCCTGCCGTACTCCCACATCGCCAAGGCCCTCCAGATCCCCGCCGCCGACGTGGAAATGTGGGTCATCGATGTGATCCGCGCCGGCCTCGTCGAAGGCAAGCTCTCCCAACTTAACCAAACCTTCCTCATCCACCGTAGCACGTACCGTGTCTTCGGCGAAAACCAGTGGCGCGAAGTCGCGAGCCGGTTGGATATGTGGCGGAATAGCTTGACGGGCGTACTGCAGGTTATCCAGTCCGAGAAGGCCAGGTTCATTCAGGAGAAGGAGGATGAGGTTAGGCAGATCGATCAGAAGCTGGAGAATGCGGCGAGGGGTGGACGGGGCGGGCAGGGCCAGAAGGGTGGTGGCAAGCCGAGACAGGCAATGATTGATGATGAAATCGATTAGTTGGCGGAGGGGTTTCTTTCTTGGAAGGGTTCGCACTGTTAAGGTGCAGTGCGTTCGAGAGAATCTCTGGGATAATGAAATGATATGAGGTAGCCGCTGCTTTTGCGCTGCCGAAAGATAGAAAATTCGATCAAGATACTTTATGGTTCGGTTCTCAGGAATGCCAACTAAATATGTAGCTCGTAATTACGTACTACGGAAGATGACCCACTTGAGTATGATCTGTCGAACCTTCTGTCTAAATCCAGGAGAAGGTAAGGTGAAGGTTAGTTTCTGGTTAGGGTCGGAGGATTGACATAATCTGTGGCGACTAACAACCTGCAGTGTGTTCAATTATTGTTGGTTTGATTCTCTAGATATACCAGCTGGGTATACCACATGTTATCACATACCAAGGAACATAATCAGGTCGGATTTAATCTCTCATCCTCCTTGCTGGGACCAGGAAAGGGTAAAGAAGATGGTAGTTTATGCGGTAGATTTGAAAGTCGGTTGTGTCCAGTTGTAAATATGTGGCAACATGTAGTATGCTCAATTGTAAATTCTCTAAGGCTGTCTCCATCTAATCATTTCTACCACACGCTGTCAACATTTCTAAGTTGTATGAATTCATTCCAAAAGTCCTCCGCACCGGGCTGGCACACTCTCGATCTCGTCATCTGCCTCAGCTGCCTCTCTTCTACTCTTGCATCTGCACGAATGTAATCTTAATAGGTTCCACACCCCTCTCCTTTATCTTTGCCTTCACGTCGTTATACACTTCATCCGGACTCTTGGTGGCCGTGACCTTGACAACCTTGCCTTGAGCCTCGAATTCGTTGACAACCGGCATCGAGGTTTCGACAAAGGTCTTGAAGCGCTTCTTGATGGACTCGGCATTGTCATCGGCGCGGCCGGAGGTCTTGCCGCGGTTGAGCAGCCGCTCTTGCATCACGTCTTCGGGGCAGTCGAAGAAAAGAGTGAATTTTGAGGGCACCACAGAGCGCTCGAAGGCGTGGGCTTGGTCGAGTTTTCGCGGGAAGCCTGGGCGTGGTTATGACTTTCAAGACCTACAGATTTGGTTTGGACAAGGGAGATTCATGCTAGGGGCGTACCATCGATCAAGAACATGTGTTTGTTGTCCTGCTCCATCGTAGCCTTCATTGCGTTCTCCAAAAGCTGGACCGTGACTTCCATGGGCACAATAGTGCCTTCCTTGATGTACGTCTTGATCATCTCGCCAAATTCAGAGCCTGGTCGGTCCTGCTCCTCTCGCAGCAAGTCGCCCGCAGAGAGATGCTTGAAGCCGTAGTCGGCGACCAGTTTGGCACATTGCGTGCCTTTTCCAGCACCCGGCCCACCAAGAACAAATATCACCGTCACCTTGTCTGCAGACCAGAGCGGCGAGGAGCGCGTAGTGGCGCCGAGATGGTCAATTGCGGGCATTACGGGCGAGAGGAGAGGGGTTGCGGGGGATGTTTATGGGCGGCTCGGACTGTGGCCAGAGACGGGTCCTTGAGGTTTGTATTCCCCCTTCCGCTGATCGACAATCGTCTTGAAAAGGAAGGCACCGGTTGCGAATATGAAGACAAAGGGCCAGACTTTGAGCGGGGACTTGGATGGTGGGGATGCTGTGTGTGAGGGTGGTTCGTCTGGGCCTGTCGGCTCGCCGGGCTGGCGGAGACGCGAGCGGAGGAGTTGTGAAGTTGCGAATTGGCGGTAAGGGGCGGTCAAAAGGGTTCGGTTGAGGTGGGAGGCGTTGTGTCGTGCAAGACAGAAGTGCGAAGAGTGAAAGGGCATGGTGAGGTCGAGGTTTGTGTGACGGAGCTTGCGAGGACTTCCATGCACCTTCTTGCTTTTAATCGGGCTAGCGCCGGTTGCGGTTAGTACGGTGGCAGGGCTGCCAAAACACCAAACTCTCTGCTTTGCAGACCTTCACTCCCATCTAGATCATTCATCCTGAAGAGAGCCCACGTGACTGTATTCATCAGAGCTCAAAAATTAGAGTATTGATACAGAAAATCAACAATCGCTCACATCGTACAGGGCGACGGCCTTCGCCCGCTGTCACATCTTCTAGCATCCTCTCTGGCACTTACGCTGTCCTCTAAGAATTGTATGCAAAGGTCGGTATTGTTATTTGACTACATCCTCTCATCCATATCCATCAGTTGTGGGCTTCTTGCTCGGACCCTTCCTTCTCTCGCCCACGGACCTTCCTCAACTTTGATCACTCTCTACACTTCGCCCCACCTATTCCATTTCTATGGTTATATATCCACTGTCTCATTCCTCATCTTTTGTCCAAGACTGAGCCACGCAAATTTGCATTATCCCCTACAGCATGACTCGGGCTAATTCAGTCATCCCGCCACTACCAACCGCGAAACCTAAGAATTCTGGCCCCTTATCACCCACGGTAGCCTCTTCGCCAAATCGCGTCCGAGGCTTCCTCGGGCTGCCAGGCGAACTGCGCAATCGTATCTATGACTTCTATTTCGAAGAAGACTTCCGCGTTGAGATTGTAGCTAAAGACACTAAATTTACCACAAAAGTGGCTAGGACGATGAAGCTTTGTCCTGGAGTTGCTAACAGGGATACCATCTGCAAGCATCAAGTCAAGCTCTCATGCAAGGAGGGCAATCCGGCCACGCTCCGTATGCCAAGGAAGCTTGGTTGCTACAGGCGTGTCGAAGGCGTCCGAACGATTTGGGCTAACTCACTGTGCGCTCTGATTCTCGTCAACAAGCAAGTCTTCAACGAAGCCATCCCGTTTCTCTATCAGAACACCACGTTTGTATACGATGCTCCGCAGCGGATCCGAAGCTTCCTCAAAGTCGTCCCGGTAGTCAATCTCTCAGCTATCACAAAACTCTACCTGCACTATACGACCTATGGTGGTCCAAGTTACATGCAGCATCTAGTTTGGCAAGGGAAACATCTGGCAAGCTGGGCGTCTGCATGCAAAGCTATCTCAAAGACGCTTTCCGGCCTGGAAGAGCTACAAATCTGGCTTCGAGTCAACGATACCCCACTTTACTTCGATCTTCGCCAACGATGGGTTCAGCCGTTGCTCCAATTTCGCCGTCTCACCTGCCCACGTAATGTCATAGTCCAAAAGCCTCATCGTTCCAGTTTAGACCAACCGAGACGTTCCGTTCCACGGCTGAAGGTTGTCCATATTCATTTCACGACCCACTGGTCTAGCCACACCGTCTTCCCCGGAAATTCTAGACTTGCGGATGCCAGCATGGACCTGCATGATCTTTTCGCCGAAGGCATTAGCCGAGCGATCTTGGGGTCGAATGAGGAAGAGGCTATGACTGATTTCAGGGAAGCTTGGGAGGGGAAGCATGCGGCGTGGCAGCATCATCTGAACTACTCAAATACTGGATGGTGACCAAAGCTAATGCGAGAGATTCTTGGTTTACAGATGCGATGGACTGAATAGTGACTTGTTGTGCAGCATGTAATCGAGAGTGGGGCGATATGCTAAGGTTCATCGAGTCTGGATCGAGAGGAGGCGAGGAGTCATAATGGTCGGTTTCCTATGGTGGATTGTCAAGGAAAGCAGAGCAGCGGGAACGATGAGGCAGATAATTCAATGCTAGAGTGGAAGAGCTCTTCTTTATACTCCTTTCTCAATTTCGCAGACGGGTGCCTTTTGTCCAAGGCCGAGCGGTGACATTCTCTCCTTCTTCCTGGTCTCAACTGCCAAGCGGTTAACGCCCTCCCTTGCCAGTTACCACGGACCCCTTGCTTACAATTGCATACCCAATTATTCGGCGTCCAAGCACTCGCCTATCTGATTACTTCTTCGTGGATCATTTTTGAATATATGCTCTCTGTGATAGGCTCCCCGACATTGTGGCGGCGGGTTGGTGGCTAAAGCTTCGTACAACACATCAGCTCATCTCGGCTCCTTGGTTTCCATGCTTCTTTCAACCACATCTTGAATTTTCACGCGAGGCTAGATTGCAAGAGAACCGTTTACTCCATCCCTCTTGAGAAACATCTAGCGTCGAATTACCTTCTCGACTTCTTTTGGCCTTCACAAAACGCCAAGAGGCGTTTCAATCGCTTCAAAAGGCCCCATTTCTGCCAGGACAAAGAAAGAAATAGCTCAACTTTGATTCACCTAAAATAGAAATTTGGCATACAATCTCACTAAAGAGCCCTGTACGAGAAGACAGTCGGAGTAGGACGAATCGTCCACATCAATGGCAAGCATCCGTGATGACTTCAATCAGCAGTTAGAGCGTTCCCGGGACGAAAATCGGTTCGATTTAGGCTCGCCTCTTCACCTCTCTGTCGGAGGCGTACCGAATTAAAGTTTTTGGCGTTCGTTCGAGCTGAAGGCTGCTGCCACGGTTCCGTGCATAGCAATTCCCACTCAAAGCATCAATATTCGCCGAGATGCAGCCATCACCAGAGCTCTGCTATATGCACATGCAGCTAAATGGCTCCTGTTCTTGTTGCTTGTTCTAGGAGGGAAGTTTGCCCTCTAAACTCTCCTGAACGCCATTTACTCAGTACTATAAAACTATTAGAAGTCCGTTTCTTGTTCAGCAACCACATTCACTCCCTCATCACTCCCTTTTGCTTTGAAATCTATACCTGTTTGGTTGTCCAGGATGGTGTCACACAATATACTCCGGTTCTTTTTTAGTTTTCTTTCTTTGGTTTCAGTATGGGGTCAGACTTTCAATGCCCCCCCATATAACCCCAGCCCCTTTGAAATTATTGGTAACATCAATGGGTAAGAAGCTATATTGGCTTGTGGTTGTAAACTGAGCTAACATATTACTCCCAGCATGACTCTTAACCCCGGTACCTCAGTCTTGAGAGGTGGCCAGCTAATGGTTAACGGCCTTCCCATTGTCATCCCTGACAACACCCTTGTCACTTTACCTGCTAGTACCGCCTTTTGGTCTGAGTTCTTCGTGAACGCTCCTGCTCCACCAGCACTGCCGTTACCAGGCAACATCACATACACTGCTATAGTAAGATCATGCCTGTTCCTATTTTGAATATTAAACCTTACAACCAGCAGGTTCAAGGCAACCGAGTTGGCGATAGATATATTGCTGGGCTGGTGTACTTCCAGCAAGTGCCTCTCCAAAACCTTGCTGGATTCATCACCAAGATTAACTCTGCCACGGGTCATTTCTGGATTGCCGGTCAATTCTCTACGGGGGCGAATGCCGGATTCGGCGGCATGGAATGCGTTCTCAACGATCCTACTGGTGTTTACGGTCCTGCGTATACGGCCAACCCTCTCTGGGGCGTTGATCCAGTGAACCCCTGTATTCGGAGTACTACCGGGTTTCCGATGTGTATCCCGCGCTCGGCCACAGATAATAGATGCCCAAAGAAGAACAGACCCATTGTCAATGGAAGGGGAGCCACCCAAATGTATGCCTCCATGCCTTCCACCACATCTATGGGATCCTTATAATTAACATGAACTAGTAATTTCCGCGATCCCAACCGCGCAGGTGGTCTTCTCACCACGGAGCCAGATTCTCGCGCTATGGCACCATTAGTGGTGGGTGACTACGTCACGTTCAGCGGTCAGCAGAACGGTCCCTTATTCGAGGTTACAAACCTGGTCGCTAACGCTGGATTCTACACGGCTCCAAATTCCAAGCCCGCGTATATTGCGGTGGAAGGTGTCAATGTGGGCATCAACTCACCAAGTGGGAACGTTGAAGTAGCCGAGGCCCGTGGAACCATCTTCACCACCGATCCTACTACTCCTGTCCAATGGTCTTTCGTCGACGTTAACTTCTGTACCGGTGCCGAGACCGAGCGCAACGTTGTCATTGGTACACCCCAGCGCGCTGGTCAAATTGGACGTATCGTCTACCGCATGGGCAAAACAGTTGTTGCTCCTCCAACTCGCAACGTCCGCTTCCGGTATACGAACGGCGTATCGGCAACACCCTTCCCTCTCCTCCCTGGCATGGTCCCCGGCGAATACACACAACCCATTTACGACTTCATCATGCCGGAACTTACCGCCTTTGGTTTGAACGAAGAGCCTCTGCCGTTCGAGAGATTCCCCTTCCTGGCCCAAGGCGAAGGCCCGCTCGAACTTGGTAACCCACTGTCCCCTCCGCTAGACCCCTCTCCTCGTATCCGCCAGCTGGACCCTTGGCCCGGACTAACTAAGCCTACTGTACCAGCCTGTGCACTTCCCAGGCGAGCGGCTAGGACTGTGTTCAAATCCAAGCGCCGTGCTGCCATTGAGGCTCAACTTAACTGGGAGAAGAGGAATGCTGTGCCAGAGGCAAAGCCGGAGCCGGAGGCAGAGGCTGTTCACCTAGTCGAGAGTCGGCAAACAGCGAACAAAATCACGGTCACACAGGTTGTCACCAAGACGCGTGGCAACCGTTTCTATACTACCATCAATGCGTCGATAAACAACGTGGCTGCCGTTCTTTTCATAACGGTTAACAGCTCTAAGGAGTCTGTGGGACCTGTCTCAATGACCCTTCTCCGCACTACCGGGCTGAATGCTTTCTTTGAGTCAGTAATCCAGACCAAGGGAAAGCCTACTGCTGCTACGGTCTTTGCAATGGTAAATGGTGTGAGGGTTGGGACGCCTGTTACTATACCGGTGACGGCATAGATGGTCAGGGGGTGATGGAAGAGCGCGTCAAGGGGATCTGAACACTTCCACATGATCTCATGACATTGAAAAAGCTCATAATCGTAATTTCTAACTCGTTGTTTATCGCCAACGTAATGCAACCCACTCCATGATGGTCATATCTCCGTTCAAATCATGCTGTACTCTTCATCATCCTATCCACATTCCGATCTCAGCCCTTCCCCACTCCCGTATCTTTCAACCCAACCAACAGAATATTCGCCCCCCGAACCACGCTATCCCCAACATTAACCGTCAGCCGCCAACCCACCCTCCCTGTCTTATCCCCTCTTAAACTCCGCAGATCATAGCTCGGTGCGAGCCGCTCATCCTTGAAATACCTCGCCTTCCTCAACCTGAAATTGACATGCGCCGTCCTCGACCACAGCGTCCTCGTCACCACACCCGGTGCATCCGTCAACACCAATATCTCCTCCAAATGCCGAAACCTCCGCACAAGGCTACAGATCTCCTTGAACGAATAACATCGCGGTGGAAATAGCTCGCAGCCAGGAATGGTCTGAGTGAGGTGACATTCTGGGATAGCGAGGGAGCGGACAAGAGAGATGGGCTCGACGCGTGGTTCGTGCGCAAGCGGTCTTCTGTGTAAATTCCGCGTCAGGATGAAGGTGTGTTGAAGAAATGCTATGCGGCGCGCTTCGTGGTGGATTTGGCGACAGGTACGGAGGAGTGAGAGATCGGTGGACGTGGGAACCGACGTGGGGGTCAGCAGCTCGACGTTGGCATTGCTAGTGCTCAGTGGCTGCCACAGAGATTCGTAGATCATAAGGCGGAGTTCGGGAGGTAAGGAGAGGAGCTGGCATGGGCCATTTGACATGTTTGCATTGTGGAAGAATAGAGGAGGGGTTTGAGAAACAGTAACTGGGTGGTGAGAGGGTCGGGATGAGGCACAGCTCTTATTCGGAACATCGGTCGGTCCGTGTTTCTGAAAGGGTATCCTCGCTTTCGTGTTCTTGGACAACTCATCATAGCTTTGCCTCGAGAGGTTAAAAGAACGATGACGGACATGTCAAGCTTCAGAATCTGGATTTAGAGTTTCGATAGCATGCAACGTGGTGCAAAACGTGGGTTGCTAGGCTCGTTTAGGAAGCCCCACGTTGGACCCTAGTCCTGATAATCGAGACGTTTTCATCCCGTCATGACTCCTGCAACCATGGAATGGTAGGGAGAAGTGCAGTCCCGATGACTAGATTGACTATTCGTGAATTCCTATCTTCGAATTTCATCCGGCATCTGGAATTGAGGAGGGAGGTCCTGCTAATAGCACCCGAACCCCGCAGAAACGAATCCAACAATGCTTTCATTAACTAGATTCGTCGCTTTCCATATCTAACCTGAGTTGTCTTCATTCCCGTAAGTGGCGGCGCATCATGACCTAAATTTAATTCATTCCACACCCATTCCATACATATTTCTTAGCGACATGCGTGCACGCCGCGGAATCCCTCTAGCCCTCATATTCCTTCTTATCCCCCACGGCTTCGCTAACTCTATCTCTATCCACGTCAAGGTTTCAAAGGTTGTGGAGATTTTTACCCACTTGAGCACCTTCAGCTGCGATGGGCCGAACTATGCATACTATCCCGACAGCTAGGAACTGCTTGGAGAGTTATGGAAACTAGGGTCTGCTCAGATGTACTTCAGAACGCACAATCTCCTTACAACAGACGATGGTACGCCAGGTTTGAAATAGGGGAGTACGAATGCATACACTGACGACCGTCGCGGAAATGCTATCCACTACTGGATGATCATCGACCAGATCTTTGACACATATTTGAAGAATAACGTGAAGCCAACTCACTCCCCATTCACGGGACGTCGTTGCTTGTATTCCAAAGATGATGATCCGCTAGAAACAAATCGATCAGATCCAACGCTTGCAAAATAGGTATAGCCCACCGAATCAAAAGGCGTCGCCATCCATCCCAGCCTCAAGCTTATCAAGAAACCGAAATCACAACCTCACTCTTCTTATAGATCTTCCCTTCCCCATTCCCAATTGTCACCGAATCTCTTACACTCCCCCCATCATTCTTCCAATTCAAACTCTCCTCATCTCCTCCCACGACCTCACTCCTACTAATCCCATTCGCCTCTGTCAACCGTGTTATACTCACGGCCTCATGCCTCGTCCCCAGAGATGAATTTCTCTTGATCTTCGAACCCAGTTCCATCGTGCCCTTTTTGGTAGTTCCCTTTTTCGTCCTCGCGTAACTCCTGAACGTTGTTCCCAGAAGTCTAGGTAAAAGCACGCTAACGAGCGGCTTGACACCCGGTGCTGCTGCACATATCAAGCTAGCGTATATTTCCGTCGAAGTCCAGATCGAAACGTCGTATGTGTCCCAGGGTGGGTCGAAATTCGGCATCCTGAGAACAGTACCTTAACGTTGGGGTAAAAGTATCAGTGCCATGCTCCAAGGTGTGGAAAAGATTGGTACTGGTCATAGTCTGTCTCTAGTTGTTCTGAGAAACTATCCGAGTGGTTTGCCATGCACAGTTTCTACGAGACTTTGACCTCGTCCGCAGGCCTCACTTACCGACGCGAACCATTCGAACGATGCCAGCAATCACCGCAAGCCACCCTAACATCACGATCCCAATTAATGCGGACTTCTGCCTGGGATTGAGTTTGAGGTCCCAGATCCGCGGTATCACTATCAGGATGAGCGCAATGTCGCAGAGCACATTCAACGTCCCGTTAATGATCAAGCCAGCGAAATCGTTCAGGCATTTGCTGGCGGGTCGGATTTCTGTCCAGTACACATGGATAGGCTTGCATTGGAACATGACTTCAAAGAAGAAAGGGACAATGGTGAGGGCGAGGACGACGATGATGATGCGGATTAGGATACGGCCGCGGGTGTCGGAGAAGAAGATTCGGAGGTAGGCGAGGCAGATGCTAAGTTTGCTGAGGGAAAGAGCCGGGAAGAGGAGGAGTTGCGCGACGTAGGCGTATTGTTGAGAGAGTACACCCTGGCCGGGAGTGAGGGCTGCGGCGTGGTGGCCGGCGCCGGCGGCGATTTGGCCGTATTGGCAGATGGAGTAGCCTGTGGAAAGAACCTAGAGGACCCAATTAATTTCAAAGAACTAGGATTTAGCAGAGGATATATGTAAAAGTAGAAACTTGAGTAGAGATATGTCGAAAATAGATGCTCTCACCCAAGCAATTGTCAAGACGTAATCTTCAACTTTCCAGGATCTGGTAATGAAAATGCGAGAATACGCCCTAAAAACGAAAATTAGAGTTCCTAAAATTTGACAAATTACATTTCCAGCGACGATTTGAAGGGCTCGAGATTCGGCGAGGTATCCAGGGGGGAACTGTGAAGAGTTCTAGCGAAATGTGCCTGTTCCAGGAATTGATACTCACTTGAGCGTTTTTATCCGCTTGGTGGATGATGATTCTCATGCTTCTACGCAAGAACAGTGCCTCCTCGCAAAGTCAATACTTCTCTGCAAGGACATGTATTCTAAGAATTAGAGATCGATATACAAGATCGTAATGGATATAGATTGCTAAAACGTGCGGGCTTCCGATAAGTGGCTTTCACAACAAAATGGAATCCCAAGGCATAGGTTGATGCTAAGCTTGTGCCGTCTCCTTGGTACTTCGGACGCGGTTCGACGAGGCCATATAAAGTTCTACGCTGTCGTCGTAGTTCATGCCGCGGTATGTCCTATATCTCTTAGTGTCCCAGATTTTCCCGGCCGGATCTTCTCTATGAATGGCTAATTCGGTTAACAGATTTCAGATGCAGGTACCTAGCATTGAGGTGTGTCCCGCGAACTTCTCGGCCATATGGCAACTAGATCTCGGGATAGTCGACAAGCATGGCTTGAGACATCGGCTTTAGCCTTGTTTGGGAGCGAAGCGAGATTGGCGTGTTATCCATCCAAAGCATAGGCTCCCGTCCACCGTTAGGGTCTGGTTTGCGTCACCGTGATCTGTGGTTAGATCACGGATATCCGAAACTCTAATTGGTTCAGAAAAGTTGATGCCACTTCTATCGCTCGGGAAACGAGGCTTATTAGGGTTCTCAAGAGCAAAAAAAAAAGTCCGGCAGACAAAACTTTGAGAATTCCACCATTGCAGTTGATCATGATCTCCCAGGAAGGTTGGAAAGGAGAAATGCAAGGAGAGCGGGGTGAGTAAAGGATCGAAGCGTAAACCACCACATAGTGGCCTACTTGAAGCCATCAAGTCGCACGCCGCGACAACGCTGGCCTCAGCGATTCTGCCGGCTCACTCTCATGCGCATTGAAGAGTGGGCGACCCTGCATACGTGCTTGACATGGAAATTGGCATGCAGCGGAGTGTGTCACAGGTTGACGGATAGAACGGTTGGCTGCTGGGGTGGGGTCAACTTCGGTGTGAGAATTTGTCCGAAGCCAACATCCACACGATCATCCAACTTTCAATTTACCTCGCCAACATTCCGATCATGGGTTTTTGCTCACTGATAAACTTCGAGCTAGATTCTTAGAATTTCTCTGATGCTGATGCTAGTTTATCGGTTCTTTATTAGGCATCTCCGGAGCATTCACACCCCGAGAGCTCCACGCAAGAATTAGCTCGTGAACCTAACTTTGCCCCCTTTTCGCTTATCTGTTGGGTTTGATCCGCAACCTTTGTCTGATGCGTCGAAAGGATTTCTCGAACCAGCATCATGACTAGATCACCTTATAATCCCTGGGAAGGTTAGAGACGACATTGAGTTCCGATCTCAAGTCTCGCCTTTATCCAACAATTTACCCATTAGGCTTTGAAGCAAATGCGTTTCGTTTCTACTGCGTCTTACCATTTGACATGGAATATTGCAAAGATAATCTAGGGCAGAAGTTTGCATCCTGCTGACATTCTACGTGAATGTAGCGGAGGTTAACTAATTAAACACCCAGGAGGTTCGAATATGCTGCATCAACATATTCCAAACCACCCACACTTTTTCGATTACTTTAAGGCTAGGTGCTGTTATTGTACGGTGGAGATTTAACGAAGAAGCCAGCTTTATTAATGAGGGGGGGAATGGAGCTAGAGCAGGAAGACTCTATGGGTCGACCCTTAGACGAATACTAGCCGTCCTAGTTCTCTACTCTCAGGGACAAAGAAATAAGATGACCCAGATGTGGTACTACAAACGAAGGGATATGGCAAGACAACCTGCGCGTGTGTGCGTTCAGTAGCAGGCCTACCACCAGCTCACAACGAGATCTGGAAATAGTCGCAAGCAGGTAAGCGTCCATTTCTTATGACATGCTATCACGTATAAAGGAACTTGGTCAAGGCAAACTGTATTTATTACACATCTTGCTTGAACCAGAGAAGTTGCTAAAACGATGCTATTTCCTGTCCTAAACTAGTTCCTTGTCATATCCTATCATATATACGAACATGCAGTATTAGTTCACTTGCACATACTTTAGCTTACCCACATATTCTCAAATTCCCTTTGGATGAAGTTTGGACTAATTTCCCTCAAGTTCTATCTTCATATCAGTTGGATCGGACACAGGCCGCTTGCGAAATTTACTCTACAGAGGGAGTTTATCTGGTAATGCCTAGGAGAAATTCGTCTGAACAAATTACCTGTGACCACCTACATCGGTCTACGCTTTTGTAAGGACATGGCGTACATAATCATGGCTACCTCAACTTGGCGAAGTTTAGTGCCACCTCTGTATTTGGTACCCTTCCATAACCATTCTTTGGCCATCATCTGTGAAAGTGTTGGGACCCAGAGGGAGGCGCGTGGGTCAGTCAACGAACTCTCAAAAACATAACCCCAACCATTTCCGGCCCTTGACAGCGAACATTTGCGAGCGTCTCTTCCTATACATCGCACGAGGACCTCTACAGACACTCTTTCTGACAGCAACTAGCGAAAACAAAGATATTGTCAAGGTAAAGATTCTCCAATAACACCACTCTCTAAGACCTGTCTCAGTTGGTTAACTCATTAGAAGCATGGATGCCAATGCCACCACTGCTCGGGACATTGTCGAGCACAATTGTGCACTTTCCCAATACCGAGGAAATGTCTCCTATTCTCCGGTGTGGGATAACTGGAAGAGGTCCCCAACCCTTGATTATCCTGATGACGCTCGAGTCCGGTCACGAGGCACCTCTTCGCCCGAGTCGTCCTTGCTTCCTAGCCCTTCTTCATCTCCAGCATCAGGCAGTTCATTTTCGCCTTCGGACTCGTCCTCGGGTTCCGACGACCCGCTACCTTGTGCTGATCTCGAAGCACAAGACCTCGAAGGTCTCAGAAAACACCCACTAGTATATCTCATCAAGAGACTTCTCCTTTGTGTGATCCCCCTATTCACACTACTCATGTTATGCTTCTTCTTGTTCGTGGGTATTGGGCGTCCAGCCCCCACACCATCAACGGAAGAACAGCTGAAAGGCTTCCAAGAGGAACACTTGAAGTCACTTCATATGGCGATGGAAATTCGGATGTAAGCTCTCATCTTTTGCAAGACAAAAGCTGTTGAGGCGAGTGAAGATTGTCATTATTTCTGTAGCCTCCGCCTGTACCCAGAGAGCTCGGGGGGTGTATACAGGAGGGGCTCGCCTTAGCAACAATTACCACTACTTCTCAACTTTAGCAATTTGGGGGAAATTTTCTTTTTAACAAAAAATTATATATCCTGCCACACGTACGCAGGATCGTGCAAGTGCGGAACCACATTTCTTTTTTTCGGAACGGATTGCTCGTGGCCTTGACAGATGTCAACCGACTCAACCACTCAACACTGGAAATTGCCTCACATTTCATAATCCCGAGAAGAACACATTGCGCGACCACACTCATACCACACACAAATATTCTTCTTCCCCTTCTAATCCACCATAGACTCACCGCTCTCCAGAAATCTAATACACTCCCATCTAGCAATCGAATCGCTGTCTAATGCTAGAACCATTTACATCCGACACAGACCCATAATCAGCGAAAACATCCACGTCTGCGTGGAACCTCAATCTTAACACCAGCGCACTGATTATGAAATGGCTCTCCGGAAATCCCCGGTATTGAAATGGTACCATTGATCGCAGCAGCGGCTGCTATATAAGTAGCCAATAAGGAGAAAAGAAAGGGAGTGTTTGCGGGGGTTGGAAGATGGGATTAAGTTGGGGATGGATCGCGTGATGGAGATCGTGAAGACTTTGGAGAAAGGATTCACTGGAAAGGTGTGGGCATGGGAAGAGAACCGGCAGTGAATGGAGCGGATGTCGGGGTGTCTGATCGGTCCATGGGTTGGTTGAGGGTAGAGTGACTACCCTAAAAGGAACTGAATTCAATCGCGGTTCACCATTACTCAGAATATATTAGGAGAGAATACTTGGGCTCAACGAATTCGAGTTCAGCACAAGACTTACCATGGTTTGGAACGGCAATCTGTCCTCGCACGCGAATGCTGCACTCGTACTTTCAAAAGTCATTTGAATCCTCCTATACCCAATTTCACTTCCTGTGCATAACTCTCGTCTGAACTTGCTTACCACCCCAAAGGTATCCCCAGCGACTTCAAAGACTCCATCCTCTACGGAGAGTTAGGACATCATTCTCTCGGCCCATGATCCCGCCTCGGAAGCCAAACTCGTTAAGCCACCTTCCATATGTCTCGCTGTTGAAGAGCTCGGTGGTGATTGAATCCTCTGCAACTGCCAGGACTGCCTCAAGAACTACGTCAAAGCCGAAGAAATCTGTTCGACGTGGTCGAGCTTGACATCCACGCAGTACGGCCTTACTTCAGCGACAAGTTCATAACGCTTTTATTCAGATTATCTTCATCACTTTCATGATGCTCATAGCCAAACCTGTGTATATACTTCTCAGCTTCAGGGCTGCATCTGGGCATATGGTCCCGGCTCCAAAGGTCCACGTCACTGTATACGAGACCATTGCTACTACTACTAGATAATATACATCTTAAACATAACTCCTCGTAATGCCCTAGCCACCAACGCCCAGGTCATCTTCCGGACTACACGTTCATACCTCGATGAAATGTAAATACAAGTACAGCGAATAATTGAATTATGTTGCGATGGTTTATACCAGTATCGCATTGCATGGCATTCAGACCGCCGTATCTAATATGATATATCTGCGCATGTATATGCATATCAAATACTCACTTAAACGCACCCCCTTTGCCCCCAAACCCCGTACTATCCTCAACCTTCTTCCTCCCGCCTTTCTGCTGCGCGGCTTCGTGTCGACGAAGATCATCCGGGACCTTCGAGATCTGACTTTTGGTGAGCATTTGTTTGAGATCGTACCTATTGAAACAATTAGCCTCTCCGTGATGTCTCTCGAAACTAAGGGGGCATAGGGGAATACTGACAAAACATCTGCGTCCTCATTACCCCAAAATGTGATCGCCACGCCGCTCTTTCCAGCACGACCTGTACGACCGATACGATGCGTGTATGATTCAATAGACGTTGCCATATTGAAATTAACAACGAGTGAGACGTCCGTGACATCGATACCACGACCCGCAAGATCCGTTGCAACTAGTACATCACTGCTTCCATTCCTCAAACTCGCTAGCGCAGCCTCACGCTGTTCCTGAGTCTTGCTACCGTGCAGAGTGACAGAGTTGAAGCCCATGTGTTTGATGTCACGGGCCACTGCATCGCAGTTGCGCTTGATGTTGACGAAGACGATAATCGGGGGTTGGAATTCCCCGGAAGAAAGGATCTCTTGGAGGCGTTTCTTGCGCTTGTCTTCGCCTTGGACGTGTTCGACGCGCTGTTCGACTGTTTCGACGGCTTCACCTGCATTACCGATCGTTACGATGGCTGGGCGACGGAGGTATTTCTGCGCGATGCGCTCGACAGCTGTGGGCATTGTAGCTGTGTACATCATTGTTTGTCTGTACATCCCGCGGGACATTGCGACGGCATCTTCTGCGGCGTCGGTATCAGGCTTTTCGTTGGTGACAGGGAGGGCGTCGAGAATTTTGTTGAGACCTTCTTCGAAGCCAAGATCGATCATGCGGTCTGCTTCGTCCATGACTATATAGCAGCACTGACTGAGTACCAAGACTCGACGCTCGATACAATCGACAAGACGACCGACTGTAGCAATGATGAGCTCGGCACCATCTCGCAGGCTGAACGACTGTTCCTCTATCGAGTGACCGCCGACGAGGACTGCTGTCTTGAATCCTAGTGGGGTAGCGAACTTTTTTGCTTCGGTTTCGATTTGCTGTGCCAATTCTCGGGTTGGGGCAAGAATAAGGGCGTAGGGCCCGTCATTCCTATTACTAGCATCAAGTGGGGGAAGCTTTTGGATGTAGACCAGAAGAGGTAAGAGGAAAGCTGCTGTTTTACCAGAACCCGTGACAGCAACACCGATGAGGTCGCGCGATTGAAGAGCGATAGGAATAGCAGCACGCTGAACGGCTGACGGCTCGGTATAGCCAACTTGGTCGATGATCTCGAGGAGCTTATCCGGCAGACCTGATTCATCCCAACCGCGCATTGGGTTGGGTATCGACCCGCCCTTAGTGCTGATATTGAAATCTTCCTTGAAGATGCGCCAGTCTCGCTGCTGCATACGATCCAGCCTCTTCTCGCTCCAATGTTTGTCGAGAGCTGCCCGACTGCCCTCCTCCTTCCTCCTCCGCTCCATTTCCAGGATTGCCTCTGCTCGCTGCCTCCCAGCCTCAGGGTCGCGCTTAGATAGCTCATCAATATATTTACGAGTGCTCGCGTCGGCAATGTCCTCGGCAAAGCCACCCAGCCTGCCACGTCCGAAGAAGTTGGCCTCGGCGCGTTGGGTGTAGATGGGATTGTAATCCAGGCTGGTGTCCTCTTCGTTGTTCCACTCGAAGTTGAACTTCTTCTCCGTAGTTCGCCTCCGCTTCTTCTTCGCTGAGAAAGTTGACTGGTTCTGCTCTGCGCCCATGTATCGCTGCCGGATCAGCGCGGCCTCTGTATCTTCCGGCGCCGTTCGTTTCAGTGACCCCTTTTCTCCGGATTTCGGGACAGGGGGTGGAGGCATCTCTACATTCTTGTTCCGCATCGATGCAGGGCCGGTAGGAACCTCCCCGTTTCGCATGGCACGTGGACCTGTGGGAATCGCTGGTGAGCCATAGTTTGACCTAGAGCTGTGCCCGTTGGCGGAGGAAGCTCCATCTTGGCCAGTGCTATTTGTGCTACCATTCAGTCCTGCCTTCTGGGCCTCTGCCTTCCTCTTCGCCTCGACCTCTTTCTGTCGTTTTTCGAGCGCGAGTTTCTCACGTTGCGCTTTCGTCAGGAACTTGGGCTAGGAAAGAGAAGTCAGAAATAATGTACAATAAAATGAAGAATGAAGACATTCCTAGAACTACCAACCAAAAGGAGAGAGGATTACTGACCTTGGCAGCGGCCTCGTCTTTCGCTCTCTTCTCTTTCAACAGATCCTCAATGCTTAGAGGCTGCTTCTTCGAGGCTGAAGATGCTAGTACTTTCTTATTTTTTGGCTGGACGCGCTCGGGGCCAAGCGATTCATCTGGCGGTGGGGGAACAGCCTCGACTGGTGGCGGCGGAGGAGGAATCTCTGGAGGAGGCGGAGGTGGGACGACGTCTGACCTTGGGGGGGGTGGAGGAGGTGGCAGGGGTCTCTGAAACGGCTCCGAAGGTGGCGGTGGCGGCGGCGGAACTATATCGGTGTTCATCGCTAATACGTGGTGTTGGTGTTGCGGTGTTGGAAGTTGATGGTTTGCAGAAGTAAAGTAGATCTCGCCAAGATCTTGAATCGCGCTAGGCAGACGCGCGGCAAAATTTACGCTTTTGAAAGTACAAGTCGCCCGCGATTCAGCAGTAGGTTCCGCGTTTAGAGGCGTCACAATCCAACCAGAAATGAGGATGATACCCAAAGGTAGAGAGTTCAATTACACCCAGAATCATTGGGGAGTACGTCTGGGACAGTGTCGGTCTGTATTAGGCCATGGCTATCCCAAGGCAGGCGTTTGTCTAAGTGCTACATATGCCAGTCGCAAACCCTCTGCGAAGGCAAAGACGACTAAGCAGAGCGTCATTCGCAGTGCCATACTTTGCCCGATGACTCCAAAATCTATCTTCAGCGACACTGCGTGAGGACAACCACCTCAATCCTGCCTTCCCTTCAGTAACCGCTTCGTCACCTTGTCCTTCTCGATAATGTAGACGTGTGCACCCCAGCCTGACAGCGCATCCCGATCTACGGCGTTGAGCAGCGCTTGTGATATTGTCTCAAAGAGGTCTTCTGGGCCCTGCGCGGTGATATCATTAGCTCAAGCTCCATCATGGCCCTCCGGTACCAAACAATCTTCTCGCTTACCAGGTCTGGCTCCCACAGCCCCTCACAAGTTCCGAACAACTGATCACTCGCGGTCCCGCTAACAATGAAGTCCTTGGCGAAATCAATGCACCCAATACTATCAAATCCACATATAAACGGCTTCCCCGTCGTCTGGTTCAATCCCGCAATCACCGGTGACACAAAGTACGGTCCAAATCTCCGCTCATACAGCGTCGAGCTAACGAGGTTGGCCATGGTCTGCGGCGAGATGTTGCGCTCTTCGCGCAGCCGGTACATGTTAACTTTGTAGCGGAAGAGGTCAGAGACGGTGGACAAGTCGGTGGCGAGCCCGGTGAGGCCAAGGTAGACGTCGCCGTAGGAGAAGATTTTGGGGAAGTTGTTCGAGACGGTGAGGGCTTGCATGCCGAGACGGAGATCGCAGGCTATGGCGACACAGTCTTTGCCAACCATGGCTACGCAGGCGCCGCCGTCTAATGCATTGTTAGGAGAGACTAGATGGTGGTTGGCGGGGGTAGATAGTACTTATTGAGAACGGGGAAGACTATGCTTGTAAGCTATGTGTACATTGTTGGTCGGGGTGGGAAGCTCACCATGGCTGTGGGTGTGGGTAGTTCGAGTTTTGACCAGCTTAGCAGGACCACATTCGAGGAGAAGGAGGCACAGTATCGAAGGAGGGAAGGGTAAAGGCGTCGGAGATGGCGAGTGTGGTTGATGTTTGGTGTAGGTAGCAGCTGTACGCGCAGTTCAAGCTCCACTGAGCTTGGACCAACCTTGGAACTTCAGTTCAAAAGACACGTGATCGCCAAATTCCCGTCCCTGTCAATCTTCAATTCAATCCTCACCATTCCCGCAACCCCGATATCAAAACCGCCATGGCTGCACCTCGAATACCACGTGAAATAATAGAACCCGTCAGACTCGCTGAATCTCTTCCTGGAGTCCTCCTCAGATTCTTCGCAAAATATCCTCCGCCAGCGCTTATACGACCTGTCCAGTCCACCACCGTTGCATCCACAGCCTCCTCCGCCGGTCCCAATGCTCCGGCAACAGAAACTCCGACCGAGAATGAATTACCATACCACAATCCATTCCAACCGCGCAAGAACTTCGAAACCGGGACATGGTATGGGCCCCGCTACGGATTGCGAAAGCAAGCCAATTTGGTGAAGGTCGCGCAGAAATATGGCGTGGTGGACTTGCTGCCGTACACAATCAAGAAACCCGGGGAGAAGGAGAGGAGGAGGATTGAGCGAGGATTGAGGGTTAAGGGTACGGGAGTCGGTGAGAAGGTCAAGGGAAAGTTATGGGAGAGAACGTTGAAGGGACGGTTAGAGCAGAGGAAGCAGGCTATGCTGGATATGCCGCGGTTGATCCAGGAATGGAAACAGGTATGTTGACTGAGTTTATCCAGGACTAGAGAATAGATTGCTGACTTTTTGACAGAAAGGACATGGTCGTGGATGGAAGAAGTGGCCAAAATGAAGAACGACATGGCTTCTACAGTTTTTATGGCTCAGATTTGTGGGGGATCTACTCTTGCTAAAATGCGAGCTTGTCAGAATGCCCTTCTGTCCATCAAGAGGAAGGCAATGTAAATTATATGTACAAAGAGACGGCGGGCAAGCACCAGGGCCAAAAGATAAGTGCTGAGTGGGAGCTTGTACTGCTCAAAAATACGGCTTTTTCAAACGAATCCGACATGCTCGTGCAATCATCTAACAATGAGTTGACATGAGATTATAGTCCGACAATGAGTTGATATGAAATCTAGAAACATATTAATAATGCTATGAAATGGGTATCTGACTCAACCATCCTATCATTTGTGCAAATTTGAATCCGCAGCCCCCAAAACGATTGAAGCGACCATGAGATATCTACAGCAAACCAAAATACCGCTCGTCCGTCTTGTTTGCCTCCCTCTTTAAGCGTAACCCGGGAACAAAAGAGAAGTATGTATGCAAGTGTATCGACAAGTACGCCTATTTGGGCAAACCAAACGGCAGACGTTGCATCCGCTTCCGCCAAGATATCCACTGCCTTCCCTCTGTGCCTATGAAGCTCCACCTATTACATGACCATTTCATCGTCGGCATACACCGACTGAACATCCCGATCCCTCGCTTGAGCGAAGGCTCCGTATTGATTTTCCATATCCAAGATGCTTCCTACGTTCTTTTCCCATAAGCCACCGTGACCGCCAGCATTGTTGTAAACAGGGTCGGTTGCCTGGTTGTACCTCGTCGATTCCCTGAGGTGATTTACCGCGGCCTTTGCCGATTCCTCATACTCTCGATTTGCCAGCATATCGTATCCTGAGACAATGTAAGGCTCTGCACTTCTTGTGTCAGGGGAAGACGTGAGGAGGTCACGTGTCGCCTGCACGGCTGCAGATCCCATACCATCATCCATGCTCTGATTCAACTGTTGTTGGTGGCTCTGAATATCCTCCGCTTGAGCACGCTCGTCAATCATCCTCTCATACCTCAACTTTGCCATGGCTTCCTCCTGAGCCAGACTTGTTGGTGGCCAATCATAGAGCTGCCTAGAAATGTTGTAGTCCACACCCGCTGGAAACCCCTGCCTGCCCTGTGGAGGGGAGATGCGCCAAAGCTCCAGGAGACGAAGACGCTGGTCATCATCTGCGTTCTTGAAGAGGTCAATCTGGGAAGGGAAGAGGAGTCTAGGATTGACACTGTTACGGAGGAGGATGCCTTCTAGCTCTGATGCATCAATGTGAGTCTTTACAGATTCTTTCGGGATATGACGGATAGGGACGACGTGGTGTGTGTGTGTGTAGTGCTGAGAAGCGTAGACTATCGCTGAAGAGCTCGCTCTCTGTTGTTGTTCCTGCTGTTGGTGCACTGGCTCGATCTGCTGCTCGGGTTGGGGAGGGGAGGGGGTATATTGGGGCTGGGCTTGGGAGAGGGTCAAGTTGGCTGAAAACAGCCTTGCAAGCTCTTCCTGCTGCATGTTTGTTTCCTCTTCTTGCTTTCCTCGAACGTTGATGCCCGCTGATATCGTTCCGCACTATGACGTAATCGTCAGTATTTCGAGATGGGAGAGGATTCGGGGCTTACGTGTGAGCAAGATTGATTTTCGGAAAAGACGGAAGCTGTGAAGGGAACAGTCGTGTTATAGGTGCAAATATTGCAATAGTGAACGAGCAGAGGTTGCATCAGAGAGACCGGGTACCTAACAGGTATTCCGTATCCTTCGGGAAATTGAGAAGAGGGGAATCAGACGCTGAGGATTAGTGAAGAGGTAAGTCTTGCTCAGAGCAATATATACTGGATGTCTTTTCGGACTAGCTCGAGTATCGTAGCCTTTGAGTCCGCAGTTCTTATTGAAATGTGGTGGTGAAAAGATCCTCAGTGCGGCGCGTCGGGTGGCTACAGACGCCTCGAACAAGACCTTTGTGAGGATGCTGGTGGTGGCGGCTAGAGAGATAAGAGAAGTCGTCGTCACCAAGGAGTGTCGACAAAGCCGTTGAAAGAAGTGGTGTGTTGCGGTGTCCAGCGGGCAGTGTGGCAGCTATGGTTTCTTTATGTAGCGGCCCAGTTTGGGTCATGCGTTCTCCGATGGTGGGTTGAAGGGCAGAAAAGCGGGATGATGCGGCCTGCTGTCCACTCACTGGAGACCTGAAACATAAAATGTCCCGCTAGCGCCCGAGGGGCCAATGAAGCTAGGCGGGTCTTCGCAAATTATTGTAGACAACTCATCAACCTGTATTGGCAGAGACGCCCGCGAGAGAATGACCGGCGACGATTGGAGCGTTTAATGGCGGAAAAAGTCGAGGGATCAACAGCAAAATGACCCCAAATCACGTCTCAAGCGGCGACGATATGGCCGAATAGAACGGAGACAAGCCTTTGAACAGATATAAAATATTAGCAGTTCACAAGGCGGTCTTGTCAGGTGAATCATGAGGATAACGGCTGCCTCAAGATCCACGAGCGCCATCTGCCAAGAGATTAGATCAACGCTAGCCGGAAACAGGGTGAAGCTCAACGCGCAACTCACCGCAGCCTGAAGTCCATCAACACGACATCTATCCAATAATTCGCCTACGCTCCGGCCCTCTCCCTTACTGCTTTCCCTACTCCGACTCCCCAAAGAGCTCTGGATCTTCTCATCCTATCTCCCAAGTGCCATGGTAAGCCTCGTTTGCAGTGTTTTCGTGGTTTGCAACTGACACAAACCTTCTAGACTTCAATAGGCACAGGTTACGACCTGTCTAACTCTGTCTTCTCTCCAGATGGCCGCAATTTCCAAGTAGGTTATTCCTTAGCCATGATACTCGAGCTCGAAATTAACCCATCAAGGTTGAATATGCAGTCAAGGCGGTGGAGAACGGCGGCACAGCCATCGGAATAAGATGCAAGGATGGTGTCGTATTAGCTCTCGAGAAGCTCATCACCAGCAAGCTGCTCAAGCCCGGAGCGAACAAACGGATAGCAACGGTAGACAGGAACATGGGTGTTGTAAGCATGCCCTTTATTTGTCGGGAAGGACTAGACTAACATGGGGCATGCACAGGTGTCTTCAGGTCTCCTCCCTGATGGTCGCCATTTCGTATCCCGAGCCCGCGATGAAGCAGCTCAATGGCGCCAGCTGTACAAGGCCCCGATCCCGACCTCCGCTCTCGCAAATCGCATGGGAAGCTATGTCCAGATGTACACCCTCTACTCAAGTGTACGGCCATTTGGTGTCACAGCCATCGTAGGCGGGTGGGATTCAGAGGCCGAGCTGCCGGTGGATGGACAGGTCGGCTCAGGGCCAAAGGTTGGCTCTGGGGGCAAGAAGGGCGGTGTAAAGCATGGCGGACCGTTCTTGTACATGATTGAGCCGAGCGGACTTTATTGGGTATGAACAGAAGTATTCATGTGGGTCGTATCCAGAGCTAACACAATAGTTAGGGATATTATGGTGCAGCTACGGGCAAGGGTCGACAGATCGCAAAGTCGGAGCTTGAGAAGCTCAATCTGTCCGACGGCACTCTATCATTGGAAGAGGGGGTCAAGGAGGCAGCACGCATCATCTACGTTGCACACGACGATAACAAGGACAAGGACTTCGAGCTGGAGATGACGTGGGTAAGCTCCTTAGACGGTCCCACCAAGGGCAGGCATGAAGACGTGCCAAAGGAGCTGAGAGAGGAAGCCGAACGGCTGGCAAAGAAATCGTTGGAGGGTGACGACGAGGATGAGGATGAGGGGAAGATGGAGGAGTAGATGAACCACTCTGTACTATATGCAAGCTACCAAGCGGGTTGGCGCAGCATAGATGGGCACGTCTGATATCCACCGACTTTGGAGCATATTGTAAGGGTTTGTATGCGCCACAGAAATGGTCGTTTGCACTTGCGCGACCCATTGGTGCGCCTATCATATCGTGACGATGTACCTAGGTAGCTTCCTCCAGCCACACCAGCGCACTCCAATCTCAGTCAATCACTAAAACAAAAGACATAAGATCAGAGGCCCCCAAAACTCGGCATTTCATCTTTCATCGATATTCTCCGTTTCTATGCCGCCTACCCTCGTCCTCATCCGTCACGCCCAGGCTTTGCATAATGTAGCAAGTGACTGGTCCATTCATGATGCACCGCTCTCCGATCTCGGAAAACAGCAATGCGCAGAATTGCACGAATCTCTCAAGAACAGCAAAATTGGAAATGAGATCGAGCTTATTGTCGTCAGCGCGATGCGCCGGACACTGGAAACCGCAGTCCTAGGTTTGGGCTGGTTGATCGATGAGAAAAAGATCAAGGTTTTACCAGATGCTGGGTGGCAAGGTCGGTACCTTTGTTGCGACTCTTTGGTTTTTGTTGTCCCATTTTCGCCCTGAGCATCGTTCCACAGTCTCTTCAGTGTCACGTACGTCGCCACTCCCTTTCAGTCCTACCCATTCCTTCGAAATTCCCCAACGTTCCTTCTGATATTCGCTCTGCCTTAGTACATGTTCCAACAACACATGACCCAGAACGCTATCCCTTAACTGCATTTAAGAAACCAGCCACGAGACTCCCAGTTTGCTATGCGTTTGAGGCCTATTCAAGAGCTCATCATACATCAATACATTTTGCTAATCTTTACATTAGAAAACTCAGACAAGCCCTGTGACACTGGCTCTTCAATTGCAACCATGGCTTTTGAGTTCCCTCAGTTCGATTTCTCTAAAGTGGATCCTCTATATCCGGACAAAACCACCTCAGTTAGCATCAATCCATATGCCTTTACAGGAAAGGCTGTCCTTGCACGAGGCCAAGCGTGTCTCCAAGCGCTTTACTCTCGACCAGAAAAAGTGATTGCAGTCGTAAGCCACTCAGGCTTCCTACGGACTGCGATAAGCAATCGGCGATTCTTCAACGCAGATTGGCGAATCTTCGACTTTGATGAAGACGCCTTAATAGAAAGTAGGCAGAAATGTCTTGGGGTCGACGGGCAAGGCTTGTTCCGGTTGAAGGAGTGGGGAGAGACAGAGGAGAAAGGGGGGGGCATGAGCAGGAGTGAAAAAGGAATCTTTGGAGTACTAGCAACTGACTTTCCTCCTGGGATGGGGTTGCAGGACGAGACACCCACTGAGGACCCGAGTAACAACACAAGTTGAGACGTGCAGGAAATTCGATAGAAGGTTCAGCTGGTGGAAATGGAAGGAAGATATATTAAAGGGATACGATACCGTACTGCAAACTACATCCAGCAATTTTCCGTTCTCGGCCCAGAGTGCGGCTGCATATGAAGTCCAAATGTCCGAAATACTAATGTCAGCAGCCACGCAGCTACTAACACAATGGCAGCAGTTACTCTTTCAAAGACTAACCGCCGCTACACTTAGAGGCTTTTATTGCCTTGGTTGCCGCCATTTCTCAAAGCAATACGAGGATCTGAAACTCATCGTTTTTCGGGATGGCATAGTCGAACCACGATACCTCACGCGATTGATAGATTCAAACTTTAAACATTTCGCACCAAAACCCGGGATAAAATACATTGGAAGGATTGCCAAAGCCAACAGGTATCCCGGACTTCGGGTAATGTGCACTTCCACCTTTTAGGCGACTCCGCGACACATTCCGCATTCCTCCCGACCTGAACAAGGCCCTGTGTGGAGTGTTTCGACAACATCCTGGTTTGTGCTTCACCCATTTCATAAATCCTTTGCCATGAATTCATCTCCCCTTTCGGAGGCCAAGGCACACGCTGGGGAGCATTAGTGACGGAGTTGGTAGGTTGTTATCCTCCAGCCTTCTTGTTGCTCTCTATGACGGGGAATCTTCTGATCTCCTCTTTCTCTTTTTCGCACCTCCGGCCTAATGTGATATGCCATGGCATGCAATGCGTCGATATTGTCTATCCTCGCATCGCTTTGCGTACTCTCCTTCATTCTCCAAATTCCTTTCCTCACACTTGCTACATGCTATTATCCAAACGGTGACACCGACGACGGGCATAAATCATGTAATTCTGGCGGCGTGAGCGTGTGCTGCTCAGAGGGGAACCAATGCCTAAGTAATGGGCTTTGCGTAGACACGCGGTATGAGAATTTCCAACGAGTATTAAGAGGCGGATGTACGGATTCAGGATGGGGAACGCCATGTCCGAGTTTCTGCAAGGCTGGTACGCTCCCAATCGCAATTATGCTTCAGAATATGACCTAGACTGATGCGGTATAGAATGGAATCATGGCGATGAAGCAGTGTACTATTGCGGCAGCGGCAAATGGTGCTGCGAAAGCCACGACTGCTGCACCAAGAGCGGCGCGCAAATGTTGGACCTAGGAACACCACAAGTGGTAGCAACGGCGGATAAAGATACGAATAACAACAACGCACAGCCGACCAGCGCAGCGCTAGTAAACGTGCAGCAATCTTCCGCGCCTCCCGCCAACACCCAACCACCACAGCAACAGACATCACAGCAACAGCAGCAACAAGCTCCAGCATCCTCACCACCCTCCGAGAAGAAAGACACTCCTAAAGCATCCTCCACCCCGCCTCCTTCCAGCCCCTCATCAAAATCAAATGACGCTGCAAGGACCTCACCGTCTACATCAAGCCCAACGTCCCACGACCCTAAAGCCACCGCATCGAAAGCCCCCGCTAACGAACCGGCAACAATAGTCTTCATCTCAGGCTACTCCATAATCTCCCCGGGCACCTCGTCCACCACATCCTTCGCACCCCCCGAATCCACCATTCCACCCCCAAAACATCCTATAAATCCCGCGGTAATCGGCGCAGGCGTAGGCGTAGGAGGCGGCGTAGTCGTCTTTCTAATCCTCTTCTTCACATGCTTTTACCTCCAACGCCGCAAGCGTCAGAAGGAAGGGTTTTCAAGAGGCACTACAAGGCGGTCAATTGCAACAGGGGACTCGGAAGCGCCGCTTGATGTGGCTGGGATACATGGACGGTCGCGGAATAGATATGGGAGGGGAAGTGGGGTATTGATTGAATTGGATGCGGAGAGGGTTATTGAGTTGCCGTCGGAGACGGAGGCGAAAGAGTTGGAAGGGAAGGGGAAAGGGGAGAAAGATTTAAGGTTTTTGAAAACTTGGTGATGGGAGATTGGAGGTTAGGTTTTGGATTTTGGATTTTGGATTTCGTGCATAAGGAATAGCTATCTAGATTGGCTGGGTTTGCATTTGGTTTGGATTGGCGTTTGGGGGATTTTGTGGACAAATAGGGTTATCCTACCCTGAAATGTAAATACATGTGACATGATTGTGACTTGATGTAGAATATTCAAACACTTTATCTCCAGATTCAATTGGAGTCTGTGGTGACGAGATCGTGGAGGGAAGAGATAAACTAATTACAATCTTTCAAATTCGGTGCTTGGTGTTTCTAGTTCATCTAGAGTTCACTTAGGTCAGGGAATCCACACGCGAGTGTAAATTCCTTCCCCTTTCACTCGAACTGCCACAGCACTTCGACAGTGTGTCCTACAAGCTCCCTGTCCAGATTTTAGGCTGGCACGCGTCCACCGTGTCAAAACCCACGCCAGTGCGGTGAAGTATGTCTCTTCCAACACCTCAACCGCTATCGTAGTTACCCAACTTAAGACTGCCAAGTCAATGAAACTTTCCGATGTCCTCCAGCTTCTCAAGACGTACTTTGCCTCTGGTGGTCGTCTCATCTTCGCTTGCGGGTTCAGCAGTACTAATAGTTCACACGGTCTAAAACAAATTCCTTCTAACAAGAGGCTTTCTCTAAGATGCGGAAGTTTGACGAATGCTACCGTACCGAAGTTTATCTCTCAGCTCAACCCGCACCGAATCTGATTAGCTCCAATTCTACGCCGCAACTTCCTTCGATTTACAGCCAGAAGACCGTCTCCTTGATGAACGAGGATGAGGCTAAGGCACTATATTGCCTTCAGCAACTAGCCATAGGCAGGGCCAGGCCTTCCCTTTGGGAACAGTTGATGAGAATCAAATCCCCATGGTTTGGACACTGATCCAGGATATGTGGTTGGGTTGGAACAGTGCGTACAGACGAGGTTAGCAAAACGGTGATACTAGCCATCTGCTGTGGGGGCTCTGAAGTATTACGAGCACTTGGGAAAGGGCAACGGAGTGAGACACAAAGAATTAAGCGAGATGACGATGATAATATGGGAGACGTCTCTGTCGCCTTGCTGCTCTTTGCCTGAAAGTTTGGGTGTGGTCAAAATATGGAACGGATGAGGTGGATGTTATACAGACCAGCAACTATCATCAGTCACGGGAGCTAAGATGCGATAGCGAGGACATGGTGGCTTCGTGCATGTTTTCGAGGAATGGAACAATCTTATTTGTTAACCCACCCGGATTTCGCGATGACTTCATATTACTGGAGGAAATTAGGGTTATCGATAAGTACCTGCGCCATCTCACCATCTCCCCTCCTTCTACCACCTTACCATCTTCACCCTTCATTCTCGCATAATCTCGCCCACATGCTCTATCTCAATTTTCACAATACGTTCGATCGTCATCTTTTTCTTAACCTCGTTTTAAGACCCTGCGTCTCCTCACGCGCTGTCCAGGAACATGGTTCTTGACCCCGTGGTCCTGCTGCAACGAGTAAATTAAGTGGCCTCAGCTCAAATAATTTCTCTCCCCTCGGCCGGCGAGTCTTCCCATTTGTTAACCTGATCTCTCTCTTTCTCCCCGTCAGCAATTTCATGCGTTTCACTCTAGCGACCTTCTGATCGCCATCAGAATGCTTGCTATTACAGCTTGCCACTCTTTGTTTCAACCCTTCCATGATAACGAGACAAGCCCGAGGCATTTAATTTTACACTTCAAAGGCAAGTACACTGACCAGGCTCCAGAATCCGCATTGATCTACTCGCCGTTATGGAGTCCTTTCCCCCATGAAAGAGGGCCATCCGATTCTGTGGTTTGCCACAGCTTCCACGAACACTGGGAGCTACGGCCTAGCCATGGTTGGAACGTTTGGGTTCGGCTCCATGGTACCCCGCCTCATCCAATGCGGATCTTAGCCTTGATGATCAGGTCATGCTGTCCATGTTTCAAACGTCGATCTTGTTCAGACCCTGTGCAAAAAGACATCGATTCGATCTTCTCAAGTGTAGCGACGAACTAATTATAAGCCTGGTTTCTCAAAATTCAGGCGATAGATACCTAATAGCCCCGGAAGTGATAAGTCGCTGTACTACTTTAGAGTGACGGAAATACTTTTCGACTTCACGTTTACGATGACCATGAAACATGACACGTGGAAGATGCCTTCAACAGCACGCCATTGTTGCTTGCAGACTCTGGAGGACCCATCACTTGATGATCGGAATCGGTCATCCTATATCAAGCCACCTATACACCCATCCAAAGGACTTTCTCAACGGCGATGCTACTCTTCAAGGCAACGACATGCGCCAAGAAAGCAGAATGATTGTGGCTTCAAGCCGTTGACCGGATGCAAGTAATCCCAGGTTTCACGGAAGCTCGCGATATCGATTCGTTCGGTTGTTAATCGTTCGCAAGGGCACGACCCAAAGTAGTGAATGCTTATATTAGCCGGCATCTAATCCAATCGTATCATTCGACACTTCGGGCCACCGAGATTCCCCACACTTGTCTCTACCCATCTTGAGGGATATCTTCACACTTCGCAGCTAGCTAACTGATTCAGGATCGCAGTTGGCTTGAAACCGTGGTCGGGTTAATAAAGGTATGCATCCTGTGCTGCATGCTGATAGCTCTTAAGCAGGAGTTGCCACAACAATGTCGATGTTACCATTCAGGTGCCCCTTCCTCAATGAATTCTTAAGGCGACGCGCGACGGTTGCTGCCCTTGACTACCCTCTTTACCGCCTCCCGTCAATTGTTCGAGAATTGCACTGAAGGGGTTATTAGGCTAGTGTATACGTCTATATTAAACATTTTAGGCAGGGCTTGTCTAACAATCGCAGATCTCGCAAATATACGCAGAGCCTTGAATGGGTGGAACGTGTAAGGTTACACAACCTTTCCGGCGCACCGACATAATTCTCCGAGATCTTAATGTTTGGATTCGAGCTAAATTAGCATCGGAAGCTGGAAGTCAGCGTTCATTCAATTCAACTTGAAACCTTCTCCTGGTAGAAGAAACGTTTGGCTTCGTACTAGATGATGACGGTATGTATGGCTGCAACTCGTGGTCGGCTACGAGAATGATTACACCTGACGAGATCCATTCTAGCATTTGGACCACATCAATGATGACGTTGAATCGACGCATGAAGGGCTCACAGCCTTACCGAAATGGGAGGGCATTCGAATCCCTAATAGACCACCCATCCAGAAAGGTAGCCGAGGCTTAATGCTCAATGATGGCTTTATGAAAGAGATCTTAGGAGCCAGACCTCGGTCTAGCGCAAGCGATCCAGCAGAAGAAGAAAACCCCAAACATTCGCGGATGATGATTTGGTTAGTGTTGATGCTGGTAATTTTACTTGCTTTGGCTATTGTCCTTGGAGCGGTCCTGGGAACGTTCCTCAACCCGAGTGGCCAGTCACGCCCCCCTAATTCATCAGTTACAGACATTCCAGCTGTTCCAACACCAACTAGCGGCATCGCTTCTCCTAATGGGACTCGTCCCCCGTCCCTTGCGGTGACTGGATGGAATGTCGCAGGACCTTCAGGATACTTCACTGTGTGGTTGTTCTCCCAAGATAGCAAAGGGTTCTTGTCTCGATCTACTTTCAACTCAAGCACTGGCAACTGGACTCGAGTGTCTCACTTTTCCACTGCCAAACGAGGAAGTCCTCTTACGGCTACCGCTTTAAATTCAGAGTACTATGCAAACCAAGGGGTATGAGTGGAATCTCATGGGTTGGTACCACGTTAGCTTACTTCTTCCCTTAGAACTACAGCTTTAGCGGCATTCAATACCAAGCAGAAGTAGTCTATCTCAACGATCTCAGTGAGTGTTAATACCCACCTTCTAAGTGTATACTTATGGACGATACAGACTACGTTTCGGAATGGATTTTTCCAGACAATGGGCCTACAATTGGACAACCTGGGTCGCTAGACCAGCAAAGGTATACAGCGTCCGAAAGTTCAAATCTTGCGTTTTACTGGCCAAAGCTTGTGTACCAAGGGCTGGGTGGAGAGCTTCGTGGAGTCAATTTTGAGTGCCATAAGAAGAACCAGTGTTGGCATGATTCTGTCCTACGATCGACCGAACCAAGCAATGGTACTCGATTAGCTTTGGTACCATTAACAAACAACCTCTCATCTACTGCATTATTTTACAGGCAGGAAGATGGTTCATATGTTAACTATAAGGAAGATGGCGGCCAAGCGTCCGTGATATGGAGGAATAGTAAGTACTCCGTTTCAAGAGTGATCTAGTTATCGTCTACTAAAATCATCTACGCCAGGGGCATTCTCAGGCCTTGTACCAGCAGACTCTTCCCTAGCTGCATTCTCAACTACACGCCCCGGGAAGACTGTCTCAAGTTTAAACACCTACCTCCTTTGGCAAGACAAAAACGGGACGATGCAGGTTAGTTGGTCAGACACAGACGAAGGGTGGAAAGGCCCTGTTACGCATCCTGCTTTCGATGGTGCCGATAAAAACACCGCAATCACATGTTTGACCGGCCTTACTTTCCCTAATTTTCCCCTTCCGGTTGGTTCAGAGCTCTCTCGGTGTTATTTTCAAGCAAGGGGTTCGGTCCGAGAGGTAAGCTTTAACGGAACAAGCTGGGATACTGTTGGCAACGTCCCTATTGATATTTAACACTCCTTCACATATCTCTTCCTCTTTGGCTCCTTCTCGATAGCTACCGTTTAATCATTTTAATGGCGACGTTGGAGGCCAGTGTACGATATGCCTAAAATAGCAAGCCGGACTCGCCGTCAGCCACAACCCGAGTTCGATCTACCCCGGATTACCAAGCGGCCAATCATCTTCACCAGTGGAGAACTAAAACGTCATCTACACTGTCAAGAAGCGATCGTGTTCCCATGCCCAGGCCCTGGGTCAAGCTCTAAATTCCTAGTCGCCCCACGCCGTCGACATGCTTAAACCTGAAATTCTCCACAATCTCACCAGCCCACAATCACCCTTTCCCTCTCGCAATTGGGAACAGCGATCAGCACTGACGACCCCGGGAGCGACTACAGGTTCTGGAAGAGCCCGGGTGGTTGCGGTGACAGCGTGTTTACACTCCTCGCGATTGTTTCGCTTGGTTCAAGGCTGTTTAGGACTATTGACTGATATCGGAAAACCCCGGTTCCAACTGTTTCGATGGCATCTCCGGCATCTTCGTCACTCGCCTCGCAATCAACACCTCCACAAGGGGCTCTTAATTCTGCCGGTGCTGGAATCACAGGAGGTAAGATTATGACCCGTTTCGCTATGCACATACTTATTTCATTCTATAGGCTATACAGGCAATTCGCTCTGCCTACAAATCATCATCGCATTCTTCATCGGCCTATCCCTGTATAACGCCATCGAACTTATCACTCTAACTCTTGTGACTTTTCAAAAGTACAAGGGTCTATACTTTTGGAGCTTAATCATCTCAGCTTTCGGCATACTGCCTTACTCCCTCGGCTTCTTGATCAAATTCTTTCAACTCTTAGACCCATCTCAGAATGTAGGGTACGTGGCAGTTGTGTTTCTCAGCGTGGGCTGGTGGCTCATGGTCACAGGTACGTGTCTTCTCTGGGTGGGCCGAAAAGATGGTTACTAATGCGTGCAATTTCCAGGTCAATCAATTGTGCTCTGGTCCCGCCTCCACCTCGTCAGTAACTCACGTCGCGTGCTGAGATGGACTCTCTACATGATTATTGTTGACGCAATCATCTTCCACACTACTACCAGCGTTCTCACCTTTGGCTCCAACTCCAACGGTTTGCCTCATGGAACTCTACAAAATTTCGTAAATGGATACAGTATTGTGGAGAAAATACAAATGGTTGCCTTCTTCCTCCAGGAACTAATTATCTCAGTTATATATATTAAAGATACGTTACGCCTGCTCAAACTTTCAGAATCCGTAAAAGGCGACTTCAGTAGTGTTGAAGGAAGTCTCGGACACAACAATAGGAAAACAATGTACCAGCTCATTGCTATTAACGCGATCATCATTGTGATGGATTGTGCTCTTTTAGGTATTGAGTTCGCGAATCTGTACATCATCGAAACTACGCTTAAAGGCACGGTCTACTCAATCAAACTCAAGCTAGAATTCGCGGTTCTCGGAAGACTAGTAAATCTTGTCCGGACACAATCAGGCTCCGGGGAGCATGCAAGAAGAGGAACATTTACCAGACATATATTGGAAAAAAGCGAGTCTGGGGGCAGTCGTGGTGTGAATGGTGGCGCGATTGATTGGCCGGATTTCGTAGATCCAAGGCACGTAAGTGGGGACGTTACACATGCAGAACCGGCTATAGAAAGAGCAGGTAGACATGATGGAGAGAGAGGATTAACAAATGCTGAGAGGGAAAGGTGGAAGCGGAGGAGTAAAACACAGAAGGGAAGTTGGATTGAGGAAGAGATGGATAAGCATAATATTGGGTGAAGAGCTTTGAACTTGCGACTCGCTCTATGGCCACAATCTAGCGCCAGACCACATCTGCTCTACGAAAGACAACCACAACGACTCAAAGCTAATTTACGAATTCTGCCGGAATATCCCAAACCGGATATCCGGATACATCCGGATACATTCCACCATTTCCATCCCAGTCTTTGCTCTAGAGAAGGTCGACCGACTGGCCCGACACACCGAGCCGTGTCGAAAGCCACCCCCGCAACGTGACAACCAATGTGAGTGGTTGCCGAGCGCGCCATTAACAATAACTGGAGGTCAAGTAATTGTGGCTGCCGCTGAGGGCTTAGTGATTGGTCTAGCATGAGTTGTGTTGAGTTTATCTCAACGACATTAATGAGGTAAAGAGTGCCCCTGTACAGAGTATGTCCGCGGATTGCTTATCACACTATAATATCATCATTACTTTAATCATTAAGTGGTTTTGGAAAGCGCGCTTTGTGCATGTTGACTCTAGAGAAAAGTGAGTTAGTTGTTACTAATTCACTAAGTCTTCTTTCACTGATGACATTGCAAGGCCATGCTTTGAATGTTCTTCCTATATACCTTGCGTACTCTTCTACATACGCCATATATCTTGCCTATTCCGCTAGTTCGCCTTGTATCCTTACTATAATAGGGTGTGATTTCCCACATAATCCTAATTATTGAAAATATCTGGGGTCTTTGAAATGATACGACCCAATTATCCAAATCCTCCTTAGGCTTAGGATCCGTACCATACCCATTCCAATCGCTACCGTTCCCAAAGTCACCTGCGTAGGCCCGAGGGTTATAATGTCTGTCTTGGGAAGGAAATATTTCAGTGGGATAACTTTGTCTGGATCGGCGTACAATTTTTCGTCACTGGAAGTGTACTCATACTTCCGATCCTACTCCGCTTCCTTCACAATCACTGCTTGTTCAGGGTCGTTTCCCGGCTCCAAAGAATTCAAGTACTGCCGCACGAAATGACTAAACGGTGAACAGTTCTTTGGACTACCTTTCGCGAATCCTGTATCATTACCATCTTTGCCGTTAGACCTCGATTTCTGCCTGCAACATTCACTGCTGTTCCGATAGCATTGATCGCGCCAGAGGCAGCATTTGGCAAGGCTGACTACGTTGCCAAAAGGATAATTCTTGCACTCATCAGGTGTGAATGTGGAGATATTTCGAAGATGTTGATCAGTAATGCCGAACTACGCTTGCCAGAATTTAACATCAAAAATGAGTGTTGCGTCGCCAAAAGGTCAACCTTCCAGCTAGCACAGCAGAAGGATATATATAGGCGGATAATTGTACGCGACAGTGAGTTTAAGAGTTTGCAGTCATAGTAAGGATGCCATATGTCTAGTTTCTAGCTTCAGGGAAATAATAGGGCAATATTCCATGTAGAGAACTCCATTAGTACTGAAAGTAAGCGAAATGGCGATTTACAGCCGTCGTGACATGTTGGGCATACTTTGGATGTTCTGAAGGCGATGCCTAGCATGAAGAGTTGTACTCCCCCTCTTATAGTGTGATTTCTGTCCCTTTTGGGCGAGGTCCGTTTGGACATTTGGTGACGACTCGGGCTTTAAGAATTCTCAAAAAGCGCCCACAAAGGCACCACCGCATGTCAAGAACATCTTTATGCAGGTTCGCCTTCCGGTTTTCACACTCCACTTAACTTTATTCTTAAGGATGAGCTACAGCGCTATACTTCCCTTAGGCTAACTCCTGCGATACATTGCGCTTTCCGCAGTCTACTTACTGGATTCAACCTCTGAGATAGTAAATTACTGAATGAATTGCGCGTATTGCTACCGTTAAGCCTTCGCATGCGACATTCATCACGCCTCTGTAGTGACGTCTAGAAAAATGGATTTCGCTGCAGTCTAGCTTCGACCGTGGCTTGGCTACCATTATCCTAGATTTCCCTAGCAATCCAACGTCCCATCCCTCTCTAACCTCCGAGTGTTTCCAGAAGACATATAATCACGCAAAGTAGTCTCAGTCAAAATTTTCTCAATTCATCTCCAGTCTCATCTCCGCATTCCGACTATGCTCGGCCGTTCCAGCTGCGTATCATCAGAACCACACTACTGAATGTAAACTGCCGCTATGTAGGGGCATTGCTTGGTGGGTATATCTCTCGTGTAGCACGCTATCTGGATTTTGGCAAGCAGAGGGGGACAGGAAAGGGGCATGGTATTGTGCCATCCCGGGCCTGCATATACACCCTTGTCTCTAACCCCGCCCCATGAGACTGTGAGGTCCTGGCTATTCGTCATTCTAATTTATGTGGAAGAGCTGAGATCTATTCAAACTATGTTACAAGCTAATAAGTAAGTCTATCGCTTTAGTCGCGCTTCAAGAACCGACTGTCCAAGCATCGATGCGCCATGCTTCTCCGACTTCTGCTCGCTCCAGACTTTGACCAGTTCCAATCCTGATTCGATCAGGAGTTCACGAAACTGCTTCTCAGTTCGCTCGAGGGATGCGTACGCTGCCATCATGGTGATGTCCATTCCCGCAGCAATGAACGAGGCACCGCGTTCGGGCATGATGGTCTCGCTCAAAAGAACAACCGAATCCGGCCCCATTGCGTCGCGCACCTGCTCGAGGATGATTTTGGCTTGTTTGTCTGGCCAGTCGTGTAGGACATGAGCAAGGAAGTAGACCTTGGCACTCCTAATCGGCTGTGGCTTGAAAAAGTCAGATACCATAGCCTCGATGCCCGGTGGAAGAGACTTGATGCTGTTAATGACCGGGGCAATATCCTGGACAATCATGCGTCGGACTTCTGGGTGGTGTTCTTTAAAGTCGATCGTTTGGTGGCCGGTGCCTCCACCAATGTCAACCAGAAAGACCTCTGGAGCGGGTTCTTCGGCCATTAGTCGCTCGATCGGGAATACTTCGAACCATTTAGAATCAATACTACGCTGAGTTCGAATGGACATCATGACATTGAAGGCATGTTGGAGCTTTGGGTCTGCTGCTATCCAGTCAAAATTATGTAGTTTGGTTCCCATTGCGTGCTGAAATGGGCAGTCCATGGAGTCAGTGGGACTTTGATACCCCTTTTCAGCAAAGTAATCAGGAAGCTTGGCTATCTGGATCATGTGCAGGGTCCTACAAGCGTCAGAGGGAACAGCCTAGCCGAAGGCTTAATATACCAATGGATGATGATCTGGGCCATTGGCGAATCATACTGGTAGAGGGCAGCAGCCGGCGTGGGTTGAAAGACGTCTTGTCCAATCTCGTTGAAAATCTTCATGTCAATGAGGACACGCATGACTCTTTCTAAAGAATATCAGCCATCTCTTCTCATACACCTCTTCTGCCACCTACTAATCAGCAGTGCCTCGCACTTTGTTTCACTACTCAGTTGCTCTAATGTCACATTCTCCTTTGCCGCAGTTGGTGCGCATACGTCGAAGAGGCGCATATCAATCGCGAGGCGGAGAGCGATTGATCTCAACGGCTGGGACATATTATTAGAAAATACACACTCTCTGACCAACATACTTACCGCGAATAACAAGTTCATTAGTTTTTGGTCGAAAGGCTGGTGTGCCTCGACGAGATTGGTACACGCTTCAAAGAGTTGAGCCTTGTCAGCCTCCGTCGTAGAAGCAAGATTTGCAGAAGCGTCATTGAGAGCTTTCACAATGGCAGAGACATCCATGGTCAACGACTAGTAGTGCTAGAAAGTATTGAGAGACGAGTTTAACGGAGGGGCATGGCTTTATACTAAATTTCCAACTTTGAGAAGTAGCACCCTTCGCATCCGCGGCTCCGTGGATCCGAGAGCATGGACCCTTTGAATTCCTACCTCCCCTCTCTTCCGTTCCCTCCACCGCCGAATGATTGCTCATATTCGGTCCGGATTGGTGCAACTATATCAAGCCTATATTCTAGTCGCAAGTTCGACTATCGCCTCCGCGGCCCCGCGGACCCGTTCTCCAACTCTTGTACCACCACCAGGATGATACCTGGCACGCAAAGGAATGCATGTCTATCATGCCGTCAAAGGAAACTCAAATGCAATAGACAGCGACCATGCACAAACTGTATTGCTCGCTCAGTCGAGTGCAAGAAACAGTTACTCCCGGCAGTCAGCAGAGGAGCCAAAGGACCTCTCGATGAGTCTGATCCATCGACAATATCAAATATCCTCTCCAGGTTGGATCGAATTGAAGCTTACATCAATCAAACGAAAGATAGTGGCAGTGCCAGCCTTGTCTCAACCCCAATTGGAAATGAGCTCAACATGATACGAAATGACGTTCCAACCATAGCCTCGACAAGACAAGCGCCACCAATCGATAGAACCACTCAGTCAATCCCCTCTGATCTCGGGATGCAACGGGTCAAAGTCTCAGCAAATGACAACATCCTGGTATGCCTTTAATACTAATAAACTGCTCCCCTAGATCTAATCGTGGACAGCGCCTTGCTCTAATGCATAATCTTTCCATATCCATCTCGACAGACTCCCAAGTTCAGAAATATACGGACTCCCGTCAGATTCAACTGCCTCCTAAATGGGAGGCTATTCGCTTATTTCAAGTCTACCTTAATTATATTGGCCAATTTCAACATATCATCTACGAGCCACATTTCCGCACTTTGATCGAGGAAGTCTACTACCAAGTAGCTCATGTCTCAACGACAACTGCGCCACGGGGGTTAGCTTTGATATTAGGTATCATTGCAATAGCAACCATACTCGAGCCTCTCCAAGGCAATCTAGATGCAGTCATCCCTGTTCTCAAAGAACGGCTGAGTATATGCGCCATCTACATCCGATCGTCTATGGATTGCTTGGAACAGCATCGCCGAAGAATGAATCACTCGCTCGAGAATGTACAAGCTATGCTTATTCTTCAATTCCTCATCAACCATATTGAAGCTTTCTCTCCCAGATACCGCGCCTTACTAACCGAGGCCATTGCGGTGTCTCACAGTCTCGGCCTCCATCTCATTGATTTGACAATAGCTAAAGGAAGTCTATCGCAGGATGGGACAGACCCAGTTACCCAAGAGATGAAGCGGAGAGTTTGGTGGTATCTGGCAGCCACGGATTGGATGGTATCCATGGCAGAAGGTAGATACCTTCTGTTCAGAGCGTCGGATGAGTTGCTAACTCAGCGAAGGGCCACTTGAAGCAGTCTACCTCATCCAGCCGAAGCTTACCACTTCCAATATCCCGAGGCATATCAATGATGAAGACCTTGGCAATCCTAACATCCAAGAGCGGCCACTGTCAGAACCGACTACCATGTCATATGTTTTGCATCGTCTCAAAATCGCAGAAATAGCTCGATGCATTTCAGACGTGATACCGCACGATCCAAACGACGCGACTTGCGAACTAATAGTCCCACTTGATTCCAAACTCGAATCGCTGATTCAAGACCTCCCAGCTTTCTTCAAAGTCGAAATTGCAGACTCGGAAGAGACTAGAGTAATTGACCAGACCCATTCGTACATTCCTATGCAGCGACTCTTGATTAATATGATGATCAATATTATTCGATGCAGACTCCACTTCCCCCACCTCGCTGGAAGCCCGAGCGAATCTCTTCACGTCTTCTCACGAAATGCTAGCTTGAAGGCTGCTCGGCAATTGCTCGCAGCGCATCAGGACATGATCACTTCGGAGATTTCGCACTCCGCCGATTTCATGAAAATCCAAGGGACAGTCTTTCACCTATTCATGGGAGCGTTGATTCTGGCAACAGACCTCTGTTGTAATCAACCGAATGGCGAGGATCGTGAACGCCAATCATCTGAGTTGATGGTAGCTTTAAAACAGCTGGATGGGATAAAGCAACATTCCCAAATTGCTGCAAAATTCCTCGAGGATTTGACGCAATTGCTCGTCAAGTACGGAGTTTGGTCATCCTACACGACTGTTTCACCAAATGTGGGGAATGAATTGTCGCCAAATGTGCACTCGTTTGGAAATGGACAGATTGGTGTACAAGATCTTTCTAGCCCTCTTTCCTTTGATGATTTATGGGAGACATTTGTAGAACGGCCTTCCGCTCTAGATATGATTGATATCTTGTAAATTAACAGGCTGGAGTTACGAAATGGTGACCTTACCTAAGAAATGAAATAACAATGGCCACGTCCTGATTCAAAAATAAAGTCTAGTTTCAAGATAATCCTCCGCAGTCCCGACCTGAAGTATTGGAGCGCTTGAGTAACGGTAACTGGGGGTTTTCCATTGACAAGTAATACGAGGTCTCCAGTGCTTGAGAGCCTGATCCAGCTCCTTGGAACTCGCTCACGATCAGGAACCCGTTAAGGACAGACTCGGATCCTTGTTGCACAGTGGGCACTCACTCACTGCTCACTTACTGCTCACCCAGGTGCTCGCCTCCTGCTTATCCAGATACTCACCCACTGCTCAGCCTGCTCATTTGGGAACTCCACCCAACTCACTCCACGGATATTCGCTGAGCCCGCGATAGAGTAATTCACTGATGCGTCACATTGTGCTGTGCCACCACTTAAGCCAAATTGGCACCTTTTTAGAGCAAAGGAGATTGAGAAGATAAAGTGAAGAGACTAGCTAAGATGTTACAGATAAAAAAAATTAAAAACACAGATGAATGAATGGTTAGCTTTGCCAAATTCGTAAATTCAACAACCCCCAAAACTCTGAGGCACAAACCCCAAGGATCCGAAGTAATAGGTTCTGGTTTAAGGGGAATATCTGTCAACGGTGTTAACCTAGAGCGTCCTTTCCCATCTTTCCTTCCGGAGCGCAGAAAACGCCCTACTAGAGTTTTTGGACCATAAAGCAGTATCACAGGCCGTCCTTGGCCGTCTCGTCCACTTTCATAGCTTCAGTAGAGTCCGACCTCTTCCAATCAGGGCGTGCGGGAATTGTCCAAATGAGCCCGAATTTGCTTGACTCAGTTTTTTCCGTTCTTCATTCTCTCTTCCACTCTATCGGACTCTCTCGTGTACCTTGGAGCTAGATCGGCCTCAACGAGTTTACACGCAACCTTCCTGGCCCTTCCACTACCAGGTTGCAACATGAGAAGCTGCGTCAACGTAGGATTTCTTAGACTTTTGTACTTGTAAGGCTTTAAGACATCATCGCCTACTTTACCCGAATCTAACGATGAAAGGGACGAGCCACGGTGGTGATGACGAGGTTGTGCTGATGGCATAGTAACGATGTCTTTGGCAACTTAACGATGAAGATATTTTAGAGATGCAATTCGGGGAGCACCCCTGATATTGATTTCTCGAACAGCAAAATTGAGCCCAAAACCTGGGATATTATATGCACCCCAAATTTAAGCCACAGGCTAGCTAATCGTTCATACTGCAGACAATGAAGGGTTGCATGTCGGGTCGTCCCGTCTCAGTCCCGCCCCCATTCTCGGCTTCACCTAAGTTAATGAACAGGGGCTTATATGACGCCGTGGAACCATCAACCGGATCACACAACATGTGGAGAGACCAGGCCCCAAGATTGCGGCCTCCTTAAGGTTCCAAGTGAAGAAGGCAGGCTGATTCAGTTGATTGTTGATTGTTAGCATCCACTCAGTCTGTGAGGGGAAGTAGTAATGGTGGATTGGAATTGACACACGTGCCGACAAGCCTTTGTGGAGATGTGTACCAAACCTAAAAATCAGCTAGACAGACCTGCCTAAAAACCTTAACATAGTGCAAAAAGTTTGCTTCAGGTGTGGGCGAGCCGACCTAGGAAGCTGATAGAACAACCGGCGTTGGCTCTGCTTTAAATTAGTTTTTAGCCTCGCAGCAAGCGCATGGGACGCGGAGCCCGCTGGATGACCAACCAGACAGATCTAAGAGCTTCCGACAAGCTGTTATTGGAAGAACACCATATAATCATATCGAGGAATGAGTCCATTGGATCTTATTATCGAATCCTCAAAGCGCCGGACTCCGAGAGGCATGTCGTTTCCAGGTTCTTTAGCATGATGTCGTATCATCCGGATATCAAAAGCAGTGGACTGGCTTGCTGCCTCTAACAGCTTCTCAACCCAAGATCCCGAACATCAGACAAGGCATGGCCTCTCTCGCACCTGATCACACCAAACTAGCCGGACGACTGCTTGCTTATCGGCTATAGCAGCGTTTGGCTGGAACCTACTTTTGGCAGCTAACTTTTACTATTGCGGCGAAAGATGAAGACTTCCACGTTCTCCTCGCCCAGTTCATCGTCACCAGGCAGCGGTAGGCAACTGGTGGTTTCGATAATAAATCCAGCCTCAAGCATGAGATCAAAGATGATGCTCTCGCTCGAATGCCGCACCTTCATCGCAAGGATGACGGCTGCAGCTGGAGAGCATTCGGTGAGTCGGGATATTGTCTTAACTAATGCCGGACTGAAGGTAATATGTCAGTTGTTATTACCTGCCAAGGACTGGAGTGACTAGAACTAACCTGCTATCCGGATTATAGGTGCAGTCAGCTGCGACAATTACATCAAACTGAGTACAGTGCGCACAGCTAGGAGAGCCAATACGCAGATCTGGCAAACTTTCTTCCCAGTCTATCGTTCGAAACTTCATTGTAGAGCCTGTTCCTAGGATAGCTTTACTCATATTCAGTTTGAATATCTCCTCGGCTTCGGGAAGGTCACTTGTGATAATATCGGCTCGCTCGATGATTTGAGCAAGGGATATTCCAACCTGTGCAACATATTAGCAAGCGGGTGTGTGGGTCACATCAAAAAAGTTACCATTCCACAGCCTGTACCAAGCTCAAGGATTTGAAGTCGTCTTTTGTCTTTTGGCGATTGGAAGATCTTTGCCAAAGGGGTTTCCTTCGGAGTGTCGATAAGTCCACCTAAATAACAGGACAGTGCTATACCAGCATCCCTACGCGAATTTTAATTCGCTCAATTTTTTATTATTAAAGGGAGTAATTACCACAAATGACGAGCAATGCTTTCGCCTGTCTCTTCCAAAATAAACATTTTATTTTGAGCAGAGAGAGCAAACCGTCTCTCGACAAGTTTTGCAGCATCTCTAGTGCCACCGGAAGGAGATATTGGCGCACTCCAGGCGGAGACTACGCCGCGAGAGCCTTTGTCGCACAGTTTCATAAAATCATCTGAAGACAAGGAAGGCTCTATTCCTACGCGGATTACAGCAGGCCAGACCACTTGCGATCCGCCAAGGGGAATACGGATAGGTAGACTCCGCATCACAGCAGTCCATTGGACAGTCTTTTGAATGAAGAATTTCCCGTCACCTTTTTCTGAGCAGAGTTCAGTGAATAGCTGCACATCATACGGTAGGAACGAGTCTCCCAGATCTGAAGTAATGGAAATAAGACAAAATATGTGGGCCTTTGCTGGATTTTTTCCATCTACAATTCGGGGTAGTTTGAGGAAACGGATATATCTCATTTTGAAAAAAAATCAAAGATAGGCGTGTAAGTGCGAGATGATAGATACGCCGAGTGGTGATTGTTGAGGTGAGCTAGTGAAGATAACAAGTGAAGGAGGATTGAGGGTGAGATAGGATGAATACGGATTAGTGCGCTTAGATACAGGGGACAGTGGGGCGCACGTGCACCCGATCCGTGCACCTGTTGGAGCCGTTGTGAGACGTCAACACCAACTTAAGCCGCTTCACAGCTCCCGCAAACTGCACTTTACATCACCAGTCCTCTCGCCCTCTAACTATATTTTGAAGAAAGAACGTCCTTTTTGTCTGCTGAGCTCAATGCGCTCGCGGAATATATCTCCCCGATAACCGGGCTGAAACGCTGCCATGTATCGTCGTGGAGACCCTCGCTGGAACCGGACAATACAGCACATCACCGACAATATCGAACATGCGAACGAGTCTGCGCAAGAGGGTATCTGGACCTTTACGCACGATTATCTGAATCCGTGTTTTGCTTCTTTTACCCAGTGTTTGAACGACTGTACGACACCCTGCTTTCCGTCGCGCGATGACCGCCGAAGGCGTGGACGGGGCAGAGGGAGGGCGGAGATGAGTTTTGACTTTTATGATGACTGGGAGGAAGAGGATAATGATGGACTCTTAGGCTGGGGTAATGATGAGCTGGATAGATTGCTGGCCGGGTCGAGCAGCTATGGAGGGGTAACCCAGCCTGATCGGCAGCGGGCAATGAATTATGGGACTCGGAATCGCGACGCAAGATATAATACCGCGAGGAGGAAAAGCGCAGTACAGCCTCATGACGGTGGGCCGGATCCGACCATCATACCAAGCTCTTCATACTTTGGATTCTTGGGAAGGCTGCCTTTTAAGATTGGCGGGAAAGTGTTGAGATATAAGCCCTCGGCTGCCGACCTCACTGAACATCCGGGGCAGTCGAGAAGGAGTCAAGAGGAGCAGCATCCCTTGATTGAAGACAGCGACGAGGATAGTATCAGGGCGGGCGAGAGAAAAGGGCATCGGCGGCAGAGGAGCCAGACGAGTGGATCTGGCCATACAACGGATTCCCTCAGCTCAAGAGGCGATATATTCCCTAGCGAAGATGAGGACGATGCCGTTCCTCTGGATGATGAATTCACACTTGCGCTGGAGCGCCGCGCAACAGGCCGAGGTCTCGATGACACTAGCAGTGGGAAGACGCGCGCAGGAAGCAACAGACCCTCCAGATCGCATGTGTCCACTCGAACAGCATCGTCACGGAACACGCATGATTCTGGAAAGAGAAGTACCGACGACGCAAACATGAAGCGCTCGGCATCCTCAACTATAAAAGAAGTCCCAACCCTCTCGGATCTTAAGCAGGAAGAAGAACGTGTGCGAATAGAAGAAGAACGCGAAATCGAGCGCAAACGACAAGACGCCCAACAACTCGCCTTAAAACGCGGTCTAGCATCCGACCTCTCTCAATCCCTCCATCTCCAAACATCCTCTGCAATCGACAACTCCAACGCCGCCACCAAGCTCCCCCGCTCTTCCTCATCCCCCCACCTCCCCGCGCAAATGTCATCACTCCAAACCTCCACGTCCCCGTTGCTTCGATCCCCCGCGATGGAACCAGCCGTCGACGCAGTCCCGTTTCCGGCGTTTGATCCTCAGACTGCGCCGGATAGTAGCTCGTTCCATGTTGATGAGAGCGATTATTCGAGTCTTGCGCCTACCCCGAATAGGCCGCTGAGTTTGAGGGACGAGGCTAGGGACGTGCAGGTTGAGTCAGGGTTTGTGCCGGCGATGTTGCCGCATTTCAACACGCAGCCGGATTGAAAGCTAGATGGGGATTGTGGGTTTTGAGCTTAGGATTGGGGTCTTACTACTGTCAACCATGCTGTGGAATAATGTGGAAGTTGGTGATGAGACTTCTCACGAATGGTAGAGAGAACAGAGACACTCAAAGTGGGGAAAGAGGTCCAGATGTGCCAAATCCTTACCCATGACGTCACGGGTCAAAGCTTGGAGAGAGCTTGCGCTATTATTTCCTACGACGGCGGTTAGAGGAGGCGGGCTTTTTCACGAAGGGCAAGGGCAAGGCATGCATGAGAGGCCATCATTTTGGCAGAGATTCTTGGACGTCCAACCATCGCATGGTTTGACCGCATCTTCGCATATGCTCAGAATCTACATAGACTACGAGTGGGATAGACAGATGCTGCATCGTCAATATTATTATCGCATCAAATCCAATCCAGTCCATGTAGTCTATTTCAAGAACCTCCAAACGTGATCTTCCTCCCCATCAGATCATGATAGATATCCTCCAGGACGTCTCTTTTCCTCTTCTTGCTGCTCTCGGCTTCGTCCCTCTCCTGCTCTTCTTCTTCATCTAAGAGCGCATCTTCAGTCGGTCGCGGTTTCCACGCTGCTATACTCCCGTCTGCGTGTGCAGAATAGAGCTCGATGTCATGAGCGCGCCATGCCAGGGCTGTGATGCGATCCTTGACATTTCTCCGTCCTTTACCAGACGAGCCTTCATTCAGTTTCCTTGCTTGCTCTAGACGCTTTAGTCGGCGGAGAAGGTTTCCTTCGAAGAGCTCGTAGACGAGGATTTCGTGCTCGTTGGGGTAAAACACGACATCTTTCTCGACCGGCAGATCACATACGGGTGCTAGAACCGGGATCAGCGGCGCGAGATGAGAGTTCCTGACCATCGGGCCGAAATTCGCGAGAGTGTTTGCGCCCGTGTCGGTGTCCCAGACGCGAATTCTCTGATCGTGGCCACATGTTATGATGTGCTTTCCATCCTCAGTCCACAGCATCCCGTTCACAGGACCGCGGTGCGCTTTATTTTGAACGGAGCCGCGCGTTGAGGACGGTCGCCCCATTACCCCGACCGAGTCTTCGAGGTCTAGAGTCCCGAGTTCCCCGACGCTGCGCCGGATGTCCCAGAACCGGACGCTGCCGTCTGTCGCCCCGCTTGCGAGAATGTGGTCACGAACGGGACTCCATGCGCAGCTGAGAATCGCGCCGGAGTGCCCGGCGAGGGAGTGCGTGCTGGCTCCTGACCGTAGATCTATGAGCCGGACGGCTGGGTGCTGGGTCGCGCATGCGACGAGTAGGTGGTCTGCGATGGGGGAAAGCGCGATGTTGTAGACTACCGAGTCGAGATCGAAGGATGCGGAGTCTTGCAGGGTTTCCGAGGAGTAGATCTTGACGGTGTGGTCGTAAGATGAAGAGAGGAAAGCTAGAGAGTCGAAGGGGTAGAAGCATAGTTGTGTTATTCCGAGCTTATGTTCTTCGGATGTCTTGGTCGTGGAAGATAGTGGGAGGTATACGGGGCTGCCGTGGTGGGAGATGGAGGAGGGTTCCTCGAGATCCCAGAGTCCGATCGAGGAGTCTGCGCCGCCGGACAAGAGATATCGGCCCTCAAATTTGTCGATTGCCAGGGTATTGACACCCGATGGATGGGCGACGGAGTGATCGGCGGGGTTGTCTTTGGATGGCGGACGCTGACTAAAGGTTGTGGTGGTGGGTTGAAGCGCGTAGATGAGGCGTGACGCGGCATGGCGTCGGAGGACATTGTGGTCGGTGAAGCCGAAGGAGCGGCTGAGGAGTTGTTGGGTGTTCATATGAGACTACATGTCTTAGGTTGGGAGGAAGAAGCGATGATGTGGTAAAATATGGTAGCCTTGACTCGAGGTGGGATGGGAGCTATGACCACATTCATCAGCCACAGCCGCCTGAGAGCTTGACTTGACCTCTTCGATATGCGCTCGGTGTGAATTCCAAACTCACGCGATGATTGAACAGAGAAGACGACATGGCATTCTTCAAACGGCCTCCGCCAGAGACCGAATCAGGTAGTGAAACCGGCGAGTCTCCAAGACCGCCAAAGCGAAGAGCCACTGTCTACGACGCCGTTGCCGGTGACTAATGCCCTCCCACATCTCAGAGCCTCGCACTTACCCTACTCAGGCCGAGTCTCCCAATGGGGCTTCATCCGAGATACCCCTCCATCTTCCAGACCCTCAGCAAATCAACCCCTCCGCCCTGATGAAATCCTCTTCAAGCAACGCAACGCGCCCACCCGTTATGAAGAATCTGACTACTACTTCGCCCACAGACTCCTCCCGCCAGATCAGAAACTGCCTAGCTCAGACCTGCTAAGCGCGCTGCATGCGTATATTTCCAACTTCTATGCGAGGAGTGATGAGAGAGTGAACCAGAAGGCCTGGAAGAGTATGGATGAAACGGCGCTTATTGCGTTGGGAATTTTAGTCGAGGAGAACATGAGGGAGATACTTGGGGAGACTGGGCATCTTGCGTTCTTGGAGGGTGCAGACAGCGAGGAAGATGGGGATGAGGGGGTTGTAGAGTCTGCTGATATAAGTCAGGGGAGCAGCGAGTCTGAAGGTCACGGAGAGGGGGACAGTTCTAACCCTGAGGTTTCTAGTAGTGGGTCTAGCTATAGCTCGGACGGGACGGACTCGTAATCTTGGGATGCGGAGATATGTGGTTAGCTTCCATTTTCGAACAACACCACTTGCTATGTTTGAATGAGGCAGGCGCGGTCGTTGCCTCACACAAAATACTACCATCTGCCCTCTTCCGCATCCTATGACGCTTTAAGCTAATTCTCCCGTCGGCATCAATGGTGTGGTGCAAATGAGTAGCTATGTGTCAGCCTACTACTAATGCTCTCGTCTAGGCACCCAAAGTGACAGCCAATGCCGCCAAACAGGCGCTCATTCTGGCCTGGTTCCACAAAACAGCTATCGCCCACAGCATCAAAGACCTCGAAAAAGCTCTCCCGTCAGTCGCATCTATCAATGGCATGCAAGTGAAGGACTATCTACAATCTCTCTCAGACGACAACAAGATCCGCGTCGAGAAGATTGGCAGTGGCAACTGGTACTGGAGTTTCCCGATCGACGAGAAGAAAGCCAAGGAAACTGCTCTCGAAAAAGCCCAAGATGAGTACAACAAGGCTTCTGCTACAGTCACGGAACTGCAAGCGAAGGTTGACGAGGCCGGCGCGGCGCGTGAAGATGATGAAGACATGCTACTTGGCACTGGTGCGTCCTGTTACAGCCAAACCTGATTCCAAGCTGACCTAGCTCAGGCGGAGACCGGAAGACGCTCATTACTAAGCGTGCAGACTTGACAAAAGAGCTCGAGAATCTTCGAATGGAGCTAGCTGCATACAGTGAACAAGATCCTGTGGAGATGGACAGAATGAATGCAGAAACACAGCAATTCAAGAATGACGCCGAGAAATGGACGGATCAGATCCTCAGTATGGAGGGTTGGTTGAAAGGGCAGACAGGTGGTGACAAGGAGCAGATGTCCAGCATCATGAGGACGTACTATGGGGATGAGTTTGATGAGGAAGAGGGTGGTTTACGTGAGTTGTGATTCGAGATTCCGGGAACGTGTCGAGACGAGTCTGTGGAAAGGTGGTAGCATCTGATCTAGCTGCATACACTCCAGATGATTCATAGCATCACTCAGCCATGATCGTGGCTTCTGAACATGCGAGAAATAGCGATGCCTGAGTCACCAAAAATGACTCTGTCGTGAAGCTAGCCTAGATGTGGCTCGTGTATGAGTGGCTGAGTGACCTATCCTCGCTTCGGCAGGCGTCATTACCGCTTTCACCAAACGACCACCAAACACCCGACAGCAGCGTACAAAAGCCCCCGCTGGCCAACGGCTTTCGGCAACCTCAGCTGTTCCTTCAATTCATATTTCTCTGAACGATCAGTCCTGTGCGTAATACCAGCACCCAGAGACCCTTTTCAATTTCAACTCCGTTCCCGTTCTGTTACCCCACATGGCTTCAAACACCGAGACTGCGAGCGCATCCCCAGACAACCCCCCGGGCCCTAATAGTCCACGTCGAGGAGGGGATAGGGGCAGAGGAGGAGCGAGGCGCACGTATGGGTCGGATGAAGGTCACGAATACAGTCCACGGGGACGAGGAAGAGGCGGACCTCGAGGTGGGACGCGGGGTCGTGGCATTCGAGATGGTGGGAGCGGTCGCGGAGGACGTCCTCCAGAAAGAAGTTTGGGAAAAGCTCCAGTATCAAATCCAAATATTTCCGAAGGACCACAGAGTGGAAATACAGTGCCAACTTTGGTCACAAAGCCCGCTCCCGAGGATGTGGCAGATGAGACGGATGGTGAAGTCTGCTTCATCTGCGCTTCACCCGTACAACACACCGCTGTCGCTCCTTGTAATCACCGTACTTGTCACATTTGCTCTTTGCGATTAAGAGCTCTGTACAAGACCAAGACCTGTGCTCACTGTAGGGTAAGTTGGCTCTATAGGAGTTTGATTTGGATTCGTATATTAATAATTCGGATAGACAGAGTCGGACCACGTCATATTTACGGATAATGCCACCAAGGATTTCCAAGACTTCTCCACAGAAGAGTTTTACAAGTCGGACGATAACTTGGGCATTCGGTTTGAGAACCCCGACATCTACGAGGATACGGTCTTGTTGCTCCGATACAACTGTCCTGATGGGGAGTGCGACATTGCTTGTCTGGGGTGGCCTGACTTGCATCGACATGTCAAAAACTCTCATGGGAAAGTCATGTGGTAAGTCTGGGATTATCCCGTTTGTTTCAATGCAGGGCACTGACCGGGTCTAGCGATCTTTGTACGAGGAACAAGAAAGTCTTTACACACGAGCACGAGCTATTCACTTACGCTGAATTGAAGAAACACCAGAAGTTTGGCGACGACAACCCTGGTGCAGTGGATCAGAGCGGGTTCAAGGGACATCCTGAGTGTGGTTTCTGTCGACAACGATTCTACGGTGATGACGAATTGTACACACATTGCAGGGACAAGCACGAGCGATGTCATATCTGCGACCGCCGCAGTGAAGGCAAGAAGCCACAGTATTATGTCGACTATAATGCATTGGAAGTGCACTTTCGGAAAGACCATTTCCTTTGCCCGGATCGAGAGTGCCTGGAGAAGAAATTTGTTGTATTCGATTCTGAGATGGATCTCAAGGCCCACCAGCTGGAAGTCCACCCAAATGGTCTGTCTAAAGATGCCCTTCGGGATGCTCGGAGAGTAGACATGTCAGGTTTCGACTACCGTGCCTCTCATGAACTCGAGAGGGGTGGAAGGAGGGAAGGACGGGGGAGGGGACGAGGACGGGATCCCAATTCAGAGCCGTTGCCTCAATCCTTTGCCCAGCCAATGAGCAGAGCAGAATTGGCTTATCAGAGACAGATGGCTATTCAAAGCGCACAATCTGTCACGGGACGAACTTTTGGGGGTCAGCTTACATCTGCAACAGACATATATGCGGCGAGGCTTCCAAGGGGAGGACATGAACCGTCAACCCTCACAGCAACCCGACCTGCTACAACAACGGCAAATGTCGCCAGTAATCTAAATGCGCTGAGCATTGAACCAGCATCCGCAGCGTTAGCTCCTCGAACTCCGCAAGAACAAGCGCGGCTTCTACGCCACAATGCAGTCACTGAGCGAGCTACGAACATGTTGCGGAACGATCAAACGAAGCTTGGGGAATTCCGTTCCAAGATATCGGCGTACCGCAATTCCAAGATGTCGGCAACAGAGCTCATTGATAGCTTCTTCTCACTGTTTGATACATCCTCGGTGGAGCTGGGCAAGCTAATCAAAGAACTCGCCGACATTTTTGAGGTCCAGTCGAAACGGGATGATCTCCTCAAGTCCTGGAATGATTGGAAGGCGATCAACGAAGACTACCCTTCACTACCAGGTGGAACAGGGCTTTCGTTGGGTGGGGGCCCAGCGGCACATGGCGGATCTCGAGTGCTGAAACTCAAGAGCTCGACGGCACAGTCGTCACGCTCTGCTGTCAGCAGGCAAGCAAGCTGGGCCTCGACGTCATCAAATAGCCCTTTTCCTCCTCTCGCGGCAGCATCGTCTGGTCGCATCGGAGCAAAACCAGGACAGACGCCGTGGGCAAGCGGCTCTACCACCACTCGGGCTTCACCTCTGCCATCCCGTGCTTCGTCCTCAGCGGCGTTGAACAAGAAAAATGGCAATGAAGAAGCATTCCCGGCACTACCACTGGCGCCCAAACCGGCAAGTACAATTTTCAGTCCCGGATACTCCGGTGCGGGATTGAGGCGAGACAACAGCGGAAGGAACACGCCGGCGAATGCCTGGGCTGCAGGCGGAACAGTTGTAGGGGCGAGCAATGGGGCAGCTGGGGCTGGGTCGGACGAGGCAGGCGCTGGGGGGGGAGGAAAGAAGAAGGGAAACAAAAACAAAAAGCAGACACTGTTCCACTTTGGCTAAGTCAGTTGGCGGAGAGGTGCAGATGCGTCTGCAGCTAAGCATCCCGGACTGCCTGTTTCGGTCCGCGGACTGAGGTGCCGGGGGGTAAAGCGAGCCAAAAGGGCATTCAGGCGGAATCGGGCGACTTGAAGTGCATACAATGCAGGAGTGTAGATGTGGTTGCGGACACTCGACAGATGGAGATCGGTTGATATTCACCTGACGATATGCTGTACATAGACCTGACGCCCGCCGCGTCGGGGGAATGCTCGACGAAGAGAATATTGTTGATGTTGCTGGATATGCAGTGTCTCAGCGCCTCGGGATTGTGGAGTACGCGTGTTCTGAGCGTGACATGGAGGCCTGCACTGGCGGCGGGACTAGCGTAATGGAACCGACGTGTCGGGCACAGGCACGGAAAGGGAGCCTGTGCTGTGGGAAGATGGGCGATCCAACGGCCATCGCAATGGCGACGCTGGGATTCGCGGCGCCGTCTCACGATAAGAATCGCAGAGCGACGCAGCAGCGCGGCGGGGGTTGCATGTTGGCTAAATGAGCTGCCGACCCAGACAGGCAGCTGGCGATGCTGGCGAGAGACCTCTAGATGTGTGTGTTTCATATGTGCGATGATCCGAACCACTGCCAGCAGGTCGGGACCCAAGCCGCCTCTCTCTCTAGCCTCTCTCGCCTCTTGCGCCTGCTGCAGCAGGTCCTCCACTCCGCGCGCCCCCCATAAGTTCCAGTGACAACCCCCCATCGACGAGCGGGTACTACTCACAGTGCGCCAGAGCCGTCTCTCCCCCCTTGAACATCACAGAGCGCGTTGGCACAAGCTTAAGCCGTGCCTTGCTCCACACAGTACTGTGCAGTCTGTACTCGATCCTCGCATGCGACGCCCGCCCGCGCGACCTGAACCTGCCCTTCCCGTGCTGCCGCGACGACCTCACGTCTCACTCCTCCGTCGCGCCTCTCGCCTCGCTGTCTGTCTGCGCGCTGCTAAACACTTGAGCACTTGCGCCCGGGAGTCGTGCAACGCCAGCAGTGTTCCAAGGTTGGCCGCCAGCCTCAATTGGCTGAACCCGCCCACCCACCACACAAAGACAATGAAATTGCAAGATTAAGAGAATACTCTACTCCTCATTTCTCTCCTCTCTTCGCTTTCCATCACCAGTCTACTTCTCTTCTGCACCCAACTCCCAACTCCCCCTGTCCCTGCGCCGGCCTCACCGACTTCTGCAGCCACCCATCGCCCCTCGGCGTTGAGTGTGAGCGTCGCTGCTGCCAGA